TTTCACTTGCACTGCCGTGGTCAGGAAACCATAAAATCCAAAAGGAGTAAAAGCTCCTCTCCCAATATTGCCCAAGCAATACAACCAACCACCTTCGATAAGGAGCTTGATTGACATCACGGATTTGACAGATCAAGGTCCCAGTCTGCTATAGCCAATCAAACCAGCACGCTTTAGGTCGGTTGTTGGCTCAGGCTCAAGGTGTTACAAGGTACAAACCACAGCCCTAGGGCCTCTACCTTGTTGTGTTGGCATCGTTCGTAGCTTTTACAAGGTAAAAGGGAGACAATGAAGCTAGCAAAGTCCTCTGGTCTGGCCTCCTCTCCCTTGCTACTATGCATTTGCTTTTGTTTGCCATTACTGGCCGTTGGGCAATGGGCAAACATATTATCGTACACAAACACGACCTGTAATGTCTCAAATCTAGCCTACCTGGCGGCAACACGTATCTCTGGTAGGTGCCCTGCCAACGCAACATCGGCATCAAACGCTGTCTGCATCCCAGATCCAGTCCAATCATCGTCATACCTCCAGTACTGTGAATCAACCAATAATCCGTTTCAGGAACTCAAGGCATTGGTCAGCTCTACGCCATTCTTTGGGTCTATGCATGGAAGTCTAACAGGTAGGTCTCGTTGGTAGCTCAGGATGACGACAATCAGCTTCACTGATTGACTTCCAATACTACGACTCCACACACTAAATATATATGTAAATAGGAGGCTGCGGGAGCTTCGTTCAATCTACGATCTACATATCTGGAGTCTGCGTCCAAGGAACAATTCACACTGTAAACGATAATGGAAGTATGGTAGCTACTACATTCCTTGGCTCGACAAACTGTACGGGGAATGCAACCATTACGGCTTACGACACAACTGTATTTGATCATTGCCAGACGCCCTCACCTTCGGGATCTGTGGTTTTATTCACCAGCTTGTCGAATGCCACGGCGGTGAATTCGTTTTTTGTTGCCAATACAGCACCAGTGCCGACTGCGCCTGATTTTAGTGGTGGCAGTAGGCTGGTAATTCTGAATCTCATAAACATTGTGACTGGTTTGATACTAATTGTCGCTACCCTTGTATTGTAATTGCCTCACACCATATAATATAACATATAAGTACCTCAAATTATCCCTGAGAGCAATGGCAATGCAGTACTCAGTAGAAGTTGACTTATTGACTTGGAACAACTCCCCTTTTGGACCTCAGGCTCAGATATTTATCTCCTTCGTAACGCAGTTTGAGAAATCAACAAAAAAATTGCATTAGCGATCTCGCTAAGGAATTATATGCGATCGCTTACGACGAGCCACATTTGTACAGCACATACTTTCAGAAAATGGATTTGTGGCAGTTTTGGGTTCTCAATTGGTTTTCGTCGGGGTGTATTTGTTGTCTGCGTATTCAAACGGAAATGGACGGATGAAATTGGGGCAGTATTGTGCAGAACCATAAAACACAATCGACCCGGTTTTTTGTACCATTTGTTTTCTGTAGTCAACTTACCTAGATTGGGTATTGCATGTTGTGGATACAGCCAGAGTTTGTTTTTTTGTATGGGGCTGTTTGGATTTTTTCGGTGTATAGAAACGTCTAATCACTCATTTGTGTAATTAGTACCTTTTGAGTGGATGTAGTGGAAAACCTTGCAATTTTACTGTTAACATTTAATTACTGTACTGGGCACCAGTGTAAGGTCTCAAAACACTCCAGTCATCCAGGTATGATCAGTTTTCGGGCAGTTTTGCAAATTTTGGTTCTACTATCTTTGTGTCTGTGTGGTTTCGATAGATATTCATTAGATGTGGCATTTGACAGAATTTACCTTTAACTATGAGTACTATGACGATGACGACCTCCTTTCTTTGGCGTGATTAGTGGCTTGGCGGCCGAGATGTTTTTGTGAGATAACGTAGGGGGCTATATTATTAGGTGACCATAAGTGAACGATTTTCGTGTTTCGGATCTAATGGTCATAGCTAATTTCAAAATATACAAGTCCTTGTCAAGCTCGAGAACGTTTTTAACTGCAGCGAGAATAATGTAATACTTGGCTCTATATAGTCTACTCGTACTACTGTACGGACTAGATACAGGGGACTTGACATTACTTGTCACTACATACTATATGCCTTGTCAAAGAGCGCGAATATTTGGTCGTGTGTTAACAAGACTAAAAAAAATAGAAATGAAGTTATGGGTGGGCGTAAGAATGACACAACAACCATTACAACCACATGTGCTTGAGACTTACCACGTAATCTAGGTCGTATCGGCGCAGTAGGATCAGACCCCACAAGTTTATTGATAACACTAATGGAAGGGTTTATAGTGCTTTGTTGCCTCATGACACTGCCAGCTCTAGCCTGCGGTTGTAATCCTCCACCCGCAACAGTCAATAAACCACCACTACCAGGCCTTCCAGAATTCTGTGATGCCTTATCGGCAGCCTTGACCCGTGTAACATTCGAAACCCACATATTCTTGGACTTGTTTTTCACATGTTCTTCAACTCTCTTTGTCCATTCAATATAGTCTCGATGGAATTGATGACGTCGGGCCATTAGGTTGGATTCGATTAGTTGTTTCTTGATGTCGGGGGTACATAGTTGCTTGTCTTTGCCGCTTCCACTGACTGTTTTTATTTTCTTGACCTTGTCTACTTTGGTCTCTTTGGCTGTTGATTTAGATTCGGCTTGTTCTTTTTCTCTTTTGCTCTTCTTTTCCCACCATGCTGGTGCTTGCTTGTCCCATTGGAGCGATAGGAGGTCGAGTTGAGCTTGCCGTATATTTAAGAAGCCTCGGGTGTGTCGCTGCGTTTGTATCACTAGTATGATTTTTTGAGCAGATGAGCGAAGAGCCAAACAGACATCAAGTACAGCATTCCTATGAAACACAATATTGCTATCACCAACCTGAGAATCGATATCTCTTAATAACATTCATCAGTTTCGAAACATCATGGATCTCCTTAAAGAAGGTTCGAATAACTTGACTGGCATTACTGAGCGCCCTCAATCGTCTTCTGGCAACATATTTCTTGAGAGCAGGCGCAATAACCAATGTAGCCTGTCGTTTTCTCTCTTCCAATTGAGACTGACTATATTGACGCCATGTTTTCTGTATAACTCGAGCAGCATGATCCACTCTTCGTTGCTTTTCACGTTGAGTATGAGCGTCGTGTAAAACTAGTTGGATTATTCGGGCTCTACTGGCAATAACCAATAGCAGGAACCATCGATGCTGCAATGCTTGTGCTCGTGATTCTTCTTGTTCACGTCGTTTTGGTGGTGCCTGGTAGAGTTTATTTAGAAGGAGAAAAAAGTCAGATGGTTACTACGAAAAATGCCAGGTCGCAATACCCAAAACCGGCTCATACCGGCGGCAAGTCATATTTGGCATCCAATAATTTCATCAAGCGCTGGCGGTTGGCTATTTCTAATTGCTGCCTATTCCTTTCGACTATTTCTTTCATATGATCCCGGTCTTCTTTCTAAGACAAGCCGAAAGAGCAAAATGAGCAAAAACTAGTCTCTCGAAGAAAGTAAAAGTAGCCTTGAAACTTGCCGCTTTCAACACTTTATCAAGCTGATATCCAGGATGTATATGTTGAGCATACTCCTTGTTGCTCTGAACTATGCTTCGTTCCACATGCAATCTAGCCTCCCTATCTTGTTCACGGTACATTGCTGTCGAACAAAAAAAGGGATTAAGGAAGTGGATAATTCTGAGCCACATTCAGATGTAAAGTGGTTACCTATTCGACCCTGAAATGCTTCCCATTCAACTTGATTATTCTTGAGTTCTGAAATACGTTTATGCAGATCTTCAGCAATCAATCGGACGCTCTTTCGTCCCATAGGACCAGCAGTTTTAGCTCTTAATCCAGGCATCGTAGGAGCATTAGAATTATTAGCCCCTCGAGTACTTGTTGATTGAGTATTCGGTCTAGTCGTAGTTTGAGCAGTTATAGGTCGTCGATTTCTCAAACAGTCTTCAGCAAGCCCCTTGGTTGTGGCAATAGTTGTGGCGGTAATCGTAGGTGTTGGCGTAAAGAGAGTTTTGAACGCATTGCTAGCAGTTGGTGATTCTTGTACTAGACGTTGGATTTCAGCAAGCAGGGTGCCAAATCTGTCTCGTTTATTTGAAAAAAGGGCTTCCTTTTGCACCACACTTCCAAAGAATCTCTCGAATTCCAGGTCTCTCCTCTCCCCATCTTCGTCATCGTATTGGTGTCGGGACTGGTATCTTGATGTGGAGGCGGAGAGGGGTGGTGGTCTCCACTTCTGTAAATTTGCCTGAATGGCAGAACAATCAACAGGCTCTTCGTATTCGTATGCGACAGGAGCTCGTAGGACTGATGATGCAGGCTGGTTGTCCCAACTAGTGACAGGCCTTGTCACGTTGGTTGAAAAGTCTCGAAGCAGGACCTGCGACGAGCTTCTCGAAGGATGATGCGACAAAGACCTGCGCCTCATAGTCGACAATCCTGAGGCCTAAGATAAACGTGGGTTGAGTGTGTTGTGAGAACTTGCGTCCCGCGAGTGACCAAAAGATGAGGAAGGTCAAGTTTGAATAGCAGGAGGTTCAACATACGTATGTGGACCACCTCGGCAATGAAATATCTGTAATATTTGATACCAGACGAAAGGTTGGTTTTTTGATGAAAATCCCCGAATCCGTTCAATAAATCCGGATATACTCCAAGACCAACGAAGAAGTGTATCAGTACAGAGTACATAGCAATAAAATATGAAAATACACGTGCATTCCACATGGAAGCAAAGTAGTCAGTCATCAGTCTGTTCAATTTGACAAGATTTGATTGTGACGAATTTCATCACGAAATCCAATTTGTTAGGACCCAGTTAGCACCCAGTGTAGTAATTAAAATCATATGAAAAATATTCGTTCATTTTGCGTACAATTTCAACTCTTCAACACGCCTCGACTCACCTTTCATTCGAGAACTTTAATTATCGAATAGAGAGGAAGATGGGCGACAAGGATGCATACGCACTGCTCGAGCAGGCCAGCAAGAAGAGCAAAGGCGGCAGTGGCCTGTTTGGCATGTTTTCAGGAGCAAATCTCGAAGAAGCTGCTGATCTCTACGCTCGCGCTGGAAATGGATTCAAACTCAACAAGAAATGTGAGTCAACAAGAGAGTATATGTATATTATATGTATCGTATACTGTATTTATATTCTCTTCTTCTAATCAGGGAAGGAGGCAGGAGACGCTTACATGCAACAAGCGGCAACATTAATCAAGATGGGCGAGTCGGACGAGGCATCTGGCGCTTTCATGAATGCCGCAAAGGCTTACAAGAAGGAGTTCCCATCTGGTAAATCAAAAGTTACTGCAGATATGGCAGATACAAGGAGTGTATAGTTGTGGAAGTCAAGTCTCTTATGAGATAGTCGGTGGTGGATCTACACAACATTCCTCAATGTCAACGATATCCACCCTCTCGTACTCACTCTCTTACACGCACTCTCCCCTCCCTTATACAGAGGCCGTGTCTGCCTTCCAACAATCAACTGCTGCTCTGGTCTCAAAAGGCCGCTTCCACGCTGCCGCTGCAAACGAGAAATCGATCGGTGAAATATACGAAAACGAACTAGTAGACCAACAAAAGGCAATGGAATGCTATGAACGTGCTGCTGATTACTATCTGGGTGAAGATCAACCACAGTAAGCATCAACAAAAAAAGTGGCTCCTATGACTAGTCCATGGATTCTGACTTTCACCCATCCTTTCATTCTCCTACATAGAGCTGCAAACCAATGTCTTCTCAAAGTCGCCACATTCGCTGCTGAATTGGAAGACTACAACAAGGCAACTGAAAAGTATGAACAGGTTGCTCAACAATCCGCTTCAAATGCCATGACGAGGTTTTCATTACGAGGCTATTTCTTGAATGCGGGAATATGTCATTTGGCTTCAGGGGTAAGAGAGTCATGCAGCAGCAAGTCTGCAATTGGGTGGGCCCAAACGTGACTATTTTTTGCTCCTTGTCTAAATGCTTTCATACTATCTTAGGACTATGTCAAAACACGAATGTCACTAGAAAAGTATGTCAATATGGATGTGAGCTTTACTGACACTCGTGAATACCAATTCCTGAAGGTAGGCAAAAAAAAGTCAACCAAATGAAAAAAATGAGAAACGCACAAATACTCAATTTCCTCAAACGCAATCTTCCATATAGCAACTGGTAGATGCAGTAGACAGCCAAGACTCTGAAAGCTTCACTGCAGCTTGCGAAGAATACGACAAACTGACAAGGTTGGATGCAATCAAAACCAAAATGTTGCTCAAAGTCAAGAAATCACTTGGTGAACCTGATAGTATAACATAAGCTGAATCGCTTGTGCTTAGAATTGTTGCTATATCCCCCCGTATTTACCCAATTGTAAAGAAATTCTTGTCGCTCTAGTAAATTACACGCAAACCATCTGATTTACTTGTTTTGAAGAATCCATATGATATTTGGTGTTGTACAAATGACGTTTCTTAATGGTTGATTTCTTTCTAATTTCTGTACAATTTTTGTAGGTATGAGGTAGTTGCATTTTCAAAGATTCCATTCCTCCCCACTAAACTCGCTCTTCAACGTCCAAATCCCAACCTCTCGATTCCCACTCCCAGTCATCTTACTGAAATCGCATAAATTCTTCAAGAGCTTCTTAAACACTTCCTTCTGGTTCTTGATCCTCGATTTGAACTCACTCACTAGATTACCGGTTGTCGAGACATGTTCCGGTTGCGCGAGTAGATATGTTTGGATTTCTTGTGCTAGCTGTACGGTGGATTCGTTTACTGTTACAGGTGATGACGAGTCTCGAGGACGTGATGGCCCCGCATTGCTGCTACTACCATTTGCTTCATTCGGAGTCGAATCACGACCTGTGTCGCTATCTTCCTGCATACTACTAGACGAGGTGCTACCAAGTTGATATATCACACTAGGAGCTACTGGGCCTGTAGCTCGAGCTCGCAATGTAGCCAATATGGACGACGATGAAAAGGGTGCCGATGATGATCCGTTTACAGCACTAGCATTACTGGTACCACTGATACCATTAGCGCCAGATACGCCTTTACTACTACTATCACCAGCACTATTACCAGACTCTCCATCTTTAGGCCCGAATCGTTTCTTTGGTATCACAGCAGCGGGAGCGTCACCATCAGTCTGTTTCTTCATCGGCAAACCGGCATTACCGCGACGTCCAGTCCATGTTACAGCAGTACCACCAGAATCAACAAGAGCCTTCCGTACTTTACGTGTCGATTTCTTTAATGCTGCTATAGCTTCATTAGCAATCTGTGTTGCTTGGCGTTCAACAATTACTCGTTCCGGGTTTGATGCTTCAACTATAGCATCATGCCGAAGTGCTGAATGCACTCCTGAATTCGATAAGAGGGCATGCAAGACTCGATCATCGTCTCCTGCATTGTTGTATTTCTTGACGTTTGTTTTTGAGTCGTTGGTAGTATCTTCATTCGGATCGGCACCTGATGCACTTCCAAATCCATCGGGAGGTGCTTGGAACGCTTCAGCTTTATCAATATCATTAATACGACCGATTTCGTTCTGTATAGATTCTTCAGCTGCATCGACATTAGAGCTACTGCGCCTAAGTGCTGATGATGGCCTTGAATTACTCTTACTATCAGACTGCCCATTACCATTGGCTTTACTATCTTTATCTTTCAATTCAACCTTGACATTCATATCCTGGAATAATTGTCCAGTTTCTGTCTCTTCATGACCGTTTTGACTCCCTCCTTCTGGACCAGTAAGAGTAAACAAATCATGCAAATCAGTTGATTTGAAGAATCGTCGTTGTCGAGGATCTTTGAGAATCTTGTTGGTCAAGAATTGCTTGAATATTTGACGATGGTAGATCTTTTCCTCGATTGTTCCTGATGTCATGAGTCGATATATGGTGACTGATTTACGTTGTCCTAGACGCCATGCACGTTCTCGTGCTTGTACATCAGTAGAAGGATTCTAGTGCAGAGAAAACTGTCAGAACTTGATTATATGACGTTCATTTCGCGCATTTTTCGCCTGATCATAATACCAGACAATGACATCCATTCTTTCACTACATACCCAATCTGGGTCATAGATAATCACTCGATTAGCACCCGTAAGATTAATTCCCAATCCACCAACTTTCGTAGTAAGTAAAAAGACAAAAATAGAGGGCGTCTCATTAAATTCATCAACCATGGCAATTCGATTCTTGACTGCTGTATCTCCATCCATACGACGATACACCAAATCTATTTTTGACAGATATTTGTCAGGACTTTTAATAAAGGGCGTGAACAAAAGCCACATGAAATTGAACTCACGTTGGGAGATAACAAACTTTTCTAAAATGTCCAGCATTTGACGAGTCTGACAAAACAGTAATACTCGATGGCCCTGTTGCTTCCATGTATCTAGCAGGGCTTTGATGACCTTCATCTTTCCAGATCGATTGTAATCACCATACTCTTCGGTCTAGGTGCAAAAGAAACACGTAAGTGAGATGCGAAAATAACCTACTTCGAAGAAATCCGTAGCTGTTCGAAAACACCAAGACACACGAATACCAACAGAAAGGCAAAACATACTTCTGAATTAGCGACCCGCTCAACCAAATCAGGATGATTACAAATCTTTCTCAATATATCAATTCCAAACAACACTTGTCTTTTGCCTTCTAAAATTGAATGAACGTCTTTCGAGTTCAGGAAGCGTCGATACTCTTCCCTCTGATAATTCGTCATTCGACAAAACAAGACTTGTTCGGATTTCGTTGGCAAATCTGACGCTACATCAGCCTTCATACGCCGTAGGAGATATGGCGATATCAGGTCTCGTAAGACGACAGCACACTTGTATGCTGCTTGAACAGCCATATTGGAAGCATTGGCATATCCACCGATTTTGATGGGTACACCAAATTGGACTTGGAAGACTGGGAGAGTGCCGAGACGACCTGGATAGACGAAATCAAATAGAGACCATAGTTCGACGAGATTGTTTTGGATGGGAGTACCGCTCAGGATGATGCGATGGGATGTCTAGGTTTTCAGCTATTGAGCAACGGCTGTACATGTGCACTTGTGGGGTCTTTTTTGCTCACCTTGAGTTGCTTGCAAGTCACGGTAATATCAGCATCAGGATTACGAATCTTGTGGCCTTCATCCAATACACAATAACCCCACTTTACATTCAATAAGCGCCGACGATGCACTCGTAAAGCTTCATAAGTGGTGACGATGACGTGACCTATCAGGCGGAAGAAAATTGAGCAAGCAAAAAGTAGACGCAAGGATACGGCATACCCTTTTCACAAACGGTCTCCACCATAGCAGCTACTCTAGCATCCGTCTCTGAAGTAGCTCCACTAGAAGCTTTTGATTTCTTCTTAATTGTTTTACTCTTCTTCCTTTTTCGTCTATTATCACCAAAATCGTCCTCATCGTCATCATCTGAGGCAAGGAAATCATCGTCGTCTTCTATTTCTTCTTGCCAGGTGCTGCCACCACGACGAGTTTTGGTGAGAGCAGTACCAGAAGAGTGCAAAATCATTACACGAAATGGTGGCCACCAACGATGAAACTCTTGCACCCATTGTTTGAGTACAGTGGCTGGACATAAGACTAGAGTTGGCAGACCTAGTTTCTGCGAGAAGTGAAGACCAGATAAGAAGGCTATAATCTGAAAGGTCTTTCCTAACCCCTGATTTTTATGAAGAGTTGGTGAGCACCAACAAAAAAGGCAGCATAAAGTCTGCTCATACCATTTCATCACCAATGATACCACCAGCTTCTTGACAATGCAACTCCCATAACCACTTTGTACAAGTACGTTGATAATCAAACAGCTCATCATAGACTTCTCCAGCCATCCGATAACCACCATCATATGACACATCGTCAGCAGAAGGAGAAGACTGAAACGCTTCTTGATCTGCGTCTTCTTCTAAATCAGCATCATCAACAAGTTCAGGATCAAATGCTGCGCCTTGTTGTATTTTGAATCTAGCTAATCTGCGTCGACGAGCCCATCTCTTTATTCGATTCTGATATACGGCTTCGTCACCATCGTCAAGGTATCGGTCATTGAGTTTACGGGGCTCTGTTTCATCGTTTTCAGATTGTTTATCAGAGTCACTATATTTAGCGACTTCGTCTTGTTCTTCTTCTTCTTCCTCCTCGTCTCCTTCTTTCAGTGGGAGGTCACCATCTTCGTAAGTATCATCGTCATCGTTACGGCCACGTTTTCGTTTTCTATGCGAAGATTTTCTATCATCTGAATATTCTTCGTCATCACTATCTATTGCGACTCGTCTCTTCTTTTTCTTCCTTTGCTTGTCGTCTTCATCCGAGTCACTGTCGCTGAATACAGGATCATCGTGTTGGCTGCTACTACCATTACCATTAGCTGCAGCAGTAGCATTTGCCGGTGACGATGTAAGTGAATTATCAGTAAACGGTCTCTTTGCTGTAACTGGTTTATCAGGTATATCAGTGGTGCGACGGACTGTTTTTTCCAAGCCACTTATAGATGAAAACGGAGTGATTTTTCCTGTACGAATCAACCGTTCACGTTCCGTTTCTTGCATTTCTCCTTGTGATGCTAAATTTAGATGATTCCGTGTCAGTTGCAATCTTCAATAATATGTCTAGTCACCAAGGTAAAGTTCTTGCCTCCCGGTTTAGCATCACCAGTGTCAGCCATCCGTTTCCGAATCTGCTTTTCATCAGTCTTGAGTTTCTCAATACGATCTTCAATCTCTTTAAGCTTGTCATTCAACTTTGAACTTCCAGAGGGTTTGCCTCTGTCAAGCTTAGCAATCAAGTCATCGGCCTTTGTATGCAAGGTAGCTAGTTCTTGACGTGTTTTCGTTAAACGTTTCTTTTCTGCGACTAGTTCCTTTTCCTTGAGAGCATCGTCGACCTGTATAGATCAATCGTTTTAGATCAACATTTGATGTCACGTTTTTGACAGAAACACAGCCAACCATCAAACGACTAAAGAGGTGCTTTTACACACCTGCTGCATAAGATGCGACTCTAGCTCTCCCTGCTCCGTCGCCCCAATGATGAATTCACCACCCTCCTGTTCAGTAATCTCGTTCGAGACTGGTTGTGGTTGCAGACTGTTTGTGACATCAATAGCAGGCTCTGCTTCTTGATTGGCTGCTGCTCTTGATATTGGAAAGCCCTGACTGGGTACGCCATCATCGGGTTCCATCTTGATTTGGTTAGTTGGTGTTGGTTCTTGGAAGCTCGCTGCGACGATTGATGCAGACGTTAGAGCCTAACTAAGATCTCATGATTCTCTTCATTTTATAGTTTATTCAAGCTTTGATTGTTCTTTATGGAGCAAGATGCTGAAGATTCACGTGGTGTCGTGACATCGCAAACGATACATTCTTTGTTATCTCATATCGATACGAGAATAGTGTAAGTGCTTGATGAAAAGCTCTGAATCTTTTCTATTTTATGATTTGATGCGTTCGATGCAAGCTGGAGATCAAACACCAATATTATACCACCAGGCAATTCGAACTTTTTTGACCTCATTGAATACTTAGGCCACCATTGAACTTCGCCATGGTCGCTCCGGGTATCTACAGATCTGGTTATCCAAACAAGAAGAATTACCCCTTCTTGAAAAAGTTGAAACTAAGATCTATCATGTGAGAAACTGAACGAGACAGATGTTGGGGTTTCAGGTACGCCTTGTTTAGCTGAACATATATCTCCCCTAGGTACCTTTGTCCTGAAGATTACTCGCCAGAGAATACAGACTTTCTCAATATGAATGGAATACAGCTCTTCCACGTCAAGATTGTTGGAAACAAGGCAGGCACTTCTTTCGGCACAAACATCCTCGAGGTCAACCACCTACATCTATTTAGGAGCCCTTCTTGGAGATTGACCAAAATGATATTGCGCAAGCCCTCGTTTACATTCTAGGTAAATTCAAGGTTTGAACAGAAGCATTGAACCGTCTAATGAGATCCATTTTTTGCTGTTAGACGTTAGGAATCACCCTAGTACGTCTGAACCATTCCAGCTTCGGACTGTTTATGTTGGAATACTAAAATTCATTCACGTTATGTAGTATTGGTGCATTGCAACAAGGGCAAGGTATGCCAGTCGCATTTTGTCTCGAGAGATAGGGACTTTCGCTTTCGATACAAACTCTCATCTGTCTCTAAATATCAAATAGCACCGAATCGGCTGTCTGGTCGGATGCTTGCGCAAGTTGCAAAATTGGTCCATGACGTCTATATTTGACGAATATAGACGATTTGCTGGAACAAAAGGCCGTATCGCCGATCAAGAGGTTAGTGTCAATCGTAATTCCATCAGGTCTATGTCTGATTTTTTTTTCGCTTGGTAGTTCATTGAAGTCTTTGATGAAAAAGTCCCATTCGACTTGAAAAATGCACCAAAGTGGCTTGTTTGAAGACTAAATTTACAATATGACCATTTGCACAAGTGCTCGCTTGTCGAGAGTGAAATGCAATAATCTATTTTCTATATCATTTGTATAATTATATAGCACACGTATTAAAGAACTCATAGTCCAAGACACAAAACCAAAAGTGCTGCTAGCATAGTCGAGAACAAGATGTTGTTGGAAGCGACGACATTTCCCGACGAATCTGGTTTCTGAATATTTAAAGCTATCGATGCTGGTCCGCCCGTTGGAAAAGTATTATCTTGAGGCGCTGCAGTCGTTTTGGATGCGCCGATGATCTTGGCGGGGTCTGGTGATGCTTGTACGATAGGATTGACACTGGCGACGACGGAAGAAGCAGCAACTGCACTACTTGGCGATGGCGATGCTTGTAATATAGATGGAGCAGCAATACTTGGCAACGGGGAACCAGAATCTTGACCACTGGCTGTTGCGGTGGCAGTTGCCTGAGTACTGACGGTGGCAGTTGCTTTAACCTTGAAGATATTGGGAGGTGCCGTCGCACTCAACCCACTGCCACTACCCGGAGCTATTCCAGGAGGGCAGAGCACACAAGCCACTTGTCCTGAAACAAGGTTGAGGCAGGTAGCGTTGTTTAATCCGGGGTTTAGTGCATAGAACGCATCAATTGTTTGAAACTAGATTTTTGGGCGTCAGTATAGTTGCGTAATATAATATCATCACATTACGGAATATAGAGTCTTCGCCCAAAAACAATCTTGGTAAAAGAGGATACGTAAAAATGTTTGACAAACTTACATCATGACTGGAGGCGATAGTGTCACAAGTGTCTCCAGCTACGACTTGGTAGAACTGTGGGCCTATTTCGAAACAAGTTGTGTGGGTCGTTGTTAAAGGGCCCCAAGTCTCTTGACTTAAAAACTCACATTGTGGTATAGGATGCCAATGGACAGTACAATTACTGGAAGAAGGCCCATTTTGAGGCAAGGGAATTGGTGCGTGTCCACACAGGGCTGGGCTACATACACAAAGTCTGGAAAAGAGGGGGCGTCAGCGATTTGCAGATTCCACAAGCGAATTTCGATCTTGAAAGAGAGCTAGTTAGTAACTTACGTTGCTCCAGGGTAGATTGTTTCTGAAACATTCAAGTTTGCGTTCAGAGTAACAAGATCGGCAGTGCCATTGGCCAAGTTATTGGCGAGCGTAATAGCGGTAAGAGTGTCATTACTCTTAATTGTAATGAGCTTCGTGCAGTTTGGCGATGGTTTATACGGGCATACGTTTCCCGTATCTCCAAGTGTGCAGGATTGAGCTATGCCGACTAGGGCGAGAAATATGACCGCCTTGATGCTGTTTGGTAACATTACTGGCTGCTGAGTGGAGTAGCGATATGGTCTAAAAGTAGTACTGATGGAAGAGCCGGGATTTGATTGTTAGAAGGATAGTTGGTTTGCAGAGTTCTTGAAAGTTTGGCGACAATGCTGTCTGAATGTTTTGGTGTACTGTGATGTGCACACAATTTGTTGTCTGGCACACCAAAGATGAACGCGATGACAGCATCGTGAAGCATACACTAAGCTAAGTTGCATCTATTGTGTTGCGACTCGTCCATGAAAGCAACGTGAAGGAACGAGTTTTGGGGTGTTGGAGACCTTAAGTCCACGATGCATTCACTTGCATCCGTCGAGGACAGCAATCTACGAGAACATAATGTCAAAATGAGTGCCTGATGACGAAGAGCCAAGTTGAAAAACAGGGTGGACTTCAAGTTAATGTTCCAACCGTTTTTCGGAATGATGGCATTTAACCAGCAACCGCATCATCAGATCATCAAGAAAGTAATATTCCAGCTCGTTCATTATGATGATAATCGCGTAAATCGCATTCTTTTATAGGGTTCTTGAAAGCGAAATTTGGTCCAGTTTTGGTTTTGAAATTTGCGTGTTGAAATGCGTGGCAGGCAACATCCGCGGCAGTTGTTCAAGCATCAAATATTCTTTTTGATCTCTTCATTAATCTTGAAAGGGCCTCTGCTTACCTGCTTTTCTTTTCCTCTTCAAAAAACTTCGAGCAAAACCACTACTTTCCATCAAAAGCAAGATGGACGACTTACCTACTTTTGATGGAGGGGACGCTATGCAGACAGGTAAATATCAATTCAGAATATTGTTTTCATTGAGTTCACCGATATGGATTGCCTCCGGATGGTGGATTTTGGGGGGATTGTCTATTGGCTTTCAAATTTTGAGTTTCTTGGAAGAAGCAAGTCGCAAGGCACGCGACTCAATACTGGATTATCGACCCAAAGCACTAATTTTGCGTCGATAAATGCACTCACTCTATTGTGAAACCACTCCACTTGCTGGGCGCATTGGGGGAATCCACAGAGTGTAAATGTTGGAGTGTTTGGAGGAGAAAGTGTTGAATCTGGAAGGCAACGAAAGCCACTCGATTCCAAATGCTGCCTAATCGCTGCCACTCATCATGACCGAACTTATCGCTGATCTATCATTGGGCGATTGGTTTGGTCGTAATGTGTGGTTGTCTCATTTGCATGTCCCTAAACACATCAACACAAAAACGTGATATTCGACTGCAGGACGATGATGCCTGCTGATCTCCATCATGGATGAGTCCGTAATCCCATGCTCTTGCTGTTCCATGACTTGCACAGCACGGTGTTGCCCTGTAATCACTAATTTTGAGATGTTGGCTAACTATTAACAATAACTTTCCCATTTCTGAATCTTTTCTAGACTATCTGTACACCACAGAGGACTCAAATCCTACCGATTTCATTGAACCAGCACCTCGTGATGACATGTCAAAAGAAGGAGGGGGCTCAGAGTATGAAGAATCTATGGAAGACGATGCCAAGAATGGTGTTGGCTCTGTCGAAGATGACGACGATGACGACGATGACCACATCCACCCTCAAGACGACGACATGTCTTATGAAAACCATAACTTCGATGCTGGATACAACCACAACCATAACTCTCCTCGATCTCGTCAAAACCAATCACCGTCTCGTAAACACTCGTCGTCAAAGAAGCCTCAGAAACATGACAATTTTCAAGAATTGGATCCTGATCTATATTTATTGAGACGATCAGGTCGCTCCAAGCATCAACCATCTAGAGTCGAGGTATGTAGTCTATTGATTCAAACTTTTGTCGTTTCAAGTTGGTGGCCATGTTGGATCTGTGATCTTGACAATTACCCTCTTTAGGAAAAGTCAGAAGATGAAGACGACGATGCTGAATCATCTATGGACAGCGATAATGATGGTGGTGATAGCTATGGTGGTGGTCGTAAACGTAAACGTGGTAAAGCCAAAGGACGAGCGCCTTCTCGACCAAAACGACAAGGTATGCATAGCCTTCCAATTTATTCTTTTGCCTTCTTTATGCTCTTAAACATGCATATCAAGGCTCATTCTTCCAACGTTTGCCTTTATAGCTCGAGAGACGGTAGATGACTCAGAAGAAGAAGCTCGATTCACCTCCGAATCTGCCAATGGTGAAGAAGACGATTGGGATGGTGGTGGACGCTCTCGAAAACGTCCTGCTGGCTCTCGTCGCAAAAGCAAGAGCAAGAAATCTCGTACTGCTCGATTTGTAGACGACGGAGATGAAACTCCTCTCTATGCTGAGCAACGCTTCTCGGTCCGTCATCGAAATGCCAAGAATTATGATGAGAGTGCAAATTCAGTTGATTATGGTCTCTCTGAAGAAGATGAAGAAGCAGAAAGAGAAATGCTCAAAAAGAAAAAAGTCAACTATCAAGAAGGTATGTTCTGAAGAATGCTGTTCGTTTCTTTTTGGTTTTGAAATTCTGCATATGATTCCTTACAACCAATCTATCCACTGCAATAGCTGTAGAAGACGATCAAGGCATAGAACAAATCTGGGATTATCGGATTGTACCCATGACCAATGAAGGTGACATACATTCTATGTTTTGCACATTTGACCACCCAGTCGTCGATTGTAGAACGTGACTAAACAAGCATAATTCCTTTTACTAGACAATGAGGATGAAGACGAAGATGTCTATGAATTTCTCGTAAAGTGGAAGGGCAAATCTCATCTCCACAACACATGGCAAACTGCTGACTCCCTCAGGAATGAAAAGGGGTTTCGTAGAGTCGAGAACTTCTTTAAAAAGAAGGTCGAAGGTGATCGAGAGTTCATGACTGATCCCAATTCTACTCCTGAAGAGAAGGAGCAGTTTGAGGTTCAGAACGAGATGCACCGTAATGCCTTAAAGGACTATACTCAAGTAGAACGAGTAGTCGCATCTCGCTATTCCGAATTTGGTACTCAGTATTATATCAAATGGAAGCAACTTTCGTATACGGAAAATACTTGGGAGTCGGCAACAGATATTGCTACAGAATTCCAACACGAAATCGACAACTTTTTGGAGCGTCAAGAAAGTCAAACCTTGCCGTATCTTAGCGATAAACACAAGAAACGACCTGCCTATAAACCATTCAAAAGTCAACCTGCTTATATGGTCGGTGGAGAACTACGTGATTATCAGCTGCTTGGTGTCAATTGGATGGCTAATCTCTGGCACACAAACCAGAATGGCATCTTGGCTGATGAAGTAAGTTTCGGCATAATGACGCATCGTGCTCGTGTTTTCATCATCACTCCCATTACGTTCGCGCACTCACAACATTATACTCATTTCCGTAGATGGGTCTCGGTAAGACTGTCCAATCCATATCCTTCTTGAACTACCTCTTCCACGAGATGAAGGTATATGGCCCATACCTGATAGTTGTGCCTCTCTCCACCATCACATCCTGGCAACGTGAATTTGCACGTTGGGCTCCGGAAATAAATGTAATCATGTATCAGGGTAGCTCGGATGCTCGTCAAATCATCAGAGACACCGAGTTCTATACTCAAGTCACTGGAGCTCGTGGTGGTAATCATGGCAGACAAGTCAAATTCCATGCTCTCTTGACGACATATGAGTATATATTACGAGACAAGGTGGAGCTGGGTGCCATTAGGTGGTGTTACCTTGCAGTTGACGAAGCTCATCGACTCAAGAATGCTGAATCTCAGTTACATGAAGCTCTAAAGGACTTCCGTACTGATAATCGTCTATTGATTACTGGTACTCCGCTTCAAAACACAATTCGAGAATTGTTGGCGCTCACCCACTTTATAATGCCTGATCGTTTTCATGAGTTTGAAAACTTTGAGATCGATCTGTCTAATGGAGAGAATGGCCAAAAGGATGTCATGAGTAAAATCCAACAACTTCAACATGAATTGAAACCATTAATGTTACGTCGTCTCAAACGAGATGTAGAAAAATCCTTGCCAACCAAAACCGAACAAATATTACGTGTAGATCTGTCTGCCATGCAGCTTATGTATTATAAGGCTATCTTCACCAAGAACTTTACCACTCTCACAAATACGTCACGTACTGCACAAGGAGGTGCTTCTCTCATGAATGTCGCCATGGAATTGAAAAAGGCAGCCAATCATCCATACCTCTTCGACGGTGCGGAAGACTCTACAATTAGCAATAAGCAGGATATATTGCGTGGTATTATATCGAATTCTGGTAAAATGGTGTTGCTTGATAAGCTCTTGACTCGACTCAAGGAAGGAGGACATCGTGTCTTGATATTCTCACAGATGGTTCGACTCTTGGATATTCTTTCGGATTATATGAGATCGAGAGGGTAAGCATTTGAGTGGATGGTGTCGTGTTATGATGTCTTGTGGTGTACTTCCTGCGGCACTCTCTTCTTTTCACTTACCCTTTTTCGCCCTTGTAGTTATCAATTCCAGAGATTAGATGGAACTGTGCCTTCGGAGCAGCGTAAACGTGCCATGGAGCACTTTAATGCTGAAGGAAGTGCCGACTTTGTATTCTTGCTCTCTACTAAGGCTGGTGGTCTTGGGTTGAACTTGGAGACAGCAGACACTGTCGTCATCTTTGATTCAGATTGGAATCCTCAAAATGGTGGGTTTACTTCAAGTTCATCGGTTTGATTGTTTTGAGCTCCCTGATTACTCATACCGTTACCCAACGAAATAGACCTCCAAGCTATGGCTCGAGCTCATCGTATTGGACAAAAGAAGATAGTCAGTGTGTACAGATTTGTCTCCAAGGACACGATAGAAGAAGAGATCATTGATCGGGCAAAGCGTAAAATGGTCTTAGAATATGCCATCATCAAGCAGATGGATACCTCTGGTCGTAGTGTGCTTCAGAAAGGAGGACAAGCAGAACAGACTGAAAAGATGACTCGAGAAGAGCTTCAGACCATATTGAAGTTTGGTGCTCGTAATCTCTTCAAGGCTCATGAAGCTGCTAACGAATTACATGGATCATCTGCTGCTGGCGGTAATCTGCTCGAAGAATTCAACTTGGATGAAGTACTCGCCCGAGCTGAAGAGAGTGAGACTACTGCTGATGGTGGTGCCACTGATGGAGGTGCTGAATTCTTGGAACAATGGCGTATTGCTGATGTCGGTATAAATGAGCTCTCTTGGAATGACATTATTCCAGAAGAAGAGCGTAAGAAGTCGGAAGAGGAAGAACGCAAGAAGCAAGAAGAAGCCTTAGCTAGTCGTGCCAAACGAGCAGCCGGACCAGCCTCATATGCTGAAGGAGGTGGTGGTGGTGGCGCTGACGATGATGGTAAACGTAAACGAGGTCGTAAAGGTGGTAAAAAGAAGGATGGTTCTTCTTCAGACAAGCTAGATGATAAAGATTTACGTGCTCTCCATCGTGCTATGCTTAAATGGGGTGATCCTGAAGACAAGTATGAAGAGATTGTCAAGGATGCGGATCTCGAAGACAAGGATACCGATCTTATATATGATACGTGTCACCGTCTATTCGAAGATTGTCAGAAAGCTCTAGCCGATCATGAAGAAGCCATAGCTAATGTCACTGACCGTAAAGAGAAACGTAAAGAGAAGGCAGTCACCATCGCCTTTGAAGGCTTACCTGCCGTCAATGCCAAACAACTCTATACTCGAGTAAACGACTTTAACCATGCCATGACTCGACTGAAACTAGCTGCTGAGAAGCCACAGAGCTTCCGTCTCTCGAATCAAATGAAGTCAGTCAATTGGTCCCAACCATGGACTCATAAAGAAGACGCCATGCTTGTAGCTGGTATTGCTCGACATGGATTTGGATCATGGGCAGAGATACAAGCTGATCCAGATCTAAATTTGCAAGGTCGCTTCCATTTGGGTGTTGAGAAGAAGGATATAAAAGATGAAGAACATGCAGCTGCTGAAGATGATAAAGCAGGAGGAGACGGCTCTGCTGGTAAAAAGCATCTACCCAAATCTGTGCATCTAGTACGTCGTGGCGAATACCTTCTCAAGGTATTACGAGAAGAAGAAGAAGCTCGTGTAAAAAGTACTAAAGCTGCTGCTGCCAAAGCTGCTCGAGCTACTAACGGTACTCCATCCAAGAAGAAGGAAGTTGAAGTCAAGGACAAACCAAAGAGTAAATCCAATAAACCACCTGTGTTTACGAAAACCAAGAAGCCTTCCGCACCCGATAAGAAGCCAGCGTTGTCTAAACTAGGCCCTTTTGCTGATAGAAAGGATGTTAAAAAGGATAAAAAGGAGAAGAAACCTAGTATCAGTGCTAAACCTCGTAAACCCAAAGTCAAATCTCCTACAACCGCTGCTGAACTATTTGGCAATGACAATGATCACTCTGATTTGAGTGACGTCGACTCTGATGATGACGACTCGATATCTTCAGATGACGAAGAGAGCTTGACGGCTGCAGAACGCGAGACATTCAAAATCTTGCTCAAACCTGTAAAGAATGAAATCAAGGCTTTGGAACGTCTTGATGGTGATAAGAAGGCTACCAAAGATGATAGGACGAAAGTTGCTCGAGATACTATATATAATGTAGGCAATTTCGTCAAGGCTGAAGCTGCTAAACTTGATAAAGGTGAACGAGAACGTCAAGAGACACGAATGTGGATGTATATTAGTCAAGTTATGTGGATGGTTGATGTTGAGTGGTCAAAGCTTCGAGATGGGTGAGATATTGTGGTGTGTATCTTGGTTTTCTTGCCTTGGTGTTAATTGACTTTCCTTTAAGGTTTGAAAAAGAATCAGCACGTCGAGACGCTGACAAGGTCAAGAACGAAAGCAGCAAGAGCAGTGGTAGTGCTCCTGTTATTGCTCGAAGCAATACCAGCAACAACAACAATCCATCAACACCTCAGACACCCATTGAGAAGAAGAAACCGTCCGACCTCCCAATCAAAAAGAAGAAACCCATTCCAGTAGATACCAATAATAGTAGTACACACGATTCCAACCACAACAACAAGGATGATGGACTTTCGTCTGCTGCTCCTGCTAGTGCCAATTCGTATTCTACAAGCATGGATCGTGGTCATCATCACCATCGTGATGATAGAGATAGACGTGACCGTGATGATCGTGACGACCGTGACCGCTCGGATAGTCGTTATAGACGCGATGACTACCGACGTGATGATTACAAGAGCAGTAGGAGGGATGATTATAGACGAGATGATGGGAAGGATCGACGAAGGTCAAGGTCTAGGTATGTGATGGAATCCCAGTCTATTTATTACTCCGGTGTTGGTGATTTTTTGGCGTGGTTTAACGACTATTACCACCCTTCGCAAAAGGTCTAGGGATAGAGACAACAGGCGACATCGTTCAAATTCACGCTCCAGGTCTCCACGTCGCTCTCGCTCCCCTCGAAGGTCAAGATCTAGATCTCCTCACCGACGATAAATGAAAACAGATGGAATGGAAGACGATTACTGCTCTCTCTGTCTCTCTCTTTTTGCTGTTTTTTGTTACATAAAAGTGTCTCCTTTTGCATCTCATGATTATATTTGTAGCGAAAAGTGTAAAAGAATATACCCATTTGTGATATTTACTGAACAACGACTTAACTGGCTTGTGTGCTGCGAGATCCGATAAATATTTTGCATCACCAAAAAAAATCGACAAAAAGTGCTGCATTTTGGTGTAGATTATTGCTATAACTCGCCTTAATATACATTTTTTGCAACACAAAAAAGGGAGTGAGTCAGTTTTTGAACTCACGCCCTTTGGGGGGACGCAAGGGGCCACTGAGCAGAGTAGAGTAGAGTAGAGTAGAGTAGAGTGGGCAGCCAAGCGTCCAAATGACAGGTTTTAAATTCGCTGTATAAGTATTTTGGAGGGTCCCTTCACGCATAGTACGTATTCAAATTCTGTCAAGTTGACTTCGGGGAGCTTGTCCCACAAGTTAGGATATTCCATAAAGCGCAAAACTGTCTGTAAAACTTCTTTATTGAACCAGCAGAACGAAACCGTAATATGTCATTCATTCATTTGCTTACTTGGACGAACTACGAACAGACGTGCTATCGTAAGGGTAATAAACGTCTGACTAGCCTGACTAGCACCCCTGATATTCAGCTCTCCACTCAAACTTGCAGTCTTGGGTACAGTCGAAACGGCAGTCATATTCCCATTCACAGCATGAACGGCACTCATACTAGCAACAAGTGCCACATTCTGTGTTGAGAACGGTACTGGATCGGATTCCTCAATTGATTGTCGACGGGATACGATAACGGTTCCATAGTTTGGCCATACGACTATAACGTATTGTGAAACAACAATGGTCAAGTTACTGGCGAGACAATTCTGACTGATATGCACCCCTTTCCAGCGAGAATAGAGCAGGATCAAATTTCGAAACGAAGAAAGAAACATCTCGACACTAGCAATCTCAGTGGGTCATCATCCAGTGCATCATCAGGCATATCTCCGACACTACCGGCCAATATCACCTTCATAACTAGGCTTTGAAGCATACCATGCTACAGAAGGCGGCGTCAAGAGTGTCAAGGTCTCAGACGATTTTAAGTGGTGTCTTGTTGGTTGCTGGGACTCGTTGATGTGGACAGTCCGCATTGTATTCAATTGGCGGAGTTGAGATATTCGCACTGACTGCTAATAAAGGGTGCAAAGACTGTCAAAAGAGAAGGCCGTCCTCATGTAGGTTCTAAATGTTGCCCAGCACAAACGCTGGCATATCAAACTCGCCATTTTAATGATACCCACCATACACCCACCACGACTACTTTCATGAGCCGTACTAGATATCACCCCATCACAAATCATTGAATTGTTCTTACGTTGCCATGCAAACGAGTCTTTGACTGTCGTTGTCAAGGGAATAAAAGCAAAAAGAGAGCATAATTTGGACGTCCCATGTGCTCAGTACTACAAGCATTTCCAACTCCTCGTACCACTTCTCTCCTATGGAAGATTAAACATGCTCCATCCCAACTGAGCTCGACCAAATCGTCAAGAGTTGGTGCAACAGACGACATTTCTCATTGTTGTGAAATCCCAGACTAGGAAATAGCCAAATCAAGTCTCCGTCCACGGTTGATCTAATACTTGTCATTCCACCAGGTATTTTGGCCGCTCCTTGTGGTGCGCCTCGCGATCGTCCTTGTCTGAGAAGAGAGAGAGGATTTTTCAAAAAACTGGTTTCGTTTACGTGGATTGGTCGTTTTTTACCTGTACGCTCTAGGATTCAATCCGGCAACATGCTGCGCCTCATTCACAAGCTGCAACCAAAGAGCATACATCCGCTTGAATTGTTGTCTAATACGGGCCACATCATTCCAAATCCTGCATCTGAAGTACCTGAAATGACGTAAGAGAAATTACGAACCGACACCAGATATACATGAGATCAACCAGCACCAACCATAAAGCAATCCATGTTGCCTCGAAACAACAGTATCACCATCCTGCTGCATCCGTCCGAACAACCTCCTCAATCGAAGCATCATATCAATATGTGATCCAACATAATAATCCACTTTTCGTATCAGTCGTTGACCACTACATGAGAAGGGTGCGTATGCAAATGTCTTTATTTTCTTGTCTGAATCTTGAACTGTAAATCCGAGACTGTCGTTCAGTCGCCCAGGCCACAGCTGTAGACTTGAGGGGAGCCACAGTCTTTGCCGAGTTTTTGGCCTACCTCGGTTCCAACAGCAGCAACCCATAAACCATTCACACCTAGTACAGGAGTGCTAGGCTTCTTTCTTCACATTTGCTCGTTTGAATTTGCGATTTAATTGTGGGGCGAAGTCCGACACCGACACGACTCGATCATGTAGAATACGCATAGCTTACAAAAAAAAGCAAACAGGTCCTCAAGAATTGTCTCTGACGGCAAGCCGCGCAAGACAACACTTCTGTGACCAGCACTATCTTGGCGATGTGGTGGATTGCGTGTGTGAGTCGGTGACTTGTACATTCGATTATGTTGCAGTACTGGTTGATACCGTATGGCAGTACTGAGGGTGTGTACATTGCTAGATCAACACCTGCTTATCGTGTCTACCAATGCGAGAAAAATGCTGGGGCGCAGGGTGTAAGGAAGAGTCTTGATATCTCCTTGTATTCTCAAACCCAGCATGTACCTTGAAATATACATGCTGATGAGACATATGACGACCAAGATTGAACAGCAACAAATCTCGGACAGTAGTTGGATGATGTGATATCACGTTGGCAATAAATCAGAACCACGGCATATAGCAACATGACTGACCGTCCGCAAGTTCAAATATCTGAATAAGTTTAAGTAAAAAAATAGAATGAGTTACTGGTGAAGAAAAAAGGCAAACGAAAACTTTGATATACTCGGCTCGAAATAGCCATTCTACCTAAACGATACCCTCTTATAGTTCTTTGAAACCACAACATCTTTGAAAGCATCTGTATTCCTCTTTCAGCAACATAGTCTTCTGTTACAGTCGGTATAGCATGTGAATAGACATCATCTGCTTGTCGCTGTCGTTTGTTGTTGAGCTCGTTCCATACCGAAATCCAAACTACAAAGCACTTTTGAGCTCTTCTCACAGCAAGACGTCTGAAAAAATGTTGAAAACGAGCCACAGGGAAGGAGCGGGTCAAAAAAACCAAATGGTCCGGTATCACGACAGCAGTCAGCTTCATCCCCACTATATTTATGCTGTAGCCAAGTGCAAATTGATTGCGAAAGAAAGACCCTCAAACGGGTTTGATCTATTCAAGCAGATTGCCATTGAGTTTGTCTCCTTGTAAAAGTTTGGACTATTAGATTTGGCAAAAAAGTAGGTTAATGAAGACGGTGGAATTGCATTCCAAATGACGGCAGCACTCACTTTACCCTTGCAAATTGAAATCATGCCTACAGCATCACACAAGGATCGTATTTTCTTAATTCGAGGAATCCATCAACGGCCAAGTTCAGAGAGCAAAAAAGAAAGCAACGAAACTATCCCAAGTGTTGTACACATATCTCTATTTTCTGCTAAGTTCCCGTTGCGCATCTTCTACAAATTTACTTGCTCTTCTTGGTTGTAGTTGGGTTGTTGTACCATATAGACAAGTTGAGCTATATATTAAAAAAGTTGTGTTAGTCAGGCCAAAAAAACAATACGGAAAGGATAACTCACAGCAGAAGCCAAAGAGACCCAAGCAATATAAGGAATCATCAAAAGACCTACAACGACCCTGTCAACAATGCACTTTGCAACGAACTCATCACAACGACACGTACCAGCAGTCTCGTCAATCTTATGAAACTCGACCGCCGTAGCAGTAATAGTACCTAGCAAACCCAAGATGATAACACCACCAAGATCAGCTCTGTGCATTCCAAAAAAGACTGGAGACCACACCCAGTTCAAGCCGAGCTGGGTAGCGTAGAGAGCGAGAGGGAGAGTTGGATCGATTGAAGGTGATTCCGAGATGACGTCGTAGATTCGGAAGGATGCGTAGCCCATGCTAGCGTATAACTATGGTATAAGGGGTGTTAGTTGCTGGTTGATGGATGTTTGTAGGATGAAGCAGCAAGGGCACTGACAAAGGTCCAGACAGGTGGGAATAGGTAGTTTGGAGGAGTCCAACTATAAGAGCAAAAAACCGTCAGTACGGCCTCGTTTTATGCTGTGCTGTCACAATCCAAAGACACGACACATGTCAAGGAAGCAAACTCGATCGCATTCAAACATTGTTATAGAAATACAGCAAATCAACATGTCAGCGATGACATCTCATGCATCGTCACAACGAGACATGAGGTGGAATGAGCAACAAATCACGGGTGCGAATATGTCGACTTACGAAGGCTTCTTCAACGATTGATACCATCCGTCCTTTTTAAGTTGAGGCTGAGTGGCCATAGCTAATGAATGGATACGAGTTAGACATTGTTTGCATCTACAGATGGCAGCATTAAACCTCGTTGAAACTTGCCACGTACTAGCAGGTAGAGCCCCGACGAATGGGATTGCAATAGCAATGATCAAGGACAATGGTCTGTTTCCTAGCAGCGTAGTCATCGTATCTATTTAGCCTATTTATTTTAGGTGGAATGTCAAATGTTTGATGCTTCAGGAGGCCGCAGGAATCGCCGAGAAAAGCAGCTCAGAACCAGGAGCGATGTACAGTACATGACATGTACTGACGCAAAAAGTAGATATAATTCAATATTCCAATATTATCAAAATTATAAAATTTATCAATATCCTAGCCTGAATCATCGAGAGCCTCATACAGAATTCGAGTCTTATACCTTGAAAAACAGAGTATAAGCAGTACAATAATTCTAGAATGCATCTCGACGCGTCAAATCATTGCCAAATCTTGAATCTATGCTTATATCACGTCCTTGTTTACATTTGCTCGTGCACTGGACCCCTGTTGTCTGCTTCATGATTTTTTCAATCGACTCATCGATTCACACCATCCAAACATCCAAACAAGCACAATGCTATTTCCACTAGTAAAGGGAGTAGATCTCCACTGGTATGTCACTGTGTTATACTGTTTGGCTTTATTACTACTGTTTTCATGGATGGATTCATTGTATGCATCGATTCTTTTATCGTTGCATTTGGAATTGTGTTGAACTTAATACGTTTGTTCAAGCACCTTCAAATATTCCCATCATGACATCTACACATGATGGATGCAATCCCATCCACTCCTACATTTTTACAATGCTTGGTTTATGAATCGTTCCATCATCCAATATTCCTCCTTTCATCATTTTTAGGCTCTACTCCTAAGGCTCGTGGCTCAAGTCCTTCATCCATCTACACTACGACATCCCCTATGAGGTCATAATATTTTTTGCTTTTGTCTTGTGCGTGTTGCTCCCAACATTGTACTAATTTACAAGCCACAATCAAAAAGTATTGGAACTCATTGGGATTTTGTAAGATGGATGTATCATTTGAACTGTATGTGGGATTACAAGTCGCACTATGAGGTCTAAATAATCTTTGATTCCTCTTTTGCGGTTGAATGTACTATACATTCAACTTGTAAGCAAAGAGTCATCAAAGTGTTGTTGGTCCTCATTGTGCGCAGCCCATCTACATTCAACAAAAGGCAGCGAGTTGGTGGTATAGCTATTTGGTATGAGCTATCTCTCTTACGTCTGGAGGCATACTCTGTATGTGTTCTCACGTCGGCACATACTCTGTATGTGTTCTCACATCGGCATCACGATCACGCTCTGTTGTCTATGAGGTCATATTAAATTCTTGATTCCGGAGTGTGTCTGTTAAACACGTCGACATCAGGAGTTTGTTTGTCTCATTGAACACATGAAGGGGAGGAGTCGTCATTGTATGTTGGCCGTGTCTGAGAATGCGAGTCGCCATGAAGTAATGTTTTGTGTGATTAAACTTGTATCTCATAATTTACAATATGAACATCATAGTCCCATGCTCTGACTTGGCGTTGCATGCTGGATTTTTATTTTTTTGCTTGCGCCAATCATCGCGATGAAAGTCGCATCTGACACGCCTGAAAAAGAATCTATGCGCACTCGTGTCGCATCTTCAAGCTCAATCGTATCGTTGTCGCCTTAAAACCAACATGATCCTCTCCGCCGTTGCTCAAAATGGTTGCTCGCTCAACTGCAACTTTTCACAAAACACCGCAAAAGACACTAGCTCATAGCAAAGCAGTTAAAGCAGATAGAGATCCAATAGTCAAGCCTACGCTGAGAGTCATCACTGCCAGGAAGCATATAGTAATGTAAGTTGCCCATCTATGAAAGCTACAGAGTCTCTTTGAATGTCCGAACATTGTCATGAAACATCAAACAGGACCATACAACTCACACCCATTACTCTATCCAGATGGCAACCAAATCCAACCCCCCAAAAGTCCGCAAAATCGCCGTCCTAGGCTCTCGCAGCGTCGGCAAGTCCTCCCTAATCCTTCAATTCGTCGAAAACCAATTCCAAGAATTCTACTATCCCACAATCGAAAACACATTTACCAAAATCGTCAAAATCCGAGGCCAGGAATTCGCATGTGAGATAATCGATACCGCAGGACAAGACGAATTCAGCATCTTGAACTCTCGTCATGCTGTCGGAATCCACGGATATGTCCTCGTATACAGTATCGCTTCAAAGACGAGTTTTGAAATGTGCAAGGTTATCAGGGACAAGATTCTGACGTACACGGGAATCAATTGGGTGCCTGTTGTGCTGGTGGGTAATAAATCGGATTTGGGGGCTCAGAGACAGATTACGCTTGATGAGGCGACCAGACAGGCTAGTGCGTGGAATTGTGCGATTATTGAGAGTAGTGCCAAGTTGAATCAGAATACAAACAAGATATTTGAGATGATGCTCGGGGAGATTGAGAAGCAGAGTGGGGAGAGTAGTGAGCCCAAGTCGAATTGTGTTATATTGTAAAGAGGGGGGTGTTGGTGATGTGAGAGATACGTGTACAAGTAGTTGTGTTGATGGTGAGCATATATCTATCGTTAGGATTGGTTGGGTTTTAGCTATCAAGCTAAATTGACGAGATGGAGTCGCATATTTTTTAGCATAATCATAGTAGCATTATAGCATTAGTTGGGATTGATGGTCTGATTGTGTCTCGTTTATAAGGTATATGGTTTCGTGTAAACCGTATGAATAGTAGTTATTAGCCTCATGTCTTTTCTAAAACACATAGTGATGATCATGTATGAATTGATAATCCCCAAAATATAAACTCTGTCTTTGTTAACACCAACTGTGTTGTGTAATCTTTTATTGGTACTATAACTACTATACTAATGTTGTTGTGGTATCATATTTTAAAACAGTAAATTAAAAGAGAAGAGGTAACGAGAGTCCAAAATGTGTCATAATCTAAAAGAGTCCATTGTCTTGCAGGCACCATCTCTAACACTTGATTGGCCCACGAATAGCAGACGGTATCGAGCATCCACCTTCCGAGCAAGCCTGCAGACGGTAATAATAAGTAACTCCACAAGTAGCACCATAATCATTATAAATGGTGCTTCCAGAAGGCACATTGTCCGTTATCCCACTAGCAACAACCGTAAACGGCCCAGACGCATTCAAACCCCTCTGCAACTGATACGTCTGAGCACCGGGCGAACCCCTCCACTTCATATTCCTAGGACTGGAGCTCGTGATACTGAGATCAGGTGCGTCAGGTACAGGCAGGGTCTGGAAACTAGTACCGGTAATCCAGCGCGACCAGTTACGGAGCATGCTCATGACATCGATTTCATCGAAGGGTGACGAATTGGATGTTGCGAAACCGGGGAAGTGGTAGGAGAGGTACCCGTTGCCTTCGGAATGGACATACCAGCCTCCGTCACGGGAATGGAAGTTCATGTTCCAGATCATGGTTGCGGTGACGCCATTGTTGGTTGCGGCAGAATTGAGATTGTCGTAGGATTGCTTGTCTGCGAAACCGTACTCGCCGACGATGAAGGGCTTGCCGGCGGAGCGGACTATGGCGACGTCACGGAGGGCACGGTTGGCGTAGTCGGTTGGGCCCTACGATGAGAGTTTGAGTTAGGGGCCTGTTTGTTGGGCAAAAAATACTTCCCAATAATGTATAACAGCAACAAAATAGCTCATATCAACCACCTCTAGTACTTACTTGAGAGCTATAATAATGATTATTGAAAATGTCAACACAAGCATCACTTAATACACCTTGTTGGAGCATGTATTGCCATTTAGAAATTGAAGGGTTTGGCCATGATCCATCAGTGTTTTGAAGTCCGTATTCACCACCAATGGTACCGTCAAGAATCAAATGATTTGGGTCACCAGCGACGGTTTTGATGTATCGAGCAATTCCTTTAGTCCATGCTGGAGGTGTGATTTGGTTCCATCCTGCTGCTTCATTACCGAGTTCCCAAGCAAGGATTGCTGGGTCGTCTGTCGAGGAGAAAGGGGGAGAGTGTGTGTTACATGGTGTGTTTTAGTGTTGTTGGGGAATACCAAAAAAGGGAACAGTAAAATGTTCTTTGTGGCATTATGCTCAAGATATTTCTTCCTTCACTACTCACCACCATATCGAAGTCCACTAACAGTATTCTTCCTATTAACAATCCACTTCAAGAAATTCTTAAACTCGGCAATTGCATCAGCATCAGTATAGAAATCCATGGATTTAGCAGTCCACCCCTGCTTGGCAGGAATCGTATTCCATACAGATTGAACGAAATCAGCACAGCCACCCCTCCACCACCACCAATCGATAAGACCAATGATTAGTTTGACTTTGAGGAAGTTGGCGGTTGCGATTGTCGAGTCGAGGGATTGGAAGAGGGCTTCATTGTATTTGCCGGGACCTTGCCAGTGGAAAGTAGATATGTCGCCGGTTGGGTTTACGGAGTTGTAGATACTAGAGGAAAATGAAAGTGAGAAAAAAGGTAGTGATGGATGTGACAGCACTTGTTTCAAACACATTTACCTGAATTCGTAGATACGAGCGACACGACCACCCATAACTGATACAGCTTTGAGAGCATCCCAAGCTTCATATGGAGTGACGGTTGTTTGAGCATATCCAGGTCGATCTACATAAGTACATGTAAGCAACACAAAAAAACCCCACCATCAGAAGCTGTCCATAACTATAAAGCGTTCCATGGCATTACCAATCAATTGACCCAAATCCATAACATTAACAGAAGCCCATTTGAAAATTTGTCCATTCTGTTTCAAGTCAGCACCATCACGGTATACCCAATCGGTACCGTTCTGGGTACGACAACCACATGGACAAGATGTAGCTGCTTGTGCTATACCCTATATGTGAGATATAGACGCGTTAGAAAACACGTGTTTGATTGCTTGATGCCTGCATCAGAAATGCCAAGAAATGGTATATGTGATGCATTGCCAAAGCACGTACCGCAGCACCGAGCATGACTGCTGCGACGTGTAACAGTCGCATTCCTTTCATATAAATAGATAGGGGTAATAAATTTGATTTGTTGATTTGTTTGTTGTTGAGATTGCGACAAACAAGATTTGCTGCCTTTATTTGGAGAGTGTAGAGGAGAAAAAGCACTCTGTGATCCGAAGGGGGAGAATTTACACGCTTCGAGTAGTTCTGGAAGGGATTCTAGCAGTGCTGCGCGCATTGATTGGGAGTGTTGAAAGTTTGTCGTGGTGGGTATTTGAGAGGGTGGGAGAGCGTGTCGCTACTAACTGTTGCATACTTCCCTACAGTTGGAAACATATGTTAGTACGTATATGAAATAAAATCCGTGTCTTTCAATGCAAGTCTTGGTTCAATGCCTTAGCTTCCCCTTAATTTCACAAAACCCAAAGACGCAACTTAAAATGCTCAAGACAATACAAGATATAAACAACTTTGAATACCCTCCAGCAGACGGATGTGGGCTTCCACTCACAATAAACAATCAGCCCATTGGATTCATACGCAGTTCTATAATCCAGCACTTGCCAAGCTCTATCTTCAAAATCCACGCCGACAAAATCGAGTTTGCCGATGTAGCAGATAAGACATCGGCCGTTGCAGATTTACTATCTATATGGCGTGCATCCACTGCCAGTATTCCGGAATTCCAGTGCTTGAAAGGATGGAGGAATGAGGTTTACGCTGTGTATGAGAACGATGGGAGTGTAGTGTTTGGTGTTGAGCGAGCTGCTCAAGGGTTATTTGGAATACGGAGCTATGGATGCCATCTGAATGGATATGTACGTGATTTGGCTGATGGGAGTATAAAGATGTGGATTGCAAAAAGGAGTTTGCAGAAGCAGACGTGGCCAGGTTATTTGGATAATATAGTAGGAGGTAAGCTACGTGAATGTGGTTGAAATGTAGTGTTGCCGATGCTCAGAAACTACTATGTTCTACTGGGCTTTTTTTGGCCGTGTCATCACAACTGTTCAACTCACACCTTCAAACATTATTATACTAGGAGGGCTACCAGCCGGCGCATCTCCAACAGCAAACATGATCAAAGAATGTGCTGAAGAAGCCAGCATACCAGGACACATAGCAAGCAAATGCATCCCTGTATCATCCATATCCTATTTCGCAAACTCACCGTCTCGTGGGCTCTTGCCGGACACGGAATACATATACGATCTAGAACTAACAGCGGACTTTATACCTAAACCGTCAGATGGAGAAGTAGACTCTTTTTATCTGTGGGATTTGGAAACGATTGCTAGACATGTCGTGGATGGTAAATTCATGCCAGAGAGCGGATGTGTCGTGATTGATTTTTTGGTGAGGCATGGACATGTTACGCCAGAGAATGAGGTGGATTATTTGGATATTGTGACAGAGTTGAGGAGGAAGTTGCCGTTCCCTGGGCCAAAATATAAATAGATCCGTTTAGATGATATATATCACACTTGTATTTTGAAAAGATACTTTCTATAGACTAGAATTTTGGGTGCAAATTACAGTTTAAGTTTTTTTTATGGCATCTGATGCCAGTTTGGATTTAATGTCTCGAGCGTCTTCTTTTGCTTCACGCTCTAGTCTCCATGTTTCCCCATATACCCAGAGCAGGCCGCTAAAATAACATGAATATAGTTGAGACAATGAAGCTGCTGTGCTCAAGAAATCTGAAAATACTTACAATAATGGAAGAGTGGTTATAATTAAGAACCCAAGGAAGGCATACGTAGCTCCTTCTCCAAAGGTATTGATTGCAGGTTGAATCAACACAGTTGCTATAGCTCCAAGCAGACCCCGAGACAGGTTCTGCGCTGCCATGACAGAAGCAGTCTAAAAATCATTCACAGAGAAAGCAAGTTAGCAAAGCGACAACTCCATACTGCCTGGCGTGATCACCAATGTGACCATATACAATACTCACACGGCCCGGAAACAAGTCCACCTGAAGCGTTCCAAAGGAGTTGGACGAAGCAGCAATACCAAAACCCATGGTAAACTGAATTATCAATGCAGCATACAGCGGTGCTCTAGACTGCAACACAAATCCGTAACTTATAGCACTCAATACCACAATCATAAGTGGAAACCAAGCCAGCTTCAACCTCGTCCTCTCAATATTCATCGATACACCTTTGGCAAGCTTCTTCTTCTCAATGGCATATACTTTGTCCATGAGATATCCATTTAGATACGAGCCGAGGATGTTACCTGTTCCATTAGCAATATACGAAAGCCCGATTTGGAATTCGGAGAGGTGGTATAGTCTGGTGTATTGTATGCTCATTGGGACGATTAGGCTCATGAAGACAATAAAGACAGAGCCGGATATTGCTTGAATACAGATGACCTCTTTGTCGAGAAGCATCTTGGCGGGTGCGAGTGGGTTTGGGAGTTTGACTGTTGAGTGAAAGTCGGGTTGCGTTAGAAGCTTTCAAAGAGGCTGACGCAGGTTCGTTTTTACCTTTACGTGGTGGCCCGACATCAGACGCAGGTTTTGATAATATTGACGGGGTTTTGAAGACCTTGCGGTACATTATGTCGAATGGTGCTTCTGAGCCCCCCGTTCTAGCCACAACGTCTTTGAGCGTTTCTGGTAGTAGCAGGAATACAGAGACCCAAACCAGAACTCCCCATATGGCGAGGAAGAAGAAGATGGAGCGCCAGCCGTAAAACTCGGAAAGTACACCTCCAATCGTTGGACCTGAGAGCAAAAAATGTTTGCGATGAACGATGCTTCGAACATACGACAAGTCGCTATGTCTTACCGAGTACCGGTCCTAAAAAGATTGTAGCGCTGAATGTCCCCATATAGGTCCCTCGTTCTTGTCGAGTTGTGATATCTCCGATAGTCCCAGCTCCCACTAGTTCATATGGGAAAATCAGTATGTAGAAACAAAAACAGGCGACGAAGAGGTTCACAAAAACGTTTTTAGTTTTACCCGCAACCAGAGCACTAGAACCAAAAGCCTGCACCACTCGCATGCACACGAGCATAGCAAAGTTCTGCGTGAATCCTAGCCCGACACATGCAACTACAAACACGACCTATGTTTGGTTGATGTTAGCAAAGGCAATCATTGACTGGGAATGCTAATTGGATTCATACCAAACAGATCAAATATATAGGTCTCCTTCCATAAGCATCAGATAATGATCCCCAAAGCGATGGAACTAGCGCAACAAAGACAAGGAACACAGCGACAGACAAGTTCACCATTTCTGCTGATAGTGACAGATCTTCAGAGATCTGATCTAATGCAGGAAGATATGCATTGCCGGATAACGGGGGGAGAAGCGCACACATTGCTGCCAGGCCCACGACCTAAAGCCCAAAAAAACGTTTCAATGTTTAGATGTGATCAGAACCCAAATCAGCGATCAGAGAGTACGCTTCGTCCAATAACATACCAATATCTTCCTTGGTCTAGTCCACAGCCCATTCATGTTAGCCATTTCTTGCATGGTGGTAACTCGTGGAAATGATGTCGACGCAACTGGTGCATCCGATCCTTCATCCTCAAGGTCAAGATCCTTGTTTTCAATGGTACTCAATGACAAGTCCACTACGGACACATTAGACGTCCGCCTTAAGTCTATAGGTGTTTTCTCTGCTAGGGCCCCAGATGCGACCAACAGATTTTCCACGGAATTTGGGTTTGGCGTTAGAGTGGATGTAGACGAGTCTGATGGAGGTGGTGATGGATCTGACATGTTGGAGCTGACTCCGCTTCAGTCCGTCTATGGTTTGTTCAAGGAAGGATGTTTGGTATGGAAGCTCACGTTTTGTGATTGAGTTAGAAAAACGACGAGATGCGCAGGTTGGAGTGGTTTGATTCTAACCGCAAGGGACGATCAGCGGTCTGTTCTTATAGTGCTACAGATTCCTAGTCCGTGTCAGAGCGATCGCCGTAATAGAAATGTTGCAAACCCCTGGAGGACAGCAAACGTTGCAATTGTTCTGAGTGAGATCATTGGTTTTCGAAGCATTACGAGACTATTGCATCGTATGAATTACATATATACCTACTTCCATCATATATGCATACCTGCTCAACAGCCATAGCCACACATCAAACAGCCAAACAGCAATCCGACAATCTTTCGATTCCTGAGCCAGACACGGTGTTTGATTTTTCACAGGTCGTGAATAGGGGCACGTTTAGATTCGTGTCGATTTGGCTTTCATATAGGTATCCGTCCACTAGTTCTCGTAAGGGTGTCTCTGTACTGACTCATTCAAGTGTTTTTGCATGTGCGTTTGGTGGGTCCAATTCGTTTTTCAAACTTTGGTCTTTTGGGGCTTCCCATGGGGAAGTTGGGCATTAATATAGGCAATCACTTCTAAAATAACGCGATATCTCATCTTTCTTAATCCACAAACTAGTGTTTCTATGAAGGAATCATGGAATCAACAGGGTCTGTAGCCACTGTAGTTCACGTTAAACCATCATCAACCCCTGTCAAGGCATCTGCTAGCTCCAAAGCCGATTATGTACAGTCACAATCATCTGGAAATACCGAAACCGTGCCGCAGACACCACAGTTGATTCCAGTCAAGGACTTTATTGCCATCCACAACATTGGCACAAACATTGATGGCAAGGCTACTGTCGTTGAAGAGAGTCTAGCTCAACGATCTGCAAGTATAGATTTACTACGGCGAGCTAATGTCGGCCAAAAGGATTGGCAGATGACGGAGGACGTGCTAGCTCCAAAGATCAAATTGTCCAAACAGGCTGCTGAACTTGTCAAGGAGTATGAAGCTAAACCGCTTGTTATTGACACCTCTGTGACAGCACCACCGATACTGCAACAACCTACTGTGGGCGATACGCCGTATTACCGAGTCAAGGAGGAGTTACTGACTGGGAAGGGCAGTATAACTGCACCAGAGTCACCAGCTCCGTCGTTAACGAGACCAGCTCTATCTACCTCTCTTGGCGTCCTGGCTCCACTGGAGAGATCACGTATACATGTGTCACAGTTGGAGCTACCGCCTCAACTGGCAGAAAGTGATAGTAAAATACACAACTCTCCGCAACCAGCAACAACCAACTCATCGGCATCAACAACAGTAATACCATCATCAGACCCATCACCCATAATACCAAACACACCCGCCCCAACAGAAGCATCTAATATCTCTATACCCCCAACAACCATACCATCACTTAGTCTAGAAGCTGCTATAGCAGCCGCAGCAGTAGTATCTGGCACGTCAACAACAACGTCGACACCTATACGATCAACGCAACGGTGGTCTAGATCTATTACAGAAGCATTCTCGGGTACACCAACAACCGAGTCCATGCGAGATCCATTCTTGCCTGTACCGTCAACACCATCGTCGTTAACTGCCACGTCAGAGGAAAGCGCTGTAGATGAAGAAGCACTGCTGAAGGAGCATTTGGAGCTTGTGTCGGAAGCGTACAGACTGATGCTTGGTGGACAGGAACGGACGAGTGTTGGTGATCATACTGAGGCAAGTCATTTTAAAGCTGTAGCGTCGCTTTTTTTGGCGTGGATAAAACACTGTGAAATGTAAAGGTGTTCTGACGCATCATTAATTCTAACCGCAGGTACCTGGTAAACCATCATCACAAGAGCTTCAGTTTATCAGATTGCTGAATTCCCAGGACACGTATCGATTATCGCTGAGATTATCGACCATCGGTGTAGAACTGTCTTCTCCTAGATCGTCGAGACAGTCGATAGTGTTTGATAAGCTGTATCATGAGTATGGTCCTAAAGTAGTAGAGTGGTGAGTCTTTCGAAAGAATCCAATCCCAATTTTGCTGTTCTTTTTTTCTCTTATTTGGACAGCTCTACCTCAAAGTGCTAACCAACCACATCAACAATAGGATTTGTACAGTAATAAACCAACCACCAGGCTCTGTAGAAAAAGACCTCCTCAAACTCTTACGCTCAGGAGACAAGCTCTGTGAACTAATCGTTGCCATGTACCCACGCACTGAATGCACACTCCTCGGCAAAGGCCCCGAATTCACAGTCCATAAAATAATCTTTTTTATGGAATTCAGCAAAACACTGAGAGTCAGACCCGATAGAATATTTGCCGTGACGGATTTATTAGAAGATGACACAACATATAGAGGTGGTGTCGCTGTAATTAGGACGATAGCTGCGTTAGTGAAGGCTGCACATGGACAAGGGTGGGAGGGGCCAGTGCTGGTTTTGCATCCTGCGTCAGAGAGGATATCGATTATTGATGGACCGACAGATGATGGTGATACTTTGACGCGGTTGTCGAATAATAATCGGTCGTCGTTGAATGTTGCTGGTGGAGCGTCTGCAGTTGGAGGAGGTCAGACGGAAGCTTTATCAACACCATTTTTAGGATCCAAAGTTGCGTCATCGTCAGGACTTCCACCGATATCACCACCCTTTACACCGCCCACGTATACCATACCATTATCAGATTCACCGAGACCGACAGCAAGTCACATGCAAGCAGGCTCGAATCGTAGCCCATCACTAGACCTGTTTGAACGCATGGGGCTGTTTATAGGACGACGATCCACGGACTGGCATCGTGCAGCACCTAGTTCAACTCCCATCCCAGCTGTCCCCAAACGCCATGGTATATTTGGACGTCGACATGAACAAGATGGCATAAGTGTTGAGTCTAGATCTCGACCTGGCTTTTTAGCACGATTGTTTGGACGACATGATGATTCTGCTGGTCGGCATGAGCCATCTGTACATAGTAGTAGTGCACAACAAAGTACAGCTTACAGTAGTTTAAGTCGCTCAAGATCCACGAGTAATAAACTAATCATGCTGTCACCTGGCATGGCATCACGGTCTGCGATGTCACTTGATTTGCCTCGTGATACCCCACCGCTGCCTTCCATACTTCAGCTTAAAGGTGGACGGCCACGTAAGGCGTCAATGGTGACGGTACTAGAAGAGCCTATAAATAGAATAGATGATGGTGATAAAGATGAAGGGGAAGCTGCAATAGTAGATCTAGATAAAGCTCTAAACAAAGACTCTGATTCGCTCGGACGGCATAGTAAAAATCCAGATAGTGTAGAGTCGTGGGTGAGATCTGTTAATCAGGAGGCAACCACACATGAAGAGGACGATGGTCATCCTCATAGTGGAGTTACTGGATTGGGAGTGACGAATACGCGAGTATCTCAAGATTGGGAGAGCGAGCAGTCTGTGCCAATGCCTGGGAATTCGAATCCGTTTGTTGCTGGAAGTGAAAAGTTTATTAGTGATGAGGAAGCCAATAAGGAGTGGGAGGAAATGAGCTCGCAGGTTGCGAGTTTGTGGAGGACGAGACAGTCTGATGCGCTGACTGAGTATATAGCTAATGAGGCATGTGTGGATTGTAGTTCATGGATCTAGATAGCAAATTCCTTTTTTTTTTGTTATGCTAACACACCTTCTTTTTAACAGAGTCAACACATAAAAGGCATCCTAATCCCACTCGAGACATTCTACAAAACAACACTCTACAAAGAGGTTGCCAAACTCCTCTCCGACATCCTCTCCTTCCACAAATCCCTCGTAAACGACCTGACACGTATAAGCCAACCATCCCAACCAAAACCATCCACAACAGCAGCCCTCCTAAACAACAAACCAGGCGCCATTTTCCTCAAATTCACCGAATCCGTATCGAAATCGTATACTTTGTATGCCATGGCTATCAAACCGTTTAAATCGAAAACGATACTTGTTGCTGGTATCGTCAAGACACCACCCGTATCGAATTACGCACCGCTGGAGAGACTAAAGGTGTATGAGAGCATGTGGGATAATATACGGAATGTGAGACCCAGACGAGATAGTGACGGGAGTGGAAGGGGGGAAGGGGATGTAGATGCTGAGATTGATGAGTTTAGATGGATGAGTGCGAGTAATAAGATTGCGGCGTTGAGTGATGGGGTTCAGACGTTGGTCAACAGTTAGAACGAGATGGGTTGTAGAGGTTGAGGGTGATCAACAGTAGGACGGAACCGGTATACCAAACTAATGAATGACCAGGACAGTAATAAGAAAAGTAAATTAAAGTGTTTCCGTTAATTTGCTGTTTTTCTCATCCTAAAGGTTTACACATATAATAATATCTATATGACAACAACCAAAAAATTGTGAACTAGCGGACTTTGGATTACGCGTATCTGGTACATCCCACTCCATAAGTATAAATAGACCCATCACCAGGAATAACCAATTAAAGGGAATCTCATTCAAGTCTTGCATCCCTGACGCAAGGATGGAAACTGGTCATTGCATCTTCAGATACTCGAGGATTTATACGTACAAGTATGAGATCAGGCATGCCCGAGAGCCCTGCTTGGATACCATCACGGATGCCTGCTATAAGGTTTCCGTTTCTATTTGTTGGAATTGGTGAAGCAAAAAACAAACTAGCAGTATGTATTACGACATATGCTTCCGCACCAATACTAGTGGTGCATCTTCGTTCTCATTGACGTCAAAAAAGATTTCGTTGCTTGCGTTTTTGGTTTGCAGACCGGCAAGGGACGTTTGATGTGGCACCACTTGGGATCTTGGTTCCCGTCCTAGGTAGTTCAAGAGTTCAGTAATATAATTCAGTGCAACTTGATTGTTTCGTGTGCTCTTGTCTTGAAACTTACGTCGTGCCTATGGATACAGCATTGGTGACAAAAGATAATAGTGATAGTTGTGGTATGAGAGCTTTGAGAATGTTGGTTCATTGACGTGAGGAGTTTTATAGCCAACCATTTCCTCTAGTAGCTGAGTGCATTGCGTTGAAAGGAAGCATCTACTGTTATACATAGTTTGTAATTCCGGTTTTTTTTGCAACATCCAACGAAGATACATCAAAGACAAAACTCTTGGTACCTCATAGAAAATGAAAGTCCTCCATAAGTAGTGGCTCTGATACACCACCAATGTAGCGGACTCGAATATCAACAGTCTATGAAAGATTTCATGGAACGTTGATAGGGGAACTATTTTGAGAAATATGACATGTAGCTCCCAAAGTGCAATAAAAACCCGACCAAGTTGTACGATGATACATCAAATTATCATAACCTCAAGAGCAACAGCAGACAAGCCATTCCTCGAAATTCATCTACTAAGTGTCCAATAACGACGCCATTCCAGTAGTTTTTGATGACTTTCTTAGTTTGTTGGTGATGTTAGTGAATTAGTAATTGGGATGACCTTGGAGGTGACCTGAAAATACCCACCAGGCTCCAGTACAGACAGGGTGTCAATCGTAGCTGTAGACGGAGTCGTTCGTGTGTTGAGCTCGATGGAAACCGAAAGTTGACACAACGACAATTGGGGATAGAGAGCCAAATTATATCTATATTACAACAGACTGTTGTCTTTGTTACATCCGTATTTGATACCTCCCACTCCTTGTTACCATCCTAACACCTTTATAAGGTTTGTAACTCTCATGATGAACATGCAGAGCATCGATTTTGAGGCCAGAGACAGTAGACATGTTGACTTTAAAGTCAACGAATACGCTATGTATTTCTGGGATTGTTTCTTCTCTGTGAAACGAGGTATTGGTTGGTCAACTATTGCGGCTTTTTTTGGCACTAAAAGGACGTAAGATTTTGAAAGACTTACGACGGCTCGACAGTAAGAATACCATTCAGCATGGGAATCCCCAGACTTTGTAAATCTGGACTGATTTTACCGATATTCCATCGCACCATCTTTTTGAAACAAGGCTGGTGAGATTCACCACAAAAAAGAGCTGTTTGTGGGAGATTGGCTTTACCTTACTAATTGTATCATACATTGCGCTTCCTTGACTTGTAGTCAACCGTGCAGACGATACGTGTTTGGGGAGAGTCACTAGCACAGATACGGATTCGATTACTTTTCCTGCTGCTGCGCGTGGTTGGATTGATATGTCTAGTTTGCCTGTGGATGCAAAAAATAGGATTAGTTTGATGATGGACCAAAAACAACGAAAGTAAACGACTACACCATCTCCGGGAAACAAAATTTACTCCAGATCTGTACATACCACTAATTTTGGATATAGAAAGATTTGGTTTGATGTAGAATGGTAGAGCACTTGCATTTGCCAATGTAATCCTAAGCCGACACAAAACGCAAATTTCGAAAGTAAGCATATCGCCCAAATCACGACCGGATATCACCCAACACCAGCAGCTGCAACTCACGTATACTCCATAAGCTTAAAAGACCCATCAGGAGGAATAAACGATAGCTGTTTATCTCGTTCAAACCTGGCATACCTGACACAAGGATGGAAACTCGTCATTGCATCTTCAAATACCCGAGGATTCATGAATGTTAGTATGAGATCAGGCATTCCAGAGAGTCGCGATTGGGCTTGGATTTCGCCACGTATGTCTGCTGTTATTAGGTTGCCGTTTCTGCATGTGGGTGTTGGTAAAAAAAAAGCTGTATTTTGTCTTGTGGAATGCGATGTGACTCGTACCTATCTAGTAGTGCATCAACGTCTTCATTGACGTCAAAGAAAATTTCATTGTTTGCGTATTTGATGTTTGCCGAGCGCCATGGGACGCTTGATACTGCACCACTTGGCATCTTGGTTCCCGTCCTAAGTAGTTTGGGAGATAAGTGAGTATGCTACAGACGAATTGCACCGTTTTTTTTGGCACTCCGGACAAACTAGCAGGCTACTCACGTTGTCCCTATCGATACAGCATTGATGACAGAGGACAATAGTGATGGTGGTGGTATAAGATCTTTGAGAATATTTGGTTCAGTGACGTGAGGAGTTCCATAGTCGACCATTTCCTCTAGTAACTATATATATTGGGGTTGAAGAAACATGGTTGTTATGTGCTGTTCAACAGTTTCCTCTTTTTCTTTGCAGCAACGCGTCACGCAGACACGTCCAAGACAGGACCATTACCTCATAGACAATAACAAAGTTTTCCTTGATGAGTGGTTCGGATACACCGCCAAAGTAGTCGACTAGGATATCCACCATTCTGTGCAAGAATTCGAGGACTGACAATGGTGGAACTAGTAACGAAGAAGTAAGTCGAGTAGTTCTAAACTGCAAAGAAACCAACGATAAAACAGATCCATGTATCCAAGTGATATACCTTCATGAGCAACGACAGCAAGAAAGAACAAGTCATTCCTCCAGATGTGGAGCAAATAGTGTTTTGCGACAGCGATTACGGGACAAACGTCTTCTATAGTACCGGCCTTCTTGACAATAGACCAGAATTCATCTACGACGCGTCGGGATACGACGCTCTTCCAGTGTTTTTCGATGATTACTCGCCTAATATGTTGAATGATAAAGATGATAGAACACAAGGCTTAAAGAAAGATCAAGAGATAGTCAAATACCCAGCAGGCTCTAATATAAACAGACTATCAATCATCGCTTTACACGGTGTCCCCTATGTTTGATTTTTGCTTGAGAGAAAGTTTGGACAATGACAATGTGAGCTAGCGGCAAGGGAAGGATCTCATTACGCGTCAAGCTAATTCCATTCATAATTTCATAATATTTGACAAGTAGTGACGGTATGAGATCCTCTATGAGATCTTTGGAAACTACTTCAAATTATATGAGATTCAATTACACGCTTTTTTGACATCGTTCATGTCATAGAAATGTCGCTGTTTTCAGTGTATAAGGAGATATTGCCGGCCACGGGAGTGGACATAGCAGTGACAGCCAGCTTCACCAGTCCGCGTGCTGTCAATCTGATTATTGCCAAAGCTTCCATCTTGCAAATATTCAACATTGTCTCGGAAGCCGCTCCTGAAACCGTCAAGGGAAACATCATCCAGCATAAAATCATACTCAAACAGGAAGAACAAGTCAAGGTATGATATATGCATTGGCTGTGTCGTAACAGTGATGTTTGGTGTTGAACATTTTGAAGCAGTTTGAACTTTTCGAATGTTGGATGATGCAAATGGTTTGATGCAAGGGGTCACAACAGAATCCATGCTCCTTTCATTGTATTGTGATGGGTAACAATAAGAATATACATGGAATCCAACCTTACAACCATCAAAGAATTCGTTGCCAAAAAACATGTTATACCATCCTGTTGCAATGATTGCACTTGTTGAACGTGTCGTCGTCTTTCTTTAGGACGATGGCGAGGTCCCAGTCATTCCTCTACCACATCCATCCAAGACAAGTCGTCCAAGGAACGCTGGTAGGCTCGAACTACACAGTCAACATCGACTCAATGGTGTCATTACTTCTATTGGTGTGTTGAGAACTACCAGTCCATCTGGAATGATGGGAATGGATTCCCTGCTTCTTAGTTTCCGTGATGCAAAGGTAAGCAGTTGTCGGTGTGTGGACCTAGTCAATGGACTGCCAAAATTGCTTACTTTCTTTACAACAAAAAAAAACCCGCACAAATCATGCTGCAGATGTCTTTGGTCGAGTTCTCAATGTCGCGACAAACACTTACGACTGTCTCGATACACTACTTTGAACGAGAAGAGTTTAGGGTAAAACTTCGCAATTGCTCCAGCCACGTCAGCATTCCTTCAAACTTACACTACACCAAATACGTATAGCAAGGAGCAATTTTAGAACGTCCAGATCCTGAAATACGCATGGACCCACAGTTTCGCTGTGCTATAATGTCCTTTTACGGGGACAAGCTTGCCATACTACCATTCAAAACTGATACTAGTGGTGCAACAGAGAATGATGTTGATGCTAAAGGGTGTGAATGTTCATCATGCAGAAATCTTCCTGGGGGGTTTTTTCCGCAATCTAATCTCGTCCTTTAATGATATAGGAACAAGAATCCCGTCCTGCCAAGTTTTGTGATTCCAATGTCATCTATTGATCCACAAGTCAAACACGTTGTTGATATGGTCTTTCTGTACAATTACTTTGAACCTACTCTGGCTATTTTGTTTGAGCCAGTGCAGACGTGGACTGGGTATGTTTATTCGTTGACTGCCACATCCACCCTTGCTTCTCTATCTTTTTTTCGCCTTTTGCTCAGCATTCATCATATTTTGTAGGCGTCTTGCAGCAAGAAGAGACACCAAATGCTTAATAGTCATATCATTGGATTTATCACGAAAACAATACCCAGTCTTGTATCGATCAGATCATTTGCCATATAATTGCGAAAAGATAACCGCAGTACCAGCTCCGGTTGGCGGTGTCATAATATCATCTCCAAATGCACTCATACACGTGGACCAATCATCAACTCCAGGTGTCGTTCTGGCCGTGAACGGATACTACGGAATGGAGAATGAATCACCACAACCACCATCCATCGAACTCGGTGGCCCACAAACATGGATTCTTGATAATCCATTACACCAATCTGTGAACATATCAGATTATAAAAAATTGGGTCTATCGCTTGACGCATCACAAATCCATTTCCTTAATCCAGATACGTTGCTAGTCGTATTACGAGATGGGAGACTCATGAATGTTCAAATGCAAGGACATGAAGATGCTGGATCCGGATGGTCTCGTAAACGTAGTGGTGTTAAGAAGTTTAAAGTCGCTGATTTAGGTATTCGTGCTACACCACCATCTACTGTAACGAGAATTGGTGGGCGTGGAGGTGGATTGGCTCGAGCATTAGGATGCTTGGGTAATGGCCTCGGAGGTGTATTTGAAGGACCACATGGACTTGTAGATTATGGACATGTATTTATAGGCTCCCAAACCGGTCAATCCATGTTGATTCAGATATGGGAGGCTGATCATCATGGATTGTCTACTTTGATTGATGATGCAGCAGATGGTGTTAATGATATGGACGCACAGGAAGATACAAAACCTCATACAAGTAGTAATATACCACAAAAGCGAAAGATGGAAACAGTAGTGTTTGATGACGAAGATGAAGATTTGTATGGTGATAGTGGTACGGCACATAAACAGCACTCATCCTCATCATCAAGGCACACCAATAAAACGAACGGAATGGCGTCATCGCACCAAACCCAACTACGCAACCGCTTCCATTTCAGACTCTGTGACATTCTCGCTGCTGTGGCACCAATCCGTGACATGGGGATTGGAGCTCCAGCAACAACATCACATTCCACCACTATACCGACCCCGAAAACCAAATACCCATATATGCCAACCAACCCACGACTAGATTTAGAAATTGTTGCTTGCGTTGGTGAAGCGCCTGCGTCTGGTGCGCTAGCTATCTTGCATAAGGGTATACGACCTGATATTGTGAATAGCTTGTCACATATTGAAGGGGTTAATGAGGTTTGGAGTGTCAAGTGTGCTAGTGCTAATAAACGAAGAGGGGAGGTTGAAGAGGAGAAGGCTGGAGAAACAAATGGTGTGGCTGGGACTGGTGATGGTAGTAATGGGATTAATGCTCATCACGTGAATGAGTTTCACAAGTTTATGGTTTTGTCAAAGGAGGATTCTACTGTGGTGAGTTTAGTTTCAACTATGGCCACTTGGGATTGCAAGATTTTGTTGGCATCTTGACCTTTTTTCTCGTCATTCAGGTATTGGAAGCAGATGCCGAGTTTCGTGAATTGACAGACTCTGGATTTTATCTGGACGGACCAACTGTGGCGGTTGGAAGTTTACTGAATGATACTGTCGTAATACAGATACATCCTGATGGTGTTAATATTCTTAATTCTGGTAAGAATTACTGGCGCAAAAGCCATCGCACCCTCCAGACGTCAAACGGAACGAAATTCCAATATCATTCCAACTTTTTTGCTTTCGATTAGCTGCCACTCTTATACAAACCATGAAAATGGGCGATGACAATAGTTGGATTGTATCAGCCAGCATCGCAGATCCATACGTCATGTTGCTCATGAACACATCCCAAGTCACCCTCCTTAAAATCGACGAACACGCTCACCCGCAGTTGAGCATTTGTAAAGAATTAAAAGATGTACCTATCGCTACAGCCAGCATGTACTGTGACTTTCACGTCATTCCTGGATTGCCGACTCAGCACGATGTGTTGTCTCACAAGTCTCGATATGGACTTGCAGCGTCCGTCGATGGTGGTTTGCTTGTAAATAATATAAATAGTAACAAGGGGAAGGGAAAGAAGGTTGTTAAATTAAATCAACCAAAACCATCCAAGAAAGTAGCAGTATCAAAACCTGTTTCAGTCAAGAACGAAATTTCCGATGACGATGATGATTTGTATGGTGATGCTCCTATGACAAGTAGTATTGCTCCGGTTTTGTCTGTCAAGGCTGAACTGGAAGAAGAAGATGATTTGTATAATCAGACTGATGATATGGATATAGATGTTATCCCGACCATAACGGAAGATAGTTTAGCTGAAATGAATGCTGAGGCGCTGGAAGATGTTATTATTGAAAAGAGGTATTGGTGTGTGTTGTTTAGAGAGGATGGATCGCTCGAAGTGAGTCTAATTGTAATTTTTTTTGCTGATGTACTGCTGAATGTTTTTCTACCTCGACGTATCGTAGATACTGAAACTTCCAGACTTTGAACAATGCTTTTATATGCCTCGGTTTGATTTATTGCCAGATGTGATATCAGACCATCCAAATGCTGTCGCAACTCCTTCAGCGGATCTACATACTGCTGCTGAAGTCAGTGAATTGTTGTTGCTGAATCTTGGTCGTGATGGATCTCATGAGGATGTGTATCTTGTTGTGAGTGCTGTAATGATAGTTGCGGATGAAAGCAGTCAGATACAAGAATTCAATATCGGTATTCACCAGCTATTTTTTTCGCTTCAAGGTACGAGCAGAAGATGGTGATATAGCCATGTACAAAACTTTCCCAGTATTACCATACGAAGATATGTCTGAACCAGTACTACAACCTAATCGAATGTTCAAGTCACCGACTTCGCCATCCACAAGTACAACAACAATACCACCACCAATCAACACTGACGATACCAGCATCATACAACCTCATCGACTATCCATCCGCCTCGTACGCATCCAACACGAACACCTATCCCGTGAACCACGATTCTACACAGACACAGACGGTGATAAACTAAATATGGTGGATCGACCAACCAAACCACCAACATTCCTCAAAAAGCATTATCTTAAGCCGTTTACGCATGTCGGTCCAGATAACGATTTAAAGTACTCTGGAGTGTTTGTTGCTGGGACACGGCCGTGTTGGATTTTTGCTGGGAGGTCTGATGCTGGTTTTACTAATACTGGGATGCAATTACTTCCGCAACTTGATCTTGTACATAAAGAAGATGAGCCTGTTGATGAGTCGATATTGGAGATGCCGCTTTATAAGACTGGTAAACGGTATCCGAGGATACATCCAATGATTTGTGATGGGGAGATATCTGGAATGGCGTCAATGCATCATGAGAATAGTCATGGTGGGTTTGTGTATATTACTAAATCGGTAAGGTTGCCATTTGATGATTCGTTGCAAAAAGCATTCAAAGTTTCTTATGGATTCTGTTCTCATTCTTTTTCGTCCTTGATAGCAATCAATAAGGATAGCCCAACTTCCCAAAACCATTGAATACGATGCGGACTGGCCACATCAACGAGTCCCACTCGCCAACAAGACGCCACATAAAATCGCGTATCATTCATCGTCTGAAACATTTGCACTCTTGACATCGACTCCGGTAGCATGGTATGCTTCAAAGGCTAATTATGCAGCTGCTATTGCTGGCGGTGTTGGTGAGATGCCTGACGATGCTCTGGATGATGATGAGAGAGCTAAGAGGAATCCACCTGTTTTGGATGAGAGAGGTATGGTATGATTCCAACTAGTTCGTTTTTTTGGGGGTGCATGGATTGAGATTCCTTTCGTCGTTTCGACATTAGATCCTGCTCTATTTTTACCGGAAATGGGTGCATATCAGTTGGAATTGGTGTCGCCTGTTACGTGGGAGACTGTTGATACGTAAGCGTTTTGGGCTTTCAAAAGATCTGGATAAATAAACGTCGCTAATGCGCCATAATTCGAATAGGTACGATTTTGAAGAATACGAACAAGTGATGTGTCTCGATGCAGTAAACATTGACAGTAAACAAACTGCTTCTGGAAAGAAACAGTATCTATGTTGTGGAACTGGTTTTGTTCGTGGTGAAGATAATGCTGGACGTGGACGAGTGAGTCTTGTTCTGTGTTCCGCTATTGTCAAGAGATGTAGTGCATTGATCGTTTCTTCGGTAGCTGTTCGTATTCGACGTAATCGAAGTCGTACCAGAATTCGACAATCCACAATCAAATCACAAATTCAAACGAGCATATGTCAATGAAGAAAAGCAACCCATTACTGCTGTACGTGGTGTTAATGGGTATTTGGTTGCTGCTGTAGGAACCAAGGTAAGCCAAAAATACGCAGATATCCTTGGGATTATAAGCGTCACTCCAGAGGGCACTCGCTTTACATCAGTAGCGAAATGATACCCGTGAAAGTGACGCAAGAGCAAACTCTACCAATTACAGATCTCGCACGATTTATTTTCAAAGTCGTTGACGCTCATTATGACATTGGAATATTTACATTGCTTCGCTTTCAACACTAGATCATTATACATACGTTTGAAGATGGAGAGGAGCTGGAAGGTGTTGCATTCATTGATACGAATATCTTTGTGACGAGTATTGCTACAGTCAAGAGTTTGATTCTTGTTGGGGATGCGTATAAGAGTGTTTGGTTTCTTGGATTTCAGGTACTTGTGTATATACATCTTCTTTTTGGGCGTGAGCTTTAATCTCATCACATTTTCTTAATCAGGAAGAACCACCTAAGCTCCTCCTCCTCGGCAAAGACTATGGCTCCCTCCAAGTCTACAGCTGTGACTTCGTAGTCGACAACGACAGTCTCGGATTCGCTGTAGCTGATTCAGACAAGAACGTCATGACTTTTGCATACGCACCATTCAACATCCAATCTTTTGGTGGTCAACGACTGATACGTAAAGTGGATTATCATGTCGGATCACACATTAATAAGATGATTCGATTGAGGAGGTTGCCACGACCGATACAACAAGACGGTGATGCGGTCGTTTCGAGGCAACATGGACTGCTTTGTGGTTAGTGCTGTTTGATATCTTGCACTTTGGGATTGGAACAATTGACGTTTTTTTGCGTGATTCAGGTACCTTGGATGGTGGATTAGGAATGATGGTGCCCGTATCAGATAAGCAATTCAAACGCATGTATGCTTTATGGTCGAAGCTTGTAAATGGGTTGCAGCATGTTGCTGGGCTTAATCCTAGAGGGTATAGGTAAAAGAAGCCCATACTACACATAAACGAGCAATACAACTTTTCGACTAATCCTCTTTCTCTCCTCTCAGGCAAGGACAATCACGAGGTCCACCACAGGGAGCCGCCCAAATCCTCGGTGGAATGACAAACACTCGATCGACTATGGACGGAGACTTGATTTGGCAGTTTGCCAGTTTGAGCGTGTCGCAACAACGTGAGATTGCTAAAAGTATTGGATCTTCTGTTGAACGAATCATGGACGATTTGTTGGAGATTCAAGTTGGGATGGAGCATTTTTAAATGTAAATGGGATGGATTGCTTGGAATAGAGCATGTTTGCTTTTGAAGGGAACCTTGAATCAAGTTTTGTTGCTGATGCAAGCATTACAGCTCTTTATGCCTGTTTTCTCTGTCTAATTTTTGGTTTCTCGAAGCACAACGCTTTCCTACCATCTCGAGCAATTGTGGGCATTTATGCCCTTTGCAAGAGACGTAACTTTATGATACATCAGCCGATTGAGCATCCAGACACTGACTGTGGTATTGGGACGGATGGGAGAACTAAGAGGAATCCACCTGCTTTGGATGAGGGAGGTACATTCATCAATTACTATTGATCATCAATGACTAGTTATGTCGTGACTTGCCGGTTTTTCTATTTCACGTATTGCAGATCCTGTTGGTATTGTTACCGGGTGTGTAACCGTTAGCAGTGGGTCTGCGTATTCGGTGGGAGCCTGCTGATACGTAAGTGTTTTGGTCTTGCAAAATAACTGTACGAGCAAAAACCAGGCAGATCATCTCGGAGCATCGCTTAGATACGATTTTGAACTGTATGAACAAGTTATGTGTCTCGACGCAGTAAACATTGAAAACACACAGCATCTGGAAACAAGCCGTATTTATGTCGGGGATCTTTGTTCGTGGTTGAGGCAGGGTCGGACGTGGACACGTTAAGTTTTATTCTGTGCGTGCTTCGTAGTGACATATTGTTGATATACGGCTGACTTTTTTTTAGCTCTCCGTATTCGACGTAATATTGAGGTCGTACCCGAATTCGACTATACACAATCAAACCAAAGGAGAATACGCCAATGAAGAAAAGCAACCTATTACTGCTGTACGTGGTGTTAATGGGTACTTGGTTGTTGCTGTTTGGACCAAGGTAAGCAAAAAAGACTCTGATATCAAACTCTCAAGTGAAGCGTCACTCCAGAGGGCACTCGCTCTATATCAATAGCGAAATGATACCCGTGAAAGAGACGCAAGAACAAATTCTTCCAATTACAGATCTCGCACGATTTATTCTTAAAAGTCGTTGACGCTCATTAAGAAATTGGAATATTTACCATGTTTCGCTTTGAACACTAGATTATCATACATACGTTTGAAGATGGAGAGGAGCTAGGACGTTTTGCATTCACTAATACCAATATCTTTGTGACGAGTATTGCTAAAGTCAAGGGTTTGATTCTTGTTGGCTATAAGAGTGTTTGGTTTCTTGGATTTCAGGTATTTCGTAACGTCAAGGTTGGTTATTTTTGCCCGTCGCTGACTTTCTCTTTTCCCTACTATATCATTGACTTTTCTTCCGCTACTACATACATATAATATCAACAGGAAGAACCACCTAAGCTCCTCCTCCTTGGCAAGGAGTAAATGGCTAACTCCAAGTATACAGCTGTGAGACAACGGCAGTCTAGGCTTCGCAGTTGCAGATTCAGACAAAACCATCATCGCTTTTGCAACCCGCACCATTTAACAACCAGTCATTCGGTGGCCAACGACTGATACAGAAAAGTGGATTATAATGTTGGATCACATATTAATAAGATGATTCGATTGAGAAGGTTGCTGAGACCGATACGAAAGGATGACGATGCTGTTGCTTCGAGGGGGCATGAATTGCTTTGTGGTTAGTGCTGGTTGAATTTTATGCACATTGATTGATTTTTTTATTTCTGGATTGGAAAGGATGGTTCCCGTATCAGACAATCGGTTGAAACGCATGTGTGCTCTATGGTCGAATGGGTTGCAGCGTGTTATTGGATTGAATCCTCGAGGGTTTAGAAACACAATTTGAAGTACCCATCGAATAGCTATTCAACTGTTCCTTTCTCTCTTCAGGACAAACACGAGGTCCACCACAAAGAGCCGCCCAAAATGTCGGTGGAATAACAAACACTCGATCAACCATGGACGGTAACTTAATTTGGTGGTTTGAGCGTGCCACAACAATGTGAGATTGCTAAAAGTATTGGATCTTCTGCTGAACGAATTATTCACGAGAAACAACCCATTACTGCTGTAGGTGGTGTCAAGGGGTATTTGGATGCTGCTGTTAGAACCAAGGTAAGCCAGAAAAAGTACCACTATCAATTGATATGGACGCGCCACTCCAGAGGGCATTCGCTTCATACCAATAGCGCAATGATACCCGTGAAAGTGACCCAACCGCAGATTTCTCCAATTACAGGTCTCGCACTATTTATTTTTGACAATCGTTGATACTCATTATAAAATTGGAATATTTACATTATTCTATTGATATTAGATCATTAACGATTGAAGATAAAGAGGGTAGACGGTTTCGCATCCGTTTATACGATCATCTTTGTCACGAGTGTTCCTATTGCGAAGAGTTGGATTCTTGTTACTGTGAACATTTGGCTTCTTGGGTTCAGGTATACGATAAGGGCACTTGGCTTTTTTTCGCGCTGAATTGTAGAGGTTATATGTCACGCACAAACAAAAGAGAATCCGGCATTGCTCTTGTTGCTCTTGGAGTCTTGTTTAACCTATCAGAAAAATATGACATGGCTGTTGATTGTTTTGAGGCTGCTTTTACCAAGAGACCTCACGTATATGATCTTCAAGAGCAACTGATGAATCTCTTTTCTAACACTGGGCACTGGGCACGCACAGTAGTCACAGTAGGCAAGCACAATCACGAACCCATCACAAGGAGCCGCTCAAATCGTCGGTGGATCAGTCTGCAAACTATTTGCATTTTGAACTTTCCGAGCAAGTTATGGAGTAGACTTGTTCGTGATGTCCACGATGTCTATATTTGGGCTCATAAATCATAAATCTACAAATATAAAATATAAAGATATACGTACACGTACACCGCGTCAGGAACCTCGTACATTGATTTTGAAGGTTTATCACGTCGCGTCAGTTTGGCCGGAGATTGTTGCCCTTCTGCGTCACAATCTTATCATTCAGCGTAGAAACAGCTTTCTGAGTCCGGCATCGCTAATTGGCATATAACAGCCACTAAAATGCACGTTCTCGTTCTAGGGAGTGGAGGCATTGGAGGTTTCTATGGAGCATTCATCCACGATCACGCAAAGAATATACTTGTCTCTGCTGTCTGTCGGTCAAACTATGAAGCAGTTAAAACTAATGGATTTAAAGTTACTTCTCCATCCTTCGGTGATCGTCTCTGGAAGCCTCATCAAGTATTCGCCAATGTAGACGAAGCATCAAAGTCGTTGCCAGCTGGAGGTTACGAGCACATTTTGGTCTGTAGCAAAGCTCTACCAGAATTGGAAGATATGCCTTCTATGGTTGAAGGATTGGTAACTGTTGGAAAGACGTCAATCGTCCTGATGCAGAATGGAATTGGTATTGAGGCTCCTTGGGTGAAGCAGTTCCCAAGAAATGTGGTTGTAAGCTGTATGATTGCTACAGGAGCAACCCAAACAGAACCCGGTATGATATGGGTATGTGTTTCGTGAGCTGATCTGACGTGGTCGATGTTTGTTATCTCCTGTAAGTCTGGCGAAAACACGATCTAACAATCCCACCAAAATGTTGTAGCACCGATCTGATGCATCTATAACAGCCATGGGCGTATACACGGATGAAAATTCGAGAACGAATGCCGCTCATTCATTGACTTCTTTAGAGAGTCTCGTCGGTATCATGAAGGGTAGTGGGAAATTGACGATCAAAACACCAACAAATGTCCAAGACGAACGGTGGAACAAAATTCTAGTGTCAGTGCTCTCTCGTTGCTGTTTATCGGACGTTGCAACCGTCGCTGACTTTTCAAACCACTGTAGCAATGGAACATTTGGACCACTAAGTGTCGTGGCAGGAGCTATTCCTTCATCACAGATTGCCACAGATCCACTATTATCTGTCGTGGCTCATGAGAATATGAAAGAAATTGCTAGTGTCGCTAAAGCAGTTTTAGGATACCCGATTCCAGGCATGGATCTTGAAAAAACGCTAAATAATGTAACTCGAGTGAGAGGCAAATCGTCCTTCCTAGTGGACTGGGACAGAGGAATTCCTATGGAGGTTGAAGTGTTGCTTGGTAATGTGTCGAGATTAGCAAAGCAGCATGGAGTCGCAACTCCACGTGTGGATATGTTGTACGCGCTATTGACGAAACTCAGAGACAATCGTCTCAATTCTGTAAAATTATAATAAATTACATGGTTTCTCTCATTCTTCCAGCAATGCTTCCAAAAGATCTAGCTTGCTTTTGATCGCCGTGCGTTTGAGGACCAGTGGCCCATTTGCGGCTCTCTGACCATTTGTCCATTGAGATTTATCTTCCGGCTGGACACAAGATGATTCACGAAGCGTCAAATGCATTAGTTTTGTTGCGGTAAGAAACAACCAGCTCGTTCAGATCTCATTTTGCGGCAATCTTTAAGTGAATTTGTCATGCACGTATCCAGCGAGAGAGACCACGAAATCGAAATGTGATATTGTGATGGCCGAAGTCTTCCGGCAAACGAACGCAGTGATGCGAGATCAAAGACCTTGAGTGTATTCTGCCGCGTTGCGATGTTGCTCAGATCTCCAAAAAACTTCCAAGGTTGTGAGGGTGTTTAGGATGCGACGATTCTCGGGTTTTAAATATTTTACTTCAATGCGCTCTTTCTGAAGAATTGGTTGCGAAGCTTTTAAGGAGCCTTCCTCCATCAAACTCAGTTCGATAAATCAGTCACCCTCAACCGTGAACAAACCTCATTTATCTTACTACATACACTGTGGGAGCGCACTTAGCAAAGGTATGAGATCATCCGTAGTTGATCGCTATATATTTTGCTTTCTTTATATGTATGCATTGGTCTCTTATACCACACAGAACTTGCATGAATGTTGTGTCTTCCGTTTGCATGAATGCAAACTTTTCATTACCAAGATCTAATGTTGAGCATGATCTGAAGTCTCCTTTAATTCAATATATGTAGGATTTATAGAAATGGAAGTTCTTGCTGACGACTTTTCTAATCGCGGACGTGGTGAACAACAACAATGCCAACAAGTCGATAATGGTTTGACAAGTTCGCCTCAACAACAACAAGAAATTGCAGTCCACCACCACTCAGTCGCCTTTCGAAGAGCTCCATCTGCCTCCTCCCTCTTACGGATTGACACAAACAATGGATCAACACCTGACTTGATCTCACCGTCCGAAGCATCATCAAGACCAACATCACTCGCAAACTTGGTGGACTCTGAGTTATGGTCTGGAACTGGATCGTATAGAGATGATGTCAAATCGGAATCTCCTCACGACTCGCATAATCAACCACCAGTGGCGGTTCCTCATGGAGATCAGACAAACACATGGACCCCAGCAACTGCGCATGAAACATATCTTGGTAAGATTACTGTCTTATGTTTAAATCATGATTTAATTAGCTATTAATTATAAAGCTAATTGCAAATCGGTGGTTTTTAGCTTCAGCGCAAGAACCAGTCTTTGACAACCATGTCAATGCAAACTCTGCTGCGCCAACATCTGAAGAGAATCCTTCTTCTTCATTCTCAACTCTTGAAGATGGCGAGAGATCAGATGATGGCAAGGGAAATAAATCCATGACTCGATTCCATTGTCGAGTGGCTAACTGTAACAAGACGTTTTCAACAAGGTGAGTTCTTGGTAAAAAAAAAGACTTTCTGTTTCAACAGTCTTTGATTTCAAATCGCATTTTTCCAGTGCACACTTGTCACGCCACACCAAACTTCATGATGGTCATCGACCTCACAAGTGTTTGCTTGATGCATGCGCCAAGCGTTTCACACGGAGAGATAACATGATGGTGAGTCCTTTTTCCTCTTGTCAACACTATATTCTGTGTTATTATGCTGCATGGCATATCACTTAGACCGTCTGTCTTACATGTTTTTGTTGATTTTTCCGTTCAGGTTCACTATCGCGCTCACGCTCGAAAGTTGGGTATGCTAGACATGAACAGACACGAAAGAATAGTATCTTCTATCCGCCACCATCAACTCCTCCAACAAGGTCCACCAATGTCACACATTGACGAACAATCCGCCGAAGCATTCGCCCATTATGGCCACCCCCAACAATTACTCCACCACGAGCACCATCTACCTCATTTTATGGCTCCACCGCACGGATACATGTTTCGAGGAGACGGTCGATCCGGTTACGATATGCATCCAGGAGCAGGTGGTGGAGGACCATTAGGTCCTGCACCGGGAGTCATGTATGAACCAACTGATCCATCTGCATACTTGTACGTTTACCCTGGATTGCCTCAAGGAGGCCAAGGACAAATGCCCGTTGGGCAATCAACTGTTGGCGCAATGACGGGTGTAGGAGCTGTACCATCTCAAGCTTTAGAACCCAAACGTGGAGGCGGATATGAAGCGTTCGATTTGGCAAGCCTTCATCCATCTTCTGCTGCATCTGTTGGTGCTCATTATAACAGCAACGAAAGACCTGGTGCTGGTGTACCAGAAATGTATCGATACCTGCCACACCACTATAACGCTGCTGCTGCATTCCATTCACAGCAACAACAACAATTACAAAAGCAGCCTCAACAACAACAGCAACGGTCGCCAAACCCTGCCAATGGTCCACAGCAGCAACAACAACCGCAACAAATGATGCAAAGTAATGCTGCTGCAATGAATCAACAACAGCAACAACAACAATATTCTCGTCAACAACGTGCAAGTCCACCACCATCAGGAGGCCAACGGCTATCGCCTTACCAATCTGCAAACCCACTACAAGCATACCATGCAGCTCCACCTGCACAGAATGCCGGTTTATGGCCACGACGGGAATATTATGGACAACCACCGTCTCAACAACAAATACAGCAACAACAACAATCTCAAGCTCAACAGCAACAACATCATCACCAACAACAACAACAACAAAATCAGCAACAACCACAACAACAACTACCATGTCCAGTAGACCAACAGCAACAACAACAGCCATACATGTTGTATACAAGCCAACAACCTCATGCCATGATGCGACCTACAAACGAACACAATGTCGATGACATAGCTGAAGCAGTAGAGGGACGTGCTATTCACTCGTCTCCACAATTGTCAATCTTTTGAGAGTAGAAGATATGTAAAAAAAGGAGAGAACACTTGGGCTTATAAGAACGAAGAACCTCAAATGCAAGACATTGTGCCATATCATAGATAATCGTTTCATTATGCCTCGTATATACCGGAATGCTCATACCACACCATACACACTCATGTTATATTTATGTGAATCTCTTGGAAATACAATTTGACTGCTTATGAACATAAGAATTATGTGTTTTTGTTATACTATGCGATGCGTCAGACGAGAGAAGGTGTTTGTTTTTGGCCTTTGCCTCCATTTTTGACAAAGCACGCGAAATCACTTTTCTCCAAGAAATGCCCAACAGGCAGAGGCAAGCATACATCTCGCTGATATGCAGTACACTAGCCATGGCTTTTTCAGGCACTCCCTACGCATTTTCTCTCTTTTCAAACCAGGTAGAAATTAGAAGAGCTGTGTGGTTTTTGGATTTTTGGATTTTATCACAATCAATCAATCAATCCAGGCGTAAGATCTTGTTTGCTCAAATAAATATTTACAATCCTTTCCTTCATTTTAGCTGGTCTCCAAGCTCCAATTATCGCAAACAGCTGCAGCATTGATCTCTTCATCAGCCCAAATTGGTTTATACTCTTCTGGTTATATAAATGGACGAATGATTGACGAATCGGCATCTACGAAGCCTTTCTACCTGTTCGCTGCCTGTGCTATGGGTCACATCTACTTGATTCTCGCCTACATCAGCTCGACGCCATCGACATATGGAATTGGTGTGGTAGGGACGATATTCGTGTGGATTTGCTTCTTTATAACTGGCGTTGGAAGGTATGACATAATAAATATCACTGCTCACGTATTCATGTCATGAACAAGCTTGTGTTTTCTCAGACCGTCCCTTTTAGCTCAGCATGCTACCATTCAACGCTCACCACAAATCTACGAAACTTTGGCTCCTCTGGAAAATCAGGGATGGCAATCTCACTCCCACTAGCCGCATACGGCTTGTCTGCTCTCCTCTACAGCACAGTCGCTCGAACCTTGTTCTTTTCAGAGTCATCCACAACTCAAGACGACACAACAGTCAAAACGAGAACACTAGATCTACCAAGCCTGTTTATATTCATGGCCGTCGCTACATGTCTCGTGAATCTGGGCGCTGCATACTTGGTTAGGCCGTTGAATGTGCTTACATTGAGTAAAGTCGATTCAGGGATTGAGACAGACTCGACAGAGATGTTGATCGCTGGTGGTGGTGGTGGTAGTAGTAAGCCAGGGAAGAATGTGGTCGAGTTTGGATCTGTAGAGACGTATCTTGTTGCCTTTTGTTTATTTGCTGTTGCTGGGACTGGATTGATGGTACGTGTTGAACGTTTATTCAAATCCAGCTTTGTGGAACGTATGTTTTCTTTTGATGATGCCGAAACATTGTTTTAATGACACCTATATAGTACATGAACAACATCGGTGCAATAATCCTCTCCTTATCACCCCCAACATCATCACCAACAGACCAAGCAATCCAAGAAGCCCAAACTCTCCACGTATCCCTAATCTCAATAACAAGTTTCACAGGCCGCATAATATCAGGCCCACTCTCAGACCTAAACATCCTCCCACGCGTAACATTCCTCCTCTTTGCCCTGACATTCCTTGAAATGGGATGCACTTTCCTCCACTCTCTAAACAGTCTCGACACCCTGTCTCACATAACAATGATTATGGGATTCGGGTTTGGAATGTCGGTTGCTACAATTCCCATGCTCGTAGCTGATTTATTTGAGTCGAGTCGGTTTGCGACGTACTGGGGGATCCTGAATGTGCTGCCTGCTGTGTCGTCGACGGTGATGAATTTGCTGTTTGGGAGGTTGTATGATGGCGTGCTGCATAGGCAGATGGATACAATGCATCTTGTGGATGAGGTTCATAAGGGGCATTGTATGGGGGTGGTGTGCTTCTCGAGTGCTTTTAAGGCTGCTAGTGTATTGATCATGCTTGCGATGGGTAGTGCTGGTATGTTGTGGTGGAGGAGGACGCAGGTTAAATTGTTTGATCATCATCACAAGGCTATGGATATGACTTCTTTATTACGATGAACGCTGATTTGCTTGCCCATCAACTATATTACGAAAAAAACAAGAGCAGATGTGCATTAGCATACATTTACATTACGAGACATCAGCACATCATCTATACCCCTTAGAAACCACCACCAATATAGATACGAGTAGACTAGATGTTATAATAATATAATCCGTATTTGCCTCATCACAGACAAAAAAGTCACTCCACTCCAAGCGTATTTAAACAAGTTCATGGCTTTTGTATGTCTTTGCAGCAACAACAGATTTGCATTGGTATAAACTATATTCTCATCGTATTATCAAATCTACAACCATCCACATACTCCTTAAACCACCACTAAAATAATAATTGGCGACCTCCAAAGTTTTGGATTCACCGATTTATGTCTCGTAACCAACCCCTCACACATCCTACCACAACCCAAGCTTCCTAAAAGCCAACAACCCAGCCGTAACACCCACCCCAACAATAGCAATCAGCCCCACTCTCTCCAACCCATTCCAATATCTCGGCTTTGCCCTTCTTTTCCGTTCATTCGCAACCATTTCTCGAAAGATGCGTCCGAGTTCGAACAGCAGGCAGTCTATACACCTCTAGTCAACCACAAAAAGAAGTCAGTCCCAGTAAACATCAAAAGCGTCTTTAATTATTACGTACTTTGGGCGAAGGCTTGACATGAACAGCAGCAACAAACCCTCCAATCTGCGACCTCTCCGCGATTGGATCTGGATCTTCGTCTGGTCTCAGCATGCGAAGACAGCGTGAGCACATGTGTGGGTAATTGTCCTTCACAGTCGTGATATAATCTTCAGAATCGTGTGTTTTGCAGAGCCCGTTTTTTGTCGAGAGGGTGCGCCAGTATGGGTGTTGTTGGATTACACAGTATAGCTATAATACGTTATAAGTCGTTAGTTGGACGTGTTTTTTACTATACATGTTTCAACAAAATGATGCAACAACATGTTGCGCTTACCTCTAACGACACAGTTTGGAATGCCAGAATCTCTTTCGGGTGCATTGGTTTGGTATTTGTGACGATGAGACTTAATAGTTCGGGCGGGAGCGAGCTTAGTGTTGTCCTTTTACGGCCTTCGTTGGGGAACATTTTGCTGGTTTCATGCAGAGTGTCTTTTGAGTGTTTTGGCGAACAGGTCGTAAGTTCAAAGGAGCGTGATAGGTGGGAGTAATGAATTCGTGAGGTTGTGGCCGTGGCGATTAATGGGGTTAATAATATTCAAGTCCTGCAGCTGTCCTTTTGATTATCTTGTTAAACTCTGGTCGGTGTTTAAATATTGTATTTCGTGACATCAGAGTGTGAGTGTGCGTGAGCGTGGAAAGACCGACGTTCAAGGTTCTTTTGTCGCCAATTATCTCGTGATTATTGTCAGATTGAGATCTAGGACGTTTCGCACACGCAAAAAATAACTCATCGCAACTTAACATTCGCCAACCTTTACGACTTCCCATTTGCTTCTGTTTTACCATATATTTATCCCTAGTTACAATTTTTGATATAGAATGAAAATGATTTGTCGACGAAAAACGAATTGATGTTGTTGCTTGTTGTACAGTCCCGTTTATGTTTTAATAATAACTACTCTCCTCACTTCACCACTCCTTACTACTTTCAGGCGAAGCCCCTCCTTAGAACACCGACTCTCGATACTGGTCCACCAAGTCCTGATATACGTTTGCCTCGACGAACCCATAGGATTATAGTGAGACCCAGAGATAGACAGCAAAGGACTGTGGCAATCCAATATGATGGGACAAAGCAATCTAATCCTCTACATTCTTCAAAGTCTCCTCGCAAGTCTGGCATTGATGGATTGGTTTTGGCTGCATCGAAAACAGCACCGAATATTAGCGATAGTGCTTGTCCTCCGAAAGCTGGTGAGAGTGTCATCCAACCACTATAGAAGCGAAAAAAAAGCTCAGAAAAGGGCAAAGCATGGTATGCTGAACATACCGACTATTCTCAATCACAGAGATAAAGTTTCTACGCTCTTACAAAACATAACTCCATACAAACACTTACAAGTGTGTAGCAAACCTCTTCTGCCCGAAAAAGTCTCCAACAAGCATGGGTGCAGCCGACCAAGCAGCGCCATTTCCAGCTCCAATGAGAGCAGTCACCCATACCAAGGACGGTAGATCATCCACCCAAGCAGCCGCCCAAAAGGACCCAGCTGCCAACAAGAGTGCAGCGAGAAACATCCATATTAGACGGTTTAGCTTAAACATGCGATGAGCTGCATCTGCGAATGCTCCGACAATTGCTTGTGAACTAAAGCCAAAGACCGATATCAATGATACATGCAGAGATTGTGCTGCTTGGACGGCGGGTGATGATGGTTTGGCTGGTGGTGGTGCCAATGCTAGAATTACTGCACCAACATTATTTATATGCTGTGTAAGAGAGGGCGATGTTAGTTCATTTTCCCGAGGTTATAGTTTTCAAGAGCCAAAAAAGGTCATGTGTCCACAGTCGAATGCCGCTTGACGACAAACGACATCATCTGCTTCGTCAAACCATGTAATGGCATATCAACGTACCATGAGACCCACTCCAGCCAACGAAAACATGATAAAGGCCAATAAATAGGCGTCCAACTGTACAAAACACGACACGTCTTCATCATTACTTAAATCTTCTTCGACCACGATTGTAGCTGTTCGTTCTGGTCCTCTAGGTCTAACATCTATACTACCATACGTGCTACCAGTAGCACCACTACTGCCACCATATTTCGCTGATGATGAACCAACCACTAGAGCACCTTGGTATGAAGTGGGTAATGAGTTGCCATTAGATAATGATTGTTGTTGTGGTGGTGGCGGTAGTGTATATCCTTCTCTAAACAGCTCTGGACGAGCTGACGTCGGCCTACTATTCCTTGTATTATGCACTAATGCTGATGATGACGAGGACGGCAGTGTTGTTGTTATGGGTTGTATCATGGAAGTTCCTCTTAGGGGAGACCGTTCAGTCCATGCTAGATCTCTAGGTGGGGTATGATGTCCGCTACTACTATGATGATGGTGGGTATGATGGTATGGAGAGGCAGTGTCTACATCCTTGGCGATGATATCACCACCGGTTCCAGTAAAGTCCTGTAATACTAGAGCAGCAAATATACAAATGATGCCAGATACGCATCCAATAAACATTAAGAAACTAGATACATCCAATGTAGCTGGTTGAAGACCATCAGCTTCATCATAAAAGGCATACTTGGCGACTTGGGAGAATACCAAGGCCGATAGCCCATAAAACGCCATAGGTATGCCTACGGCTAATCCTCTCCATGTTGGTGGAAAGTTTCTTAGGTTGCCAGCTATACTGGTCTGATTGCACAAACAACTAGAGTCGGGATGGTTTAGTACACAGTGTTGATATTTCCTGTTAACATTGATTGTACTGATGGCTTACCTTCCGATTCCGACAATGGCAGCATATCCGGCATATGCCACGAAATGTGTTGACACGGGTTCACCACGAAAGTCGACCTCCAAAGCACCACTAAATACAACGCTCATAAGAGCATAACCAGCAGATAACAGGAATGCAGCCATGAGAAAGATTGGGGCAGGGTTTTCTCTGTACTTGTCCACGTAATGCCTAAAATTAACATGTGTTTCGTTGTGTGAGTGAGGCATATGAAGATTTCCACGAGATCGAGCCAACGTGGGGACGTGATAGAGATGGATATCATCCGATAAGATATTAAGAAGCCAGGATATGAATTCTCCCGTGATTGCCACCGTGTGTGTCTTCTTATCGCATCGTGTTTTAAATGATGCCAACAATGAAAGAGCTCTGATGCAGACCAATAGATGACATACCCAACCACGACACCAGATAGATACATTCCCAGATTCATAGATACGGCAACAGTAGCCGTTTCGGTTTGGGAATAGCTGTAAGAAGTGGTCAGGGAGATGCTTCATCATGGGAATCAACCAAGGTTTCTTACCCCAGTCGTTCAGATAGTTGTGGAGCATATAGCGAGAATAGATTTGCGGATCCAGCAGCTATCTGACATAGAGTGGCAGCTATTAGCGATAAACACAGCTGCCACCACTTAGGGGGGCCCATCATTGACGTTGCTCGTGTCTAGTCTAAAGTCAAAACCGTGAAGCCAGCTTGAAAACCACGGCCTTTCTGATCTAGCTGAATACTGGCTGCTGCTGGTTTACAACCTTTAAATTAATGTATGGGTCCGCCTCCAAGCTGCTCGCAGTTCATGTAGGGATGTATGTCCGTGATTCACCGAAATAACTTTTTTGTCAAAGTTGAGAAACACCACCAGTTGCCACTCAACAACCGAAACCACAACGACAGCTAATGTGTTTCCTTGTTTCGATGATCAATCCCTATACTCGAAACTATCCTCCTGCTGCGAATGCCACGTGAAAAGGTCGCGCTTTGGATGAACTTCTACGAGTAGCGTCTGTTGAGAACTCGGAACGTGTAGCGACGGTCTAAAGCCTTGTACAGTTGCAGTTCACGTTATAACGCTTTAAAAGGGTGGATTGACTACCTCCAGAGTTGTTTTTGAACTGCGATGCACGAAGTGAGTCTCGCCATAGCTTCTAAATTTGAAAATCACTTCCAACTTCCAACATGCCTTTCGTGGCAAAACATTCATTCGAGTGAAAGAAAGCTATTCATACGATCTGGACATTATTAAATACTGAAGAATCTGCACTCTTTCTCCCGCTGACCAACTGTCAAACCAGTCAAGATGGCATCAGACAAGCCCATGACAGATTTTCAAGGCCGTTTGCTGAGTCCTTTCAGTGTCCACAAGATTTATATGATGCCTAATAACTGTTAAGTATTGAGCTGTTCTTTGTTTGCCAGTCATGTTGTGTTGATTTCGTCTATTTGCCTCTTGGTGATTTGATGAAGCTTTTGATGTGAGGGTGGACATGTCAAATAATATTACTAACTGAATTTTTCCCACATCAGGGATAGGAGAAGTCAATTCGCTACCTCCAAGCACAAAGTATGCTCGTCCTGTTTGCTCGATTTGCAAGTTTTTGATGTCAAGACCGACATGTCATCCGTCCTTGTTGCTCATGTCACATATCATTTTTGGCCACAATCAAATCATTAGCGCTATTCTGATTGAGGCTGTAGCTGCAGGAATGAAGGTCGACCCGAATCATTCTGAAGGCACAATCACCGTCTCTGTTGCTCCTACTTACAAGGAAAAGACCTACAATCGAGTTCAAGAAGTGTATGTATTGCGATCGCTATTTTGGTCATCACTTGTTCTAAACATTTATATTTATGTAGTCTCAGGAGACTTGACGAAGACATACCTCGTATTGTCGCTGAGAAAGTGCCCTGCTCGCCAGACTTGTTTGAAACAATCAGGAACATGAGTGGAGCGTTCTTGTGTCCCTGTGGCTCATGTGGTAGCAGACGACTTACAAGGCACATCATCAAGGCCAAAGTGGAGGAAGTCAGAAATGAGGCAAGTTGGGGGTTTACTATGACCGATCGATTTGAATCAGAATCGGTTTTTGCTTCATTTCCAGTCGATTTAATCATCAGTCCTACTCTAATCATTAGTTTCTTGTCTTGGCTCGTGCTACTCAAGAAGAGTGTGATGATAAAAAGATTACAACTGGATATGAAATACGTGGATTGCAAGGCGATGTCGCTGCCGCAGTGAATAATTTCAGAGCATTTTTGGCTGGAATTGAGCACTGTATTGTAAGCCCGATAGCTTCGATTCATCGTGTGATCATCCCGATCATCAACTTATTTTTTCATCATTAGCCATTGTTGAAAGAATCTCAACTACGAGAACAACTCATGAGTATGGACCTTCAACAAAAGGCAACAATTCATGTAGAAGCCAAAGAAAAGCCACCCGCATTACCGTCCAAAGTATCACCAGCGACCACCACTACAAAAGCAACAGCTCAAAACCGTGGGCCTCTTCCATCTGTATTCGATGTACCATCTCCACGCAGTAAAGTTGTATCCACTCCACCACCAAAACCACAACCAACGTCAAGTGTAACTACGATTTATACTACAGCATCATCATCATCGTCAGCAGCATCCTCTGCCGCATCAGTGAGTCCACCAAGGCAACAACCTCAACAACAAGAACCTATACCTCAACAACAGCAACTTATAAAACCACAACCTCCTCAGCAACAAGTTCCTGCGACGACAGCACCTCCCAAAGTAGTTGCTGAAACGAAACCGTCCGCTGTCGATCGAGAAGCGCTGGCCGCAGCTGCTCTAGCTCGTGCCGCAAAGAATGGTCTTGGCTCAAAGTCACCAGCTGGTGCAAAGGAAAAGCAACCAGCTCAAACTCTACCTTCTCCTGTCAAGGTCACTGAAACAGCTAAGGCTGAATCAAGCAAGACCGATGCACCAGTCAAAGCCCCAGAAAATATAGGCAAGACTGGAGTTATTCCTCCTCTTCCTGCTGGTAGCAAAAAAACAGGTTCAGTGTGTCTTGTATTCTCTGCTGATTTGAGCCGTCTCTTGAATGATGCCGTGTCATCAGGCTCAGATTTGGCTACATTGAAGAAGAAACTTGTTGATTGTGTAGCTATGGCTGTGAATCATTTGAATGTGAGGTTGACGTTTGTCGATAAAGTAAGTCATGCCACTTTGAGATTTTGCTTGTTCCAAACTTTGTACTAAAATTTATCACATAAACCAGGGCTGCTTAGTGTATGGCGACGAAACTGATGTCTCTGCAACCAACTACTTATATCCTCAAGTTGAAGAGAAGCTCGTCAATATTATCAAACTTGATTTGGCACCTTCTCAATCCGGAGAACGTGACTCCAAAGACGTATCTTGTCCCTTGCCAACTCCTGCACCAGTACAGGAACGCAAGCCTGTTGTGCCAGAAGCTGAAGTGAAGGCATCAACGAAAGAGCAAGAACTCAAACCACCAGTAGTAGAAGAAGTGAAGGCAGCGGTAAACGAAGCAGTAAAACCAACAGCCATACAAGAATTGAAGGCAGCAGCAGCAGAAGTAAAGCCACAAAAGGAAGAAGTCAAGCAACCTGTAATGGAACAGGTCAAACCGCCTGCTATCGATCAAGTCAAACCACCTTCCGTAGAACAAGTCCAACCACCTGTCGTAGAGGTCAAATCAGCCCAGGAACAAACTACTCACAACAGTCTTACTCGCAACGAGGTTTGTTGACACTCGTCAACTCCTTTTATATTTTATGAAGGGTCGATCACTAAGAGTAACTAATCAACGGTCTTTCCACTTAATTAGGCAGTGCGGAAAGTAGAAAGTCCTAATATTCTAGGCGGTGCTATTGGCGATGATTCATCGTCTGACGACAATGAAGTCGAAATTGAACTTGATGAAAGTCTAGCAAGCTCTGTTGCAGTATCTATTGATGGAGATGATGACGAAGACTATGCTGACTGGGGAGAAGATGAGCAAGACATGGTATAAATCTGGTTCATCTTAGTATTTTCTGGCTGATTGGCATCATATATCAATTTCTTTTCTCTCTCGTTTAGGATGATGAATCTGTTGCACCAACAACACCAGCTGCACTTGCAACACCTCAAACCTTGCTCTTTGGCTCTGAAGGCTCGTCGTCTCATCCAACTGTTGTAGTTCCTACTGAAGTATCGGCTACTCAACCAGTTGCTGCTCATGTAGTAGCTCAAACAGTCCAACCCTCTGTCACTACTGCTCAACCAAAACCAGTTGAAGTAGCTGATCAACCAAAACCAGCTGAGGTAGTTCCTCAACCAAAACCAGCTGAAGTTGTTGCACAACCAGCGGTCTCAGTTGCTCAGCCTGTAGTAGCAACCGAAACAATCTCAACAACTGCTCCGATTGCTGTACCTGTAAATATAGCATCAGTACAAGCAGCAGCAGCAACGTCGACTACAGAAACAGCAGCAGCTATCCCTGTATCTGCACCAACAAAAACGACAACACCACCACCAAATCCATACCATGCATATATGAATCCAGGTTATAATCCGTACATGGTTCCAATGGGTTATCCTCCAATGGGCCCACCCGGTATGCAATATCCAATGGGAACAGCAGCTCCTCACATCCCATTCCCTCAGCATCAACTACAATATCCTCAAGGATACCCACTGTCATCACCCGCAATGCGTCCAGATGATAGTACAGCAACAACTGCAGCAGGTTCTATGCCACATGTACCACCTCATATACAACATTTCTACAATATGCTGGCAGCATACATGTATCCTCCAGTTTGGAATATGCCTGGAATGGTACGTTTCAGCAATGAGAATGGAATCATACCACATCTAATTGTTGTCGTTTCTAAATAAATTTTAGCAACAAGGTATGCCTGGAATGGTTGGAATGCAACCTGAAATGGGAGGAATACCGCAAATGCCAGAGGGAATGTACGCAGGAATGGGCGGAATTCCACAAATGCAACCAGGAATGGGTGGAATGCTGCAAGTGCCAGCTGGAGTACCACAAACGCAACCAGGATCTCCCCTACCTGGAGGCATGGTTAGAGCTTATCCTCCTATGATGATGAACCCTTTTATGCAGCATCAAATGCCTCCACCAGTGACTTCTGCTGCGGCAAGGTATTTTAGTACACAGTCTGGTTGAAGAACATCGTGAGTGATGTTAAAGGTTCTTTTTTCGCTGTGTTCTTCTAGCCCACCTACCCTGCACGAAACCAGTTGGACCAAACCAACCACTGAAAACGCTGAATAGTCCGTGTAAGTGAAGGGATCAGGCTCTGCTGTCTAGATCAAGCTTTATCAACATAGTTTTGTTTCAGAGAAGCTCTGGTAGTCTTTCGAAACGCAAATCAAACAAAGTGAGCAATAGTTGCAATAGTTGTAAAACAGAAGATAAAAATGTAGAAAAAATACAGTTAGCATAGTAGCATGTAAAGAAGCTGCAAGTACTTGTTTGATACGTTAGATGGTAGTCCTCTGTGACGTGGTATCCCTTTTGTCCTCCTGTGCTTTCTCAATTAAGTGCCATTGAAGTAGGAGGAAGTTGAGGACTAGGACACGGGTGGTCTTTAGTATTGAAGTGATCTATATCTTTATGGACGCTATAACGTCTCCGTACCGACTATCGCTCGAAAATTTATAGATGCTTTTGTCAACATCGTCGTAATCTGTCACATCAGTGGACGACGATGCTATACCCAAGGATTATGATAAGAATGTGTTATACCGTTCGCCATGCAGCTGGTTTTCTTATGGGCTTCTAGACCTCAAAATGCATCGCATCACATTGGACAACTGTTCGTCAAGACGCAAATCGAAAATACGTCAGAGTGATCTACTTGATGAGATTCGTATTTCTGCAGTGATGCACATGCCAGTCGTGAGTGATTGATGCCGTGTGTCTTCTGCACGCAATAGACGCAAGGCTAGTGGGGCTTACAAACACCATGAAGGACAACGTTGGGATACAAACCAAGGATCTGAGTGCTCTGTGCTATTTATTGCAAAGTAGACTCTGAGACTACAACGATTGCATGTCTTGGGTGTCTGTGACATTACCTGTGAGTCGCTTGGGATATGTTTCTCGGTGCATGGATAATAAAAAAACAAGATCAAGAGAATATTATGATGCGGTGCCTATTTTGTCGCATATCGCATAACATCTTTTCTCTTGCCACGATGATTTCAAGAAGAGTTCGTGTGGATTCTTTGCCCACCATCTGTTGAGAATTGAGTGAACCAACTTTGATCAGACCATCAACACATTCCCAAGACCGTGTATTCGCAAGTTCTGTTTCTGTTTCTATCTTTACAATAACAAACAGCGCTGTCAACTTCAACCCAATAAAATGACACCAAACATTCCTGCCACAGACGGCCGTATGCTCTGTCCGTATGCAATGCAACGCACTTTCATGATGGCAAATTCATGGGTCGGCGAAGGGAGTACACTTCCTTGCACAATAGAGTACGTTCATTTCATTTTTATGTTTTTGACATTAAAGAGGACATGAACAACAAATGCCTCCTCCAGTATCTCCTGCTCTAGCTGCTCCAAGGTATGTTTTAATGAGTTCAGACTGTTTTGGACGTCGTGATTCTCGACTATTGACTTTGTTTTGCTCAACTGTAGACCAACTATCATACACAAAACAAGTTGTTCAATACCACCCACTGAAAAGGCTGAAAAGTTCAAATTAAATGGATCCAAATTCTGAAATTCGTGCAAATTAGCTGTCGTGACAATTCTTAAGTTTGTAGAAGGAGCCTTTCATCTTTCACGACGCAAATCAAGCAAAGCAAGAGTACAGGGTGGCAGTACTTATAAAAATCTAAGAAATGTACATAAATTATATATAGCATGTCGCATGCGAAAGCGAAGCATTTGTTTGGAACAGGTCAGATGCTCTTGTTGTGCACTCATCAAACTTCAAGTTTCGCTCTCTTTTTTGTTACCAACTAGGAAGCCAGTATCCAACTACAATGAGAAACAGGACACGAGTATTAGGTGATCGCGACCACGACGAAAGCTATCAGAGCGGTGCAGCAGTCTCATTGCTGCTTACCGCTCGCACAATCCTCGACACGATTGTGAAAATATTCGAAATATCGACTATAGTGCTTAGTGGACGAGGATACCATACCCTACAACGAATAGTTAATCATAAAAGCCTTCCATATGCTTATTCCATCTGGCTTCCAGCTATCAAGATGCCTCGCCTAACATTTCCCAACTGGTCATCTCGACGCAATTCGAAAATCCGTATAACCGATCTACCAGATGAGATTCTCGTCTCCATCTTCCTGTATATACCGAACGTTGCAGATTTATGCCGTGTGTCTTCGACATGCATGAGACTAGCCCATATTGGCTCTGATTCACACATCTGGATTCGAAAATTGGAGCAGGATTTTAGTGGCATCGATGGTCTATCTCTCTTGACGTGCTATAATAGTATCAGCAGCCGGCCCGCAAATGTAAAGTCATCAAGTATCAAGGAACGGTACAAGATGATATACACACGGTTTGGATGTGCCACGAAGAACAGTGTGTGGGATATTATACGGCAAGAATCTGAGTGCTCTGTCTCTTGTATTGCTGGATTTGCTACGTCTACCATTAGGCTCCCGTTTACGTGTGTTGGGTACTTGACATCGCCGTTTGGGTATTTGGCTATGAGATATGCTGCTCCGTGTATGAATGATGAAAGGTGCGATGAAGCGAATATCGTAGTAAGGTGTTTGGCTGGTCTTGTGCGGATTGCTGTGTCGCCACAGATGAGAATGGCAGAGCTGGGGGTTGTGAATGTGATTGCTATGTGTTGTGTAGTTGCTGATGGATCGTTAAGATCATCTGTGTGGTGAGTTGCTTGTTACGATCACTGCTTTGTATTCAGATCTCCTGATTAACTTTTTTCTTTCTCAATGGAAAGGTTACAACGGACACTATACAATGCCCTCGTAAAATCGCGGCCGACCCTCCATCTCCTTATGTCAATACCACTGCTGGCATACATTCAATACCGGATCTATTCAATGTCACTTATTTTGCCAGTATTGTCATCTTGGTGGTGTATTGGATGCCATCTGATTGGAACGTTTGTTGTGTATCGCGATCTGTTTCCGAGGAATTCAACCATGTTTTATTATCTGTTCTCTGGTGTGGGTACTGTGATGTCTATAATCTTAGGCTGGATACTTGGATGGACGGCTTATTCGACGATTAGTGCAGTGAAGTTCTTGTTTCTGTAAGCAAGGTCCATCGATTTTGGGTTTGCCACTTTCATGTTGCTGGTGAACAGCAACACACCACTCGTTTATATTTATGACCATCATAAACTTGCCTGCACCCCAACCTGATTCAACATCAATAAACCATCCACATGAACCTTTACAAAAGTGGTGTTTGAGCAAAGGAGTTTTTGTTTATATTGAGACGGTTTACGTTGCTATACATCTTCAGTTCCAAACCAAGTCTGACCGTTAGTTGCTCAGAATTTGGTGAAGACTTTTCCACCACCCTTGATGATCTTCTTTTGCACCTTCAAGACGTTGAACTTGACGGTCTTTGACAAGGGCCTATCAATGACATACGTTAGTATACAGATTCAAAGAACAAAAGAAACTACCACACGGTATATGTACCTGCATTCACCAACAGTAACCATATCGCCAGCCTCGACGCCGATAAAGGCAGGTGACAAGTGAGCCGACAAGTTCTTGTGTCTCTTTTCATAACGATTGTACTTTTTGATAAAGTGCAAGTATTCCCTCCTGATGACGACGGTTCGCTTCATTTTGGTGGACATGACGGTTCCTGTTAGGATACGGCCACGGATGGATACGTTTGCTGTGAAGGGACATTTCTTGTCGACGTATGTTCCTGTTGTGTGTAGGTGTTAGTAATATGAAGGTTGCATGTAGGGAGTTTGAGCACCAGTACCTTCAATGGCTTCCTTTGGTGTCTTGAACCCCAAACCGACATCCTTGTACCATCTCTTTGTGACGCCCTGTATACCAAAAATATGATTCATTTTAGTAAGGTGGAATCTGACACAGCTTTAGCTACAAGTCCAATCCTTTCTCGAAAGCTGCTGTTTTTTTGTTCATCTTTGCAATGTGTCTACCTTTTTAGAAGCCTTGGCGTTAAGGAAGACGGCTTCTTGCTTTTGGAAACTCTTTTCAGTCTATAAATCATGAATGGATGCGTTAGTACACTTTGTGATATACATTGTCCTCGCTGGTGTTGATGTATTTTTTGTTTGGAAGATGGTTCGTGCTTTGCTTCAACAAATCGACATCACAAGTATGAAAAAGAGGACAGCAACTGTAATATCAGGTTGCTAATAGCGAGCATCATTATCACACTCACCTGTTCGGCCATTATTGAGTTTCTTTGCTTAAAACGCTGGTGTTGAGAAAAGCTCCAAATTGGTGTGGCTTATACCCATTTCATTTGGCCAGCGAGAGAGACAGAGAGAGAGAGAGAGAGAAGTCTCCTAAGTGTGCATAGGTAGCTAATACCTAATACTGATATTGTTTACGCTTAATTTGATAATTTTATTCCACACTCACGACGTGTCTTGACCATATCCCAAATGCAGACACTTTCAGCAACATTCGTGAATGCTGGTCTGAACTGGATCAGGAACTAAGACACCCGCGTCTGAAACGGACGAGATAGTATTTGGTATGTTACTTTGTGGGCTAGATCTGCTCAGTGCACTGCTTTGAACTTTGAAACTATATTGTGCTTGTTAAGAAGATATGAAACGACACCACACACACACATATACATGTATGTTGTAAGAGTAGTGTATTGCATAGATTATACTTACAGCGACACACAGCACACCTTGCACCTGAATGCATCGACGTTCGGCTCTCCATCCGAACAGTGTTTGTCGCAGATTGATCCTGACGATTCAGTTTGCTTTATACCATACATACCGTCAATGTTTTCAGTATATTGACTATCAAATCAACTAGATCCTTATGGCCCCACGTTCTTTGGCATGCACTTTGCCACTCTGCTGCTCCACATCAGGAATCACACTTGGAAGCACACTGCTGTTGGAGATTTAATCTTACGGGCACTCAGATAGCTCGCTTGTCTATCTCTCTTCGATGGAGAAGAACTTTGCCGCAGACGACCGGAAATCTGTGTGATTCGTCAAAACGTCGGTTTCTTAAAAATATACCGCCGTTTCTTTATTTCCAGATGTGCATATGAAGGTAACGAATTCATACAGATATGTAAAAGCATTGCTCATAACAACTCAATGCTTGACTTGGGCATACCAATCACCAGTGGTTTCAACACCGCCTTTTGTGACAGTGAGGAACTCGGTAGCAGTGTATGGTTTGTCCTTGACAAACTCGGCAAAGTCGTTGGGAGTATGATTCAAGATCCCGTTTCCCTTGTATATTGCCAAGACTTTGCCCAAGTGGAATTGAGCATCTATTTCGTTTTGGATTTCGATTGGGGTGACTGTGGTGACTTTGAAGGTTTTGCCTATGTTTAGAAAGAGGGTAAGTTAGAGCGGTGTAGCCATGATGCGCTAAAAAGTCATGAGGTTGAACGAGGAAGACTGTTATCTTACCAGTCGTCTTTTCCAAGAGTTCAATGGCTTGTTTGTCAGACAAGTATTCCGATGCAACCCTGACGATACGGTTTGCAGCAGCCTTGGATTTCAATGTGCCAGCAACGACCTTGCCAATATCTTTTAAAGAAGTGTATGCAACAGGTGTTGCGGTATCTTCGACAATTCTCGCAGTACCGTCAGTTGGATTGATCATAAAGATTGGAGAGAAGGAAGTATCGACAAACAATCCAACAACGATTGCTATAAACAACAAAAAAATGTTAACAGAAGTTCCCTGGCCATATCAACTTTTGACAGCACTTCAAAGTACTTACCAGTCCATTCAAGTCCAGCCTTCTTGATATCTTCGATAGCAGAGTCCTTAGCAGCAAGTCTAGAGCTGGTCAACCTTGAGTGGTCAATACCGAACTCAGATGGCACGAATCGTTTGACTCCGGCAAGCTTTGACGCTGTGATGGCGGCTGCTTGAGGTTCGAGACCAGCAGGAAAGGCGAGGAGAGATACGACAGCATCAATGCCTATTTCGTGAATGGTTTTAATATTGACAGAAAAGGAAAGGTTTGAGTGCAGGAGATTATACCTTTCAAGTTTTGGGTAAGCTCTTCCACATCAGTTGGGTTGTTGATCTTGACGACATGGACACCTATTGGAGCAACAGCATCGGCCTACACGAAGGTCGAGAATGTCAGCTCACAAATCTTACCGTGCTCCACAACATAGCATTCAGCTTACACTTCGAGAGAAGATGGTAACATCAAACCCAGCATGCACCAGTTCTTGAACTACTGGCTTGCCCTTTGAATAAATCAGAAAAAAAGATGAGTAAGCAAATCATAGTCGTAGATCCATGTTTTCTCTGTTTTCTCTAAACATACTGTTAGACCAGTTCCTCCCAAAACGACAATTTTCTTGTATCCAGTTTCGTTCGACATGATGTATAGGATGGCTTATATGGTTTTGAAATAGCGACTGATTCTGATTATGGAACTGAAGGGACAAAATTGTGGGAGCCACTTTTTTAATAGGCACTTTTGACATGCTTTGAAATATTACTAATCAGCTAGAATCAGCTAAAAGCTTTCAAATCCAGGAGGCGCAATTTACAAAAGGATGTGGCACGATCAAAAGGTCAAATGGAGGTAGTTTCGTCATAGGCTTACAGTCTTGGTGGTGCCATCAGTCGATAGGAATAATGGTGAACCATCAGCACACAGAGTAAACACTGTGAGGAATTGTGTCAAAATCATCGTGATATCAATGGTGGAAAAGGAAGACCGGCAGTAAAGAGAGCTTCTAGGTTGCTGACAGTTTGGGTGTATAAGCTTGAGCGATCGGTTTGATCGGTTGACGAACAACCCGAATTATCAAACGTTTGAAGGTTGCTTTACGCGTCAAGAAAAATATTTGTTAGAGTATGGAGACGTGCTATAACCCTAAAAGACAGCATCGGACCCGTTCAATACTGATGGAGACTATGCGTAATGTTGTCCTCCGCATCCGCTTCGAATCGTACTCGCTCCTCGTTGCTTACTTCGTCAGACCTCACGAAAGAGAGGCAGTTGAGCAACATAACTAAACTCTTCAAAGACATCGCACGGCAAGGAATGACACCTATATCATCAAAAGTACAGACCTGCAAAAAGGACTAACTATCTTGGATGCTCATGCCAGACCTTCCAACGTGACGATCTCGCGAGTTGCAACCAAACTTTCAATATAATATATACTGTCTTTTATTTCCAAATGTGCAAATGAGGGTAACCAGTTTCATACAGATGTAATGCATTGCTTATACAACTCAATGCTTGGCTTGGGCATACCAATCACCCGTAGTTTCAACACCGCCTTTTGTGACAGTGAGGAATTCGGTAGCAGTGTATGGTTTGTCCTTTACAAACTCGGCAAAGTCGTTGGGAGTATGGTTCAAGACCCCATTGCCCTTGTACATTGCCAAGAGTTTGCCAAAGTCGAATTGAGCAGCTATTTCGGCACCAATTTCGGATTGGGTCACTGTGGTGACTTTGAAGCTTTTTCCTATATTTGTGAAGAGTGTAGCAGATTAGGACTCTGTTGTCATGATGCGCACAACCAAAACAGCGAAGTAGCTTTCGGAAGAAGACTGTAATCATACCAGTCGTCTTTTCCAAGAGTTCGATGGCCTTCTTGTCAGACAAGTATTCAGATGCCACCTTGACGATACGGTTTGCAGCAGCCTTTGACTTCAGTGTGCCAGCAACGACCTTGCCAACATCCTTCAAAGAAGTGTACGCAACAGGTGTTGCGGTATCTGCCACAACTTTGGCGGTACCGTCAGCAGCATTGATCATCAAGAATGGAGAGAAGGAAGTATCAACAAACAATCCGGCAGCGATAGCTACAAACACAAAAAGTCAGAAAAACCATAGCAATAGTGACTGGTAATATCAACTCTTGACAACACTTCAAAAAGTGCTTACCAGTCCATTCAAGTCCAGCCTTCTTGATTTCTTCGACAGCGGCGTCCTTGCCAGCGAATACAGGGCTGTTCAACGTGGAGTGTTCAAGACCGAATTCAGATGGTACGAATCGTTTGACGCCTGCTCCTTTTGATGCGATGATGGCGGCTGTTTGAGCTTCGACACCAGCAGGGAAGCCGAGGAGAGATACGACAGCGTCGATTCCTAAGGTTGCATTGTTGTTTCAGGTTAGGAATATATATGTGAGGTTTGGAAGCAAAGCAATGACAAGCAAGGGTGCCAATGAAATACAGTAGCATGTGCGAATGAGCGTACACTAGCCTTGAATGAAAACTAATTGTCAGTAACTGTACTTACCCTTGAGCTTTTGAGTAAGCTCCGAGATATCAGTTGGGTTGTCAATCTTGACGACATGTACACCTTTTGGAGCGTGCGCCTCGGCCTACAAGATGAAAACACTCATAGTAATGAGAAAGAATCTTTGAAACAGCTGAAAAGATACAACGGTTTTTTGTTAATGTTAGCAAACTTACTTTTCGAGAGAATAATGTGACAGAGAAACCGGCGTGTGCGAGCTCTTGGACTACTGGTTTTCCCTACGTGAATCAAGAGTAATTAGTATCTCGTAATATTGAAGGTGCTAGAGGTATAGACTGACTAGTAGGCCAGTTCCACCCAACACGACAATATTTTTATAGTTTGTAGACATGGTTCTTTAGAGTAGTTCTAGTGAGGTTTGAGTCGGATCTGTTTGAGTCTTGGAATATGTTTTCTTGGTCTTGAAAGTTTGAAGCTCGCTCGCTTTATATAGTGTGTCAAAGCACGATTTCGTGGTTCGGTTGGCAAATTACGAAGATTCGCGATCGGTTTGACAAACGGAACCTGTCACAATAGCAAAGCAGGACGCGTCGGTAGGATCATATCTCATCAAAGAGATGTCAACCGCTGTATTCTTACGCTCGTGATATTGATCGCTACTCATTTCGTGTTTGCGTCGCTTCTCCATCAACTTGTTTCTTTTCGATTTTCTCGCAATGGAGCCTTTGAAAGATATCAAAATGCAAATTGATGTTCACTTTAAGCGCGTATCTTTATGTTTTGATGTTGATTGTTCATTGGCGAAGAATCGCCTACAAGCATTCTATCATCATTCACTACGTAGCAGCCTCGTCAAAGCTTCGAATACCAATCATCAGCATTCTCAACACCACCTTTCGTGACAGTCAAATACTGTGTAGCGGTATATGGCTTTTCTTTTACAAATTCAGCAAAATCGTTGGGAGAGTGATTAACAAGTCCAGTTCCTTTACAATATCCCAGAAACTTGCCAAAGTCAAACTTGGCCGCAATTTCAGCTTGAGTTTCGGCTGGGGTGCTTGTAGTGACGCTGAATTTCTTGCCTAAAGTGACGAGGTATCAGAGTTAGTCAAAGGAGTCCGAAATTTGACACTATCAACAGAAACTAGGCATGTTTGTTCTTGCTTACCGGTAGCACTTTCCAAAAGAGCAACAGTTTGCTTATCAGAAAGGTATTCACTAGCTACCCTCACAATTCGGTTTGCTGCTGCTTTTGATTTCAATGTGCCTGCGACGACTCGTCCAATATCTTTTAACGAAGTATATGCCACAGGATTCGTTGTATCCGAGACTAGTTTAGCACTTGCAGAAGCAACATCAAATCCAAGAGTAAATCCTACTTCAACAAATAATCCAACACAGATGACTATGAGAAAAGACTTTATCAGTTCTTTTGCTGAGTAGAGAGCAAGCCTTGTGTCAAAAACGTACCAGTCCATTCAAGACCAGCCTTCTTGATTTCCTCTAACGCAGCATCCTTGGCGGCAAACACGGGGCTTTTGAACTTCGAATGGTCCACACCAAATTCAGAAGGAAGGAATCGTTTTACTCCGGCAAGTTTTGCTGCTGTGATTGTTGCTGCTTGAGCTGCTACGCCGACTGGGAAGCCAAGTAGAGAAACTACAGCGTCAATGCCTGTTTGGTGAAGGGGTATAAGAATGGGAGTCGGGAGAGAGAGAAAAAAAGTTTGTTCTCCGAGATGCATACCTTTCAAGTTTTGAGCAAGGTCTTCAACGTCAGTAGGATTGCTAATCTTGACGACATGTACACCTGTTGGAGCAGCAGCGTCGGCCTGCAAACGGGAACTAAGGTGTCAGATCATACGTCAACAAGCCTGATAAATATTTGCAAACTTACATTTCGCGAGAAGATGGTAACATCAAACCCAGCATTCACCAGCTCCTGAACTACTGGCTTGCCCTTTGCACAAGTTTGAAAAAAAGATGAGTAATCAAGTCATGTTGGTAAATCCAAGCTTTGCTTCCACATACCGTTAGTCCAGTTCCTCCCAAAACGACAATTTTCTTATATCCAGTTTCGTTCGACATGATGCTTGAAAAGTCTTGTATGATCTTGAAAAAGTGAGTGATTGTGTTTTTGGATGATTGAAGGGACAAAGGCTGTGGGAGCCACTGTTTTATAGGCGTTTTAAGTGTGCTTTGAAATTTGACAAATCAGCAAAAGTTTTCAAATCCAGGGGGCGCAAATTACAAAAGAAGGGATATGGCACGATCCAGTGAAGGTAATTTCGTCATAGGCTTGAAGTCTCGGTGGAGGCATCAGTTGGTAGGAGGAACGGTCAACAGACAGGGCCAATTAGGGTCAAAACTGTCAGGAATTGTGTCAATATCAGCTTCACTTGGTGGAGAAGGAAGACCAGCAGTCACTACAGCTCTTAGATGGCGATCGGTTGGCGAAGTGCCCTAAATATCAAACTTTTGGAAGTTATGTAGCAGGAAAAATGGTTGTGGGAGTTGGACGAAGAAGGAGACGTGTTGGAGCACTAAAAGATAGCATCGGACGCGTGAAATACTGGTAAAGAATATTTGCAATAGAGTCCTCCGTATCCGCTTCGGATTGTCGTCCTCGATCGTTGCTTACTTCTTGTCAAACCTCACGACAAGTTCAACAACAGCGTAGCCAAACTCTATCTAGGCATCATAAAGCAAGCTATGGCACCGAAATCTACACCTCAAATTGTATTCGGAACCATGACGGTGCGTCTTTTGCCTCAAAATCCATGCTTGTTCAATCGGTCGTTCCTTTTTTGTGTTGAAATGTGAAGCACACACAATCGTGATATGCTGCTTGTTACGAGACCTTGATCTAGCATCATGAAATGCAGGATCTGACTCTTTCTGTTTCGTCTTCCCATAGTTTGGGACAGGCGTGGGGGGACGCATTTCTGATCTTGGAACAGTGCAAAAAGTGTTGGATGTATTCTCTTCGCATGGCGGAACGGAACTGGACACCGCTCGTGTGGTATGATCCTTAGCCTTGCTCAACTTTCGTTCCTGGTCATTCAACGTACTCTCGTCCATCTAGTACTGTCAAGGAAACACTGAAGAAGTATTGGGACAGCTCCAAGTCCAGAAAAAGTACAAACTGGCAACAAAGGTGGCTCCTCAGAAGCCTGGTGATCACCAGCCCGAACGACTCAAGGCACAATTCAGAGCCAGTTTGAAGGCATTAAAGACAAACTATGTTGATATCTTGTATCTACATGCTCCAGATCGTCCAACGCCGTTCGAAGATACTTGTCGTGCCATGTATGAAGCCTCTGTTCTCAGGTGAAGGTTATATGTAGTGTCTTACTTCTTTTCTTGGCTGCATAGGAACGAATTACACAAAGAAGGTCTCTTTGGTGAATTCGCGATTTCAAACTACTGTGCTTGGGAGGTAGTTGAGATTTACATGATCTGCAAGGCAAACGGATGGGTTCTACCTACAATCTACCAGGGGATGTACAATGGCATAACTCGGGATTGTGAAGACGATTTATTGCCCTGCCTCAAGAAGTATGGAATTCGATTCTATGCTTACAATGTCGGAGCAGGTAACGGCAATACTAAAGCACTTCCAACTATTTTTTGGCCAGGCTAACTGATTGTCTTCGCTTCACGCAGGTGGATTACTTTCTGGCCATTACAAGTTTGAAGAGACACCAACAGATGGTCGATACGGCGCTCATTCACAAGGGGCCCAGTATAGGCAAAGGTAAGCGCCTCGTTCAATCGTGTCTCACAACTATGAAAGCCGCATTCCACAGAGCAGCAAACTAACAAAGCGCTTTCTGGTCCGTATCAGGTACTGGAACGATACCTACTTCAAGGCAATTGACGTGGTCGTGAATGCTTGCAAGAAAGGTAAAGCTTACGAAAATGCTCTTCTTACACATTCCCTTTTTTTTGCTTGAATGAAACTTTCTTGCCATGTTTTTGAAGTTGGAGCCCTGATCCTAGACCGAACTTCATTTCCGCATTCTCATTTCTTTTATAATCATTTAGCAAACATTACACCAATTGGAGCAGCTCACAGATGGTTGTTGCATCACAGCAAGCTCGATTTCAGTGATGCCATCATCATTGGCGCATCAAGCGTTAAACACGCTCAAGAGAACTTGGACGCGTGTGAGGCAGGTCCACTTCCTCAATCGGTATTGGACGCATTCGATGATGCATGGTTACAAAGCAAGAGTCTCTGCCCTACGTACCACCGAGGAGGCCCAGTGCCTCGCGCATTCTACGGCTCTCCACGTCTTTGATGTGCTTGACAATACAAGTAGTAAGTAGTAAAAACCTGAAATAAAATGTAAGCAAGCTAGGACAGACGTGTCTTGGGTGAAGCTTTTGCGTGTTTCGTGTGTTGTTGTAGTAAACAGTGCCAATGTAAGCCGGCACAACGCGTTCAAGATAAGAAATGCGACTAAATAATAGATCCAACGCGTTCTTTGGTCTCTGAATGCTTGGATGGCAGTGTTCCACCCGTTCCTGCGTTCCTCCACGAACAACACACGAGTGTTTTAGCCGGACATGTCGAAGAGGCAGAAGGGCAGCAATGGAGCGGCTGCAGCTTCTCCTGTAGCAGGCTCTACCACTATAGTTCTTGGAACTCAATGGGGTGATGAGGGTAAAGGCAAACTAGTCGATATACTATCACAAGAAGCTGAAGTCTGTTGTCGTTTTGGGGTAAGTTTACGGATAAAAGCCGATTTTATTTTGTTTTAGAGAATGGTTGTATTGTTCATTAATGCATATTGCCATATATCGTCTACTCCTGCGACTTTTTTTTTCTTCATCATAACATCTCGCATTTTTGAATTCTCACTTACGTCGGCATTAGGGTGGAAACAATGCTGGACATACTTTGGTCGTCAACAAGGTCAAATATGCTCTACATCTCGTACCATGCGGTGTCATCAATCCTAAATGCATGAATCTTATTGGAAATGGTGTCGTTGTTCATCTCCCTTCCATGTTTCAAGAAATTGATGAACTGGAAGCCAAAGGTACCGCACCATCTTCATGTTTTTTATCAAGAACTATATCAAAACACGTTCAAATATACCACAACATACTAATACACTCTCCATCTATCGCCTATCAGGTGCCAAGCTCGATGGCAGACTCTACGTGTCAAACCGTGCACACTTGGTTTTCGACTTTCACCAAATCGTCGATGGACTTAAAGAAGCTGAACTAGGTGGCGGTAATATCGGAACTACCAGGAAGGGTATTGGTCCGACTTACAGTGCTAAAGCCTCCCGTTCTGGATTACGTGTTCATCACTTGATGTCGGATTGGGATGTCTTTACTGCCAAATTCAAAACTGCGCTGGGAAACAAAATGAAGAGATATGGGGACTTTGATTATAATGCTGATGCAGAGTTGGCCAAGCTCAAGGTAATACTACGATGGTTGTGGAGTCTTTTTTTGTTCTAGTTGAATAGCAAAACATGCACAATGACCTGTCACCACATCAGAATCGTCAACGTAGTCAGATCATTTCCGTCTGCTCACCAATTTCCTGTCCTTACGTAGGGTCTTGTAATAAGGTTAAAGCCCATGGTGGTAGACACCATATCCTACATCCACAAGTCACTATCAAACGGCAAACACGTACTGGTAGAAGGCGCTCAATCATTGATGTTGGATGTCGATTTTGGTACCTATCCATACGTCACATCATCAAGTACTTCTATCGGCGGTGTATGTACCGGTTTGGGTATTCCTCCTTCCAAAGTCGGCAAAGTCGTCGGTGTCGTCAAGGCTTACACGACTCGAGTTGGAAGTGGGCCTTTTGCTACTGAGCAGTTGAATGTGAGTTGCTGAAGGGTTATGATAGCTCACTGCTATGGTATAGCGGTTTTTTTTGTTCTGACTGACATGTGGTTGTTGCTTAGGACGTGGGCAAGCATTTACAAGAAGTAGGATTTGAATGGGGTGTTACTACTGGTCGAAGAAGGAGATGTGGATGGTTGGATATGGTCGTATTGCGATATTCGCACATGGTGAATGGATACACGAGGTACAATCATTGTACTTGATACGTAAACAGCATCTCCTGTTTTTTGTACTAACGTAATCTTCCTTATTATAGTGTCAACCTGACAAAACTGGACGTGCTGGATCAGTTAGACGAAATCAAGATCGCTGTTGGCTACAAGTACAAGGGAGAATTACTTGAGAGTTTCCCAGGTAAGAACTATTAAGGCGCCAATATGTCCACCAGCTAGAACCCATTCTGACTTCAAAATGTACTACTACTTAGCTGATTTGGACTTGCTGGAGCATGACTTTGAAGTGGTTTACGAAACCTTCCCAGGATGGAAGAAAGATATCTCATCCTTCAAAAAGTATAATGAATTGCCAGAAAATGCTCGAAAGTACATTGAACGAATTGAAACTTTAATGGGTGTTCCAGGTATGCATAAATCGAATGGTCGGCTTTTTTTGTTCGCCAATGTAACTCATTGAACTTTTCTCTCGTAGTGGAATGGATTGGCGTTGGTGCAGACCGTGCCGCTATGATTCATAAACCACTATAGAAATGAGAAGGATGTCATGTTTACAAATATACAACACGTTTATCGATGAATCACTCTAACTCTCGGCCAAGTATAATCGAAATGTCACATGAGGGTGTTTCTTGGCTCGCAGTTCATAGGCGAACAAAACATTGAGCACAATCGCTCTAACTACTTCTGGTTAAGCTCAGTAAAATCCCCCCCAGAAACTGATGAACTCGAAGCCAAAGGTTGCTCGATGTGTTGCTTGTGATTGTCTGCATCAGAACTATAGTGATTGATAAAATCCCTTTTTACTTCAGTAGGACACCAGCTCGATGTCAAACTCTATGTGTCGAATCATTACGGCTCCTGTGACGCCTCTCCACCTGATAGATCGCCCGAGGAAATCTATCAAACAGAGTGACCTCGACTTATGAACCCATCAAACAAACTTTTCGGTTTGTGCAGTAACCCCCCCCCCCCTTCATCCAAAGATGTTTCCCGACGGTTTGGCACAGATTCGGTACTTTATCCTCTTCCCCGATATGAATTACTAGGTACTCGCGACTCGATTTTCTCGACCAACAGAAAAAAGCAGAGTATAGTTACCACATGAGTGTCGTCTTCCTTTCATTCGTCTCAAAGTCCTTTTCTATATTGGGAGATTAAGAGGAAATGAACAATGTTGGAATATGTGATGGGATTATTTTTTTCTAAATGTTGGCGTATATATTTTCAGCAGAGAAGACCAGGAAGAGACTGACCCTCCCGAATTAATATTCCGTCAAATACAGCAGAGGCAGCTCGACCCCCCTTCCGAGCACTATAACCCGTAGTAAAATGAGTGAATTGCTGGTAGTGTTTGCAAATGAAGGCGCAGCTCGGCGAGCTCTATGACCTCTCTAGCATAACACTCGGACTTACTTTTCCACCGAGAATTGACCTTTAGCCCGTCCAGAGTAGGTGCTTTTAGTGGTTATACTAGCAGGTTCTTGTTCGAAATGAAAAGAAGGTTGATAGGCGATTTGATAAAAGACGAAAGAGGGAAAGTCGTGTTTGTGGTATGTTTGGAGTAGCTCTCTCATCGTAAATGCCAGTACATGGTCTATTGCAGTCCAATATATACACGTTACTTCTTCGCTGCGTTTGTGGTGAACAACCTGTTATCAACAATTCCTTTGATTTTCAAGACAGCTTGTAGGCGTGACGTTTCAGGCAAGTTGCATACCTGAGAATTTCATCACATTGTCAGGCTGTAAGCTTTTTCTCTTATTCGCTAATACAGTCTCATCGACACTGTCTTGCACATTCCGTCATCGGATGCAAGTTCTTTGTAAGCACATCAGGCTCTCTAACAACTACCGATCACTCAAAGCTAGACAAAGATACAAACAAGTGCCTCCAATCCCAATCCAGCCAGAGATGCCACCGTTTGAACGTGTGCTGTGAAATCTAACTGCGCCAATCAAAATATCAAGGAAACTCCAACGTTTCGAATTTTCACGACCACATCTACACCATGTCACGTAAATCATCATCATCAGGAGCATCCTCACGGGCATCTACATCAACACTCAAGCAAGAAAATACCAAACGACACATCAAATCACCAACATCATCAGTCCCCATACAATTCAAAATCAAGACATTTAGCAGTGAAGCCTTCCGTCCATTTACAATATCAAGCCAACCACCACCTTTAACACCATTACCGCCATCGAATCGTCCTTCTACGCCTCCTTCACGAGGTTTGATTGCGTCACAGCAGAGACATCGACAACAGCAACAGCAGACACATCAAAAGCAAGTATCAGGGAAGCAGAAAAATGGAGAATTGACATCTACAGACGAGGCATCAGAAAAGAATGGCATCATAATAATCCCACATACCCACCACCACGGAAAATACCACCACGAAGAACGATGCGCACACGAACTACCCAACAAAAGGGATGAATTTAAAATTATCTCAGAGGGTCCTAGTGCACCACGTCCACATGAAGAAGCACGGAAACTCTCTCCTCCTGTTAATATCGACACCCAACCTATTGTATCAACCAGATCCACACCCAAACAACGAAGAATGGATACAACTGGATCAAAATCATTCAACGATGTATTGAGATATGGAAACCGTGGGGATGGAAGGGACTGGCAGCGTCCGGTATCATTGGTGGTGCGTCAGAGTGTTGTTTCAGGGAATGCTAAAGAGTTGGCAAATCGGGATACGTCTGCTGTTATTCAGGCACCGAATGATTCACATTTCTATCTCTCTGAACAAGTGTGTTGTGTCGGTATTCTTCCTTTCTCTGTTGGTGTCTACTCTAACACACTCTGTTGTAGGATCGATTCTCCAGCACTGGATTTGTAGACCGGGACTCGATACGTGCCAAACAAACACAGGCAAACAAGCTCAAATATCACATCAAGGACAAGAATCTAGGAAACTTGGCACAGCTCGCTTAAGTTTTGATATGCGTGCTTGTATATAAAAAAAGGACGAATTCTATATAAAGAGAACTGCTGACCATTATAACGAAAAGCTTAGAAGACAACTTTCGTATGCGACTATTATGAAGAGCAAATACTATGTAATAAGTGGGGGAAGTAAATCATTTCAAGGCAACAGTTCAGTGCCAAAGACCTGATCCCATATCTTGGACGTTATACCGAATCCTAGATCGGCATTCTTGTAATGATGGTCCAAGTGATACTAAAGGACAAAAAAACACAAGTCAGGAACCATATGATCCTCATTCGAACAACAGTAATAATCAGTACAAAACGTACCGTCTTCATATCTCGAAAATGTCCGGAAGGTTTGCCGTGATGTAGATAGTAATGTACCAAATCATATGAGATGTATCCGAAATACGTTCCAGAGGCAATAGGCCAAGCCAGCCATACCGGTATCACAGACAAGTATATCATCCATACGGGGATTGACAATGCTGCTAATAGTACTGGTGGCATGACTAATCTCATGCTAAAACGAGAGAATTTTGTTTAGTTAGCATTGAGGAGTATGTGACGAGTATGATATCAACAAAAACCAGCGTTGCCACATGATACAATATCCTATTCTGACCGAACTCACCTATCCATAGGCAGATAATGATGAATACCATGCAACAAGAAGTGCAAGGTAAAAGCGGCCTGATGATCAGGCAATAATTTATCCATATGGAACAAGAATCTGTGCAGCGTATATTCAATCAACGACCAATTGACGACACCCAAAGTCCACAAGATTGGGATGCTCCAAACTGGCACGGTAAAAAGTCCTTTATATAGACAGAATAGCGATATTGGACCCCAGACTGTTGGGATCACCCACCAAGGAGTCAGGGTAAATATTTCTAATACGCCGCCAAATATAGGAGCCGAGTTGATTGCGTGACGTGGTATGTGGACTTGTTTCAGATAGTATTCTTTAGTCCATTTAGCTCGCCATACCTATATGATGATTTAGTGCACAGTTATGTTTGTGAGTCAAACTGCATCAACTGTGTGGTGCTGTAAGCAATAAAAGCGGCATCTCCAAAGGGGACGAGCGCTACATGCGCACCTGAGCGACCATAGGCTTATTCACATCAATAAACTTTTCAATCTTGTCTTCAGCACTAGCTCCATGCCATTTGGGTTCACCAGAAACAACCTTGCTGTTTGATGTTGTCGAGTATGGATTTCCCTTGTCGTCGACGAGTAATCCAATAAAGTATTCTTCCAGCATATCGTAAGCCGAGTCCGAGTGCGAGTGCTCTAGTGGATCTTCCATGATGCCAGTAATGTCTCCTCCAGCTCGCTGCAAGATAAACTCCTCGCCACCCGGATGGTCATAGAGGAAGCGAGTCACATCATAGACTCGTCCGTGGCGCACAATCCATGCTGATGATGCGGAATGGTGTCGCGACACTTCGGCCGCCGTGAATTGCTGCACTTTGGACATTGTTGTTCTTCTTTTCTGTGGGTTTGAAAGTTTTGCAAGTTCAACGTGGCCAAAGATCGGGTTTACCATGACTAATGCTGAGAAGGATGGAACTGAGCTCGGCTACTCAAAGCTCCAAACGAACCGCGTAATCGCGTAGAGGATCTCAGTGGAACTGCTGGGATCAACACGTCTCCTTCATATCTAGTGAGATGACTTTTCGTTTTATGTTCCTTTGCGATTCTACCATAATATACAACACATTCAACCTCACTTATATCAAACTATTACCTATTTACCCTCACTAATTCCTTCTCACTTCTCCTATCTACACATGCGACATGCACCAAGTCACAACATTATCCAAGAAATCCATTCGATGGAATTTGGCAATATTGGAAAACACGTGCATTCGTCTCCTGAAATCCTCCTTGGAATATACAGTCACAAACTCTCCAGAGCATGCACAATATCGTCGCATGTTTGACCCCTTGATTTGCCGACATTTAGTACATTTGAGATCCTGCAATTGCCAAAATGTCAACCGTCGTTGTACTATATCCACCAATTGTTGCTCAATAGACGCCTTGTCATATTCAGCTCGACAGTGCGGACACAACCATTGATCACGAGTTATGCGTCCATCGTCTGCTACTATTGGTAATAGATCCGGGTCTCGAGTCAAATCGAGATTACGAGTACTACAGCAGTAATAGCACATGACACCTGGTAACCTAAAGGCCTCACATGGATTGATAAAGTTGGAGCTATCGGCAAACTCTCGTTCTCCTACAAGTGTGAGCAAATCTCGACGTAGATGTCTCACTTCTCGTTCTATAACCGGCTCTAGGCTCAATACAGCACATACAGACTTGATGAACTCCAATAGAGGCTTCTTGAGTTCTATATGGCTACCAGGTAGTATCGGAAACTCCCATGATGCTACTAAATCAGCATCACCACTCATACGAGCAGAATGATATTCTCGTTGAAGTTCAGGTACAGCCTGTATCAACTCTCGTTTCAATGTCATGCTAATAAAGTTACGGAGGAATCGTGCCATATCATCATTCTCATCCTCATCGTCATCTAGTCGAGACGACTGTCCCGGACGTTGTCCTAAACCAACCATACCACCAACTCTAGGTTGCTTGGCATCGTCATCTAGTTTGACACGTTTAGCTGCCCGGTGACCAAGCAACGGATCAGCATCATACAAGCCTTTACGGTATTGAGTCGAGGCATACACATAGTGACCTATAGCTCGTTGGAAGTGCTCTTGTAATGCCGTTGGGAGATACTCCTGAATATTCCATCGGGCCTCTATTTCAAGAGCACTCTCCGGTGCTTGGGAGTTGGTAGTTGCTGGCTTCTCTTTACGTTTATTACTACTTTGACGTGGCTCTGGAATTTCTTCAAAGTTTGGCTCATCGTCCGCTTCGTCTTCTTGGACTTCTTCGTTATCATCGTCATCGCTACCAGACTCACTCATATTCTCGTCACGGGCAAAGGAAAAGAGCTTTCGCATTTCACTCTTTTCCTTCGGGTTCTCTCGAGCAATTGCCATAGCATCATTACCGGTTTCGGTGGCATCATCACGAGTATCGGCTTCATCCTGATCGGTTGCGTCATTGCGAGTATCAGAGTCGTTGCCCGTATTTATATCATTGTTGCCATTACCATTACTTACTTCGTTACAAGTCTCGTCAGCACCATTGTTGCCTGATTCAAGGCCATTTCCAGGCGCGTGATCACCTGCTTCAATACTACGTTCGTCCTGTCTGATTGCCGTAATTGCGCCTGCCCAATTATACAAGTCCATCCACATCAAGGACTGATAGTATTGTACAGGCACAAGAGTCAAATGCTGAAAACTCTTGGAGAGAGCACCAATTGTATAGTCTATATAAGCACGAGCTTGCGGAATCTTGTGTTTGGTCGTAGCCAATATCAATTTCTCAAAACTGGCATATACTACACGAGACCCTAATCGTTTAAAATCTGCTACTATAGAAGAATACGACTTGCGCATCATTCCGTGAATAAGTGCTTGTAGAGCAGGATCATATAATTTGGCTTCAGGGTTTGAAAGCCATCGTGGGAGCTGATCTAGTACTAGTGCTGCCCAACGATCTCCACGTTTGGATCGGTGACTCCATTCCTGTACTAGGCCTTTTACTTCTTCGACTACACGACCAGACAAGAGTGATTCATCTGTAATGGATCGAGTCAACCCATTCTGAAGTTGCTCTTCTACACTAGTACCGATATTGGAATCAAAGCCTAAATCACCATCAGCCATAGCTACAGTTTGCAATAGTGTGTTTTTGGCCAAGTGGAAGACTTCAACTTCCACGCATACACTATCATAAGCACCTGGTACATTGACTTCCAAAACAGCGGATTCAGTCAGTTCATCAGCATTGTAATCTTGTTCTCGTCCACCTAAATCTGGTTTTCGAGCTAGAGATACCCATAAAATCATATCTTTACGTTGGAGTCGTCGTGCCAAGATCAAGTCAGTCAAAAAGACGGAATAATCAGGTTCTACATTACAGAAGGGCACATTGGCAAATCTACATATTGCCGTTCGATCAGCAACCCAGCCATCGACATTCATCAAGTGACCCATCATTTTACGGCATGCTGGACGTTGCCAATCAAGAGGTGGTATCGAATGATCACGAGTATGAGATTGCATTATGGCATTCGGGAATTCAGAGATCGGCGGGATGCCATCCGTCACTTGACGGAGTGATTTCGGTGACTGTACTATTACCATAGTAGCACCACGACGTGCATCCTGGTATGCACTGATCGCAGCGCTGATTTGCTGTTTGGCTTGGGCTTCTGTTGATACCACGAGAGCAGTACAATCAAGACCCTCGTGTCGTAAGAATTGTGGATCTTGGGATACCGTATGATTTGCCAACGTTTCACTATAAAATCGAGCTAGATTGGGTATAGCATCCTTATTGTTGGCAGGATCAACGAGTACGACAGTTGCCTTGTTGGATGCAGTCGAGAAGAGACCAAATACGTGACGTGGACCAGTATTCGCATGATATAAATATAGAAAATTTAAGTTCGACCTGTCTAAATACCCATCATTCTTTTCCTGCGTCAAGTCCGTAAGGACATCAAATCCGTCGTCGAGTCCACGACCAGACTTGATACGTTCCTTCTTTACAGCAGTAAAGCAGCCGACTTGAATCAAGGCACGGAAGAGTAGAGGTACTTGAGTTTCATATACCGAGTCTACCGATTCATGGGTAAAGACATTGGCAAAAGTGCTCATATTCTCCTGATAAAACGACTCTGCCATGGTGAATTCATATAGATGGTGACATACATGAGACCTAGGGAGAGTTCGGACACGTTTTTCAACTACTACTCCTGGTCGAGCAATATCGGGTTGATCGAATCGACAATTTAAATAGAATACTCGAGGTACCGTCAACCTTATAGAATGCAAGTCGCCTTTTACCAAGACCCACATACGAAACTCACCTGGCAAGTCAGTTTCAGCGATCTGTAGTACTTGCAGGCGGGCATTCAAAAGGGCATCTGTACGTTGACGGAAGTATCCTTCGACGTTGATGAGTTGTTCACGACGTGGTTGTGCCAGACCACGTTCAATCAATGAACGTTCATGAGCTCGTTCTTTGATTTGTCGTGCCCATTTCCTTTTCTGGTGTTTCAACCATCCAACATAATCCGTTCCCATATTTGGAGGTGGTTGCGGATTTGAATCTTCCGGGATATCCTTATCGTACTGCTTGCTTTTATATTTATGAACGACAGGATTGAACACTTTATTTCCTGATGGAGCAGCCATGTCTTCCATATCAACACCATAAGCTTCTTCCAAGGTGTTGGCCTTTCCAAACATTTCAGTGATACGGAATTGTTTGACCTTATCATCACGGGCAGCTACTCGTTTATGAAGCCAATCAGGATGTCTTACTCGCGGTATTGGATTTGGTAAGTGTTGCATGGCAGCAGGAATGGTGATGATTTTCTGGATGACCGAGCCAAATCGTTCCAGGTAGTAATTCCAGTCTAATATACCTCGGAAATCAAAGTCTTTTAAGTTCGGATCACGCAGCCATTTTCGCAGAAAGTGTTTCTTGACACTCAATTCTGCTGAAAAGATGGCAACAGGAATGGCACGTTCACTGACGGGTAATCCAGCAGGACGCGAGGTAATAACGAATTTGCAGTCTACAAAGGACGATGATATTAGTCTCTCAATCTCAGATATGTCTAGGTTTTGCTGGAGAGAAAAATTTAAAGCCACTCATCAAATGCATCCAGAACACTTACTTAGACCCTTGTCCTTGACCATCTGTTGACCAAGAAACTCTGCCAGTCGTTTAGCGGTACTGATAGATGTAGACTTTTGAGCACCATATTCTCGTAAAGATTTGGACATGCTTCGATTTTCCGAAATCAAGTCGAACAATTCCTCGTCATCCAAATCACCACCTTTACTATATAATACATCCAGCCAACGATCGGCGACCTGTGCTACTTCCTGATAACACTCTTCTAGAGTCGTGCCCCGTAAAAATACAGCAAAGATCTGTGACTGGAAGATCTTGACGAGTTTGAGTTCACCACGACGTTTTACTTCAAATCCTTTCAGTTCAGCTAGTGTGCCATCATCATTGAAGACAGCATACCTCTTCTTCAATAATCTGTCTTCTTCAGTAGATGCAGGCAATACCATGGCTCGATATGGACCATCGACTTCAAAGAATACACTATTTTCACTTCGAATACTATATTCTAGACTCTCATTGTTGACGAGCTCCTGATACTGGTGGTTTGTAAACTTGTCATGCACAAGATGGTTGAGCATGACACCCGGATAAGAGATATTGTGAGACTTTCCGTTCTTGAGTTGGAACGAAAAGTTTTCTGGGAAGGATAATGGTAGCATACACCAAATACCATCCGTGTCAAGCTCTAGTGGTCGACCAAGTTTTTCGATACGAGATCGTGCTAGTTGAATGATGCGAGCACCAGTCAAACAGACAATACCAGCCATTTCCATTGAATACCATCGTGCACCTCTACGCATCACATATCCATAAAAGGAGTTGAGAATACACTTATGGGCAGTTTGCAGCGAGTCATATACTACAATCATCTTTTTGGCTTCCTCGGCAGCAGCTAGACTACCGTCCTGTAAGATATCTTCCAGTTTCTTCTTCCACACCTTCAGAAGGCCTTTATATTCGTATCGACGATCACGGAATTGACGTACAGTATTTACGTAAAACGGATTTTCTCTTTGGCATACGATAGATGTCTTGTCAGCTGTCTCCTTTTCCATTCCCTTTTTATAAACGCGTTTGCTGTATTCAGTCAAACGTTTCTTGATGGCAACGTTCTGTTCATAGACTTTCAGTTCTGAGAATGGTCTAGCTTCTTGGCCTGGATGGGTAACTATCTTTTCCGTTTGAAGCTGGTTGACAATCATATTATATTCGCCCCTTTTGGCAGGGAAGAACTCTCCTCTCCAAGTCCAATCCATGCGACGTTGACACAGACTTCCTGGACCTTCATTGAAGTCACAGGATGCACAAGTGCTTTCGTCTACTAAAGCATCAGGTTGCAATCGATTGGTCAGGATGATATTCGGGTACATGGCTGCTACGTCCAAGTGGTAGATTAAAGGTTTTTCGGTTCGTATGGGTTTACTTCGCAAATCAATAAGCTGAGTGAGAATGTTTTGCTTGACCTGGTGGAGAGAAAAAGAACCGTGAAATTCCAGAGAGGCATATTCACAAATTTATTCCACACCTCCTCATAGTTCACAACATCTTCCACATTCGTTTTGCCTTCAACCCTTAAAGTGAATTGGAGAGCTTGATCCAATTCGGAAATGAGCTAGCCAGAAAAGTTGCACAGCATCAGATTTAATTTAAATTTGATTGGCACATAATCAAAGACCGACCTGATCATATGCTTCGGCGTGAAGATGAAAGCTAGTTGGCAAGTCACTTCGAAAAACTCCTGCTTCCAGGGCCTCGACGTGACCTCCAACGTAGGTCTCAGATTCCAACAAATGGCCATCATGGAACTTCCCAAAGTCGTCTTGGTGTTTATTAGGCATAATCACGTTGGCTTTATATGCTTGCACCATGAGAAGAGTTTCACAGAGTGTTCCTGATCCACGACGCAAGACTTCGTCTGGATTCATCGGGATAAGATTGCAGAGGGAGAAGATGAAGGGGTTGACATATTTCATGTAGAGATAGTAGGTTGCAACAGCATCTGAAACTGAATATTGTGCCAATGTCTGAGGATGTTCTGATGCGAATCTGTTCAAACGTTGCGTCTCAGCTCTTTGTGTTGAAGTGTTTCGTAAAACGGGGCACAAATCTCAACACACCTAGTCATGTCTTCGGGATCAAGCTCCATGGGATTGTAACCAAGCTTTGCGGTCGTGACTGCCTGTAAATCAATAGCGAGTTAGGATCGGAAACGTACTTGGCAGATGACTTCACAATATGCCCATCGACAAAGCACTCACCTTGAGACCTTGCGACCCTTGTGGAAGGTAACTGTCTCGCTTGACCCACAGGAAACAATCCATGTGACTTGCATGATGAGATTGGAATTGACCTTGACTATCACTCTGAGACTGGGCATTCCTAGGACTTGGAGTATCACAGTCGAATCCGATTTCCTTCTTCATATCAATACCGTGGATTAGAGCACGGGTCTTGATGAAGGGCCAATCGAAAGAGTCACCATTATATGTTACAAATACATGTGGTTTCACTTGTTGAATATGCTCAAAGAATCTCGTGAGCACATCACGTTCGGTAGGCTCATTGAAGATGGTAAACGGACCTTCATATTCTGGTGTAGGTGTGTACTCAAAGTCCTCTATGTCTTCTGATACAATTTCTCGGTTCGTAATCAGAAAGCCCTATAGTTGAATATGAAATGAGTGTTGTCCTAGGTTACTGTAATGCAACAATAGGAATGTGTCATTGTACCTGTCCATCAACCATGTAAGAAATCATCATGATTGAATCCATTTGAGCATCAGGAAACTTGAGTGGCTGCTTGGATGTTTCTATATCAAAAGCCAGCACCACTGGTTCAGCACGCTTGACTCGATCAGACCGTGGCTCAATGAAGATGGTTCCAGCAAGAGCTCTGACGGTATACCACAAACCCACACGAATGTCTACATTGCGATTTTCAGGAGATGTTAAAAAGGACTAGTCTTTTGAGAGCAAGATCTCAACCATCAGAAACGTACCAGTGTCTATGGCTGTTCGAACATAGTAGGGCAAATCGAATTCTCGAATATCGATAATATTGTCCACCGTGTTGTGGCTGCTCTTGATTGGGTTTTTAGGACGATCATTGAATATGTCCTCTGACCTGAAAGATGACAGTATTAGAGCATTAGAGCCATTCAGAAAAGCGGAATAATTTGACTCACTCTTGGGTTTCTGGATTGAGTTTGTTCCTCTCGTAAGCAGACATCAAGTGTTTGCGACATGCCATGAGATTGAATGTATTCCAAAACGTGAGTTTCAGATATAGGCTCTTGTGCCCAAGCAAGTGATTTGCCTACCGATTATACGTGTCAAACGATAGGTTTCGCGAAAACTACACAAAACGAGTGACAACTCACCAAGTCCAAGTCTTCCTTCTCGACTCGCTCAACACGAAGAAGAACACCTTCGAATTTTCGTCGTAGATAATCTTCTACATCTGCCTCTGTGTCCGTCTATTAGAAAATAGAGTCAACCTAGCTGTAAGTACAAATTAGACAAAGCAGAGCACCACTAACTTTGCACTTGATAAAAAAGTATGGTTCATGTAGAACGGTCGACTTGAAAGAACCGCCATCTTCTTCGAGGAAATACAAGTCAATAGCAGACTTTCCAGTTGGACTTTCTTGATCCTTGACGAGCGTCTAAACAACACAGAGTGCAAAGTTGAGCGTCATTAGACAAGCACACACACTGAGACGGTAGATCTTTAAGCTAAAATGATTCACATACTGGATGTAAATTGACTAGCCATCCTAGCTTTTCAGGTCCTTCAGCGTATCGATAGAAACCCATGCGCTCATCCATTTCATCCCTCAGCTGAATTTCCTCAAACATTAGCTGGGATCGATCTGCCATCTCCTCCATCTGATAATATTGCTCCTGAATAGGCGCAATCTCATTTTCATAGCCTCCTTCAACAGGTATTGGTGGTGCTTTGTATGTCGGAAGTGCAGTGTTTGGCTTGAAGAACGAACCTCGTTCCTGAGGATTGCCAATCTGCTTGAAGCTCATCTTGGCCAATGTATATCATAGGGCACCGCTATCTGTCTACTATGAACAACAATGGCTGAAGAACAAGTCAAGATCAAGTGTTTGAAGATTCGAAGTTTGTCAGGTACCGACTGGCTGAAAGCTTGATGACGACGGGTTTAAGCAAGACAACAAAAAAGATTTATTCGTGATTCTTATAAAGCAGATATATTATACTCTTACAACCACCATGAACCGCGATCGCGTACCAGCCACTGACTACTTTGAATGCCTACGTATATGATAAAAGTTACAATGTATATATGAGAAGAGGAATTTGGTCCAATAGTTGAAGACTGGATCTAGAATTCGAAAATCCAGTCTTCGTGGAATTCTAGGTCCTTCAGCAGTGTTTTACAGGTATCAACCATTCCATCTGGACCACACAAGAAGGCTACCGACCCTTTCTTTGCACGTGGTATGTAATCCTCCATCATCTTCTTGTCAATTCTTCCCTTGCCATGCTTCCAGTTACTAGGTTTGATACCAGACAGAGTATAGTATATGCTAAACCGAGTTGGGTAGCGCTTCACCATGGCTTCCAGCTCTTTATACAGAAGAATGTCATCTTCGTTACGATTGGAATACAGCAATTGGATTTTAGGCGCATCTTTAGCAGCTAGTTTATCCAAGTCTGGCAGCATTTGCTGCAAGACATTATACATTGGTGTTATACCTGTTCCAGCGGCAAGCATTGTTACGTGTTTGACCTTAGTAACTACATGATCGTGTGATGATGCAGACGACGGGAGCAAGAATTCGTTTCCTGACCCATCCAAGTACTCTATATGGCCCAACGGCCCCTTTGCATCAATCGTTGTTCCGATTTTCAATTGTTCCAGAGCTGAAGTGAATCTACCCCCTGTCGGATGGTTTTCATCTTTAAAGTATATCTTAATCAAAATATCCATGTAACCGACGTGAGATGACGTTGATATCGGGGTATAGGCTCGGATTACGTTTTTCGATTCACCATCTTGACTAGGTATCTTCAGCATGACGTGCTTGCCTGTTGGCATACCCATCATATCGGTGTCTGAGAATTGGAATCGGAATATTCGGGTGTCGTGGTTGAGTATGTCCTTCTTTACGAGTTTCAAATATGGGGTATATGTGCGAGGATTAAAGGTGGTCACTTTATCAAGATATTCTGCGACGTCGTCTACTACCAGTTCACCAATTAGATAGTCCTTCAGCATCACGTGTGCCTTTTTCGAGTGGATATCATCAAACTCTTCGGTACAGTCGGTTCCGGCCACTATTAGTATACTATCGGCACCTCCAGGATGGGCTGTCATAAACGGCGTAGCGTCATATACTTTACCACTATGGACAAACCAGCAATCGTCACTGGTTTTGTGTTCTGCGACTTGCTTCATGGTGTATTTTGCCAGCGGTTTCGATGGCACTAGCTCAACAATCTCCTTGATCTCTGGTCCATTCATTGCTTTTAATAACGGTGAAGGAGCCAATGCGCCCGTGGCTCTCATCATTGGTGACAACAGACCATTTGCTGTGACCTACATGCAAAGAAAGTGGTGATATCGGTTAGTAAGCTTTCGTGGATGCACCAGAAGCAAGATACTAGGCAGGAAGTAAGGCTTACTGGCTTGAATTTGGGAGATGACAGAACAACCGAGTTTGTGTCGACATGTGAAGAATACATCCAGCCTCCAGATTGTGCTCCAGGCAAGGTTGGATGCTCGAAGCGTATAGAGCCGTTGGCAAGATGGTGAACACGTATTCTGAAATAGCAGTTGTTCATCATACCCTAATCGAGAAGATACAGTTGTTAAGACTCAAGTACATGAATTCAGATGATCGGCCACCACTTTGATTCAAAACATCAACATAAGCCAAAGTTAACAGCAAAGCTCACCATCAAATTCCATGTCATCTTTTCAGGCTGCGGTGATTGTCCATCCCAAGCTCTGACCCATAATTCCTTACACTTGAGAACGCTTGCATCTTCAACTACGTATTCCCAATGGAACCAACTCCAGTATTTACCACGCCGTATATACTGTTGTGGGTATGGCAAGATGGTGGCGAGCTTCCAAGACCCACCCTGATCTAGTGATATTTCAATCCGGCTGACTTTACGACCTCCTCCTGTATAACTATAACCCTTCATAGTGTATGGTTCTTTGGCAGGCAGCTGCAGGACTTCGTCGTGTGAGGGGCTAGATATACAACTGTTCACATTCAGCTCGTTGATGATGTACTCTTCTTTATACCACCATTCTTCCTTGTCGGCAACTTCACTACTGGTCACTACGGTGGGTAAGACCCTGTTGTCGAAGTAGTGGTAGTATAAATCGGATTCTTTGCTTGTAACTGTTATACGAGACAGCCATTTCACCATGCGTCCACCGATATGACCAGGAATTATCATCCTTATTGGAAAGCCGTGATCCGGAGCGAGGGATTTACCATTCATTTGATAAGCGACTAGTACATCTAATCAACCAAAACTTCATAAATATCAAAAACGGACGCAAATGGGAAATTCAACGAAAGGAGACGAGGGCATGACTCACCACATCGAGGATCCATAGCAGTGTCTATGGATATACTAGTACCGTACTTGCCCTTTGGTAAATCCTCCACACCCTCAAAGCACACGTACTTTGCCTTTTTCAGATTTACTCCAACATGTGTCAACAACTCTCGTAGTTGTACACCCTTCCAAATCGAATTTGATAAACCAGCAGCGCCCCAATTGAATCCAATACTCTGCTTTACAGCATTCTGTTCCTTCCTTCGATTGCCTGCACACACAAGTAACACAGGAAACTCCTCGTGGGGCATATCCATAATTTCCGTCATTGTAAAAGATTGTGGTCTCTCGACAAGTCTAACAAAGCGAATAAAATAAGCGAAAAGACGCCTATTCAGCTGTTACAGGCTCGAGACTGATGAGTTTCTTACCCTTCTATGGTCAAACGGTGAGACACCTGGTCGACCTTGGGACAATAGCCATGATTCCTCACAAAGTGATAAGCTACAGGCGTCAACCATCCCTGCTTCATCAGCAATGGAAGTGGCGCTTCGCAGTTGAAGGGGTGCCTGTCCCAGTAAGTGGGTAAGCTCGTTTTTCACGCCCATTCCAGCACACAAGTAACAAAACATCAAGCACACCTGCCAGTCAACCGAACCAGCTCCTTAGCTCTTGGAACCCATGCATCAGGTGTAGGTGTATCTACATGCAAGTTAGATCAAGTTACCCACGGTATACTCAGCTACTTTCTTAAGCACAAAAACCAAAACACATAGAGTTTTGCCATCACCAACCTCGAGGATCTATGGTGTCAACGACGATTTCTTTCGGATAAATGTGAACGATTTCATCGTCATCGGCAGTTGCACATGGCTCCTCCTCCAGGTGTCCCTTGGATTCAATGGAAACACCTGAATCAACAAGTTTCAGGGGCATCTTTTGCGGTCAGCCAATACAGGACGATAAGAAAATTTATGGTTGGCAACTATTTGGATAATTCGACACTTAGAAATTCTTGCAATTTGATGAAACTCAAAGACTCTGTCGTCACGATAACCGGTTTCCAATTGGAACGTTTTGTGTAAAAGCTAATCACTGGCTTTGGACGAACTGTAACGCAAATGGTCTTTGATAACCGGTTTTGAAAGACCTTCGGATTCGACCTATAGACCCTCGTTATCTGCATCCATGCTTGGCCACAGTTAGTGTTTAGTTCCAGTTTAGTTTCCAACATTCCTTCATTCTCAAATCCACCCAACTCTGCCTTCACTTCACTTCAAACCCATACAAAATGTCTGAAGTCATCCAAGAGAAGCCTACTCGTGCCTGCCCTAATCTCTTTCCCAAAGAGCTGATAATCGACGAGGTTGATGGCAAGGCAACCAACATAAAGTATGTTGATCTTAAATTGAAATTCTTTTTTTGATCGTCTTTTTTTCACCACAACACTGATGCTAATCATTAATGTATCTGTTCTTAGGCTCAACTCTCTCAGGAGGCCTCATATGAGATCCTTCCATCTGTCTTGGTTGGGCTTCTTCTCTGCCTTCACAACCTGGTTTGCTCTCAACCCCTTGCTCAAGAAGACCATTGCCCCATTAATCGGAATCACTGCTGGAGATGTAGCTAACTCGGTGAGTCACACGTTTCATACTCGTGACTTTGTTCCCAAGCTTTAGGCTTCTTAAACGCCTTTCAACCTTCACGTAGGACATTGCCAACGTCTCTTCGACTGTCATTGCTCGTTTCTTCATCGGGTAAACTCATTTCTTTGTTGATTCTGCTATTTTTCTAATTCACGGCTAGTTGCTGACTTGAAAACTCTCGTTTTAGTGGTTTGGTTGACAAGTTTGGGCCTTCTCGTGCTATGGCGTTTATTTTAATGGCTGGTAGTCTCCCCATTGGCTTAGTCGGTTTGGTTAACTCAGCTGGTGGTCTCATCGTATTGAGATTGTTTGTTGGTATAATTGGTTCAACATTCGTACCTTGTCAAGTAAGTCACGTCACCACGTTTCTTCCCTGATTACCCTCATCGACCAAAAACTTTCCTTGTAGTACTGGACCACCGCTCTCTTTTCAAAGAACATTGTTGGAACTGCAAATGCCATTGCTGGCGGTTGGGGAAACATGGGAGGAGGATTCACCTTCTTGATCATGCCTCAAGTCTTCAACTTGATGAAAAGTAAGTTTGAATGTCCTAGTTTGGTTCCACGATCTCATTGACTCAACTCCACAATCATATCTACTAGCCATTGGTCTCTCTGTTGGCAACGCCTGGAAAGTAACCTACGTCTTCCCCGTAATCATTTGCTGGATTGTCGCTATACTCTGCTTGAGATTCGGAGATGACCACCCTGTGATAAAGACCCTTCCCGTCGCCGCTGAAACTGAAATCCTCAAGGACAAGCCCGAAGAAGGTGCCACTGCCGTCATCGACACTATCGCGGCTCCTACTCATATTCTTGGCGGTGCTGCTGAGAAGGTCCCGTACTGGAAGATTATGCTACGAGCTGTCACTAACCCCTACGTCATCATTTTAATGTTCTCTTATGGTAAGAGTTGGAATGCATCGTAATATATTCGAACCCTCAACATTTTTCTAATCTTTCCTTGAACCATTTACAGCTTGCTGCTTTGGTGTCGAACTCTCTGTTGACTCTCAAATCGCCAACTACTTTATTGGAAAGTATGCTTTGGATCAAACTACTGCTGGACAACTCAGTTCCATCTTCGGTCTCATGAACGTAAGTTGTGTGTTTCTGTAACTCCTATTTTTTGGGATTAAAACACATAAGAGGTGCTCGAGACTGCCGAAAGATTTTATGGTTGACCTTTTGTTTTCATGTTCTAGTTCTTCAGTCGTGCATCTGGTGGACTTTTATCGGATCTGATGTTCCACTACTTTGGAATGCGAGGAAGAATAGGAATTAGCGCCACCTTCTTCTTCATCAACGGCATTGCTCTTATCGGATTTAGTTTCGCAGACACTTTGGGTGCCAGTATTGGCTCTATGGTTGTATTCTCATACTTTACTCAAGCCCTGTGCGGTACTACCTTTGGTATTGTCCCATTCGTTGACAGCGGAATTATGGGTGCAGTGACAGGGCTGGTCGGTGCTGGTGGTAACATTGGAGGTGCTATTTTCAACTCTATCTTCACCGCCTATGTCACAAGTAAGTTGTACTTTCAATTTTGAACCATGTACAAAATACTGATGGTTGTTACCAAACTTGTAGATCTCTCTGGTGGCTTCAGAGTTATGGGAATAATTGTACTCGTTTGTGGATTCTTGCCAACGTTTGCCCTACGAGTACAAGGCTCCATGTTGCTCTTCAAGACCAAGTAAAGGCTTCATATTTAATATAATGGGTGATTTTAGATTTTTTTAGATGTATATGTGGGAACCATTAATTAGTAGTTAGTGACAAAATATACCGTGCCGTTCCCCCACACAAGAACACTTGTCTAAAGTTGGCCATTCAATTCATTCATTCTGTCTCTATCGCGTCTCATTTCCAAGAACTCAATTCAGTTCCTTCATGTAGTCATCAGCGAGATTACTTTGATGAACCGAACACTTTATAAAATTTGCAGAAACCTTAGACTTTTTTAAAGCTACAAGAGACATCAAAAACTTCCTCAGATGATCGCTATGCACTCAGCCCTTGAACTGGATTTTACTCGACGAGATCAAGGAGCGACTCTGACGTTTGTGAAAAAACACGTGTTTAGCTATTCAAACTATTTGGCTTATCGTCCCTATCAAAAGGCCTCGCATAACGTCATCAGAGCCATGGTCTAAACCAGTGGGGTCTATTCCGGTGGTCTACGATCGATGGGCCCTCGGAAAGACCTAGAGACCATCCTGAGCCAAGATAAGGAGGTCTTTCACAAAAAAACCAGTATCCTTGAAGGCTTTGAACGACTTATTTCCTCGTGAAAACAGTTGTAGAGGTCGTTAGCTACATCATAATCTCACATTCTCGCCGTCATTGTTGGGGGATCGATACAAAGTTTTTAGTTTTACAAGTCGTTGTCTAACTCTTGTCAGTATCTAAGAATGGCTGTAGACGAAGAAACCAAAAGGTAGCCGTCGTTAAGCTCGTTTTCAACCACAATCATCTACAAGTACAGCTTACCGAAATTTTGTCATAGAATGCACGTTGTTGTGTGCGGTCTTGGAATGGTCGGCCTGCGCTTTATCGAAAAGTGCCTTGAACTCGATCCAGATCGAAAGCTGATAGAGTTTACTGTGTTCTGTGAAGAAAAGCTTCATGCGTATAATCGAGGTACATACTGGGACTTTCAGTTGAACTTTCGCGTTGGGTTGATTTCTTGGATCTGTTGTTTGAAACCCCATGTCTTAATCGCTAAACCTTTTCTTTTTTCACATATTATCTTAGTTGGCTTGACCAACTTTTTCGCTCACCGTGAGGTCGAAAAGATGATGATCCAACCTACCGAATGGTATGCCGAGCAACCAAATGTCACAGTACACGTTGGTGACTCGTGTGTCAAGCTCGATACCGCAGCCAAAGAAGCTCACTCTCAGTCTGGACTCGTTGTCAAATATGACTATGCCGTACTAGCCACTGGATCCTCAGCTCTTGTTCCACCTATTCCTGGTCGACAAAAGAAGGGTGTCTTTGTCTACCGTACTTTGGACGATTTGCATAGTATTATAGAGAAGGCAGCTACTTGCAAGAGAGCTTGTGTATTGGGAGGTGGTTTACTGGGTATCGAAGCTGCCAAGGCTTGTTATGATTTGGGTCTTGATACTACCATAATTGAACGTAATCCTTGGTTTATGAATCGGCAACTGGACGAAGATGGATCTCGACTATTGCAAACTCAGATTGAAAAGCTGGGTCTTACGCTTAGGCCGGGCGCCATCACCAAGGAGATCATAGGACCTAATGCATATCATGAAGGATCTGACGATGGTAGCGGTAGTTCACACTCTGACCTTCTCGCTGCAGATGATGTTGTTGCTGGTTAGTACCATCTATCAATGTTTCTTCCTTTTCAACTTGGGTTTTTTTTGAGCCGTAGTTTACCCTCCCATTTCATGATCCGTAAGGTGTCATATTACAGAATAACAAGGTCGATGCTGAAGCCGAAACCATCGCTACGGATATGATTGTCCTGGCGTGTGGTATCAAGCCAAGAGATGAATTGGCAGTAGCTTCCGGGATCACTGTGCATGCACGTGGAGGTGTCCTAGTAAATGACTCTCTGGTTACAAGTGACCCATTCGTGTATGCAATTGGTGAATGTGTAGTTCACAACAACTTTGTGTATGGTCTTGGTAAGTGACAACATCCCGAGTTTGAATCTGCAGTTTTTCTTCTTCAGGTTTCTTTTTCTCAGCTCAATGATCAGTATACTTATATGAATATCGATTTTAGTGGCACCTGGTTATGACATGGCCGAAACAGCTGCCAAAAACATCCTAAACATGGAACCCAGACAGTTCACTGGCGCCGATATGTCCACCAAACTGAAACTTCTTGGAGTCCACGTGGCCAGTTTTGGAGATTACTTTGCTCCTGTTTCCACCTGCATGCCAATAACATACCACGATCCTTTTGAAGGAGTCTATAAACGGCTGCTCTTCTCAAAGGACGGTAGTAGGCTTCTCGGTGGTATTTTAGTTGGTGATACGAACGATTACGGCCGATTCTTGGCTACATCAAAGCAAAAGTCAAAGCTACATACTCCTCCTTCTGAATTCATTTTGGGCAAGAAGGGTGGTTCAACTGAGGGTGAAGATGCTTCCTCGTTACCTGATGATACGCAAATCTGCTCTTGCAATAATGTTTCAAAGGCTAATATTAAAGCCGCTGTCAGGACTAAGAACTGTAACTCTATTGGTTTGGTGAAATCATGTGTAAGTGACAAAAACATATGGTCCTTTACTGTTGTTGTACTCGCTAACATTACATTCCCATTTACTTAGACAAAAGCTGGAACTAGCTGTGGAGGATGTGTCCCTCTCGTTACCGATATCATGAATGCAGAGCTCAAGGCTATGGGTCAAGTCGTAACTCAACACATGTGTGAACACTTCCCATACTCTCGAACGGAAATGTTTGAGATCATCAAGGTAAACTCCCGAAGTTCTTGGTAGTCGTCTTTAAAACTCACACTCGACTCTCTTCTTTTCAGGTTAAGAAACTCAAAACATTCCATGATATTATCGAAGCTGCAGGAAAGAAGGGCACCAGTGGATGTGAAGTATGCAAGCCAGCTATCGGCTCTATAATAGCCTCTCTCTTCAACGAGTTGGTCATTGCCAAACCTCATGCCGGTCTGCAAGATACCAACGATCGTTTCTTGGCAAATATCCAACGTGGCGGTAAGTGGCACAAATTTCATGTGCAAACAAATAACCACTCCTGACGATACCACTTCCAACAGGCTCTTATTCGGTTGTGCCGCGTGTCCCAGGAGGCGAAATCACTCCTGATAAACTGGAGCTCATAGGACGTATTGCCAAAAAGTATGGTCTTTACACCAAGATTACCGGTGGTCAACGTATAGATATGTTTGGTGCTGCCAGAGAAGACTTGCCAGATATTTGGGCCGAGTTGGTAGAGGGAGGTATGGAAAGTGGTCACGCTTATGGAAAGGCGTTGAGAACGGTCAAATCTTGGTAAGGCGTTGAGAACGGTCAAATCTTGCATTGCATCTTCGACGTTGTTTTGGCTGCCATGTTTCGGAATTGGAGAACTCAGGACTATTTATTTGCACAGTGTTGGAACAAGTTGGTGCAGATACGGAGTCCAAGATGCTGTTTCATATGCAGTGTTTATCGAGAATCGATACAAGGGTATTCGTGCACCACATAAACTCAAGGGTGGTGTCTCAGGATGTGTTCGAGAATGTGAGATTACTGTTGTGTTTATGTCATGCTTCTTATTCGCAACTGATCCATATTTTTTGCAGGTGCTGAAGCCCAAGGCAAAGACTTTGGGTTAGTGGCTACTGAAAAGGGCTATAACCTCTACGTCTGTGGTAATGGTGGAAGCAAGCCCAAACACGCTTTACTATTGGCTCCTGACGTATCTGAAGATTTGGCTACCAAATATCTCGACCGCTTCTTGATGTATTATATTGCTACTGCTGATCGTCTTCAAAGAACGGCGCGATGGCTTGAGAAGATGGATGGAGGCATTGAATACCTGAAGGCTGTTATTATTGACGACAAGTTGGGCATCTGTGCAGATCTTGAAAAGGAAATGGAAGATTTGGTTGGATCGTACTTTGAGTAAGCTGAGTTCCTTTGTTGCCATTGACAGGGTTGAAGTTCGTGTGTCTAACTCGACCTCGCATTAATAGTGAATGGGCTGCTGTTGTAAATGATCCAGTACGACGAGCTGAATTCAAGGTAAAGACCTCATTCCATCAGATACGTCTCCGTTTTTTACCACACACAAACCCGTTCCTTTCCCTCTCGTTAGCAATTCGTAAATACTGACGAGAAGCAACCTGTAATCGAAATGGTGGAAGTACGAGGTCAGAAAAGGCCTGCAGATTGGCCTGTGGAGAAGAAGGAGGCCAAGAAGGAAGAGGAAGCACCAGTAGTTGCTAAAGACAATGATTCCTCGCCACTCAAGAAGAAGACGTGGCCTGAAATGTCTTGGAAGACTGTTGGAACTGTCGATGACTTCCCAGAGGAAGGAGGTGCTACCATTAAATACGGCGATTCTCAAATCGCGGTGTATAACTTCACTTCAAGAGGGAAGTGGTATGCCACTCAAAACGTAAGTGCTTGCTCCCAACCTCTTCAAATATTTATTTTTTCCTTCAGTGCCACTTTGTTTGATTTCTTCAACCACAATATACTAACTTTAAACGTTCTACAGATGTGCCCACACAAACAGGCGTTTGTGTTATCATCGGGTATCATAGGCTCAGAAGGAGAAATCCCTAAAGTGTCTTGCCCAAACCACAAGAAGAACTTCTCATTGGAGGACGGAACATGTATATCTGGACAGCCAGAATACAATATAATGGCATTCGATATCCGAATCGAAGACAAGAATGTACAATTACACCTCCCGTCAGAAGAGACCTTGAATCCATATCTCAGCACAAAGAAGTGGATGGTAAAGACGGAGCAAATGAATGGCGTCAAACCATTTTATGTTGGCAAGGATGAAGATACCGGTATTGAGGTGGAAGATGCCTCATGTGGTGGGCCATGTGGTGATGAGAAGTTGGATTGGTAATTTTAATAGAGAGAGGAGAGGGGGAGGATAAAGGGAGGTCTTGTACTTAGTTAGAAGTGTTTTAGTTAGAACAAATAGTTGATATATCCCAATCGTTTTTGTATTCCTCACACATTCAATTAGACACAAAGAAATCAATATTTTTGACATCGGATCGTTTTGTAACGGGAGGTTTCTCTTAAGTCAGGATGATTATCAGGCGCAATATACGTACATCAGAGTGTCAAAATGTTCTGATTGCTGTCTATTTATAAAACTGTTTCACTGTGAAAATCAAAAGCGCGTCTAAACAAGCCATTTTCGGACAACCCATAGTTGAGCTTCGAGGTCAACAACACTTTGTAGCATCAGAAGCTGTGAAATCGAGTACTAGGATGTTCCGGCCATCAGGAACTGGAACTGGACTAACTAGAAGATCTAGAAAACCTTGACGAGCGACCAGCTACCAACCACCAAACGAGGCGTTCAACCCACATTTCCACGAAGCTTGCTCCTTTCAGATGCGGCACTTATTTAAACTGTCTGCATCTATAAATGTACTGGGATCGAGGGCAGTGTCTTGGATCTTTCGTTACCCTTGACCGATCGATAGTTGTTTTGGGAGGCTGATGAGCATGTGCAAAAGAACATAATCAACGTGGAGGTGAAATGCAGATTGTATCTACAAATAGCAGCAACAGCTATCTCAAACCTTGATGAGCCAGCTCAGGTATGCCATTTGTCTTGACTGAAGCATCATGTCAAGCGGCCTTTGAAAGGATAACAAACGTTAGCAACACGTCCTTCACCACAAAACTGGACTTGGACTGCAATGACACGGCAATATACGATGACTGAGCTACTGCAAATGTGCAGCAAACACGTCTTTCGCTCTTTCCTTGTTTTCTAAAATCACAATCTGTGAGCAACGCTTCCAAATATTCCCAACATCCAATTTTAAACAAGAGAGAGCCAGTCTAGGCAAGTTTGAGATATAGGAGTCCGGTCCAAGTGGTGCTGATTTTCCTGTGGAATAAGTGGTGCCATTGCTATCTTGCCAAGTCTACTCTGGGAGGTAATTGGTCTTGATATACATCCAAACTGAGCTTTATCATTCAAACACCACAGGTAACTGACTCATGTTAGTACTGTTTAGGGTGTTCTGAGGGTGCTACCTAGTATCATATATTAACAGCTGGATATATTTACAAGTCGAACGTAAGTCTCCTCCTATTTTTCTCTGTTGAAAACACGCCAACTTTGCAACAAAAAATACTACAACCCAATTTTCTAACATTACACCATTCCTGTTATTCTTTGTAGACTCAAATGAGTGGCGGTTAATACCCTGCTTCTTCATCGTTGGTTGGACCAATGCCTCCAAGAAGTGCCAATCCAATGCCTCCAATGCCGTACTTTAATCCTCCTACTGCTTCTCCACCGCTTGGATATAGTTACAATCCCTGCGCTCAACCGCAGCAACGGCAACAACAAGAAGAGATTGAAAATCAAGAAAACAATTACAATGCACAGTTACTGCACTATATTCAGCAGCAGCAAATGGGTCGAGGACAACATTAACAGCAGCAGCATGTGAGGCCACCACCACAACAATTTTATCACAGTCAGGACAACCCCTTCCAGCACTCGAACTCGCCACGCAATGAACAGCCCAACAACAACAGCACTATGATCCTCCACGGAAAACCAGCAACAAAGTGAAACGAAGACATCCAAATGACTCGTATGATGATGGCCAACATGATGGCAGTGGCAAAAAGATGAGCAAAAGAGTGGTGGTCATTGTCATGTGAATTTCTTTTTTGTTGGTTGAGAAAATCGAGTCGCCATTACCCAGTAGTCCAAAGGTTACAAGACCGTGCCAATGCGATAAATGCAGCCTCTCGTGTCGTGAAAACCGTGATTGTAATCAAAAGACCAGGTAAGTCCAAATATATTCACTCTTCAATCACGAATGACGACGAATTCTTGACTAATTGTTATCTTGATTAGAATATGGGTTTTTCCGAATGCGCGATTTCTGCTGAATCTCCAGCTTTAGCGTTTGCACGCGATGATGTCGATCAACGCAATGGTATCAACACAACTAACCTCCCAGCTCAACGCATATCTCAATACGATAATGAACGGATGAGGAAGAAACCAGAAACAGAAGCACCACGTTTGTGATGGTTTAAGGGCTACAAATGGTAGTTTCACGTCACAAAACTTACTCATCACTACATTGTATTATATTCGCCTCTTGTGTTTTGACGGATGCTGACGTCGGTGCTATACGCTTGGAAACAAGGGCTTCGTTTAGAGATGCTTGGTATTCGTTGTTGTGGTTGCCCTTTTCGTAACACATTTGCTTTGGTTACTTTCATTGTGAAGCTAATGCTCTCTGTTTTTTTCTCTTGAATCTGTAGTGTCTCCTTCGTGACTCCCCTTGTTCACAAGTTTCCAGTATCTGTATAAAAGGGTTTGTTTGAAGGTCAAAAAGCTAATAAATCACCCACGAGTTTGACCTTGACTGGATGTAGCTCAAATTCTGTTTTGAGATTATTGGGACGAGAATACAAGTATAAATGCTCTGAATGCGGACAATCCACAAACATTTGTATTTAAAAATGGAGACCATTGTGTCTGATCGTTTTTCATTCCCATTGTTCGGTCTGCCAATGACTCAGAAACCGTGTACCAGTTTCCATTCCGGACTGTTTTGGGGCAATTGGCTTCTGCTATGTAAGTGAAGGATTATGCGCTTGCCGTGATGGACATTCGTGGTGTCGGCTTCAGTCGTCAATGGGTTCTCGAAGCCGACATGGGCTCTCCCACGACCAAACGGACTTGAAGGTACATGGGATCTAGACATTCTTACAGAATTAGGCCTCATGAAGAAACCTTGTGCGTGTTGGAAAGTTTTGCAGTACTTGCCTGCATTGATTTTTGTGATCCAAGTGTTTCAAACCTTGTGGGTATTGACCTTCTCTCTTTTCTACTGACATACAGGTGCTGTCACTGAGTCGTTTGAAGCTCTGAATAAACTCTTTCTCAGACTCGTGACAGTCAACACCGCCAACACCAACAATGCTACCGACGACAATGTCATAGACTTCACAGACATTTCACTCGCAACCGTACAAACAGAATTTGAGTCTGTTACCTTGTTGCTTTACATAGATGATCACCCAGTCTCAATAGCTAAGATTCTAAAGAGATTTGACTTGTCCGCCAAAGATGAACAAGCCGAGAGAATGTTGGTTCTTTCATTCATGGGTATCGGTAGAGCAGTTGGTATTATTGGAAAAGCTTTCAAGACACCTCCATCAACTCCTAAGGAGCAGGAGTCGTAAATTCATCGCCGAAAGAAACTCGGATATATAGAAATGTGCCTTAGGATTATGTGTGGTTTGAATCGGATAGTGTGTTGCAAAGGAAGTGTGGTGTGATAGGATGTGTGGCGGGATTAGAAAGATAGATAAGGAGATTATTTAAGGAAGGGCTTTTTTGTATTGGTCATCACCCTCATTTTGCACAATTTGAAAAAACATAACACTCATAGTACAAGGAAATCATGCTCTCCTTCGATTCGGGGAGCTCGCAATGCGACAATCGAAACTCATCAACACACTGACTTACATTGCAATTCTGAGAAATTATGCTATTCTAAACATAAACTTGCAGTCTACAAAACATGAATCCAGCTTTATGTAACTAACCCAACACACACTACACTCGTCCAACATTTCTCACCTCGACCATTGACGTCCATCCCTTCCAACCCTCTTGTTACTATTAAAAATCTTTTGATGATCCATCTTATTCTTATTCTGATACCCAGCTCCGCCACCTTTACCATATCCACCACCGCCTCCACGTCTCACAATCGGACTCCCCCTTTCAGCTCCTCCACCCCCAACATTTAGATTCACCGACGGAGGCACCGAAAACCCAAAAGCCTTTGCCACCTTTTGTAAATCCAGCTTCCCGACATCAAATATAGCCTTTTGGGAATGTGACGCATATGCCTGTAGATACGACCGATATCCATCTCGTGCAGACTTGTGTAGATAATAGTTCTTTTCCACCAGCTTTTCAAGTTGCGACTGCACATTGGCTACTTTACTTTGTGGGAATTGGTATTCGTTGAGTGGTACTTTGGCTTGCTTTAAAAAGCGGAGGAAGCCAAGTTCAGATGGGAGCAGGAAGAGTAGTGCTCGTCCTCGACCACCTGCACGAGCAGTACGACCTACTCGGTGTATGTATTCGCGTGGATCATCTGGTGGATCGTATTGGATGATCCAGTCTACTGCTGGAATGTCCAAACCTCGAGCTGCTACATCGGTACATAGTAAAACACCTGATTCGGCATTAACAAACTCGAAAAAGGTGTTTGTTCGTTTTTGTTGTTTTTGACGACCCTAAGTTGCAAAAAATAGATATGAGATTTCAGATTGAGAAAGGAAAAGGCTAGGACGAAAAAAGATATAACAACTGGAGACCATTGCGATGAGTGCTCACATGCAAGTCAAGAACAGGTATGTCAATATAGTTCAGCAGCTCAGCATGGTACTTGACAGCATTACAAGAGCTGAAGAAGACGATAATCTTCTTTTTCGGATTCTTCTTCAAGAACGTAAAGAGCAACAGGAATCGAGCTTCACTAGTACAAACAACATATCCCTAACGAGGCAAAAAAAGTGTCAGATAGCCAAATATTGAAGAAGAGCTGGAAGTGTGAACTCGTGACTACCACACAACAACACACCTGTTCCAATCCTTCGACAGTCGCCTTCTCCTTGTTTTCATCAACATTAATGTACAAGGGTGCCTTCTTCAATGACACACGAGCCAAATCATCGACCTTGGTTGTTTGTGTAGCAGAGAATAGCATTGTTTGACGTTCTATACGAAGAAACAAGGAAATGTTAACTGCATACCTATAACGTCAATAGAGAGATGGGTTTCATGATTGACGCCTCAAACAGCAGATTTGTTTTATCTTCCGTCGCCACATGAAGAAGTGAAAACGTAAAGAGCCATTGAATGTGGAATCCCTTTCGTTTGCGAGCATGACGGTCCAGTTCGCAACAAACAAAAAAAATGTGCAGTGACGATTCACATAAGCTTACCAGTGGGAAGAAGCTTGATGATTTGATGCATTTCTTCTTCGAAACCAACTTCCAAGATTCTGTCAGCTTCATCAATGATTAGAGCCTTCATGTTCTTGAATATGAATCCTCGGGTGTTCTACAAAGTGACCAAAAAAGAAACCAGTGAGAATCAGCGAGCAATGTTTGTTTAACAGGGAAACCAACCTGAAGATGATCTAACAATCGACCAGGAGTAGCAACAAGCAAGTTGACACCTTTAGCCAACTTGTCAGCTTCAGCTTTACGATTAGCACCACCCATGATGATACCAAAAGTCTGATGATGATGTTTGAGTAGTTCTTTGGCAACACCAAAGATTTGTAATGCCAATTCACGGGTTGGAGAGATGATTAGAGCTCCTGTGCCTATTAAGTTAGGTTGAAGTGTTACCGTCAACGCGAGAAGGAGCAACCACTGGTTGCAAAAAAAAATGCCTAGTGGAAGTTTTAAATGCCACATATCCAACGTACCATTTCTAGGCTTAAACTTCAACCTACACAGCAGCTCAATAGTAGGAATCAGGAATGCCAAAGTTTTACCACTACCAGTCTTTGCAGCACCCAAAATATCTCTACCAGTCATGGCAGGTGGAATGGCACGAGCCTGCACCTCAGTCATACTCGTGAATCCCATTTCTTGAATAGCCTTCATGGATGGTTCTGACAGATTCAGTGATGCAAACTCTGATGAAGAGCTTCCTTCAAGGTATTCGGCAACAGCTGCTTTTGGATTACTGGTATTATCGGTGGAGGTTGACTCTGTAACTTGATCCGAGTCTTCGCCTTCTTCTTCACTGGCTTCATCGTCGTCGTCATCGTCCACAGTATCATCTTGTTCATCGTCGTCTTGATTAGCATTGGCATCGTTTTCTTCAATACCTTGATCAATGTCGGAATCGTCACTAGCTTCATCTTCCAGACGGTTTATAGGAAGCGAATCGACTTCCACATTGTCATCAGAAGCTATTATCTCTTCAGCCGCGTCCTCCCAGTCCTCTTCTGGAGACTCTGATTCCTCAACTATTGGTTGGACAACTGAAGAAAAAAAGTTTTGTATGAGCTTTAAGAACGATCTCGATGCAATGCAGTGTGAAAGTGAAGTACCTTTTACTTTCTTGTGAGTTCGCTCTTCCTCGGAGCTGTTCTTGGATGGTCTTTTCTTCCCCATTTTGATTGTATATGTTTTGTGCGTTTGGAGCAAAAAAAAAGTCAAAGGTTGAGTTGGACGCAATCTTTCTGACAGAAGCTCAACAACAGCATGGGATTCACGTAAATCATATATATTTGAATTTTTTTAACGTGCAGATCTAACTTAGACTCCACTTCGACCGCGTGCGTTGAACCACGGCACAATTCGACAAATCGCAAAATGAGCTATCAGCAGAAAGAAAGTGAGTTCTCAAGCGATGACCCGACAGTCACAGCGCAGTCTCAAGATATACTACAACCAACAGTCTTCACTACTGGGTCACGATTCAAGTTTCCAATCTTTCGACAAACAAACAACCAAAATCCTAAACTTGCAGCCGTGTTACAAGAGCTATCGGGCTACGAAACGTAAGATTCTTGAGCTTTTATGTGATTCTGAAGTCTTTAAGCTCTTTCCTACATGCGTTTCATTTGAATCGGTTGAGCTTTGCATTACATTTTGACAACTTTGATCACATAATTACCGAAGTACTCGAGCTGAACTTACAATTACATTTCTTATAGGACTCCAGCTGAATTTACAATAATACGAGGATACGTACGTCGCGTTTCCACTTACACGGAAGGAGGTGCCATCCTCGGAGGCTTATCGACCTTCTTCATTGGTGAGCAACATACGACCTATCCTGCTCAGCTTGCCAACTGGTATACCTGCTTTATCTGTTAATTTTCATGTGCTGATGCTTAACTTACTGCAGGCCGAAGAAGGCAATGGGGGCTTTTCAAACGCCTAGCATTTTCAAGTTTTGGCCTTGTCTTTGGAGCTATCTCTGGATTCAGCCTTGGTTAGAATTTGTATATGATGGCCAATTCATGCTCGTGGCTAATCCCTACTTGTCTTTAAAAAGGTCTTGGTAGTGGGACGGATCTCCGAGTTGCTCTACAAGGCACCGAAATGGGTTCCAGGATTGAACGAGCATTGTAAGTCAAGTACACTCTCCTCATGCTAGTTCTAGCTGTCCGTTTGCCTGCTGATGAACTTATATCAACTTTCACTTTGTAGGAAAGGACTGGAAGCTGGAAGGCCGTATCAAAGGCGTGATCTCAACTCCAATAGTCGTGATGGTGCTCCGTCACCCTTTTCGTCGTCTGACGGAGATAACGAATTCACGCAAACACAAAAAACGTCGCAGACGCCTCAAAGAGTCAACCAGTATGGAGATCCAATCGCAGAGGACTGAACTGCTGCTCAAAATATCTTGTATATTGGTTGACGACATTGACCCCATGCAAAGTATCAAACGAATATCATGAGGTGCACTCTTGCTATTACGCACTTATTATCACTGCTTAATACCGACACCCTACTTTGTATGTTTTCATAAAGAATGTTCAACACATCAACACAAAAAACACAGACACAAGAAAAGGACGCAAACGGTTCCAAAGCAAAGCGTGTAAGCCGTGTAGATCCCTAAAAGTTGAATGATACCGTGATCGTGTTCGCCTGTACAACCTAAAATTCGAATGCAAAATGCTGAATCGACAGCGCCTCTAGTATCATATCACAATCACTCAGGCAGCATTCAAAGACAATGAGTATTTACCAAGAAACTATATTGTTGACCGATGACCCATCTGACACTGCTGAAGGGACTATATTCCTGGCCAATGACCCTTCTGACACTGGACTATCAGAGCCTCCAACAACAGGACGTTTAAATTTGAACAACAAGACATTGACAAACAACCCAACGGAAGAGCTGCTTTGAGGAAGGCGCTCTCAGGCTATGAACCGTACGTTTATCAGAATCATTTACAAGCTTCTCATTTGTCTTTGATCTTGCACTTTTGTGGGTTGTAATTTGATGAGAATTGAGAATTTTGTCTCACTTATATGCGTAACAAAACACCGCTCTGTGCGTGATCTGAAGTCAATCTTTTGTTTTTTTCTAGTACTCCTACTGAATATGAAATACAAGAACTACGAGAACATAAGAGTCAAGAAGTCAACTCTATGATAGTTTATTTATGGGAGGTTTGGCTACGTTCCTAAGTAAGTATGCACGCGTTTTCGCTCAATTTCCAGCGATGTCTTTACTGATTCCCTCGTTTGTAGGTCGAGGAAGGCAATGGGGTCGCTTGAAGCTTTTTACGCTTACAAACGCAGGAATTGTATCTGGTGGTGCCACGGGAATGGCCTATGGTAAAGAATTTGTTTCTCCTTAGGAATATCTGGTGCGCTGATATGGGCCTAATTGGTATTTTCTTGGACAAATTCATGGTGTTGCTACTGGGCAAGACCACCTCAAATATGCCCTTCGCGGTAAACGGACCAGAATTGCAAGAGCAATGTAAGTAAGGGACAATCAACTTTTATCGGTCAGTTTCTTCAGTGGACTACACCCTCATATGTCGCTTTTTTCGGCAGGAGGACTCAAAGGTCAAGCTACGGGATGATGCAAATACACATGACGTGCTTCATCTGAACCACAGAAGTCGTCGAAACACCTTCAGCAGGTTGCAATCGTGTAGGTCTTTGTAGACCTACGAATCGTGGGTTGTTGTATTAGCATTATGTTTGGCTGTGTTTGAATTCTTGGCGTTGATGTTCGCATTACCGTCATGTCTCCTATCTTTCAGCGATGTCGACTAAAAACTCTTCCTTCATTAGTAGTCCTACTGCATACGCAATTTTACAAGAATTTCAGAATCGAGATGGGATTTCTGCAATTGCTGGTCTCCTTGCTGGAGGGTTGACTACGTTTTTCCGTGGTTAGAATACAGGAGTTTCTATGCGACTCCAATCTCTTAACTGATTTCCATTGATCGTTCATAGGTAGACGAAGACAATGGGGACGCTTGAAACGCTTTACGCTCCCAAGCGCTGGAGTACTTGGTGGTGGTACCACAGGAATGGCCTTTGATAGAAGGATCAATTGTCTTTCACAAATTTGATAGGCAGGCGTATGTTAAATTAGTTTTTCACTGTTATGACAACAGGTCGTGGTACTGGACGAGATCTCAATGAAGGACTTCGCGGCACTGACATGAGAAAGAGAATCGAAGGAGCTTTGTATGTCAAGCGCCAGCATAGTTTAATTGTCGTGGAGCCCTTCCTTCGCATTTGTCAAGAAACTCACATCATCTCTCTTGGCAAAACTGGACTGGACCCTACTACAGGCAGAGTTGGCAGTAGAGACGAATATTATGCCATTCCTCTGTACCTGGGTCCGCGAGTATAGTAATCGAACTGAATGAAAAGTGTGTCAAACACATTGTACGCTACGTGTTGGTAGTTTGGTATGTGCATGGTAGTTTGGTCGAATTTTGGTATGTAGTTTGGTCAGGTTTGGTAGATTTACGTGTATGTTGTTTGAGAAACATTTCCCACATTTGAAGCATCGTCACAGGAGATGTCCAGTCTTTTTTTGCATCGCCATGGTTTCGACATTCATAACATCGACAGCTTACGTTACCGATTTCTTCATGCGAGCTTCGCGATCAGCCCTTCAAACTGCCTAAGCTTCCATCTTTCCCACAAAAAACACACAGTAACATCAAGATGTCGTCCGTGGAAGATCTGTCGCTAATAAGGAACAAGCAGAAACGAGAGGAGCTCTACCACCGTCTAAAAACAGAAAAGGCTCGTCTCAAACTGAAAAAGAGACTCGCAACCCGAAAGCAAGAATCCGAACATCCAGAACTGAAACAAGAACGTCTAGCTACCAATGTACCAAAGACATTAGAGAACACTAGAGAGTTTGATGAGACTATTGTTGGTGATGATGAAGAGGTATAGTGCCTTATTTGACTGTATTGAGTGGTTTTTTGAAAGAGATCAAACAGGACGCTGACGAAAAAAAAACTTGTTATTTGTGAACTTTTACAGGTTTTGCAAGAAGAGGAGACAGATGAGCTAGCTGGATACTTTAATGGAGCTCGGCCAAAGATCATGGTTACTACAAATAAGAGAGCGACCGCTGTATGTTTGTTACTGAACTGTGTCTTTTGTGGAGTTCAACTTCAGACACCGAAGTGTATAGGAGGAATCCATTTGACTCCTTTTTTTGCACCGTTTTAGGACATTTACGAATTCGTCAATGAAATCATAACAATCTTCCCCGATGCGCAATTCGTCAAGAGGCTGCCACAGTTTGATTTGAAGAAGGTCGTTGAGGTTGCTAGAGAACGAGAGTTTACGGATATTATTGTTGTTCATGAAGATAACAAGATACCTAGTAAGAGCTTTTGCTTATTTGTGAGAATACCTGGTCGATTTTTTTGTGCTGTGGGAAACTGATCGCTCTCGTCACTATACAGATGGTCTAATGCTGATACATTTACCTGATGGACCAACAGCCTACTTTAAATTATCAAGCATCAAGCTCAACAAAGACATTTCGGTAAGTATAAATTGAATTCTCAAGTAGCTCATAAGGACCAACGTTCTAATTCGTACGCTCTGACATATCCTTTTTTTGCAGGGCCACGGTCGAGTAGCAGCCCACAACCCAGAACTGATACTGAACAACTTTTCAACGCGATTGGGTCACACTGCCGGTCGTATGTTTGCCGCTCTCTTCCCACAAGTTCCTGAATTCCAATATCGACAAGTGGCCACGTTTCATAATCAACGTGATTTCATCTTCTTTCGTCGCCACAGGTGTGCACAAGGAGATCTGTAGTGTCTTTTTTTGTTTCTGTTACGCGAAAGACAGTACATTCTCAACCCCATCTTTTCATCCAAAAGGTACATTTTCCAAGAAGGAAAACGTGTAGACTTGCAAGAAGTCGGACCTAGGTTTACACTCAAGCTGCAATGGTTGCAAAAGGGGACTTTTGATACCAAATTTGGTGATTATGAGTGGATTTTCAAGGTGAGTATTGTGCACTTTGTCTTGCGAGATGGTACGTTTACTGATATGACATTGTTGAATTATCTAGCCCAAGATGGCAACAAGTCGAAGGAGGTTCTTCTTGTAAGGATCATGGGCAGTCTTTACTTCAATTATTTTTTACTCTCGTGTAAATATAGTCAGAAGTCCAGTAACTTATAGGTGTTGTAGCTGCGTACGTGTTTTTGAAATGCTCTTGCCTCTACGCGTCAGTCCTTGTTACAAAAGTCGTAAAGCTCTCCTTTAGCTTCAAAAAAACACACATACGAAAAAAGGGGATGCATCTCATAACAAGGCCCAACATTCGCCCACTCCTACACAGCATCCGCACATTCTATACATGGAAGGTGCCGGCATCCACTCCACGCCTCACACTAGACGATGGCAGCACGCTCATCTACCGAAACCCCAACAAAGCACATCCATCCACCACCAGCCCGACTTTAAATCCAATAGCAGCAACGCATCTCCCACCGCCCATACGCAAAGAACCATCATACCCACGGCTAACACCCGCCCAAATCACCAGAATCGCCGAACTGAGGAATTCAGATCCAGATTTATGGACTGTCAAGACACTTGCGACTGAATTTAATACATATCCGGCAATGATTATGAGGATTGTCAGGGTGCCTGATGATAGGAGACAGTATCTGGTCGGCCAGATGGATCGCTGGTGGGTTGGTCTGTCGACGAACTCTAAAAAGAGGGTGCTTGATAGGATTAGGCAAGTGCACAGTCTGGTTGGAGCTTTGTTGAGATACATTCGCTAACTGTACATTCTATACTCTAGGAGAAAAGCTTATTGGTGAAGAATCGCAAGTCGCATATAATCTCCTAAATGTAAATAGCATCACACCACAAGCGTAATAGATACAGTGTGGGTTTCATTCATGAAAAGTACAACGTTAGAATGAAGCTGGATATGTTGAAGGAAGCAAATAGCGAGATGATGTACATAATCAGTAGCAGCCCTATTGGCGCCAGAAATATCGTTGTGTTTTTCAGGAATGGAAGTGCTATGATTTGTCAAGTAGTGTTAGATTCAGTAAGCGTGCATGGAAAACAGAACCAAACGACACACCATTGTATCCCTACATCCAAAAATCAAATGTTAGCACAGTGCGAACGGAGGACTTGAAGAGAAAGTCTTACCAAGAAGGTAATAAAGATATAATAGGAAGCAGCAGCCAGATATATCGTATTACCCAGAAACAGACAAATCCACCGTTGCTGTTTCACAATGGGTATAAAGAAGAATTGCAGGACATATGTCATGAGAAACATTGGGAAGAATGAATTACAATGCACGTCGAAAGCGTATGCCCATTCCACCGATTGCTCTACTGAGTGCATGTGGTGTTGAATGAGGAAGCGATTTGAGAAGGCCCTGTACAAAAGAGAGGGTGTGAGTGTTGCAAAGAGCAAAAAATGATTTAGAAGTTATCGAATACCATAGTAAAGTGGCCACCACCAGTCCAACAACAACAAAATCCACGAATATCATGTACAGCATGAGTTGTAATGTGCCTACAAAGCCTTGTGAATATGCGATTCCGTAAGCGATTGAGGTGACTACATAGATTATAGGTGGGTTAGCTGGTTGTCTTTCGTTTGTGTTTGACAACTTCACTTTGCTTACTGGCTAGACATAGCGATAACAGGACAAGGAATGCAGGATCGTCTCGAGCCCATTGGTTTTTGGTTTCTAAGGGAGTGTGTAGTGTGTGTTGTTTCAAGTCCAAACACAAAGTAACGTCTGTTCTGAAGTAAACCCAACAGCAAGCTTACGTTTATGATAATATATATTCCGATATCTATGAGAGAGATAAAGTTAGATTACATGACACGACTTGAATGAATCGAACAAACATCAAAAATGCTTCAAATCACATCAACAATGTGTCAGTGCACTTACACTCTTCTTGGCGATATACACAGATAGAGCATCTGCCACAATGCGAATTCAAAATCCATGGCCGGGAAACTCTTCATCCTCCTAAAGAAATTAATTGGATTTGCCCTGTTTGCCCTCCTGGAGTTGGGAGGAGTTGACGTTGAGGGCGAGCGTGGATTTGAGGATGTCGGCAGTAGTAGTGATATCGAGTCACGAGACCCGTTGGTTCCTCGCATCATATTAAGTACTGTTTATGTATGTCTAGTTGGTTGTGGCACGCAAGTCTTGGTTTTTAACAAACGAATATCGACTTGTGACAAGAGACGCTCAATCAAGAAGCGCAAAATGAGCTCGTCGGAGGAGGAACTCAATAGGAAGTGGGATAGATGCTTGTCAAACACGTTCATAAAGGTATGTTCGTATTACGAGCTTGGTAAAAAAGCCCTTTCAAACGAGAGCTTGAATCTTTCGGCTGCATCTCAAACGAACGATACTAAAGGAGTCTATATTCGGTCTTTATCACAGGGGGCAACGATGGGGGCTGCTGGAATTGTGGTGTCGTTTGTGCTTTTCAAACGTACGTGCTCAACATCACATTTGGTGTTTGGATTTGCATCTCAGGAGATGATGAGCGTCTTGCAATCGTTGAATACCTACACTGGTTGAATCGCTGGGATACTTGTAAAGCTTTCCTTTTTCAGACGGAACTTTGACGTCAAATTGAAACTGGTTGATGGAGTGCGACCAGCACTTTCACCCACCAACACATCAAAGCTCTCTTTGGCAAATTCATCTTGGATTCAAGCAGAGAAAGACAAATACATTGACTTCAATCAAATATCAAATGACTTATACACTCAATTAAACATTACAGGTCGAGGGTGGCCAGTCGCTCTTTTCACAGGATTGGGACTTGGTGCTGGTTATGAAGATTGTGCTTCGAGCTTTAGAGTCTCCGTCACTGCTCCTGCAGTAATAGCTCCTGCTCCTGCCAAGTAATAAGTCACAATCACAACCACACACATACACCAATTAAAAACGATGCAGAATTATTATGTCGCATACTTATGTTATAAATATATACCTAGTTGGTTTTGACTCAACTTAAAACACGTCGCAAATGTTCGCAGAACGGAGAGTGTGTTTTACAGGAAGAGAGCGAGGAGCACCCAAATTATATATGAGAAGGCTACTGTGCAAATGGTACAATCCTTACATGATCATGGCATGGTAAGATGGATGAGGCTTCTTGACCGTCTTCTTCTTCTTCATCATCATCGTCTTCACGTCCTCCACCTCCATTGCCAGCCCCTTGACCATCATCACCAAATACCCCAGCATATGAAAGTGTCACGTCACCAACAATAGCCGTAAGCTCGGCCTGCAACTGCCCCATAATGACAGGGTCTGGATGAAGAAAAAAATTAAGTCAGTGCTGACATTCAACAGCGCGTCAAAACAGTTGTCAATCCAAAATATAGCATACGGATCATTCGAAAGACATAATCGGCCATGGTAAGGATCTTAAGATCACGGAAGTCTTGATCCACATGATCGTTTGTTATTCTTGAATATATTAGAGGCTGCAATACTGTCAAGGGACTCAATCGGTTAGCACCAACAAGAGGCAATATACTACAGAAAAAGAGTTCCAAGTTGGCTGCTAGTGTTTTGCTTTGATGAGTCATGGCCAAGTATGTATGACTTACCTGTGTCCAACAGCAGCAGTCATAAGCTTTATTATTGCTGCGAGGTCCCAGCCGTCCTGCATGGCTTCAGAAGCAACACGTTCGTTTCACAATCTCATCCATACCAGCCTGACGTAACCCAGTGATATGATACGATAGCGGCATGGCGTAGAAGGTAGGCCTTTATTGCTCGCATAGTGACATAGGCTACGCCCGCACCGATTTGGACGGATTGCGATCCCAAAGATTTCTTACACAAGAGCAGATCGGAATCTAACAAGAGGTGAATGGGAAATGGTTCAGTACAGTTAAAAAAGGAAATGTTTTTGATCAAGCGGTTTCACAAGAGATAAATGTTACTATTACCAAGAGCAGGACCAGTACTGGAGAGCATAAACTTAGCAAGAGCGAGGCGAGCTCTCTTCTTCCACGGGCCTATAAGAGGAAAAGTGAATACAAGGTAGAAGCTAGCAGTGCGTACACAAAATTGCTTACCACGCCCACGACCTTTATGGTTGCGCACCGTTTTCCCACAAACAGACATAAAGTTGCAGTTTCCACCAACTTGGACTGGTTGAACTACAGCGTCTCCATCTCCAACGTTACAAGACTGAGTTTGTTGATGAGTTTGTTGATAAGGTTGTTGGTGCTGAACACGAAGCCCATGGCGTTTTCGCTTTTGGGTTGAGGAAGAATCCTTACCAAGTGGCAATGAGATGAGTTAGTAACGGTACAGATACCTCTGCAAACGAATAGATTTTTTTTGCTTTCTTTCTGACTCAAATTAGCACTTGCAACAGCAAGCAAACAAGTTGTGACAGTCACCAGGCAAGTGCATGTCACCGTGGGACAGCAAGCTCAACAGACGTCAACGGAACTCCCATCCCTCGATCTGCACCTCTTTGAACTTTAAGGGAAATGGATCAAGTCTATTTATTAAAGTGCTCTCTACCACCCAGAGGGGACCCTTTCCCTGCTCGAGTTCGCGAAAAGATCTCTCTGCTAGGAAGGCACGACCTTATGGGTGGCATTTGAGGAAGAAGAAAAGCAACATCCATCATATACTAACTCCGACACACTTCATCCTTTTGCCGCTTGCCTTTGTTGCAGCAGAATCAACTCCAGACACGCTACAACCACCGGAAGCATTCGGTACACCAGTTACTTTGGCAGCTTTAGGATCTTGTGGGTTTTGGCGAGAAGGTAGCATCTTGAAGAACATCAACACAGTTGATTAACGTACTAATCATTAAACCATTGATTGTAGTAGGAAGCAAACAGCATGATAAGCAACCAATACTTACAGCAGCATTTACATCTGGTTCCAGGCCAGCTTTCTTGGCATCAGCCTCCAATCGCAAACGACGACTCTGCCAGATCTTCGCAAGTTGGACAGCTATTTCTGCAGCGTACCGGGCAGCCCAATCCTCGTACGATTCTCTGTGTTTGCCGTTCTGAGAGAATGTGAAAAGTAGCGTTAGTAAAATGTCGGTGGTGATCAAAATGTGCATTGAACTGCGATATGAAACCACAACCAAGAAAGAGAGAGGACACAAATCTTCTGAGCTCGCGTTCAGATTGTCGTCAGCAGCGACGGTATCAACTTATGCGGCAGTAATTGGAGTTGGAGTCGGGGACGGAGGAGGAGCAGTGGCACTGACGGTCGAAACAAGTGCTGGACTGTTTGAAGAGGGCAACGAGGGAGACGGAGTAGGTGTTCCAGTTCGAGCCAAGTTTAGTGGTGCAGCTGGTGGAGTTTGATGAGCGAGTAGAGGAACATCCCAAATTGAAGAAGGACGATCATGCTAGCCAAATATAGCAGACTTGAAAGCGAAGTTTCCGTTGAAATTATACGAAGATTCAGTATTAAAGTGACTAGATTGCTTTTGCTTGCTAGTTTCTTTTCAACTCCTGCGGCGTTTGTCACTTTTTCTCACAAGCAACTTTGAATTCAAACACAACAGCTACAATAAGAGCGTAGATAGCAGCTTGGCAACTTACTTGAGCCGATGGACTGGGAAAGTTATCAGAGGGAGAGACAGAGCGTTCCATTCTGAGATCTAATTAGGATGAAAACGTTGTGCTGCGAGTTAAATGCACTGAATGACTGGGCTCGAAAAGTGACGGTTGAAAGAAGCTGGAACGAGAGCCAGTATATCTTGGATACATGGCCATCAAGCAAACCCATGCTAAGTACCTCACAGCGAGCTGGGCTTTGAGTGTTCTATGTGGAGATTGTTTGAATGGATGGAGGAAATCAGCGAGACGGAACGGCCAACAGAGAAGAAGAAAAGCATGACAAATATGTGGTGTAGTCACGCTAGCAAGTTCACCAACAGATGGAATCAGAGCCTGCCATTCAATGTTAAATGATTCAGTTGGACGTGTTGAATCACCAGCATCACATTTAGCAAGGCGAGCCTGAATTCGTGATAGATCACGTCCACCGAAATCACCATGGAAATGGACTTCCTATAATTGTGCATGCTGCCACGAGATAGTAGCTCATGAGTTGAGCTGTGCCCACCACCAAATCACGTCTGCAGTCAGTGAAATGTGAAATATGTTGATCGACCTGAAACATCTAACGCCATATCCGATGTCACGATGTCACGATATCTCTGAGATGCCTTGTATCACGAAACTGAATATGTGGTCGAAATTTTGTACATCTTGAACCACAACGTGGGCATACCACATTGAACATTGCTTCACGAACGAAGGCCCCAATATCCAGGAACCCAAGCAACAGTAACAATGAGGCTAGTTTTCATTGATTCATTCTATTGGTATGGCCTCCTTACACCGCTATACAAGAATGCGCCACGTCAATTGTTTTGTTTGAATTCGACGAATATTGCACATCTTACCTTCGAACACACCGTGCGAAACTGCATCGGAAACTCTTCCCATGCATGCCATCATGGATACAACGTGGCCTGCCGCGTTATTCGCCGGTCGTGGAGCTTTCTATCGACATTGTGATACCAAGTTTGTAAAGGGTGTGTCACGCCCTGAATTGGACTAATAGGCGAACCGCAACAAGAAGAGCTGGTATATCACATCCAACAAATTTTGTCTTTGTGTTCTTACTCGGTGATACGTTCAGTATGGTTACTTTAAATGTGTATTTACAAACTACTCGTACAGCAAAGATTCTTTCTATCCTTCATATGGTAACGTATCAGGGGCAGCGTGCATCTCTTTATACCCTTGCAATGTGTAATCTACCAGCTAAAGCCGCTCTCTGGTTTCAAGCTAGACCATTCCCCTGGAAATCGCACTAGTAGCGCTACGTCCTAGGAATGTGAGACCAGCAGTTCCTCCTGGCACATATGAGCCAAGGAAGTATAATAGACATATAATTTGTATCACAGCCGTGAAGATGGTGCCTAAACAAAAGAGTGAGATACTTCAAGTCTCTGCCATAAAGTCCATAACATGTAGGAACCATTCACGCCCTCCCATTCACATGGCTCTCACCTAGATAAGAATGTAATCCCATACTGAAATACAACGTCAATGCCATACTACCGAAATACAATCCGGTAAAAGGCAAACGTTCTCGTGAAAACAGGTTTTTTAAATGAGTGGCTGGTCCTCTCAGTAGTGCAAACGAGGCCATCGCTAAGATAGATCCAAATGTATATGGTACTGCGAATTTTGATGGTGATATGACCATGAGTGGCAGTCCAACAAAGAATGCCAAGAGGAAGCATATTGCAGCGAGGAGTAAGCATACACCGAATCCGACTAGACGCTAAAGGATGAGACTGTGAGTCGAGATTTGAATGATTTGAAAGTTCAAGCGGACACGCGAACAGAATCATTGGTGGTCGGGTTCACTGTATTCAAACTATTGAAAGCAGTGACTATCATAGCCCTGACATCAAAAAGGACGACCGTTTGCAATAAAAGATGGGCGGCAACCATATCTTCTCTCTCTTTCCCTCTGCTTCGTGTAAGACGTCCTTGTCTAATCACAAAGAGCATTTACAATGTACCTGAGTCAATGACAGTCCAAACCAGTCGACATCACTTGTTTCTTGGGCGCCAGTGAGCCCATTGAGACGATCACGGAAGCCGCCCAATAAACCTTGCCTTTGCTCTGCATCCCGGATTTGTGCAGTTCTTGAGGCGGACGACGTGTACCAAGGTGCAGAGGATTGGCCCGTTGGAGCATGACCACTCCCGCTATTGAATGTCCTAAGCGAGTCCTTGAATTGACGCTCTCCGTTCATTATCAAACAAGTCTTGCGATGAGCCTCTCTTTGGCACTTGTTTCAAGTTGGAAGGTACCAACTGGCAGAGGTCTTGATCTACCATAAATAGAAAATCAAGAGAGTTTCAGAGTTTCTATTGTTGTAATGCAAAATTTGTCACGGAACTGCTCGCGATTTCTTCCAAAAGCCTTGTTTTCGACGTGATTCTCGGCCAATATCACCCCGCGGCCCCGCGAAGCACTCCTTTCAATTTTTGGCACGATGATCTACTATTTTGACGCATTACCGAGGGCCAAATGACGTTTCTTTTTAATAAACGATGGTGCTCGTCAGGCACTGATCTCTCATCGACATTACAAAATCAACGCCCAACTTCAAATAGCCTCACAAACATGAATTTCGCCTTAACGGCCTTACAGGCGATAAAACCATCTTTATAGGATAGCTCGGATACAATATAATTAGCTAGCTTTGCGCCACAAACAAGATAGGATGACTCGCTCAGCTCTGCCACCAGCGAAAACCAATCCAATCGAAACCTACTTTCCCAAAGCAGAGGCTCTGCCAAGCACTATAAAGACTCCCACTGGAATACCTGCTTCTATTCGCTCAAAAGAAGCTCCATTATGGGAACATTGTATGTCTTGTCTTCATTGCTTATTCGACATGTTTGGACATTGCACATGTTGACACCTCGCTCCCTTTTCTTTAGTGAATGATCCAATTGACGAGGCGGATCTACGACGAATCTATCGTCTAGATGACAATGATTTAAACACGTATTGTCCAAACCAGTTTCAGGAAAAGATTCACCTGATGCAACAAGTCGCTGCTGAGAATGCTCAATCATCTGGTGGTGATATTATCTCTACCCTGGAAACTTCTTCAAAAGCTAAAGGGGCTGCCAACAAGAAAGGAAAAGGGCCTGCTGCTGGTGCTGCTGTCGGGTCAAAATGTACCTTCCACAAATGTAAAGATAACCCAAACTGCTGTAATCATCTTGGTCAGGATCTTTGGTTGCAACCAAGTACGAGATTATTGCTTTTTTATGGATTGGTAACAACCTAGTTGGAGTTACTCACCACCAATCATTTCTAGGTGCCTTTGACAAGTTTTGTGAAGCTCATGAACTGATGGAAGGAACGCTTCTTAATCAACGACGTAATCCAGCTCTTCCTGTTGGTCTCACCGTGAGTGAATCAAGAGTCTGGAACAGGCTGTTATTTCGGCCCAATTTCTCAAGCTTCTCTGCCTATAGAATCTTGGTGCAACTTGCTATCTCAACACCTTATTACAGGTAAAGTTCTTCGAACACTCTGTTACAAACTATTCAAGTTGGCCTAGATCAACTCAACAACATCACATCTTAGATATGGTTTCACAACCCCTTTTTCCGACAAGGTGTATACATGTTCAAGAAGGGACTATCTGGAAGTGCTGAAAAAGACGCAATCTGCCAGCAACTGCAGTTTGCCTTTGCGTCCATGCAATTAGGAAAACGCAAAGTCTTGACTCCCAGGCTATTCGTTGAGAGTATGCGGCTGAATCGTGGCGAACAACAAGACGCTCAAGAGTGAGTTATTTTCCAGTAAGCGCCCTAGCTTCTTATCTCTCGCTCACCTGCGGACTCTTTTCGATAGATTTTCAAAACTGCTGCTTGGCTCAATGGAAGAGAGTTTTTCGTCTCAACCAGAGATCTCGAGTCTCATTCGTGACCAGGTAAATGGAATGTTTGATCTTGAAAAGGACTGTCTTTTGTTTTGATGGTGAATAATTGAGTAACCATTTCGTTCGCCGCTTTTGTTTTAGTTTGAAGGTACTTATGAGTACGTCACAAAGTGCTCATCGTGTGGTACTTCATCATGTGTGCCATCACCATTTCATGAGCTTGAGATACCGTTAGTGGTATGTACCTTTGAAAGGCCTCCATTCTTGTTTATGTCGTCCGACAGCTTATTACATCCTTGAAACAGGACAATGCCAATGTGACGACCTGTTTGGGAGGTCTTCTTAATGGTGAAGACATGGTTGGAAATAATCAATACTTCTGTAAAGTTTGTAATGGAAAGCGAGACGCAACTCGCTCTCTCGTTTTGAGGAAGCTACCTAAGGTATGTGTGCCAAACAAATCATTGTATGCGTCACGCCTATCGGAGGAGACTCTCACGTTTCAGTGTATATTTCAACAACAGGTGCTGAACATGCATTTGATCCGATTCGTATATGACGTTGCGAAAGGCGAAAAACTTAAAGTCAAGACTCGAGTCGAGTTTAGTGATACAATTGACCTACAGGAATTCGTCTCTCCTCCCTCAAACAGTATCCAACGTGACAATACTGTCTACGATCTACGGGCTATACTGCTACATCGTGGCGCTAGTGCCAATCAAGGCCATTACACGGCCAAGATATTTGACGGAGAGCGTAAGAAATGGTTTGACTTTGATGACGAAGTAGTCAAGGCCGCTGACGTCACTACGGGAAGTGTCATTGAGCTGGATGATACTGGGAGCAAGAAGACAAAGGGAAAGTCTACTTCTCCGGAAGGAGTTACATTCAAATCAAAGTGAGTTTTGCCATTTCTTTTACCAACTTTCTAATTTTTTTGGCCCTGTGCCTAACGGACATTCTTCTTCAAATTAAGGAATGTGTATACATTGACATACGTACGTCGTGCTGGTCCACGAGATGTGAAACCAGAGTACGTGAATCCACAACCACCTGCATCAATACTTCAAGACCTCGAAGCTGATGAAGTAGCATTCGAATCGACCATGCGAGAATATGAAGCCAAGAAGGGAGATTTGAAATCAGAGTTTGAAGTCAAGAAGGCTATGGTCGAAGACGTGTGCGCCACGTGGCATGTACAGCCTCATATGGTAAGTTGTAGTGCTCGTCGTTACTTGTTTTGAGTGCCGCTATGAGTTTTTTTGGGGTCCCTTATATTTACTGTAAAATTAATAGGAACCAACATACTTTGTCGAAGTCGAAGCACTCAAAGAGTGGCTAAGATCAGACTTGAATGCTGATGATGACGATGACAGCAACAAGGATGGCGTTGGTGGCAGCACCAGTGAAAAGACACCTGAAGTCATCACTGTAGATGATGATAATACTGCTACCAAAGAAAACGATGCAGACGCCATGAATGTTGATTCTGAACTTAACGTGATGAGATCATCTGAACCTACCAATGTCCAGTTACGCAGGTTTGATAATACAGATGTTATTTGTACACATGGCAAACTCCACCCTCTATGTACCTCCAAGGTGAAGAGGATTAGTGCCGAGGCATTCCGCAAACTGTCTCAAGATTACGGACATCAGTTTGTACCTGCCTTGTCATCGTTTGAGTTATGTTGGGATTGTGTCAAAGATATTGCTGGATGTAAGTGCTTTTAGCTTTTACATGTATTTTTTTGCTACGCCCTTGAATGGATCTCATTACTTTTCACTGCTTTAGCGAGAAATGGAGTTGCCAAACATGAAGACGATGTTGCATACATCAAAGACGTTATAGATGCTCGTGATGGAGACAGGTTTTGGATGTCCAAGCGTTGGTATTTTGGTAAGATGCCAACAATGTATTTTGTGTCCCAGAGTGTCTGAGGACATGGAACTCTTCTCTTCTCTGCGTTTTCTATGTACGGAACCTCGCGCTCACTTAACATTTCGCTCACCCCTTATTAGATTGGAAGAAGAAATTTCCAAAATCCAACCCCGATGGCACTCATCTCGCACCTGATGCTCCCGAATACATTGGAGCCTTTGTTTGTAAACATGGAGGACTAGCAGTAGAGGAAAAAGGACGTCGTCTTGTTTCGAGAGAGGCAATTAATTATTTGCAACAGCTCTTCCCTGATTTCCAAACAAAGGAAGAAGCCGATATTGAATGTGAATACTGCATGAATGAGCTACATGCACTTGAAGTGACTACTCGTGATAAACGTGATACAGCTGAGAAGCAGAAAGTAGGTTTGAGTTTAAATATGTCCATGGGCTATCCAGCGATTTTGTTTGCTTGGTGAAAACCATTTGGAAGGAGCTTTTCGGACCTTGCTCACATGTACTTGTTTTTTCTAGACTCAATTGAAAAAGCTAGCTGATCCCAATCGTAAAGCTATTCCAGATCTCGGAAAGGATATTGGTGTTCATCTTGTCGAAGGTGGTAGGTGAAATCTTTGTCTTTGTTGTTGGTAATCAGGGTACTCGAATGATGACTGAAAGCGCAGTGGCTAACAAAATGCAACCACGCTATGTCTTCATGTCAGATTTTGTCAAAACTTGGCGTCATTTTGTGGAAGATCCTCGTAGGATATCTCAACCTGGGCCCATCGTCAACGACTCTCTACTTTGTCGCCCTCATGGTCGATTGATGTATGATGTCAACAATGCAGAAGATGCACGTAGTGAAGCATGGGTTATGGTCACTCCATCCGAATGGAAAAAGCTTCACGCCTGGTATGTGCTCGATTTTTTTTGGTTGGAGGGGCTTTTGACCTGAACTCGTCATGTTTTAGGTATGGTGGTGGACCAGATATCTTCTTGTTTGAGCAACAAGGTCAGTTTCTATCTCCCACACTTGGAGTTTGTGAGGAGTGTTGGAATCAACGGTAAGTTACGAGCTGGGAAAGCTTTCCCAGAGAACATAGAAAATCCTCGAGCATGAAAATGACTCCCTTTTTCTGTTAGTCGACGAGATTTCGAGGAGGCACAAATATACATACAGAAAATAGACGACAAACCCGTCAGAAACCCGTCAACAGATACTCCAGTCATCATAATAGAAGATGATCTCAAGGATGATAATGGTGGTGGAGCATCAGCAGATGAAGCTGCCAGTCCACCACGGGCATCGACACGTAGAGGTGGAAAACGAGATGAAGAATTCGTCCCAGCGAGAGGAGAGATCTCATACAAGACGTCAAGTCGAACTATACCAGGCTCATCCTCGTCATCAAACAATCGTAAACGTAAATCACCACCTGCATCGGCATCATACGGAAATTGTTCTACTCGAGCTAGCAAACGATTGACAAAGAAGAATACAACTGCAGTTAGGATCAAGAAGAGTACGAGTGTGCGAGATCTTAAAGTTATGGTGAGTTGTATCGGGCTTGTATTGCAAAGCGAAGAAAAACCGCACAAACATACATCGATTTATTGCATGTTAACAATTCTTATCTCCGTCTTCTCACAGCTGATGCGGGAGTTCGATATTGTGCCTATATATCAACGACTCTTCTTCAACGGGACAGAGTTGACAAGGAATGAAGCGACTATGGGTGAACTGGATATATTACCTGGATCTACTCTTGACCTGAGAGTATTTGAAGAGAATGGCATGGCAGATGAGCTTGATACAGGTTTGCTAGAGACATGTCTTGGTTGGCTAAGGTGGCTGGTTTTACGGACTAACTCTTTTTCTTTTTCGCTGTTATAGATGGTAGTCGCAAGCTTGAACGAGGGTTTGAAGGTTCGTTAAGCTTTCGTATTCAGAAAAGCCGTCGTTGATATTTTCAAGATTTAGTATGGCAAAAGTTAACACCAATCAACCTCTTCAACAATTTAGGGAGTTTATTGACTGGCGGTGTTGCTAGTACTAGTGTAAATAGCGCAGGTGTAACTAATGGTGGTGGTGGTGGTAGTGAGGATGTTCTTATGGGCGTTGCTTCTCCGGAACCAACAGCTAAGCAATTATCAGGCCAAAGTGATGAAATACTGGTGGGTGCTGATGGTCCCATCGTTGTATTCAAGAGGAGCACTGTAGGCAATGCTGGTGGTAGTATTAGTAGCAACAACTACAAGAGCACTTCTCGTAATGCAGGTAACAGCAAACCATCGTCAGGATGGATTTGCAAAACGTGTACCTTTCAGAACCATCATGACCTTCCGATATGTGAGATGTGTGAAAACCAGCAACAGCTGTAGTCCTATACAACTCCAAGCAAGTACCTCCAACCAACAACAAAAGCTGTACAAATATGAACAAAAAGCACAAACACAAACCTCTTTTTGCTGATGCAACACCCCCCAAATACACCATCAATCATTGAATGTACAAATTGTAAGTCATAAAAACAGTCAAGAAATAAGAAAGATTCACATGCAAACGAAATATTTTGGAAGAATGTCTATACAGAGTTGCCAGACGTGTATGTGAAAGAGGCAGAGTGTGTCTAGATTAATTACTACTACAAAATTACTGAGATGGTGGTGTTGGCTGTGGTGGTTTGGCTTCTGCAGCTTCTTCTAACGGTATTCCTCTTTCCTTAAACTCCATTTCTAGCCTCTCTCTAGCTCTAAACACTTTGGACTGTATGTAGAACGATCCACCTGTACTTGGCTCGTTTGATTTGAATAGGTGTTCGTATTTCTATCAAGTAAACGTTAGTAACTCTTTGATTCCGGCTTCTTTGGGCTGTTAAGTAAATGAGACGACCAACCTTCATAACCTCTTCCAAATTTGCCTCTCGCTTCACATTGAGTATCTGAGCAGCCTCCTCTATCGTCATCCCCGTCGTCCTAGTTATAGCATCTGCGGACCGAGAGGCTGCATTCGTCGCTGCATTCTTTGCTGCATCTATAGAAAAATTCGGTGTCAACGGTTTTTTTGGCACTGGAAAGTTTTCAAGGTTAAGACGAAGGAGGCTTAACTGGCTGCAGCCTGTTTGTAAGCTTCGACGAAAGCTCTGCCCAGTATCTGAGCTCCTAGGAAGACGACTTGGGATATTATTCTCGGTAGTGACATGATTCTATGTGGCGAAGAAAAAGTTTGGAGAGAATCGTGATGCGTGGCAATTGAATCTTGTGTGAGGAACTTGGAGATTTTTGAGGTCAATATATATCACGTAAATATAGCGTCGTGACGCGTTACTAGTGGTTTATGACCGTTCTTGAAATCTTCTGTTCGTCATAAATTTTAAACAACTCAGGGTTTTGAAATAAGCAACCAGCGTATACTTGAAGGTCCACATCCGCCCTATTACGAGGTTTTGAGCCTTCGCTTATTGGACTGTACTGAAGGATCCATACCCTTAAGGTAAGTTGCCTAGGATGTGAGAGCATACATTGTCTTTGAACCAGTCAACAATTTTTGGGAGCGTTTTTGTAACCGGTCGCTTGCTGTCTTGAGTCAATTACGAGTTGAGTGAGTGGCTATGGACGCGCTGTACCCCTGTCTTGCTCCAAATCTGTCCAATCGTAGAGAAAATCGTTTGACATTGCACACATTTGCTCACATTTGATGGATCACGTCTATAGGCACCATATACCCCATGTCGTCGACTACTATTCCATTTCCAACTATCGTAGCTGACCCAAACATTCCTGTATTGCCAGAGGAAGTGCTGAATTGCATCGTCGAACTGTGCTCGATGGCTCCCGCCTGCAAAGATTGGAATATAGCTTCAGTCAGAGAAGTATATAAAACAGTCACATCCTCAGACAGATTCTTTGAACGTTTCAACTGGATGGTGAGGGCACCTTCCCCTGACAATGTATACTATTAGCAAACTCGATCGATGTCGACGTCGACGTTGAACGTTATTCCAAAGGTGCTTCCGAACCTCAATCACTTACTCTTCAAAGCCCGTCCACGACAACTGAAGGATTCATATGTCGCTATAATAATCCAGCAACTAATTCATCTGGAGAGCCTGAACTTTGGTTCTTACAATCGAATGCCAATATCTGGCAATTGATTATGGGCTCCATGGCTATGCGACCCTCAACGTCACCCGTATTCTGTCTGGAGCACATAGACACACGGTTGAGATGGTGTTTATTAGTGAAACCTCGCTTTAGCTGATGGAAGGAACTCACAATGTTGAATTCGACGTCGAGGCACTAAGAATCTTACGAGAATAAGTAGGTGTCTCAACTAGTGTCAAGCTACTCCTTGATGATAGAGTGTCCCTCGCAGTTCGATAAAGCCTCTAGAGGTAGTAGCGAGTCTTCCAAACTAGAAAAATCACGCACGTTGTACAGAAGTACCAAAAGAGTGAGAAAAATTGTAAGAAATGCGAATACAAACAGAGGTTGAAAGTCGCTATCATAATTGTTGTGAATGTTCGAATAACCCTCCTCTCGCGTCCTGCAACAAATTTCGTACCAAACGCAATAGCACCACTTAATAATTTACAGTTCCAAAAAGCACCCTTCCGATTTGATACGGAATTCCGGTACGTATGGACTCTGCTTTAGCTTAAAGTTTGCACCTATCGCAATATGTGTTTCTCTGAATATATTTGCACGTTGATTTTGCTGCCGTTCGCTTCTGAGAGAAGCAGCCAGAATGAAGCCATCTGGATTAGGTGTCATCTATATGAATTATCAGTCAAGCCGTGCTGCCTCAGACTCTGCTCCTCGCAGCAAAAGTAATCGACATCAATACACAACTTTACTCACAATCGCTTTCACATTTTAGTTATATCGACTGAGACCATGTGGAATTCTACTACATCATCGGAAGACGAAACCGAGGCAGGTATCCCTATATTGCCAGATGATATCGTAAATTGCATCGTCAAGTGGATGGACACTCAGACGCTGTGTTCCATGGTGCTGGTCTGCAAAGATTAGAACATCGCCGCAGCCAGACAACTATATGAAGATGTCACAATGGCAACTGATTTCTGGGATTGTCTCGATAGGATGGTGCAACCATCTTCATCACGTCCTGACATGTTATCATCAGAATGCTCTTGAACATTGAAATTCAGTCGCTGAATCTCGAGTCGGTCCTACAAGACAGGGACTCCACGATCATTATACGTAATTTATTGTCGCAATGTACCAGCCTCAAGAGGTTGGTCATTCCAACTCACTGTGCAGCTGCCTTGCATGATGCATCGATTGGATTTTTTGCACTACAACTAGTCCAATCTCCTGATACCCCTGAGGTACATGTCGAATGGTCTGACAAGAACTGGTCACGGTTTGCCTCTACTCATAATGGTAATCGTGTCCTCAAAATGGTGTATAACCGCGCCAGCAGTGGTGTTACCGAAGCAATAGCTCAATGGAAGCTCCAGAAATTCAACGTCACTGGTCATTGCAAACCATAGAGGTTTCAGTAGTAGAACTTCCCGTTACTGCAAGTGTCACGATCAGCTCCTTCGAAAACCTCAAGCACTTGACGATTACCGATGCGATATTCAGTCCTGATTCTGCATCTCCAAATTCCATTGCTTTAAAAACGTTGATACGAGAGCGATTTGCTAGTTTGCAACCACAAGGTAGACCTTGCGAAGGTTGTATCTTTTAAGGTAAATGCTCATGATCTGTTTCATGCATATTGGCAACAAGTGCTTATACTTTGAAAGACTTGTAAGTCTACGGATATGAAGACCCTATATTGGAGCTTGGCGATTCAATATTGGACAATAGTTTTTGTTTGTCTGAAAGAACTAGCCCTGCTCGATATGGATGTATTGATTGGAGGTTTGCTTGAAAGAGCAAATCCGTTGCTCAGCATAACCGAACTCCGTCTAGAATGGACAACTGTTGAACTTCCATTCGAGTTCATCTCCAAGGTGCTCCCAGATCTAAAAACTATAGAGTTCAATATCGATGGTGAACAGCTCAACGACTCCTATATCTTACTGATGATTACTCAACTGCTCGTCTTCAACGCATGACGCTGTATCTTCTCAATGGATTGTTTGTATCAGGAAACTTGATAGCGGATCTATGATACTGATACCTTCAGCTGCACCTGTACTGATGGTGTGCGGATATCTGGAAATAGCTTTTGCTGGGTCAATTTTTCATGGCCTTGCAGAGGTGGCCGCAGATGTTGAAGTCAATGTGCAAGTAGCCCTACGAAAACGTATAGATGTCGCTACCAAAGGCAAACTCGTCATTGATGATACGTGACTCTCGTGGCTCGATAATATAGTTAACCAACAAAGTGCCGCCAAAGATTAGAAGTTCGAAGTAATCACGTTATATCGTTGTAGTAAAGTAATATCGCAAACGTAGTAACGTATAAGATTGTAAACATTTTGAATATTGAATGAAAACAGAATATTCGTAAGCACAATGTAATTGCTTCCTGTCGCAACCATGGCTTCTGTTCAAACATTCGCCTACTCTAATGGACTCGAGCAGGTCCCAAAGTAGGAGCATAGGGACAAGGCAAAACCCAAACAGTCAAAGGTTCTATCGACATATTCATCAAGGTACGAATTCTCTCTGTTTCGCTTATAGTTTGGCACTCTGTTGAAAGGTCAATTTGTTTTGCTTTTGGTTGCCGTTCGCTTCTGAAAAGGACGGTGTTGTCACATAGCATTGTAGCTATCCGAAAATATGATGAACGACCATACCAGTCTCCCTGCTCTAAAAGGCCTCGCCGCTGCAAGAATCGTCGACATTTAAGCACATTTTATTTTTACTTCTCAGGTAACATAGATAACGAAGCCATGTCGAATATTACTACATTGCCACATGATGAAATTGAACCAGCTTTCCCCATATTGCCAGGAGATGTCCTAAATTGCATCGTCAAATGGATGGAACCGGCGACTTTGTCTGATATGGCCCTCGTGAGCAAAGGCTGCTGGAATATGGCTTCAGTGAGAGAATTGAATAAAGATGTGACCGTCTCAACCAGCTTCCTGGAATGTCTGAATTGGATTGTTATAGCACCATCATCACCAGATGACATTTATTGCCAAAATCCACTCAAAAGAATTCAGTCGTTGCATATCTCGGCTTTTCCTCCAAGCTTCCGAACTGACCCCTCCTCTTCAATAATTATAAATGATCTCTTATTACATGCACGAACCTGAAGGTCTCGATATCATATCTTGTTTTGCTTCGGTCCTGCATTCAGTCTCTCCAAGTCTTCTTGACCTGACTATACAAGTCAATGAAACGCCAGACGTCGTGGTATGGTCAGCGAAACACTCGTCTCAACTTTGCTACCACTCATCGTAATATACGTATGCTGGATGTATCTGGTATCGGTGGAATCAACAGTACGGCTACAGGAATAACTACTGAAAGCTCAGTGAATTCAGAGTGTCTGGTCAGGCATTAGATGAAAGCGTGTGGACGGCTTTACTATTGAAGCTTGAAGCATTGATAAATTTTCATTAGGCCTAGCACCACTATTGAAAGCAAGTGCCAACATTTTAAAAGTATACAATGCCACTGAATGTGAAGGCCTTACAAGAGCCTGGCACATTTATATTGGATAGCGTTGCCTGTTTACGAGTACTATAATTGATGGATGTCGATATTTTAATTGGAGGATTACTGGAAAGAACGCATTCTCTCCTTAGAATAAATGTATTCCGTATGCAATGGACATCTGTCGATCTTCCAATTGATCAGATTCCCAAGGTCCTTCCAAATCTGAAGGTCATGAATCTTCTAATGAGTCGTGAACGACTCAACGACTCGCATATATTACTAATGATTACACAACTGCTTCATCTGAACGCCTTGTACGTACATAGTAATTTACCGCGACCGTCTATATCTGCTGGCAATCTGATTGTTGGATCTATGGTGCTTCGACCATCAACGTCACCTGTCTTGACTGTCTACGGAAATGTAGTCATCGAGTTTGTTGGTGAAATAGCTCGTATACCAGACTTGAGAGGAGGGATACTTGAAGCTACGGAGGCAATATATGCTTCGATGAAGGCTTGCCCCTAGCGAGATCTCGTAGGGAGTGGGAAGGAGAGCCTATGGGATGGTAGGAAGAAGCTGCGGGATGACGCGTGGACGAACGGGGTCAAACTGGAAATGGGTGGTAATTTGGGAGTGTCGCGTCAGAGCTCCAAAGTCAAGCAAAAATCTTATTTCCCGCTTACAATTTGTCATAAAGGCACAAATATGTACGAACTCTGTAAATCCGGTAGTCTTCCATGTAATGTTTTAACTGACCTCACCTTCAGAGGAAGGAGCACTTGAAGCGTGAATGCCAAACGAAAAATTTGCAATTTGCGCAATATGTATAATGATCAACTTGATTTTGGATGTTCAAATGGTGATCTCCAAGTTGCGTCCTCTTGTTTTCTCGAAGTTCTTCAACACACAGGCGATCCCCACTTTGCGAGCTTTTGGAACGACAGAGATACCTGATGCCATTTGGACAAGTTGTAGTAGGACCGCCAGGCTCTGGAAAGACCACGTATTGTCACGGTCTCCAACAATTCTTCACTGCAACTGAACGGTACTTTCGAACTAGAGCTTTACGCTTCAGAGGCAGTATGAACTAGAGCTAATTCCACCTTCATAGACCATGTGCAGTCATAAATCTAGATCCAGGCAATGATCTGCTACCGTAAGCTCATCAAGGATAATGTTTTTGGAGAGAATTTGTAAAATTCCAAACTCGTTTTTCTATTCCCATTACAGCTACTATTGCTCTGTTGACATATGTGATTTGATCACTGTATCAAAAGTCATGGATGAGCATCGACTAGGACCTAATGGTGGTAAGCCAATGTGATAGCAAGCTTTCAAGTTTTACAGTCAAGCTAAAGATGGATCTTTTCAGCTTTGGTGTATTGCATCGAGTACATAGAAGCCAATCTGGACTGGTTGATTGCTAAACTGAAGCCATTTCAAGGTATTCAAAACTGAGAGTCTTCTCGTTCACCGGGTTAATCGCTTTTGTTCTTGTTAGATCGATACATCATATTTGATTGTCCTGGTCAAGTGGAGCTTTATACACATCACAATGGAGTCAAGAGCATTCTTCATAAACTGTCCAAGCTTGATTATAGGGTAGATGCTTGGTACTTCAAAAAATTCGAAATGCAGACTTCCTCATGCTGCCTTTTTGTGGTAGCTATGCTCAGTGCATTTGGTGGACTCGCATTATTGCACTGATCCAACAAAATATGTCGCCATGCTTCTCGTCTCATTGCAAATGATGCTCAAGTTGGAGTTACCCCATGTGAATGTGCTCTCCAAAGTGGATTTGATGGAAACGTATGACAAACTAGGTATGCTTCTGTAATGATCTTGCCAATCGTCATCTGTCTAATCGCAATCATTACCAACCAGATTTTAAGATTGATTTTTACATGGAAGTTCAAGACTTGTCGTACCTGCTCGACAAGTTGAATGAAGGAACATTTGGACAAAAATACTTGAAACTAAATCAAGTATTATGTGAAGTCGTGGAAGACTTCGCTCTAGTAGGTTTCTATACGCTATGTATCGCCGACAAGAAGAGTGTACTTCGAGTCGTGCAAGCAGTCGATAAAGCCAACGGATTTGTCTTTGGTGGATTGACTATGGGGAACGATTCTATACTTTCAGCAGCATCCTCGTATGGTTCCATGATGCAAGAAACACTGGAAATACAAGAAAAGTATCTTGCTTCATCTGATGATGAAGAAGATGAGATTGAAATCAAGGAGAATGTGATTGAAGAAGTAGAAAATTCTTAAACAGATAAAACTGTACAGCTCATATATATCATGCCCTCCTTGTAACATAAACTCAGACCTTCATATTTAAGGCATGCTCCATTGTGCCATGAACATCCAAAGAATCGGTCGACATTTCTGGTTCTATGTCGCGAATTGATATTAGATAATTTAATATTGTCGACGTGGTCGAGTTGAGGTTTGACGTACTGTTGAGGAAGTCCTCTACATCAATGGAATCATCTTTTCCAGCCAGAATGTTGAGTCCAAAGTTTGAAGATGGTAATACTGGAATCCTCTTTGGCTAATTTGAGGAATCTCTTAGTAACGATACATTGAATGGTAAGACGTCTACAAATTGTAATATATACCTGCGAAACAATAGCCTTCTCCATTTGCAACCTTAATGGCAGATGGCTTCCATAGACATCAGCATACATGTCCATTTTGAACTTTTCTTGAGTAGAATCCCACTAGAATATCGTATTGTCTGGTATCAATAGCACGTCCAAAAATGGTTTAATGTTGAATGTTCGTACGTTTTTGAGATGGGACTCCAAGGGATGACCAGCAGTGACTTGACTCTTGACTGAATTCAATCCATATCTAAATGTGTCGTGGACTCCCAGAGATGTGTCCTTGCCAGATGACACTGTCAGATCTGAAGAGTTTGAGCTTGGAACAATGCGTCTTTCCTGAATATGAGATATGGGGGTCGTTAGAGAATGAATTAATGAGTAATTAAAGCATGTAAAGCTCACCATTTGTTGTCTGCTAGGACAGGTATGAGGACAAGTCGTCGATGTTTTGTTGTTTGGATGGTGACGCGTTGCAACGAGAGCAGAAATTTGAAACAATCAAGAGGAGGATGCGACGCGGAAGGACGTACTTACGTGAGAATTATTAGTTATTAGCTTACAATGCCCTGATTCTCGTTCTGAATTCACTGTCTGTTGAAGATGCTCTAAAACAAACACATTCTGTTTGCAGCATATTAGAGAGATATGAGGAGACCAACAAGGACCATTTGGAGATCATATGCATTATCGCATCATGGATGAAGTTATTGATCTCGTATTCATGAAAACGATTTGGATCACCACGAGAATGCTCGTCTTTGATATAGCATCTTGACACTTTGAACCTATGAGAGTTATCTCAGATGGACAAGAACTGACAACGTCAGGATCTCATTACGTGTTTCGGTGCTCGATCATGCATTATGATGCCATACAATTCCAATTTGCGTGCATTTGCACACATTGATTTCACAAGATGGCAAGAGACACACGTACTGGAAAACGAACCCAGAGGCACGAAATTTACTCTAGTATTGATTCAAGTTCGATGGTCATTGATTTTGGGGAAAATCTATACGCTTCCGATGTTATTTGGCTATATTCTCACATTCTTCACACTACGACACGTCGTAATGAGGTACAAACCTTTCAATCACGCACGCTTACACGTAAATTGTATGGATCTACCGCCAAAGCTGCTTTCAGATACCAAGTACATCGAAAGCATCACAAACAATTCGTAAACAAGTAACAACAGGAGGACTTGATAACAGAAGTTTCACCTTTTGGGTTTTCAATGACGACTGCAGATGCTTAGGTGCTACGGAACACAAGACCATCCTTCAATTAGGATTCGACGGGGTTTTGGCGTTGTGTCACTGACACCGAGTGAGGGCCATCAGTCTTCATAAGCACAATGTTGTGCCTGTCGCTTGAAGTGTCGCTTGAAGGGGATCTAGCTCAGATGGTAGAGCGCTCGCTTAGCATTTTCAGGAAATGAGATTGCGAGAGGTATTGGGATCAATGCCCAAGTTCTCCACTTTTTTCGTGAACCAGATTTGTTGATAGGGAACGATCGTTCATAGTATATGGTTTCTTGGGTGAAATGATGATTGTTATAGAGATGAACTTGAATTTGGTCGGAGAACAGTCGGTTGGCAGATGAACTGTTGAAGTCAAAGTTGAAGTTTCTGCAAACATCGTGTTTTGGTAACGGTGAGCAATGGTAGAAAGGGAACTGTTTGTTCTGTGATATGATCATTTGTGTATTTGCATAAATTATTTGGATGCAAGGCGAGTGTCCAGTTTGCAGCGAAAAAAAATCCATCAAGAAAAAGAACAAACTATGGGCCACAAGAAGAACAAACGCGGCAACCCCGCTGATCACATGCTGGATCCCGGTGATAATGCTATGCATGTAGACTCTGATGACTCTCCTGCTTCTCCGTCTCATAGTGGTTCACCTCCGCCCCCAGTCTCAACAAGTGCTCTCGATGCAGCATTGTCTCGCGTCGAGGAACTGTCTCGTCGCTCTCAGCACGTCCTAGCCGCGTCTAATGCCTCCAATGACGATCCTCGCCTCTTACGCCAAACCATTCAAGATTTGACTGGCATGATGGCGACTACTCTCGGAGTTTTTCAGTCTGCTTTTTGGTGTAGATTATTACTAAAAATCGCTTTGATATACATTTTTTGCATCTTTTTATGTAGTTGCTCAGAACTTTGTCTTCCGCCGTGTTGGATTCTGCATCATGAAGGGTATTGCGCGACAACTTGTCGGTCGTCGTCGTTAGGGTGATCCTATTTGGGGTCTATGAATGTAGAGGTGCTGCTTTTTGGTGTAGATTATTGCTATAATTCGCTTTAATATACATTTTTTGCATCATTGAAAAAGATATTTTGGGGAGAGAAGGTCGTACCCGGATTCGAACCGGGGTTGCGAGAGTCAGAATCTCGAGTGATAACCACTACACTATACAACCATGATTGTACAGATGGAATTCGTAGATGCGAGAAGGAATTATAACCTCGATCTATAACAAATGAGTGACCCTTGGCAGAAAATGCATTGCGTTGGATGAATCGTGCCATTCTTACTGAAAATAGGGTAATGTCCATACAAATCGTTCAGCAAATCGTATCTCCACACTGCTTCGTTACATCTCCAATCTTGTTGCTTCGGAAACAATGCATGAAAAGCTGAAGAACTACTAAGGGTTATTAAGCACCAACATGAAAAAAGCTGCGAGATTTTGACTAAGGCCTTTTTGACAGCTTCTTTTCTTGCACTTCGGTTTCCTCACTGAACAAGATTTGCTTCCCTCGCTGGTTGTGGTATTGCTCTGACCTTCAAGACACCTATATGGACGATCGCTTCCTCACCAGGAATACGGCCAGTGATTTAGAATCTAAAAGCAGTATACAGATATATTTTATACCTGAATCCTCGATGTATTGTCACAAATTTGGTGATGTTGATAAGCCGTCTTTTGATATACTAGGCCTGACGTGTACTAGACTGGAGTATGCTGTGTCTGAGCTATCGGTGTGCCGCAAACATGTCTCTCGATTTTTTGTTGCTTGCTTCAAATTTCGCTGGATCATTGAATCAAACCACTGCTAGCATAATCAACTCTGATGAACCTCTTGCAAGGATGGAAAGCAAACCTCAAAACTCTGCCACAATTTTCCATATTCTCTTGTGGTAAACTAACCTGTTTGATGCTCCAACGTTATCTGATCTCACGTCAACCCATTCAATCCCTGCATCCTGCTTTTGGTGTCGACTGTTAGTCCAGTGGGCTTTCACAGTTCCTTTGGCAGCATACCTCGGCCTGATATTGGCCAGTGGGGGACTTTTCCGGCTCTCTCAACTCTATACTTTGGATACTATGTGTACGAAGAATCTCACAATCCGTTTCGCGCACGACACAGCGCGAGACAACCCTGTCGAGAAAAAAAGGAAGATACATCTTGGAGATGCTGGATATCGATCCCAGTACCTCTCGCATTCGAGCAGATTAGATACATGCTAAGCGAGCGCTCCACCATCTGAACTACGCCCCCACCCATATGGTTGTTGATTGTACAACGTTTCTGTTTGTGACGCAGAGCACACATCCCCATATTGGACAACTAAAGCACGTCCCGTGATTCAACGTTTGCGTAGCCGGAGATTCTCATCTACAAAACTTTGGGGTGCTTTTTTAAGGCGTATAAGCCATCTCACATGAACTCTACTGGTTTCTCGATAAATCACGGTTAGTTGTCGATACCCACACTGTACTTACATACCGACCACTCACCTAAACGCAAATCCACTAGATTTGACTCGTCGTAGACCCAAATTTACTATGTCTGAGCCATGGCATGCCACAAACACGTTTTCGCTCACTCTCAGTCTCCCCAAGGATTCCCAATACTATTTGGAACGAAAAATGCCAGTAGAAAATCCTCTAGTGGAGCCGTTTCAACGTTGTCATCGTTGAATAATTAACATGAACCCCTGTCACAAGTTTCAATTTTACCTTCAGGATTTAATGCCCAACTGGCTCTGAAGTCACCCTGGCTTTCCGCCTTTGGTGTAGAGCTGTTATTCGTGGATTTTTTGTGTAGTGGTTATCACATGAGATTCTGACCTCATAACCCGGTTCGAATCCGAGTACGACGTGACAAATGCTTGAATTCGCTCCTCAGCTATTCTTTTTCGCTTGCACCTCCGAGTACGACCTGATAATAGGCTTGACAGACATCGCTCCGCAGCTCCTCTTTCGCTGCACCTGTTTGAGCTAGGTAATTTTTATCTGAAATTGGCTGTTTATCTGAGCAGTAAAGAATCGCACCTAATTGGTCTTGAAATTGACGTCAAACAGACTATTCGCGAAAGTATGGCGAATGCATAAAAAATGGAGAAGTTGGGCATTGATCCCAATACCTCTCGCAAATCAAGATTGCTAAGCGAGCGCTCTACCATCTGAGCTACATCCCCAATAACAAGTTCCTATTAGAAATCCATCAGCGTCTTTGCCCTATATAGCTTACTCTGCCTCACTCGTTTTTATACCAGAACGCGCAAACGTAATTCCAGTAACATATCGGGAGTAATTAGCAATTTAGTAGGGTTTAAGTGTTTTAATAATCGAATTTGCGGGACTATAATCCCAATAAAACGCATGGCTGAGCCAAAAAAAAAGGTCCAGTCGAATCGTCACCTTTAAGGTTATTCAGATCTGGCTCCATGACGTTGATAGGCTCCATGACGTTGATAGACATGCATGCGACCTTCAAGATCCAAATTTAGAAAGAAAATTTGGGAATCTTTTTTCGCGCATCCTTGTTGTAGCTTGTTTTGCGTCTTATTTTGTCGGGCTTCCATTTGATGTACTTGATGGCTAAACGCGGTTTTTGAAAGGTAGATCAGTTGAAGCTACTCTTAGACATGCGTTATTTCTTTCTTCTTCTGTATCACTTGCCGATGTTGTTGAAAGTCAAGAGTGAGGCCAAGAAACAGCACTGGAAGTGTTTCGAGCTTTAGCAAAATAGCATTGAATAGCAAATCTTCAGTCCATACATCATGGTAGATTGGTGTTTATTGAAGCCTATTCCGTCAAAGATAGGTATCTGATGCAAGGGCAACAAAATGTACCAACCGACGCACACTGGAATTGTTCAGCATGTAACAAAGCATGAGCAAGTTTCAAAACGCAGAGAAATTTCATGTCATCGTTTGAATTCTATCTGGGGTATCTCTCTCTATGTAAAAAGATGCAAAAATTTGTACAAAATGCCCATTAAAATCCAAACTGTGTTTTGTAAGTGCCTATCTATAAATGATGACCAAGAGATTCATTCTCCTGATTTATACGAGCATGGAGTCCAAATTCCCTATACTAGGTCGTGTACGTTCATATTCAAGAATACATCCATACGACTCGTGAGCATTCCCAATATACAATTGCTCTCCATCACCTGGTGTAAACGATATCCCCGATATCTCGCCAAAGAAATCAATTATCTGACAAGGCAAGTCATGACCACCTATTCTAGGCTGAGACGATGATGGGTTTGCTGCCGAATCACCGCCACTGCTCTCTTCAATCTCGTCCTGTTCCTCTTCATCTACATCCATAGGTTGGGCATATGAGTGGGCATATTGGGGTATTTCGGGCGGTGTATACGATGGAGGGACCAGATGATCTCCTTGTTCGAGGATTTCGTGGAGTCGTGCCATTTCAAGGACGTGGACAAAGTCAGCTGCTTCGGCCATAGCCATGAATTTGCCATCATCAGAGAAACGTATTGATCTTATGGCACTTAATTTGCGCCGTAATAGACAGAATGGTCTGCTCATATTCCTAACATCGTACAATCGAGACGTCTTGTCTGTGGGGTCAAGTGCTCTCAGGTTAGAGATATTGTCAATTCAGCAGAACGAAGAAAGTAGAAAACACAGTGTACAAGACGTCTCACTCGCCTTGATTGCCCGTAGCAACTATTCTCCCACATGGTGACCAGGCACAAGCAAATGAATAATCTGCGTGACCTCGAAGTGTTGACAATATTTCTCCAGATTGAGCATCCGCAATCAATGTTTCTCGATCATCTCCCACTACACACAACATTCTCTTATCCGGACTCAGAGTTGAGCACTAGAAATAAATGCAAGACTAACGTTAGACGAGTCTCAACTAATGCGAGCAAAAAAAAAAGGAAAAAAACAAAAGAGTACAGCCCAATCAAGCAACGCTGGCAATTCAGACCAGCGCACTTACATTCACAGCCCACGGAAACTTGAATGAACAAGTAATCTTCAACTCGTCCAAATTCATAATCCTCACAAACTCATCATTACTACTTATTATAGCATTGATGGTCCCTTGTCTCGCTTCAGCAATATCGATATGATTCGTGATTCCATTATAACTAGTAGTCACAAATCCAGACCTTGTAGCTCTTCCGTATCGTGATGAAGCTGAAGGTGACGTGGAAGAGGATGCCGACCGTTGCTTATCTTTGGTGGGAGAAACTATTCCATCACTAGGTCGCTGTAGGACGTATTCACCATTAAATCCTCCCAACATTAATATTCCTAGTTTGGCACACATGGTGCTGATGCGTACGTCTTGTAATCGATTTAGTCGCAAGTCGAGTGTTGTTGACGAGCGTTTGGCTATTGGAGACCACGACAGGACAGAAGAATCACCTAATGATGAGGAGGAGTGAGTATGGGAGCCATCTTGCAGAAGCTACATCATCCACCAACCAGCATAGTAAATCTCGTTTTTGTTTGCAGCCCACAAGAGATTCCGTAGCTGGAAGTGAACGATGGGTATCCGTCGGGGCACTTTGGCGTATCTGAATGCGTAATAGATTGATCCGGGTATCACAGCCGCACATGTCTGTCGAATCTCTTTGTGAGGATGAGGAGTCAAGTTGGTATAGTTTCCCCTATAGTCTCGTGTCCTCTTCCGGCGATATTCTTCGCGAGTTACACTCATCTGACTCCAATCTATGCCTTGAATGTCTAGATGACATAGAGATGGTTTTAGTATAGGTTGCTTTGGTTAGTGACTTCTTGATGATGGCTTCAAAGATGCATCAGAAGGATGAGTAGCCGAGGACAGGTCATACCGATATCATTTTTGAGATCGCTGGCACATATCTCGACAGGAGTTGAGTAAGAGTTCTGTGGTTCAGTTCGAGCATCGGCAGAAGAAGCTTGAATTTCAATATCAGACACTATACAATGAAGGGAACAGAGAGTTAGAGCCGAGTTTGGACAAGGTCTGCGCTATGGACTTACGGTCCCACTCAGTGTCAAATTCCATCTGAAAGAATTGCAATCAGGCAGCAGTGCTGTAGTTGACGAGTTGTCATGGTTGAGAGGTCGGTTGTACGCGAGAGAGTAGAACTTCTTTTCAATGGAATTTACGTTGAACATTGTGAATGCAAGCAACGATCGTGTCCTTTCTCCCCAAGGGGTAACAATTCAATAAATCACGTTCATCCGATGGGACCTTTAGAGTTTTCCAAACAAATAAACGTGTATTGTAGCCGTGAGATCAAATACCCACCCTAAAATGTACGTGTCCCCGTCTGGGTAATGGTTTTTGCAAACTGCTCAGTCTTCCCGTAGCATTTTCAATATTGTGGTGTGATTGTTTGCCGTCTAATCTTCCCAACCATAGCGAAAAGAGACCATACCATCAGATCCACCATCATCTACCATTGATTTGGATCCGCTCTGTACATAATGCTACCCCACATTCGTCAAGTGAGAACATCCTGTTTTTTGATTTGTTCCCCCATCGCACTTTACAACTTGAGATCTCGGAAATATTGCTTTTACATACCATATTCCAACAATCTTGTCTACATCATTCTAGACATCGGCATGGGACTGCGGAGTCGCTTGTGTCGCTATGGTCTTGTCCGCTGTCGGCAAGACATCAAAGGAACATGGAGGTGTCGTCAGACTGGACGAATTACTCAGTGCCTGCCCGAGCACTAGCATATGGACTATTGATCTGGCTTATCTCATGAGATACTATGGTGTAGAAGACTTTAGTAAGTAATTGCCAGCAACAAGGAGTGTCATGTTTCAGAACCCCACTCCACTTGTGGGATTTCAAATGTTGTTTTTGCCGTGGATCCACTGCCACACGTTGCAACATCCATACACCATCAAGTTTACAGACACGTAAACTATCGATCGGCCACTTGCCTCAAGTTTCACTCGCAATCACGTATCTGAGCCTCAAACTGACAAACCTTCACAATCTATAGCATATTACACCTCGTATATAGGTGTCAACTGGAGGCACGCCCCAAAAGCATTCTACAAGGAATCTATATCACAGGATCGTGCCCGAGTACACACATTATTCGCAACAGCCGTAGAACATCGCGTCAGAATCGCTCAAATGATTCTAGCACTGGACGATGCCAAACGGTTCCTCCTATCGGGACGATACGCCATAGTAGTATTAGTCAATCTAACACTCCTTAAATGCCGATTATGCGCCAAAGAGAATCGACGAGATTGGAAACTAGGTGGGAGAAATGGATTTAGATCATCGTCTCCCGTACCTTCAATACCACCGCCGTCATCTTCAACAACACAGCCTCCACCTATAATAAATAACAATAGTAATAATACTAGTCTTAATAATTATAATAGTGCCAACATAAATTCATCACCCCAATCAACTGAAGAATGGGGTCCATTCATAACAAATGGACTAAGGTCACCTCCCGGATCACCCTCAAACGTTAACGACATGATGGCAACAACACCAGCAACATCCCCATCATCATCTGTAGCACACTACACAAACTATTATCAGGGGTTTGCGTCTCCACCACGTGTAGAACGCCACGTATCGTCATCATCAACATCGTCACCACACAGAGGCACTACCCAACCACTCAGCAACCCAATATCACCAAACAAGCGACACACATACCCATCTATAATATCACCGTCAACACCATCATCGGTATCAGCATGTGTCGAATCATGTATAATGCCGGCTGCATCTGCTATAACATGGCCGATCCGAACATGTGCTCGTGCCGTATTAGGAACATGTGATGCCTTGTGTGGCGGTGAAGCAGGATGTTGGTCTTCATCATCCACACCCCAAACAGTATCACCATGGTGGTCGTATATACCGTGTCTCCCATCCCGTGAATCTCGACAGCATCAGCAGCAACCATCATGGGTGTATAGCTCGATACCCAGCCAGCCGCCCACGCAACCCACATCAGGGTCATCGTCGATGGCGTCGTCACCGAGAAGACCTGCGTCCTATGACGCTGATTTTGTAGGACATTATGTAGTGCTTGTTGCGTATGACCAGGAACGAGACTTGTTTTGGTATAGGGATCCTGGTACAGCTGCTGAATTGTGCTGTATCAAGAGTCAGGTGCTGGAAGAGGCGAGAGGTGCTAGTGGGACGGATTGGGATGCTATTGTTGTAAGAGTGAGATGAAGGAGTTTATAGAAATGTTATTCCAAGTCTTGAAGAGCCAGTGATTTTTTTGGTTGTATCCCAAAACTTTTTAGTCTCTTTTAAATCTGTAAACTACTACAAGCAAAACTACTACTACACACAAAACTTATTATTAAGTCTGAAACTTGTCGCCAAACATTAATTGAATGGCATTTCTATATTATTTTTGTTCACAAAACGTGACTTGCTTCTTTGCATAATCACTGCTACTACCATCACTCGACCGACTACTAGCACGAGACATGGCAATTCCAATTAACGACACAGGTCGATTCTTTGCTCTGAGTTCCTTTTCTGCCTCTGCTTCTGGCTCACTGACACTAGGTGGTGGTGTTGGACGACGGCTAGCTATCGGCGGAAGTTCGATATTCTGAGCGGTATCTTGCTTTTTATCGTCGGCATCACCATCTTCGTCATCAGCATTGTCCTCTTCTTCATCATCATCGTCAGAATCAGAGTCCTCCTCCATGGATGATTTGAGCCAATCCACAAACTTTTTGCACTAACGGAAGGTTTTCCAATGTTAATGAGATGGGGCCAAAAAATCGAGCCGGCCGACGCTTTAATTGGAAGCTCACCTTGGCTCTCACATTATCTACACTGGCACCACCAGCAAGCTGAAACCATTCCACAACAGCATTAGGTTCAACAATCTCTGCACGATACATTCCCATCAGCAGTTTAGCAAAATGCGAGTTTCGGGTGGCAGGTGATGGATCACCAAATGTTTCCAATGTTTGTAAGAGGTATACTTGGTCTGCGTCAGATTCAGTAAATGCGTTAAATAATGGAGTATATCGAGCCAGAGTCTATTTGTGAAGGGGAAAATTTGGGTAAAAGAAGCTGAGCAAAGGTGTGGCCATAATTCTCGAAATCCAACAAGTCATACCTGATGCATCACATCTTCATCAAACGTCTTCTTTTCAAGAAAAACAACCATGCCTCTACCAGCAACACCCAGACACTCTCTCATCCGTTCCTCGGCATTCATTTCCTTTGGGTTTAGACATTGTTGATCCAGATGCTGTTGAGTGGTTGAATTACTACTACTAGGATGACCACTACTACTAATATTACTACTATTGGTATTATTATTCACATGGGTATACGGCAGCGCCCGATTAGCCAGCTCTTCCAAATCCGTAACGATACTAACAGGCGCAACATTACAAACCAACGACTGGAAAATCTTTTCCGTGGCCGTCTTTCTAAACGTATCGACTTGAGCAGACATGTTGACACAATACGGTGACGTTAACGGCAATAAATGAGATGGAATGAAAAACATTTGTGTCGAGTCTACAGATGATGCCGAGTCCTGATCTGATCCTGACCCCGATTCTTCGTTCACGTCTTCTCCGTCATCGTCATCATCATCTGCATCGTCGGTACTCCGTTTAGTTATCACCGTTGGTCGTTGTGCTGCTATAGGTACCGCGACAGCTGCTGTAGCACTACCATTAGAATACGACATGTCTTCAATCTGATCCTCCAAATCCTGGACCCGATCACGCAACTGCAGCACCTCAGTATCCTTAAACTCTAGATCTAGTTCGACTCTCTTGACACGTTCCTGGAAGGCTCGTTCGATTACAGAGCGCGATTCACGTTCATACACGACATCTTTACGGAGTGATGTGATTTCTTGGAGAAGCACGTCTCGGCGTTTTGAGAGGTGGTTTACGGAGGATTGAAGACGTTTCATTTCAGGGCCTGATGACGGTGACGTTGGTCTGGTATTATTGATATTACTATTATGTGGTTGATTATGGTGACGATGGTGACAAGAGTTTAGATTATGTGAGATCGGGGTAACTAGCGATGCTCCCAGTATAGCGGCTGTAGCAGTAATAGACAGTAGTAGGAAGAATGACTCTTCAATTGGGATTGTAATCGTTTGTCGAGAAGGCGTGAATGCCATGGAAATGTTGTTTGGTGATGATGTTTGGGCAGTCCATGATGCAGGCGATGGTCCCGCTGTAATCGAATCTGTATATACGGCCGTAGTCATTATGATTGTCGGCGTTATAGTTAGAATCATACAGCAGATGGGGACAAGAATAGGGATTTCTGGTGATTTGGTCATTTTGGATTGTGTTGTTAGTTTGCAGCTGCGGGGAATTTCTTTTCTATCTGAAATGATAGATTTTCAATGTTGGGAATGTTTACCTTTGCGATTGTGGCTTGCCGTCCTCCTAGTTTCCAAGTTCAGTTTCCCATTGACTCATCAAAATTCTTGTGTTGAACGCAGAAATGCGCTGACAAACGAAGGACACTCAAAGACCAGGCAACGCATCTTGAACGCATTAATACGATGCATCATGAACGTTTTCAATCATTTGATCTTCGTGCGTGACTTGATCTCTAATGCTACTAACTGGAAATATTTACAAGAAAACTTGAATTTGTCGTTCCTGCTACTTTTTCTTTTTGGCAGCCTCTAGTTCAGCAGCTTTAGCAGCACGGGCTGCTACTTGTTTTGCAGACTCTTTTTTACCGGTTTGTGTTGTTGTTGAAGCAGCAACGTTACTTCCTTTTCCAGTATCACTACTAGCGACAACAGGAGTTGGACGTACTCGTGGTGCAGCCCTTGTAGCTTCATGAGCCGCCAGCCATTTCTCCATTTCGGAGTGTACCTGCTCCTTAAACGTCGGATTCTTACTAGCCGGCGTTGCACTTCCACTACTACTACCTTCAGTTGCATCACCATCAGCGCTGGTACTAGTCACACTACTACTACTCTGAATCTCATCCAACACCTTCCACTCGTACTCATCAACAACAGCATCAATCCCTTCAGGCAACCTCTCCACAACATATCTCACCCAACCCTTCACAGTCGACCGATCCACATCAAAGATCTGTACAGCACGATGATACACCTTTTCTTCCAAGATCTCTTTAGTCTTTGCGAATATAAATGGTGATTTTATGAGATTCCACTTCTTCCAGTCTGTTGGCAAGTGGATGATGGATTGTGTGGCCGGTATACCCATGGCTTTTGCTGAATGGATTGCGAAATAGGATATAAAGTCTAGGTGGTCTGGCATGTGGGAGGACAGTTGGACGGTGCATACGAGACGGCCGTGAGGAGGGGGTGTTGGTTGGATGACGGGTATGTTTAGTGGTGCGTCGACTACAACCAATTGTAGATTCCATAAATGTCAGTCAAAGCTTGTGATTTTTTGTTTCAAGTACAACGAAAGCAGACTTGCATTCTAACGAACTCCATCCATAAAAGTTTGGCATTGATGCTGATTTCCGTTCTTCCTTGCCATCATTCAGAACTCCACTTCTTCTCGTAGGGCGATTACTAATCTTCTTTTCTACATCCTTATTGAAAGCATCTGTCTCCATATATCTCACTGGATGAGCCGCTCCTATCATCAAAAATTGTGTCAATACAAAAAACTAGCGAGCTTTATCAAACCAGACACTTACGACGTGTACATCGAGATATAGGAGCTTTCGACCGTCTCGCTATACACACTATTGCTCTAGAGCTCGCCATTCTTCCTCAAACAGCTTTCAAGTTGTGGTGTATAAAACAATGAGTGTGAAATTCAACGATGAAGGCCATAAAGACAAGACGATTTACGAAACGAGAGAATATCGTCAAGCTGCTGTAGACACCATCCATTCCTATGAAAGGACTGTCTTGAACGCCATCGCCACAAACGAAGTACATTGTTGGCTCTAGCTGATTTCACGCTCTTCAAAACGGCTCTAACATCATATGCTTGTCGTAGAATCCAACTCAAACTAGCTTACGATTCCATCAATACTTGTATGGAACCGAACCTGAAAAACTTCTCGTGTCAACCCCACCTTCTGTAGCGTCACCTCCTATGGAACAAACCATGTCTGATTAAAGAAGGCAACATTCATGGTATTAGTGTTGGTTCTGGTGCATATATGCTGCTTTGGTCCAGGTCGGTGTAATATAAAGCTGTGGATTGTCTTCGGTTTACTCACATAACATTGTTGTAGATTAGAAGGACGAGAAATCAGCTTCACTTCTATTTTTCCTCAGTACGTCCTCCGAAAGCCTAATGGTAGCTCGAGATCTCCCTTCTTTGGTGCTTTGCACACCATATTGAATGTGACACGTTTTAATGCATAAAGTTTAGCTATATACAAATTCCTTTCATCAGTACATGCCTGCTCGAATTACACCCTGCACTGCGCTTCAGCTCTGCTTTGCTCTCTTTTCTGTAGTCTCTATGCCTTGTCATCTCTACCATCTTCGCGTATTCCGTCTGTCTCGGTCTTCATTTCAGTCTCCTCCTGTTCATATTCACCATCAGATTCATCCCCTTCTATAGTACTCCTTGAGGGACCATCTTTGCGACGATGATAACGATCAGATGACTCGCGACGATTGTTTTGTTGCTGTGGATGTTGCTGTACATGATTATGATGATGGTTAAGTGGCTCCTGATACTGTGGATTCTGTAAATGCAATTGTTGCTGGTGTTGTGGATGCGGATTTGGATTTGAATGATGCATTTTATACTGCTCGGAACTTGATGAAGACGCACGGCCGTCCATTCGACCGTCTATTCGACCGTCTATTCGGCCGTTTATTCGGCCATCTACTCGACCGTCTTGTCGACCATCAACTGCACGACGTCGTTTTGCAGTCCGAGCGGTCGTATGGTGTTGTTCATCTTCGTCGTCAGTTCCAGACGGAGTCGATAATTCGTCGAGGTTCACGTCATACGGTGGTGGCGGTGGACCTATTAATGGGAAAACGCTTCGAGCCATACCACCTTGAGGAGGAAGAGGAGAAGCATACATGCTTTGCTGCTGTTGCTGTTGTTGCTGAGACTGTGTTATTATTGGCGCTGGTGGTGGCAATGCATGTTGTTGTTGATGATGGTGTTGTTGCTGCTGATGTGGATGTTGATTTGGGTGTGGGAGAGGCAATATTGGAGCAGATGTTGGAGATGCTGATGTGGGTGACTGTTTCATGCCCATCATGTGTGGCATAGAAATCGCACCGCTCTGTGAGGCTTCAGCTACTTGCTGGAACCAATTTGCACGTTCAGTCAGACGGTCGATAGCACGCTTCAACTTTCTATTCTCCCTGGCAAGAGCTGTGTTGTCTCGCCTGACTTCATCCAACTCTCTGGCTTTGGCTTCCAAGTCTTTCACGTACTGCTCTTTTCTCTATTTTGAAGAAACAGATATGTTAATGTCCTCTCTCTGATTGTGTGATGAGCAAAAAAAAACTTCATAAAGTGCAAGTTAGAGTCCTCACAAACCTGTCTAAATGCCCTCTGAGCTTCTCGATTCTGTGCAGCGCGCTTAGCAGACATTTTACCACCAACACTTTTGTCCTTGTTACCAGACAAAGATGGTTCTACTTGTACAGGAGATGAAGGAGCATGTGGCCTATCACTTTGTGAACCACTATTGCCACCATTTCCACCAGGATTGACAAGTCGAGATGGAGCCGGTGGTGGATATACATATGGCGATGACTGAGCTCTCTCGACTTTGACATGTTCAATGTCTTGCGGGTATGCGCGGTAAGGAGGTGGTGCAGTAGCGTACTGCACAGGTGCTCCAGGATTGGGTCCATAGCTATTAGGGGCCGCTAATGGAGGACCTGTTTGCTGCTGCGTTGTTGGTGGTATGGGTGTTGGTGGGTAGGCAGTACTGTTACTATACGCATCGTAGCCCCCGCCGCCAGCACTTATATTTACAACACCACCACCAGTTCCAGAATATACGCCAGGAGGAGTGGGACCTGTTTTCGAGTGGTTGAAATCAGTATAAAGTTGTGATGGTATGTTTAAAGAAACGATTTGTCATTGGTGGAGGTTTGGCCAGGTCAGTTTGGATATGGGCACACAGGTCCTGGCTCGGTTTTCGTAATTAGCCGAATCGTTGAGAGAATTGCAAACCGTCGGAAGGCAACGTCGAGGGACAAACATCAGGTAAGCATCAAGTAGATGGTTCTCTTTGAGAGGGTAACATTTGGTGGAGACATTCAGATTGGCAACGTTCAAGATGGTCACATTACTTAGATCTTACCTTCACTCCTACCACTGGAAGAATATGACGTCCCATCTAATCATGATAAATAGTTTAGTGCATAATGACGGAATGTAGTACAGATAAATATACAACCAAGCAGAACAAAAAAAGTGCAAGAAGTTACCTCGGGGAGATTGACTGTATTCAGTCCATTGTGGCCTAATTGGACCAGCACGAGCCTCGTACGAAGGTATAGGAGGATATTGGAAAACGGCACGGGGAGAATTTTGACTGAAGGACGGAGGCCTCATGGCAGCAGCAGATTGATTCCACTCATTTACAGTGGCATTTGGAAGTTTATTATAATCGGATTCCTCTCGTTGTGGTTGTTCGTAAGGTCTAACAGGTAGCTGATGACCTGTCGTGTTTGATGCATTATTTGGTAATGAATTCTGGGGTATTGGCGGGCCGCGAGGATGTGGTTGAGTAGAAGATGGATGCGGTGTGATGGTGGATGGTGGCTCTTCTCTGCCACTACTATTGTGGTGCATACTACGTCCTGTTCGTGTAAGCAAGCACTCGTCCCCAGGGAAATGGATTACGTGGTACCTGTCTCGGCTAGACCGTCTTTAGTCCGTATATTAGCTATACCCAACAAAATGTCGCAGAGTCTTCAATCAAGGCATCCTCTGCCCAGCGTGGCAGGAATTTCCGAAGGTATTAGCAGTTGATGATTCCAATGTGTCTAATTTTCGGGAGGGCGGCTCTTATTTGGTGGTTACCAACCAGATGCAAAGTAACCAGGATAACGTGTTGATCGATGCTGATGTATGCGAATGCGTCTACAATTTGCTTTCATGCATAAAAGTCTATTAAACCTTCTTGGTCGCCGCGTCTTTCCGAAGATCTGTGATTTCCGTCCGCCCCCATCAAAACCATACAATACATGACCGAACTGAGGCAGAGACGTGCTAATGAAGCTGAAAGCGTTCGTCTTCCTTCTAGGCAGACGCAACCACCAACCGCTGCAGCACTCTTACAGAGCCCTTATGTCAAGGTAATAAGGATCAAATTTTGTGTTGATGTTAGCAAAGCTTACTAAAAGCTTCTGTAAACATTACTTACAGTTAGGACTATACGCAGTCGGAGCTGTTCTGGGTGTCTTACTACTCCTTTACCAGCAAGCAGAAACGTGAGGACATATCCTGCATCTTTCCGTCAAAATTTTGCAATGCGCAGATCAAGCACATCTTGCCATTGGAACGTCAAGAACGTGATGCCATTGCCTTACTTAGGACAAAGGCTGTACCACGTCCTGCTCGAGGATACTATGCTGTCAAGAATGCCGTCATATACACGATGAACGATTCCCAGCCCGTGGTATCTTCATTCATAGTGCAAGATGGACGCTTTACGGCTGTAGGCGAAACCGAGGACATCTTGATAGATCATCCACACGCCAAATTGTTTGATCTAGCTGGTCGAATGATAACACCCGGACTAATTGACGCTCATGGTCATTTGATCTTGCTGGGAAACACGTTGATACAGGCAGACTTGACTGGTAGTTCTGGGCTGGAGGATGTTAGATCTCGCTTGAAGGCACACTTGGAGCAAAATCCTTCTTCATCGTGGCTTATTGGGAGGGGTTGGGATCAAACAACATGGCCAGGTAGTCAGTTTCCAACTGCTGCTGATTTGGACGTGGATCCGATATTGGCCTGTGTTCCGATTGCTCTGTTTCGTGTGGACTATCACGCTTATTGGGTTAATCAGGCCGCAATCAAATTGCTGAAGCTTCCAAGCAATTTGACGATTCCGGGTGGTGAAATCAGGATGAATGCTGATGGGACTCCATCTGGTATATTCATAGACGATGCCATGACCTATGTCGGTACGTACGTACAATCGAAAAAACACGTGGAGTTTATTGCTCATACTCTCCTCAAACACAGAAACAGCACGTCCTAAATACACAGACGCCGAAACCAACGAGTCCTTTGACAAAGCCATGGAAGTGTTACCATCATATGGTATTACAGGAATCCACGACGCAGGAGTAAGAGCCGATGAATTATCACTCTTTCTCCGCATCTTAAAATCAACGCCAGCACGATTCAAAGTACGAAATTATGTAATGTTTGCCTGTGATGGAATCAAGTATTGTGGACAAGGGCTGCGACATAGCCATAAGAGTTTCATGACGGTTAGATCAGTCAAGATCTTCCTTGATGGTGCACTTGGGTCATGGGGAGCTGCGATGGTGGATCCGTACACAGATAAACCGGATAGTACCGGGTTTTTGAGAATAGAGCCTGAAGAGCTTGAGTCTCTCGTTTGGCAGGTATGTATATTTGAGTGTGTAGGTTTCCATCGTTACACTGACAATTTCATGACACTAGTGGATGATTGGAGGGTGGCAAGTAAACATACACGCTATCGGCGACAAGGGCACGAATGTCGCTCTGAATGCATTCGAATATGCCATCAAACGATATGATGAATTGGAGACACCCATAAAAAGAAAGATTGGGTTCATGTCTGGACGTGAATTTAGGCATCGTGTTGAGCATGCTCAGATATTGAGACCGGATGATGTTTCGAGATTTGCTGAGTTGGGTGTCTTGCCTAGTATGCAGCCTACTCATGGTAAGCGCAAAAGAATCGATTTAAAAGAGGCACCACATAGTGAATCCGTCTCACCTCCCTGCCTTTCAGCAACTTCCGATATGTATTACGTTGAAAAGCGTATTGGTCGACGAGCAGCTTACTCATATCTCTGGAAGACTTTTATTAACCACTCAGTACCATTACCATTATCCAGTGACTTTCCCGTCGAATCTCCAAATCCGCTATTAGGTTTATACGCGGCAGTGACGAGGTTGACTCCAGCAGGCAAATCTCCTCACGGTGATAAAGAAGGCTGGTTTCCGAAAGAGAGACTAAGTATAGAGGAAGCCTTAAAAGGATTTACCTTGAATGCAGCATATGCAGCACATCAAGAGTCGGAAGTTGGTAGCATTGAGGTTGGCAAGTTTGCTGATTTCACAGTGTTTGATACGGATTTCGTTCAGGCCACGAAAGATGGGAATGCATCGAGTATCTTGAACGCTGGCGTAAATGCTACGGTGGTCGGTGGGCAAGTAACGTTTGGAGATTTGGGAGAGGGTGTTGGAGGGTATGTTTTCATACAGAGAAAAGGGCTAATAAGTGGTATGATTAGCCGGTACTTCCCTGACTTAAAATTGTAACTCGTAAATACAGAACCATCTTGCATTCGATCAGGGCAATTAACCTAATATCTCTTGAAATTCACAACAATCGTGCATTCGTCAAAGACACATGAGATATTGAGATTTGTCTAGAAAAGGAATGTATTCATACAAGGCGCGAGTGGGGGATAAGTACAATGAGATGAAAGTTTTGATCTGATACTAATTGTGATCGTTGCAGGCTACTGCGTATTAGGTATGGCCCTACAGAAACGACAGATTTCAATAAAATTGCAATGAAAATCTCACACAAACTCTGAAAGGCATACCTTGCAATACCAAAAGCGGCACCAGCAGCACACGCTCCGATAACGGCCATTTGAATAGCGCCCATGAAAGCAGGCACACCAAGAATTCGAGATTTCACATATCCGAATATGAACAATGCGGCAATCGTGACAGCCATGGAAACATACAGGGCTTCAGTAGTAGATGACATGAAGATATATGGGAAGAGTGGGACCAGACCACCAATCTAATGGAGAAGAATATTGTTATAGCACATATTGTTCAAGCACCGAATATTCTTACAGCTTCTCAAGTCATTCCAAAGCAAGAATACTTTTTGTACTTACAAAGTAGGAAACTCCAATAGTGAGAGCAGCGATATATGATCGACTGATATCTGGCTTTTCAAGTGCCAGTTCAAACTTCATCATGAAGTCTTTGAAAAACGATGACCTGTCAGTGTCAATGATTTCAACTAAACCATGTAGCAGGAGGCAAATACATACCAACCCATCGTTCCTTGTCTTGTTTGAGCATATACATCATGGGTTGCAAGGATGTTTTCGTGACTCCGTCTAGAACAAAAACAATTGAGTACATGGGAGTGCGAGATGATGCACAGCAGATACACTCAACCACTTCGAATCAATCCACAAACAGCCCATCAAATCAATTCATAAACGAATGACCCTAGCTAGGAGCTAACGACACTTACAAGGTTCAAAGATTTCGTAAATCTCTTCTTCTTCTCGCTCAGGCACAGTTTCGACTTCACGAACTTCACGAGCTCGTTCTGAATTGTAATGATCAATCTCTGTCCTTCCGGCGAGGAAACCTCCCAATCCCATAGAGATGGAGCCAGCAACGATTTCTGCAATGGAAAGGTTACTTATCATGTGGCAAACACAAACCAGAGTTCCAAAAGACTTATCGCATACCAGCAAATCCAGCAGTAACAACGAGATGGGTATTGTTGAGAGAAGACAAACCAGCAGCCAAAGCGAACGGCACTGTGAGCCCATCAGAAAGTCTACAAATCGTAATAAAGAAATGCTGTTAGGCCATCTGAAAGTCTATAAAGCATAATAAAGAAATGGACGAAATGAAGAAAGATTTAGATCGGAGCTGGTGGTGGGAGGTATAAGCTCCAGAGTGTCGACAGCAGGAACTGTAATCATGAAACATACAGAAACGGGAGCTCCCACAAACAAACAAGTCTCTGGAGCTCTTTCAGCTCAAAGTGAAAACAAAGAGCACATTTCTTTACCCGATGATGATGTCTCGGACAACTTCGGCAGCTCCGAAATGAGGTTCGACATGAGAGTTATTGGAGCTTGATGATCGTCTACTTATTGGCTCCTTTCCACCGCCAGTAGGCAGGTTTGGTGTTGGCGTTCCAACAATCGTTGATGCTGTTGGCGAAGTCATTTTTGTAACGTCCACGACGCTCGACGAGCTTGAATGATGTTCGCCGAGGTCCCCAGAGGTGCTGATCTGAATGTCTCCCATCCCTTTCGTGGTTTCTAGCTGATTCAAGGGTGCCTTGCCAAGAAAAAAATGTGAGTGAGTTTCAGCTTTTTTGAGCTAGTTTTCACGTCACGTAAAAATTGGATCTACCTGATTTCATAGCTCTATTCGATTTTCGGAAATTCGGAAGCTTCATTTGCTGTTACAATTTATGGCTTTACTACATTTGTTTTACATTATTTGCTACGTTTTCTGAGCTACGACGTGCCATCTGTTTTCAACCCTTTAGGCTTTGGCAGTTGCCCTAATATTAGACTAATTTTATCGATGTTTTACTTGAACGAACACATCCTCTTCCCAGTTTGACTTCTCTCGCTGTCGAATGGAGATCAGTGGATCTCTCATTTGACCAATGTGCTCCCAAATCCATCCATGAGGCCATCACAAATATTAACAAAAACACTATTTCCATCTTCCCAGACTGTATTAATCCATTGAATTTCCAAGACTGGCACATTTGATGGTCTGCTAGCCATCGCCGATGACAATCAGATTGCCTGAGATTGACGTTGGAGGATACCAATGCACTTTTAGACTCTCAAGATAAGCCAGTTGAGTAATCATCAATACAATATACGAGTCTTTGAGACGTATTTCCATCATCCATCTCAAGAGTTATGGTCTGCAGATTTGGGAGCACCTTGGTCAAATGAGAGATCCACTGATCTCCATTCGACATCGTCGAGAGAAGTCAAACTGGGAAGAGGATGTGTTCGTTCAGGTAATCCGCCAGCCAGTATATCGACAACGTTCAATCGGATCTGCCATACTCCTAAAGTGTTCAAACGAAAGATGTCGGGCTCAAATATTGGCCCGTCGTACCATTCTGCGGTGAGGGCTTTCAAGTCATCGGAGCTTACTGCCAATATATCCGCAAGGGCTCTGTAATAGATCGTGAAAATCGTGGGTTTGACTTGTTAGAACTACCTTTTGGCTGTAAACCAAAAAAGCAATACAATCCTATATAACAGTATCTGGTACATAAAAACCAGAGATAAATCCGACATTGAAAATATTTAAGTGCTTGGGGTTCTCAAATGAGCCCATCGTGACACCTGCATTGATGGGCAGGTCGCCATGGAATTGTTTCCTGCGACGTTTTGCTGCCTGACAATAAAGCAGTACATACACAGTCATCTAGTACGTCACCATAGTTGCTGAGATTCCATTGACTCATTGCTATAGCAAGATTATTCGTTCGACCGTTCTCGGTACAACACACATTCAGCGTACATGTATTACGATGAGTGGAAGCAAATTGAGACCAGTTCTTGTCAGACCATACTATGACATCAGGTGCTACATCGATATGCAGTTCCAGCTTCAATAGTCCTGGAGATACTGCATGCAAGAGATACGATATCCAGGCTTTTCAGATTGGTGCAATGCAATAAGAGATCACGTATAATTATTTGAGAATACCGTTCATCTCGAAACCCGTGGATAGACGACCTGAGATCCAACGACTGAAATTTCCCATGGGTTTTGGTGATACATGCTGACAGGCGACGACCGTGCCAATAGAATGAAATGGAGACATTGGTAGAACTTCCTTGATACTACTACGTGTTTATATAGTTGGCTTACTGCCACTATATTCTCATCTTTGCAGACCAGTGCCATCCAGTGGAGTGTCTTTCGTTTATGAATCCATTTGACGATGCAGTATAGGATGTCCTCTGGCAATATAGGGATAGGTGACCCGGTTTTCGGTCAGTAAAAATATTCGAAGCCATGGGCCTGTGTAATGTCTAATATGTGAAATTCAAAATGTGTCGAGAAATCCTTGCATCGATGAGCCTGGTTTCAGAGCCCTGTCACGTCAAGACAAACGGTCTTTAAATTTGGGAGCACTTTTGGCACGAGATCAAATACGAGATCGACCTATTTCCATCTAAGGCGGAGACACGTCAAGTTGATTAGAGGACGTGCTCGTTCAAACAGGCCTCATTTAATAAGTCCTCATCCATCAGGCCAAGTTCGTCCGAGCAGCTAAAGCCATGCGAGAGAAATATACCAGGAGCCAATATGCGTTCTTCATATCGGGTTGAGACGAATGCTTTCAAAGCATGGGCACTTGCTGTTAATAGCGGTGCCAGGCCTAAAAAAAGTAGGAAACAGATCTCTAGTGAGTATAGTCCACAGAGTATATTCCACAGACGTAGTCTAGAGAAAAGAAATTAACCTGTGGCTTCACACCAGTGCAGCTTCCAAGTCGCAAAGACTCCAAAGTAAAAGCTGAGAAATCAAGAAGTTAAGCGTGTTCCCTCCATAGTCAAGCGCTTCAAGTTCTTGAATGACCCGGTTGCAGCACCAGCATTCAATGGAAATTTTCCAAGAAAAGGAGGAGAAGTTGCAAGGATGTCTCACTTCCTTTTACCAAGGCTGAAAACATAGTATTATCTACCGCCTCAGCTTCTAAAGTAAACCAGCGAGTTTCCAATGACTTATTGCGTCCGCCATTCGAGCCAAGGTCAAGTCACTGACAAACAGATCCAGACGATTAATACTATGATGAGTAGACCAAAAATGTGACCAATCCCTCTCAGACAATTCCGATCCTGTATTAGTGGCTACATCACGACTTTGCTCGAGGTCGAGTGCAACAAGTGCAGGGGATGCAGAAAGCAAGGCAGGACCATATTTAGATGCTAGGCACAGCTCCTTTGGATTGGTACATGCTACCAAAAGATTGCTTATTGTCACTGTTGAATGACTCTTCTCGATATTGAACGACTGAATGTGCGAAAGAGCATTCTGGTGATACTTGTCATCAGATAAGGGCTTTTCAACCATCCATTTAAGACACGTGAAGAACTTCGTTGATGGGTTTACTTTTCAATAAAGTTCTCTGACTGCAGCCCTATTGCAACCTTTGCAAACTAGAACCATTAAGTGCAGTGTTCTGCGTTCATTGATCCCTTTGATGATGATGTTCATCGCTTCCATTGGCAATGGAGAAACTTCAGATACCACCGCGTCCTGCGAATCAAGGTCGACCACTGGTGATCCGATACTGAGCACACCCTCGGGCAATCTAGGGAACGCTGGAGGAGGTCCATCCTCTGGCATGTAGTAGCCGACATGGCTTCAGTTGATTACGAGAACGGTTATATAAAGTGTCTAGAAGTGAGCACAGATGTGCAGATGTGAGACTTTGATGTTTCATGCCATAGATTCTCGCAAGGAGACATGAGTTTGGAGTAAAGAACACAACTCATGCATTCAAAAAGCTCAAATTCAGATAGAAGACGTCTTTGTATCGCCTTGAACCAGAAGCGAACGGCATCACTCAAATGAGAAGACACGATGTGTGGTCAAATTAACATACCTGGCCGAGCAAGTTCCCATCTAATTGTGCCATATATAATTGATGTTTATCCGTATGAAGCGAGATAGAGAGGGACTTGGTAGCCTATCAAAAGTCGATGTGTGTGATCCCTTGGCAAGATCCTTAAAGGTGGAAATTATTGAAATTATCGCGTCTGCAAGAAGTTATCACGAATACATGCATGACATGCTCTATTGTGTATGCTACCATGTTGTCATAATATAAATTACTGCTCAAGATTATTGCTTATGATGCGATATTCTAGCGATTATATATATCAAGTAGTTCCTGTTTCTTGCCATCAATTTATACACTTGCATTAGTTTGTGGTAGTGTCTTGATTATCTGATGTTTTGTTCGTATTAGCGCAGTCTCTACCCCATCAGCGTCTTCAGACAACCGGGACAATTGCAGTATTGTTTCGTGGCTTATCAGTCCCGTGTCAGCATCATACGTGATACTAGCATCAACAGGCTTGTAACTGATGCTGTTGATGTTTAGGAATTCACCTAACGTGGCAACACCATTTTTAGCCGTATAGTGACAATACACTCTATATAAATTATATGCCATTGGTAAGTTGGGACCAGGAACTATCGACTGAAACACCAGTGTAAGTCAAATGCAATTTCGGAGAAGACACGTCACTTTTACCAGACTCAAAGAAAATGGAAGACATAGACACGACAGAGCAAACCAGCGTCTATGAAACGCATCTCTACTCTTGACAAGAGCATGCAGTTTCTGTTCCACTTCTGTTTGCTGCAAGCTGCCGACGAAAGCGACTTCCACCTATGGTTTTGCAACAAGTTGAGAAGCTTGTCGGTGCAAACTGATAGTTACAAGCTCACCTCGCCTAGTGAGGATGCATGATGCCCTTTGAGAGAGGGAATAGACATGCAAAAACTCTCTTCGACGGGTATCCTGTCGAGCAAGTTTGTGCCCAGATCAAATGTCCTTTTCTTAATTGATTTTTCGGGTGCTTCCCCCCAACTATGCCACATCTTATGCAGTTTCGCAGTAGTTTTGTGGGCAGCTGTTATAAACTTGTTGGGCTTGTCCATCGAACTATGCAGAGGTGAGTGGTCTGCGACATGACAGTGAAAGAATATGTTGTTGCGACCCAATGGTAAAACTAGAACTTTGAATGGAGCTAAAAGCTTTGAGCCCGACATGGTTCCGATAGGTCTCGCTTAGCTTCCCTATGTTATGAAATGACGTTTTCAGTATTGAAAACATTTACCTAACCTCAAAGACTTCGAGATTCAGCAGATGCATGACAACACGTCAATTGTGTATAAAGAATACGTTGTATATTGATTTTAGACGCAATTTGAACTGCAGTGATAGTCGTCAGACCGTGAGATCAGCGAAAAAAACGCGTCAAAGAGCAATCAGCTCTTTGAAGATACGCTTTGGTTCAAACCGACAAGGGCAAAAGCGACGGCAAATACGCACTGAATGCATGAAATCGGAAATAAAAAGGTTTCATGCCAGGAACTTCTTGTTGTTTGCACCGTTCACATATCTGACTTTTCAACACAATCGTGCGTTTGGTGCAAGTATAGATTCATATTCCATAAGATCCGTAACTGCATACATAAGTCAGCAGTACGTTCATTGGCAATTTTCACTGGCGATCTCATCTTAATCGGAATCAATCACAAAGAGTTGACAAACAATCGTTGACGGCAATGGCAAATGCCGACTTTCTGCAAGTACGTATACAGATGAAGATCTATATTATAGCAATTATATATCATGAATATGTGGAACCTATAGTGCCTTGACTATTTATTGAAACAAAATCAACATTTATTTAGAAAGCCATTGAAATTGTGAGAAAGGCGATTGATGAAGATGCCAAGGGAAATGTCGAAGAGGCATACAAGCTATATCACAACAGTCTGGAATACTTTATGACTGCCATGAAATGTAACTGTCTGGCCTCAAATGCTTGAACATTACACGTCGATTCGCAGTGCTGACTTGGACATGCCCTAACTAGATGAGAAGAATGAAAGAACAAAGGAATCTATACGGAAGAAATGTACTGAGTATATTGAGCGAGCTGAAAAGCTAAAGGAGGTCATAAATAAACAACAGAAAAAGAAGAAGGCTGTCCCTGCTGGAGGAGGAACCAACGGTTCATCTGGTAATTTGTAGCAGCCGTTTTTTGGTTGTATTCCTAAGTCTACGGAGAATTGTTCTTGCTTGATTAACGCCATTCTCGTTTGTGTAGGACCCAAGAAAAAGGGTGAAGAATCAGGAGACGAAGATGATGAAGAAGACGATGATTCAGGCAACAAGAAGGAAGATGCTGAATCAAAGCGATTGAAAGGAGCATTACAATCCGCTATTCTGACTGAGAAACCTAATGTTAAATGGGATGATATTGCTGGCTTGGAAGTTGCCAAGGAAGCTTTAAAAGAAGCTGTCATATTGCCAATCAAATTTCCACATTTGTTTACTGGTAAACAATGTTGCCCTCTACATTCGTATTGTCGATGAGCTATTGACGACGTAATCTCTTCGTGTAGGTAAACGAGTACCTTGGAGGGGTATCTTGTTGTATGGAGTACGTTGATTGTTACGTGGCGATTATCATGATGTTTAAATCTTAACTCTTTTTCTGCATCAGCCTCCAGGGACAGGGAAGTCATATTTGGCCAAAGCTGTTGCCACAGAAGCAGATTCTACGTTCTTTTCAGTCAGTTCCTCAGATCTAGTCAGTAAATGGATGGGTGAATCTGAACGGTAAGATGTCATATTGCTCTTTTAGACGATCTTTTTTTGCTTGTTCTCATCTGTGAATGCTTGTCGCTAGATTGGTCAAACAGCTCTTCCAGATGGCCCGAGAAAACAAACCAGCCATCATCTTTGTTGACGAAGTCGATTCATTAACAGGAACACGTGGTGAAGGAGAATCAGAAGCCAGTAGACGTATCAAGACAGAGTTTCTGGTACAAATGCAAGGAGTTGGTCATGATCAGACTGGTGTATTGGTGTTGGGTGCTACGAATACTCCATGGCAGTTAGATCCTGCTATTCGTCGAAGGTCAGTTCAAAAGTGGCTGTTTTGAAGTACTATCTGGTTCCTGTTCTGAGACTTTTTCTGCACGGCACCAGATTTGAGAAACGTATCTACATTCCAATACCTGAAGCAGGCGCTCGTGCCAGGATGTTCCAGCTGAATATTGGTACGACTCCATGTAAATTGACTCAAAGTGACTATAAGATATTAGGAGAGAGGACGGACGGGTACGAAGCTATTGTTCTTGAAAGCCATATTCAAATCGTTTTGAGCCATATGCCGTGAACATTAATTTAGGTATACTGGATCGGACATTGCTGTGTTGGTTCGTGATGCGCTAATGGAGCCCGTCAGAAAAGTGCAGTCCGCTACTCACTTCAAATATGCAAGTATTCATACTTATCACGTTCTGGATTTTTTGCTGAGTCTGAACTCCACATAGGTCGATGCACCCAGCAGAAAAGATCCCAACATGATAACAAGGCATTTGACGCCGTGCTCACCAGGTGATGCAGGTGCAATAGAAAAGTCATGGACGGATGTGGAAGCCGATGAATTGTTAGAACCTGATTTGACTGTGCATGACTTTGTTCGTGCTTTGCAGAACGCACGTAAATCAGTTGCTGACGAGGATATTGCCAGGTATACGAAATGGACTGGTAAGTTTGGAAGTTCATCACAAAGGAAGAGCAATGGGGGTTTTTGTCTTGAGAAATCAGGATTTGATTTCTGACACATCACGGTCTTTCTATAGAGGAATTCGGTCAAGAAGGCTAGACCTTTTATTGTTTTGTACAGTTATTAAACACACGTCGTTGAACATCTCACCATTATATTTGACCAATTTCGCGCAAAGCACATCGATGCATTCGCACGCAGCGTGTTCAGAAGAGAAAATAAATGCTACAGAACTACTATATTCAGTAATCCAACTTGACACTTGTCAAATTTACCTGTGTCCGAATCCTGTGTTTCTACTTGCACTTCCATCCGCAAAACAGACACATCAGGTAGAACAATGTCTCTGCCGCGTTCACCTCGGAATACGGTGCCCAAATCGTCGAATGCAAGCCAGTCATCAGATGTCTTCATCAAGCTTGCACTAGAACAATTGTCGAGCGCCAAAGAAGGCAAGAAGATTCTCCAATTACGAGATTCCTGTTCGAAGGCTAGCGGTATGTGTCAATTACAGACGAACAGAGACTGCCAGTTAGTTTGAAATTCATATATTCGCTATTGCTTTTCTTGTTGCCCGCTTGGTATTTGCGTGGTGGACGTGTTAGTCCAAATTGGAGGCATTTAGTCAAGACCGTTTATGAAGAAGCAACATCAAAGAATTATTTTGCTAATGGATTTACTTTCATTTTACATTCAAACAGCTGCACTAGAAGCCCTAAGTGTCGGACGCGGAGATCCATCAATATCTATAGCAGCAGTCTTCCTCCCCTTCCAGATCGCATGTGAATCCAGAATCCCAATCCTCGCATCTATAGCAATCGACTGTCTAGGCAAACTATTCACATACAATTACTGGAGTCGTTATGAAAGTCATGATGATGCAGCATCTGAAAACGGAACCAATAATACTAACAAGCGAACATCTACCTCGTCGAGAGGACGTCAGTCGAGATCAGATGACGATGATACAGCAGATGATGAAGCCAGGAGTAGTCTTGATATTGAAGGGGATCGTGAAGATGGTGGGGCGTCGGGGAGTGGGATTGTTGCGCAAGTTATTGATACTATTTGTGATACGTTTGCGGGTGGTGAGACTACGGATGAGCGGGTGCAGCTGCAGATCATAAAGGTATGCTGTAGTTTGTTATTTGCTTGATTTTTTTTTCTGCACTCACAATTTGTTCATAGGCACTAGCAGCATCAGTATCATCGCCTGACCCAAAATCAGGAGCCCACGGCGGCGTCCTCCTGAAAGCGATCCGAACAACATATAACATATTCTTATTATCGAAATCACCCACCACACAATTACTAGCTCAGTCGTCACTGACACAAATGGTACAAGCCGTCTTTGAAAGGATACCAAGACCACCGAAACAACCAATAATAAAACCTGGAAACACAAGTCCTACCTCCCCAGTTAGTGATGGTAGCTCTTCGTCTGTTGTTGTAGTAGAAGGAGTAGCTACAGAAAGAAAGGATGGAGATAGTCCTACGGCAACTGCATTTTCGTTTCCGTCTGGTAGTGATACGAGTAGTAAATGGGGTTCGCCTGCTGATAGTACTGATAAGTTGTAAGAAATTTAAGCTTGTTGTTGAAGATGCAAGCATTCGGAGATAACAACTTCCTATTTTGGTCGCTTTCGCAGATCCATCTCACAAGATAATTTACATGAATTGGGCAGCTCAAAAGGAGCCGATTTACGTGCTTCTCATGATATTCTGGCAGAAACGTTCAGAGGAAGTAAAACTCCTACTATTAGTCGTGATCCAGTGCTAGATACCAATGTCAAGGATGTGTATCTAGTGTTTAGAGCACTGTGTAAATTGAGTATGAAGACTGTGCCAACGGAAGGGTGAGTTTTTGTAAATTTCTGTAAAAGCACCTTGCAAAAAAATGCTGACAAGGGTCGCTGACTGGTGCTTTTAGAGCCACTGATTTAAAATCCCACGCCATGAGATCCAAACTATTGGCATTACATCTCGTTGACTCGGTTCTGGCATCGAATCTATACGTATTCTTTACACCAGCTGGAGTTTTATTCTCGTCCAGTCAGAATGGAGTGTCAGCTTCTGCCATTCTCTTTATACATGCCGTCAAACAGTATTTGGGGTTGACCCTCAGTCGTAATGCATCTAGTGCTGTGCCACAAGTATTTGATGTTGCCATGCAGATATTTGGGAAGGTGTTGATCGGGTTGAGAACTGTCTTGAAGGTAGTACACTTGTATAGGTGCTGGTTTTGTTGCTTGTGGCAATGACAATTGACGAAGAATCCCTCGTTTATAATAGCGTGAACTGTCTGTCATCATGACAGAAATCATACTTCCAATCTTGGAAGCTCGATCATCCATTACCTTCCATCAACGAATATCATGTCTAAACAAGATGAAGGAGATATTGGCCGATCCAGCTGCAGATGGTGGACGTGTACTCGTAGAAATCTATCTAAACTATGATTGTGATGTAGAAGCAGGAGCACGAGAAAATATCTGGGAACGATTGATGAATGCTCTTGGTAAAGTTATGACCACGCATTATGCCATAGATCCAGCTCAGCAGCAACAGCAAAATGCTGGTGGTGTTTTGGCTGGAAATGGTCCACACTCTGGTGTTGCGCCAGCTATAACCACAGCCAACCTCACCAATCTGACACGAGAACAATTACGTGGACTTTATTCTGCTACTGGAGATTATGCAGAATTGAAAAAACGTGGATTGGAACTTATGGTCAATGGAGTTATGAAACCTCTTGTAGATTGGTGTGTTGCTCGTGGTGGTAAACCAGGAGATAATATGCCAGCTCATGATGAGCAGGGCCACAAGAAACGAAAATCAGAAGATGGCCATGAGCGTGAAAATACTGGTGGTGGATTAGGTCTGTTGTCTGAAGAAGAAGCCAAGAAACGTCGTCAACGAGGTGAAGATGACCCCACCCAATTCGAGTCATTGAAACAACGTAAACAGATATCCATGGAAGGTGTTAAACGATTTAATTTCAAACCCAAGAAGGGTTTGCAGTTTTTGCTGGATCAACGTATTATACCGTCAAGGACGCCACGAGATATTGCGAGATTCTTGTTGAGAACTGAAGGCCTTGCTAAGCAGGTTATTGGGGAGTTCTTGGGTGAAGGGTGCGTAACGCATTGCATTTCGATACCACGACACATTTCTTCCTTAAAAAAATTTCTCCTTCAGTGATGAAGAAAATATCGCGATCATGCATGCCTTCGTTGATGAAATGGATATGACCAATATGAGATTTGTAGAAGCTTTACGTACGTTTTTGCAGAGCTTCAGGTTGCCTGGAGAAGCCCAAAAAATTGATAGATTTATGCTCAAGTTTGCTGAACGGTACTTGAAGGGCAATTCACAGACTTTTACCAGTGCCGGTGGGTTTTGATTGTTGAACATTGTTCATTTTGTCCCATGCAAAAATCCTACCAGCCGTTGATGGTTTGCACAAGCTAACCAAGATGCCTGTTTTTGATTTCCAGATACTGCATACGTACTTGCATATTCAGTAGTCATGCTCAACACTGATCAACATAATACTCAAGTCAAACGACGAATGACCAAGGCCGATTTCGTAAAGAACAATCGAGGTATAGATGAAGGCAAAGATTTGCCAGTAGAATTTCTTGAAGCTATATTTGATGAGATTGCCACGAACGAGATTGTCATGAAGGATGAAAGGCCAGACAAGGAATCTGAAAAGGCAGCAGACAAGGCTGCTGCAGCTCAAGCACCCAACTCTGCTCTCAGAACCAAGAAGGAATTAGCGCAATTTGCTAATGCTTCACAAGCCATGGCACAAAAGTCTGAAGCCATGTTTAACAATATTAGTAAATCAAAGACCAGTAAAAAGGGGGCTAGTGGTCATAATTTACCTAGTGCTGGCGGTAATTCACAATCCGAATCAGCTACATCCCAAAACAATAACTCCATGGCACAGTTTTATGCTGCTAGTCATTACGAGCATGTTAAACCCATGTTCCAATTGATTTGGATGGCGGTTTTAACTGGATGCTCTGGCCCACTACAAGAAAGTGAAGACCTAGATACCATTGCACTATGTCTCGATGGATTTAAATATGCCATTCGAATCATATGTCTGTTTGATATGGATTTAGAAAAGCAGGCATTCTTATCTACCTTGTCGAAATTCACGCAGTTATCGAATTTGGCTGAATTACGACCCAAGAATCTAGAAGCTATTCGAACATTGCTTGAGATTGCTGTATTAGAGGGCAATTATTTGGGAGATACGTGGAGAGATGTAGTTGTATGTGTCTCACAGCTTGAAAAGCTGCAAATCTTGTCTGGTGGTGGTGGACCTGGTGGTGATAATGGACGTGTATCACGATCATCTGAAGATCCAGGCTTATCGGGACGTCGTGAATCACATGTTGGTGGGAATCGACAGGTAGATAGTAAGGGTAAACCGTACGTGGAAATGACTGTTGATGGTAGTATGAGTATGCAAATGACGCTAGCTGTGGATCATATATTTACAAGTAGTGTTCGATTGTCTGGGGTGAGTATGAGAAAAAATGCGCAGATTTATCTATATCTAACGTGGATTGTTTTACTCAGACGGCCATTGTGGAATTCGTGAGAGCATTATGTCTTGTATCGTGGGATGAAATCACATCATCGTCAGATCGAGAGCATCCGAGAATGTATTGTTTGCAGAGACTTGTTGAGATCTCGTACTATAATATGAAACGTATTCGTATGGAGTGGTCGAATATCTGGGCTATATTAGGAGATCATTTCAATCAGGTCTGTTCTGAAACACTCGTCCATCCTTTTTTGGCGACTTAATTGCTGACATAGAATTTGGATTTTGTTTAGGTTGGATGTCATCACAACTCGAACGTTGGTTTCTTCGCACTCGACAAGCTCAGACAAATGGCCATGAAATTCTTGGAATTGGAAGAGCTACCAAACTTCAAATTCCAAAAGGATTTCCTACGGCCATTTGAACATGTCCTGGGTTTCAATCAAGATCCAAAGATTAAAGATATGGTGTTGGCTTGTCTTCAGCAAATGGTGCAAGCTAAAGCCAAATCGATGAAATCTGGCTGGAAGACATTGTTTGCTGCATTTATAAGAGCTGCCAGAGAACCATATGGTATGACGTCTTTGACGGTCTCTTTTCTGTTTTTTTCGGAGGCTGATCAACTGGAACAAAAACTAGAACCCGTCGTATTGCTCGCCTTTGATATCGTCAAATCAATATTCAGAGGTCATTTCGAGAGCGTGGTAGCAAACGGAACCTTTGCAGATTTTATATCATGTCTTGTCGAATTCTGTAAAAACAAGCGATTTGGGAAAATCAGTCTCCAATCCATTGAAGTACTTCGACAAGCCATTCCACGAATGGCTGATCTTGCCAAGTCTGCTCAAGGGTCTAAGCTGTTACAGCAAACCATCAATGCCGAAATAACTACTCAAGCATCAGTTGGCAATGTATTCGCACCTAGTAAGATTGAGGAAGATCCTAGTCTGAGGTTCTGGTTTCCAATATTGTTTGGGTTGTATGAGGTTATTATGACCTGTGATTTGGAAGTGAGAACAAGGTATGCACATGTTCGAATAACATTTTTTGCTCTGGAAAAATCTCACATCCGTTTTTCTAGGGGTCTGACATATCTGTTTGACACTCTGAAAACATATGGAGGTTCATTCTCACGCGATTTCTGGGAGGTTGTGTCGAAAGGTGTCCTCTTCCCGATATTTGATGATTTGAGACTGTCAAAACAAGAGCATACAAAGTTCCCAAACAAGGAAGACATGTCGGTGTGGTTGTCTACCACGTTGATTCAAGCTTTAAGGCAGTTTGTGGACTTGTTTTCGCATTACTTTGAGACTTTGAGTTTTCAGTTGGATGGTGTATTGGAGTTGTTGACTGTGTGTATGACTCAAGGTATTCAAGTCATTGGGCTCCATTACTGCGGCTTTTTTGTTGACTCGCTTTTGTTGGTACTAGAAAACGAGACACTTGCAAGAATTGGATCAACATGTCTTCAGCAGTTTATCGAGAATAATGTACAAAGGCTGACAGATGATGTATGGGAGAAACTATGCAAGATGCTAGTCAACCTATTTGAAATCACGACACCAAATGGATTATTCTTTGATATTGGTGAATATGCAAGTAATAGCGCTGCACCGAGCCCAAAGCCAACACGACGATCCGTAACATTTGTAAATGGTGTCGCCACCCTGACAATCGATGGTGTCCCAGCATCCGAACAACAACAGCAACCACAAACAACTCTAACAAAACCGATCGAACAAACCTTTGGATCTAAATTATCAAATACTCCACCAGCATCACCACGGCCACTAGCCAAACGACCTGAAAAACGAGAATTCCAAGCCATCATCGTCAAATGCGTCCTCCACTTGCTGGTTATACAGACGTTGCATGAGATTCTGAGTACAGGGCAAGATGCCGTGTATCGGTCATTAACTATTAGGCATTTGGGACTGCTGATTGATTGTCTTGAGAGGAGTTATCGGTTTGCGCAACGGTTTAATAATGATATGGATTTGAGGATGGCGTTGTATAAGATGGGTATGTCGTGTCATAACTTTGCTGTCATGGTCGTTTCGTGGAGTGCCTAATTTGCTTGCTTTTATAGGATTCATGAAACAGCTACCCAATTTGTTGAAACAGGAGACAACCAGCATTTCGAGTTATCTTATGATTTTGATAAAAATGTACTCAGACTCGACGGATGAGAAGGTCGCTATTCGGTTGGAGACTGAGAAGAGATTGATACCGTGAGTTTGTGCTTCGTGGCAGGAGAAAAAGACACTCATCGTATGTATCCTTATAGACTGAGCTATGATGTGATGTGTCTATACAACAGTCTTGACCCAGAAACCAAGAGGAGGAATGTGAATGCTTGGAGGCCAGTGGTTGTCAGTATACTGAACGCTTTGTTGTCGTTTAGTGATGAGCAGGTATGTCGCAAAAAAATCACAACATCAAGTGACCTATGTGCATTCAACACGACGACTCACTTGTTGCTTCTGGTGTATAGTTCAAACGACATATACCATTATTCTACAATGAAGTAGTGAATCTCCTACTCCAAGAGGTTCCCAACGATTTACGACTCGTCCTACACGCCTTGCTGATACGAGCCGGCAATGTATACGGAGTCACACAACGAGAACGTCGTGTATCTAGAGCAGACAGTATAGAAGGAGATGCTGCATCAATGAGTGGTGGTGGAGGTGGAGGATCACATCTTGACTTGTCATCTGAACTAGACGAAGATGAATTAATGACTTTTGATCCACCACTTAAACCGCAACCTACTGCGACCTTATTGGCTACTGAGCAATCATTGATGGATATGGATGATGGTGTTGAAGAAGAGGTTGCTACAAAGGAAACCAACAAGGCGGAGACCAGTATCTTGTGATTTGATATATAGGATGTATTCTTTCTGTCCGTTTGCACACTGCTGTTTTTTATTCACATATACACGACGTTTATGGTACGAATAAAAAGTTTAGCGTTGGTTAGATTGTTTACCCTCGTTGAGCTTTGAAGATTTTAAGGAATTCGTCGAGACTATGCAGTTGATGCGTGATGTGAGAATGAGGAATAGAAAAAGACCTGAAAGATGCAAATGTACCTGATCTTTCCATCACTATTTTGATCAACCATAGCAATCATTTCTCTGACATCAGCAATAGTCATGTCTTCTCCCAAAGACTTCAATCCTTCACAGAGTTCACCTTCAGAGACGAAACTGTCTCCGTTCTTGTCAAACAGCTTGAATGCCGTCCTATGCGAAAAAACAGGCTCTAAGTCAGGATGTGTAGGCAAGCAGTATTCAACACAATTAAGACATACATGAGTTCTTCATCTTCATCAGTGTCTTTGGTCTTGCGGGCCATCATTGCTGCAAATTCTTCGAAACTGGGCAATAGATAAAAGGTGTGAGATTGTCGAACGCTTCAACAAAAGAAAAGGCGGCCCACAATGTCGTTAGAAACGTACTCGACTGTTCCAGTACGGTCAGCGTCCATCTAGATTCGTGCAAACTTAGACGAATCGTTCTTGCGATTGGTTTGTTTTGTACCCTTGCACTTACTTCACTATAAAACACAAAGGGGTGGGTTAGTTTTTTTCGCGCGACGTGAAGCTGATGCGACAAAGCAAGGCCGACTGCTTACTTAATCAAATCTTGGAGCTCTTCCTTCGTAGGGTTTTGATGTAAAGCGCTAATATGTAAATATGGTTTATTTAGTCGCAATTCAAGTTTGCGTACTTTTCGGAACAAGAAACGGACTTACTTGAGAACCTCTCCCAATTCCTTAGTTGTTATGGTACCATCGCCATCTGAATGAAAGTAAATCGCATCAGTCTAACTTTCAAAATTTGATGCCATCTACCAGCGTGAATAACCTACCTTTATCGAAAAGTCTGAATGCAGCTTGCAGTTGTTCCCGTTGCTTGGTAGAGAGAGACATGTTTAGAATATCTGTAGTTGGATGTGGATGTTAAGAAGACAAAGGTTAAAGCTGCAATGAGTGATCGAGCTCCAAGGCGACCCTGAAACTTTGGATGTGGGCTGGATTCGTGGGTTCGTTTCAACAATCGCTGGGCGGAACCAGGAGAACCACCTCTTGTAAATCAACAAGAGTCACCTCGTATTTCTACCTATTACGCTAAGAATGCCTTCTTATATGCCTACCAAGGACAAACATGAAGAGTTACGACCACTCGCCAAAATCACTGAACGTGCATCAGCTATTCCAGAAAAGGTTTCCCCATCTCACTCCTCACATCGAGAGACGCCTGACCACAAGCCTACATCTTCATCTGAACGTACAAGGGATATGCGAGGCCAAAACGAGGATGAAGATACCAGCAGTTACCGAAGAACAACACATAAACCCGTTATTGAAGACGAAGAAGATGATTTTGTAAAGGTTAGCCCTACTAGACGATCTCCTACTCGTGGCCATAAAGATGAAGACGAGGAGGAAGAAGCAGTAGTTGAACGACCAATCCGCAAGTCTCCTTCTCGTGCTGAGGAAGCACCTTCTCGCCATTCCAGTAGTAGTAAACCAGCATCAGAATTAAAACCAACCAAACAAGAGAAAGAGGCTCCAGCTACTACCGAAGTGCCACGTGTAACTGTTGTATTCCTTGGATTTAAATCTGCTACAAATCCATCGTCTGCACCACCACGCAAAGTCGTAGCCGAATTAAAATCGAATCGTGAATCACAGACTGTCTTGGATTTATTGCAAGATACTTGTGAACGCTATTTTGCTGATGATGAAGAATTGGATCCTACTTCAGCTTACATATACACTGGAGACTTTTCCTTGCTTCCTAAAAAGTCGCCTGCTGGTGTGTTAAGAGATGGTGATTTTGTGGTTGCTGTTTCTGCTCCTATCCCAGCTGATACCAAAGGCAAGAAGAGTGCTCCAGCTGCTTCCGTGAATGAAGATGAGGAGCTTCCTGTTAGGAAACGGGGTGAAAAGACTCGTGAAGTTGGGAAATTTATTGAAGACGACGACGAGCCTATTCGACCTAAATCAACTCGCTCTCGCCATGAAGATGAAGAAGAGGACTTTAAAGATGCTCGCAAGTCTCCTTCAAAAGTTGACGCCAAGAAGCCATCTAAATACGATTGGGCTGACTCTATCGAAGATGTATCTAAAGCATCAAAGTCCCGACCTGCCACTGCCAGTACTGCCAGTAGCTCCATTAAACACGCTGCTGAAGTAGAATCTAGCTCACGAACTGGATCAGCACGTCCAGCCTCTGCATCATCCTCATCACGATCCAAATACGACGACGAAGAGGATACCAAGTCTCGAACAGCTAAACCGGAATCTCGTTTACGATATGAAGTCGGTGAATCATCTACCAAGCCACGTGCTACTGCCTCATCACGTAAATATGATGAAGAAGATGAAGCAATAGTAGCACCCAAGTACTCACGACCTGCGACTGCAACTTCAAGTGCTAGAAAGTACGATGACGACGAACCATTACCGTCATCAAAATCACGACCATCTTCAACCTCTTCCGCACGCACCAAATACGACGAAGACGAACCAACACCATCTCGGTCACGTCCAGAATCAGCCCGTCCATCTTCATCACGAGTCAAATACGAAGATGAAGAAGAACCAATAACTACCCGTCACAAATCAGCCTCAGTCGCTGTCAGCACTCCATCTTCATCCACGTACCGTCGTCGTACCACCGAATCTGAAGAAGAGCTGACGGAAGAAGCTGAAGCTCCACGTGCTCGTCATGCATCATCACCAAAACCTGCTTCACCATCGAAAGCAGTTGCAGAGAAACCAGCATCCATGTCTCTCAAAAAATCCAGCTCTGAAGATTTATTGGCTAAATCGCCATCGCGTAGTCACGGTACTGCTGGATCAAAGCTGTTTGAACCTAAATCGGCTTCGTCATCGTCGAGAACTGCACGTCCAGCACGTAAAAGGGCTTTGCTGATAGGTGAGGTATTGAGTTAGTTAGTATCGAAGCTGACATGGTAACACTCATTGATTTTGCTTTAGGTATCAATTACTTTGACCAAAAGGTTGAATTGAAGGGATGTGTTAATGATGTCAAGAATGTGCACAAGTTCATTACTACACGATTGGGATACTCTGATGCTCCTGAAGATATGATGCTGTTGACTGGTATGAATTGCTATTTCGGGGCTTTCTTTGTTCTGTTTTTTTGGTCCGTTTAATTTCTATGCTTACAAGTCTCTCCTGTCCTTTGATAGATGACCAGAAAGATCGCAAGAAGCTTCCCACGTTTGCCAACATTGTTGCTGGAATGAAATGGTAAAGTCTAAACTGTGATTTGTATTCTCTCTTGCGTCCTTTACTCAACCCTCTCAACATCAAACCTAGGTTGGTCGATGGTGCTCAAGCTGGAGACCATCTTTATTTACACTACTCTGGACATGGGTCCCAGATTCCATCCGAGAAAGGCGATGAAGAGGATGGCATGGACGACACTCTAGTGCCAAGTGACTACCTCTCTGCAGGTCAAATCGTAGACGATGTAAGTCTTCAGTTACCCTTGAACAAAATCGTAGAGCTCGGAAAACAAATTACCACACAGTAACACCTTCTGCTTCCGTTTTCATCAGGACATCAACTTGATACTCGTCCACAATCTTCCAAAGGGCGTCCACTTCTTCTGTACATTCGACTGCTGCCACAGCGGCACCATGTTAGATTTGCCATATACTTATGACAAGCATGGCCGCCTCGTTGAACAAAAGTACTCCGAAGTCTTTTTCAAATTGGACGGTGTGAGTCGCTCCTCTAAAGCCGATGTAATTTGTCTCTCTGGATGTCTGGACGACCAAGTCTCCGCCGATACTGCTATTGGAGGACAATATTCTGGTGCTCTGTCGTATGCCTTGCTCAAAGTATTGGGTGAAGCATCTCGTATGCCAACTTATGAAGAGTTGGTCAAGTCCGTCCGTGATATCTTGAAACGTAAAGGATACAAGCAGTTGCCTCAAATCTCTGCTGGGCACATGATTGAAATCACTCAGCCAATCTCTCTGTAAACGAATCATTTCGTGCCGTAAATGAAATTGGCTTGCCACAAAACTGCACCCTTTTATATACCCCAATTAAAGTAGTCAAGTAATAATGCGTTTGCATTGTATTTTGTTGGTATGCATATACATAAAAGTATGCGCCAGTAGACCTTTCTAAGCTTTGTCCGTGTTTGCATTACTTTACTCGGAGGATGGTGTTGCGTTTTAGAAACAGAAAGGTGTAATAGAATAGACAGTGAGCAAATACCAATGAACTAATATGCTTTGGACTATTTACAAATCACAATCTACAACTCTCAGTCCCTAGTACAACAACGAATGCAAGCTCACCTTGTGTTCGACCCGAACGTCAAACACTACAGAAACAAAGTATGCCATGATGCTGTCTTTACCAAATATCATAGCGAAGGGGTAGAAACAAACAAACATACATGATGGGGCCTCGCAGCATCCATTAACAACTCATTTTACATCTTCTCCCCTGGCCACTGCCGTGAGCGCCAGCCAAATGGTACCAGCCAGCTGTCAATGAGGCCCTTAGCCCTCGGAGAAGATGTTCAGATCTTTATGGGTTTCCTTCAACAGCTTGCAGAATGATGGGCAAGTCAGGTCGAACTTGCAGACCACCTTCCTAGGTGTGTCCAGCATACATTTGGCACCAACGATGTCAGCACCTCGGCTCCATCCCTCCACTTTCCATCCTTTAGCACAGACAGTGAGTTCAGGATATCCAGAAGTACCAAATGGTTGATGTAAGCTACACTGGTGTGGCGGATCTGACAAGGACTGCCACAGAGCTTGTTACACCATGATCGCCTTTATCCGCTCATGAGAGATCTAGTTCTGATAGAAACCTGAGATCTCAAAAAAGGTGTTTGTTCGTCGCGAAACACGGTTCGACAAATGTTGCATAATAACGACTTGACAGATCCGAAGTCCGGAGAGTGCAGCCCATAGCCACGTTCTCTGAATGGTGAATTGATGGATACAGCAAACTGGAGGAGAAGAGAGACCTCCTTCCTCTTAATCCTTGCATTTGCGTGTTTGTTTGAATATTTGGAAGTTTTGGGGCGTCAAAATCGACATTGGAAGTTCAATCCAATTAGGAAAACGAGCGTATATTCACGTGAAAGTATGCAGCATTCTTACTGTCTGCTACTTTTGAACCTCTTGTAATTTGTCTTGAATGCTAGATCGCTGCGTTTACGTTTGACGCATTTGGGTATCTGGTGGCATAGTAGGTCTGTCTTTGAGATATGTGATTATGATCTCTATGTTATATTTACAGTCTTCGTTTACTGGAACTAGCCATACGGCAGTCATTCGATCGACATTCAAAGTGCAGAACAACAAGGGCGAGTGCATCTTCAAATGTAACTTGTAAAGCGTCATCCTATATTTTATATACAGCACATTCCAGCTCCCTACAATTCAATGACACGAATACCATTCTTGTCTACTACTTTAACTACAAAGAGTGGCAAATTTCCCACGAATCGAACCTTCAATTCGTGTAGACATTTGCGAAGTAGAGCTATAGCTTCTTCGAGAGACATATCAGGTTGCCAAAAGCGATCCATAGTAGCCATTGTAAAGTAAGAAGCATATCCCTGAGCGGCAAAGTTTAGTTTGACGCTTGAAGCCAAGTAGTCCAACCAATGTAGTTCTGGAGTTCCTGATTTTGGATCACAGCCAGCAATCAATAGGTTGACCTTGTACGAGTTCTGTATGGTTGGGTGCATTGGTGTATAAGTAGTTGTTGATATGTTGATAACAATGACCAAACATCGACACATGTCCTCCACCACACATCCAACCCTTTCATTGCATACAAGACTTACGCGACTTCGTAGACTGTCAGCGAGTTCCCTCCTTGTAAAGTTTGCAGTTGCTGTAGTAGACAATTGTATGCCATTCTTGATTGTATACAATTGAATGTTTCGTTGAATGTATTCTGCAAACTGGACTGTGTCGCCAGCTTCACCGGTGTAGAGCATCAGAGTATTTTTGTTGAGTTCTCTGGATTTATCTTCGCCGGATTTCATGACGACGATGGACCTGGCAGCTGTTGCATCTGCTGCACACAAGACGAAGTCTTTGCCTGTAATTCCAATCAACACCTAGGAAGAGGAGATAGGAATGTAAGTAAATGGATACTGTAAATGTACAATAGATAGTGTAATTGATATGGCTTACCTCCATTTTACAATGATGCTTTCAAACTTGTGTTTTATGGAATTGGTGACGCGTCAGGTTGACGACAACGACAACAAGCGCTGGAGAGGATCGGGACTACTAAGGAGACTGAATTTGATCAAGTTGATCTTGTAATAATTCTAATTCGTTATACTTGCTTGCTGTCACGTCGTTGCAAGCTTGATTTTGGAAGGTCTAGTTGTGGAAGTGAAATGCTTCCTTTGTTTGCTAGACTTGTTTTCTTGTATTGAAGGACTTCTTTACGTGTTAATACCTGTCGGCTAAAAAGATTCTTGTGTCCTTTTCTAGTCTTGTCTCATTGGCTGCATCATCACATCAAACATCAAGTATCGCAGCTTCGATGCAGGCAACTCAGCAAGAAGTGGCCATAGAGGAGAAGGGCAATGTCTTTAGGTACTTCGCAGCTCTACATAATCTACCAAGATTCAAGGTTCCCAAAGCTCGTAAAGCTTTCGATCTAGCACCTGTCGAATCTGACAGCAATCACCTCGATCAAGTTGATGAGATAGTGGACGATGATGGAACCGACAATCTGCCGCTGCCAAATCCATATCAAGATCCAGAAGAAATGGAAAAGACATTGCTGCCAGACTCATATCAAGATCTAGAACCTGAGACTGATGAGGTTTTACCATCGTATGGCCACTTGCCCAATACCATTCCTATGGAAGTCGTGCCAATTCTAGATCCAAGACCATACCTATATACGCAAACAGATCTAGTCGAGGTTGAAGTCGTAAAGCCTGTATCTGCTAAACGACCACTCCTGCAACCCCTAGCAGCTCCAGCTCGTAAAAAGGCAAAGACTGTAACAAGAACACAATGGTCGCTAGATCAAGTGACTCCGAAAACGCAGGCTGCTTCCATCATGGGGCTTGTCATTGATATTCAACCGATAAAAAGCTTCAAGTCTCGAAGGGGTAATATGGTGACGTTGTTAGTGCTCAGAATTTTAGATCAGTCTAGAGATTTAAGAGTTACACTTTTTGGAGACAAGGCGCTCAAATGCCAGTTTCGTTGTGGAGAGATTGTGTACTTTTCAAGTAAGAGTGTGTTCCTACCCACATTTTCTGTTCATTATTTGGATTTTTGTGCTTGTAAACTGAAACATTTGGTAGTTACAACCCAGCAGATATATCGACTAAGACTTCCCACTGTCTTGTAGGTGTCAAAGGAGATGTTTTCAATGACGTTGTCGGTGCAGTCGCCAATTGGGACTGTGTCATGCAGCTCTTACTTGACTTAGTATCCAACAATCCAAGTGATAAGATAATTCAGGTGGACAAAAGCTCTATCGCTGACCTGGCTACTTGGACAAAGTCTGTATATAGAAGCTTTTTGACAAGCCTTGAGCAGTCGTTGCATCGGACTCGTCAAAGTAGGTTGAAGATTGTTATATCTCATCAGCTGTATCGCAAAATAAATTGCCATCTCAACCCTTTACTAGGACCCTCTACTACAAATCCTGAGATTCTATGCCAGTCGATACTGAGACCAAATGAACAAATAGATGTCATTGCCATTGTGATGGAAGTGGATTATAGGAGTGGCATTGCCGTTCTCATTGGCGAGGATCAGCAACCAGTCGAGATGCACATTCATGATAAGACGAGAGATTCAAACATTTGGCAAGTGCTTCTTGCTTGTGGTGATGATGCGACTATTATAAGGAATCTCAGAGTAACTTTGAAGGGTAAGATTTACACAATTATTGACTGTTTGTATTTTTTAACCAAAAGTTGGTCCCAATCTTGTCTCATACTAGCCTCAGCTCTAGAAACTACCAATGAAACTACTATCTCTATACATTCTACGCCACCCTCTATAACACTCCCAGCTGCCATCATTCCACAACACAATTTCATTCCTGATAACAAAGCCTCCACTGGATGCATGGACGTAACCTCAACTATTGTCGGCTACAAGATAAATAACGAAACAATGGCATTCAAAGTTAGCGACATTCGTGAACTGGAATGTCAGACATGTCAACAAACGCAAATCTGGACTAATATTCCGCAGGAATGCTGTGATGGCAATATGCATACACTGTATAAGGTCTTACAAGCTGTAATACCAGATGGACGGGGTGGTGGAATACCACTAGTTTTGGATCAAAGAGCCTTGAACGTTTATGGAATCAAGACTGATGATACATTGAGTATTATGGACGAGTTTACGTTATGCTCATTTTTGGAATCGTTGGTCAATGAATCTGTGAGGCTTCGAGTTTGGGGTAAAATGTGGTTGGGCGAGGACGGTGAAGTGAAGGAAATCCTGTATGAAGTCACTGATATTAAAGTCCTAGCTTTTGAGTAGGAAAGCAGGTATATTTGTGATGGGGACAATTTCACATGATGATGTATCTTGTAGATTCTGACGCTAAATTAATACAATCATTTTTGGCAAACCAATCGTTTCAGCTCAACGAAAAAAAGCGACAATGATATAAGAATGACATAAACAACCGCGTTCAACCAACACCTACGACAAACCGCATACACAATCAGCAAATAGCTCAAAACCCCCAAATTGTTTCCCGACAGCCACGAAGCGTCGGCTTATTCTCAGAAAACATTGACAGAGAAACTGGGCCAGTCGACCACAATTATACCAAAATCCAGAGCCATGCATGCCATTAACTTGCACTTGAACTAAGACGTGAATCCAGATGCGTTAAGATGTGCATTCAAAACAAGACAACTGCCCTTTTTGGCGATGTGATATGTTTTTACCTTCATCACTAAGAAACAGAAGTTTCATACAATCATTCAATATAGGAGATAATTCAGTGGCTGCTAGACAGGCTATCCATGTGACTAAAATGAGACCATATTGGTTTAGAAAGCTGGCGCCAAAGCAGCCCAACATAAAATCAAGCAATAACTTCTGACTAGGCGACACTCTCGCATACACCCATATCCTTGGCAGTATAGCATTGAAACAAGCAGTGCCTTGTATAATAGACCTTTACCTGTCAAACATGGGTCATACTTCTTGAGTTGAAGACCCTTGAGGCAAAGGTCGTGTCTATTGGAGTATCATCAACAGGTCTCGATATGAAACCTGCATTTGGGTAGATTTCATTGCGTCGGCAAAAGTCCAGTGTGAGTGACAGTCGTCTACCGCATACCATCACAGAGTCTCGAATATCTCTAATCAACGACTATCGAATAACAGCCTCTACCTTTTCACCCACATGTGAAGGAGAAGACACTGCGTACCCGATGTAATACTGATTCAAAAATTCATCACGAGGCCTATCAGTTGATGCCTATTAGCCGAATTTCGATTGAGCCATATAGTAAAAAACGAAGCTGCTATCTCAGGTGTGTGAATACCTCACTGCTTTCATAACACCATCCAGATACTTATATCGCAGCCCCCATACTCTGCTTGCCCAGTACTTGTACACAGCTTCATAATATGCTGGCGTTAAAAGTATGACTATTTGTATTATCTCGCGTTAACAGCCACCTGTGTGCACGGCCAACATTCAGCTTGAGCCAGCAAAAAACAAGCAGCTTCAAGAGTCTTTGAATTGCAGATTGGGTCCTTGACGTGCCTCCACCACATTTTCTTGCAGAGAAGTCCATCCACCAGCGTTTATGTTAGCAGTTTTCCATTGGATCTGCAATGGTACCTTCGTTCATGTGGACAAGAGACTGTGCAGCAGCCATGGCGAAAGCCTATGGCTTCATCAGACAATTCATTCGGGTTTCTTAATCTTTCTTCAGGATTCTGTGCGCCTGATAATGTTACTCCTTCATTCAGGCCAGCTACACCTTCTGTACGTAATCTCCAGCAAGTCAGATTTCCAATCTTATCAAAAGCAATAGACTTTCATAATGGTCGACCAAGGGAATCTGGAAGTGCCTTGAGGTTAACAACTGTGCTTTTTGATAGAGGAAATGAGTGAGAGTTTTCACTTTTAGTAATAATTTCCAAACAAAAAAAAACTGGACTTCAACAATCAAGAATGACAGAAACAGCATCAATCAAAAAAAACACCAACGAAAATAACTCTCAACACCATCAATCAAATAGCTTAAAAGCCTCAACCAAACTCTATTCTAAAAGCAGCGAAGCCTTTGGCTTATTATCAGAAAACATCCATGAACAAACTTGTTCGATCAACCATGCAACACCGAAATCAAGACCCATGCATGCCATTAACTTGTACTTGAACTATAGGAGAGACGAACAAGAAAGCAGCATTAATCGCTCAACTGTTACAACACGTTGACATTTTTGGCATCTGGATTTTCAACTTACATCACCAGGGAATGGCACAAGCTGCATCCAATCATTCAATGTAGGGAATAATTCAGAAGCTGCTAGACACGCAATGCATGTGACTGAAATGAGACCATTCCATAACGGTTTGTTCTCTCGAATGCTTTCTCGGAAAGGATGGCCCTGTTTGCAAAAAACGCTTCAGAAAACCATTTTACACACCCCTATAATTTAGCACGAAAACACATACCTGATAATTGATAGCAAAAGTCGATATCTGCATAATCAACGATACCAAATAAATACCCGAATTCAATAGATTAGGATGGAATTCAGCGTCAAGATCGAATTTTTCATCTCTGAAAAAACATGTAAGAAAGTTTTGTAAGCGATGGCTAAAAGATTCCTTTGTATAATTGATGGGAATGTGCACTCACAGATCCTCAGCATATAATATAGCTTGTTCTCTAATATACATGAGTGCAAAGACATGCACGGCAGCTTGTCCCAGAATGGATGGAATAAGGTACAAGTTGAAGACGTTTGTCTGTGGTCGTTTCTTTGATAGTTCCCTCATTGGCTAATTGCGAGCATGTGTAAGCTTCTGTTTTGCAGTAGCAGTCCAAATTTACCTTACAGAAGATTTAGCGATACTGAAAAAGCACACTGTTATCATCAATCCAGCAATGGTGGCTTGCCTAGATGGGATAAACGTGAGTATCCAATAAAGTCGAATTTGAGGGAGGAATGTGTGCCACTGTACCAATCTCCTTGTTTGATTCCAGCAAGATATAATACACTCATAGAATAAGCCGAAATCAAACAATTTAGAGCCAGAATCTTGTACATCTGTATCATGGCAACAAGAGTACATCGTCCTTGTCTCACGATATTGCAGACTACGAGATTGACAAGTCGTTAATTGGCACATAAGGATTCAGTAGTTGGTTGCCACATAAGGATTCAGGACAGCACACTACCGCTTCTTTTGCTCACCAGACTCAACATTAGCCAACTTGGACGTAAAAGGAGCAGCAACAGAAGCATCACCAAATTTCAGCGTTGGTGGCTCTTCAGAAGTATCTCCCATCATTTTATTCATTTGCTCTTCCAATTTAGCTTGTTGTTGAAGCAATTTCTGTTTCTTGCCTTCTGCTGAATTTGGATCCACTGCTGCTGTTGTAGCAGCAGCGGCTCCTGCATCAGGTAATGGTTGAAGACCCCATCTTTCACGAATGGCCTTTTGTTGGTCAATCATTGCTTGCTTGCGACGTTCCATTTGCTGTTGCATCATTTTTTGTAAGTCTTCTGGACTTCCGTTGAGTAGTGCAATGCCTATTGGCATGTGCAGAGAGCAAGATTTAGATGGTCTGCGCCAAAAAAGCATTCCGGCGCATTGAAATGACGAGCTTACCAACGTGAGCTTGTTTCAACGCTCCAACGTCATTCGTTCCATCACCACACATCAATGTCTCATATCCTGCCTTTCTGAGAGCAGTCAAAATGAATTCCTAATCATCAATAGTCCATGGTTAACAACGCCAACAAAAGGGAAAATAAACGGAGAAAATACCTTCTGACTAGGCGACACTCTCGCATACACCCATATCCTTGGCAGTATAGCATTGAAACAAGCAGTGTCTTGTACTTCTAATAGACCTTTACCCGTCAAACACAAGTCGTATTTCTTGAGTTGAGGATCTTCGATTGTCAATGTCGTGTCTATTCGTATATCAATCGCTTCATCAACTGATCTCCATGTGAAACCTGGGTATGCAATAGTTGCAAGTGAGAAACAACAAATCCAGCGAGAAACAAAAAAACCAATATGTCATAAGCTACTATACCATTAGAGTCTCGAACATCTCCAATCAACACTTTTCGAGTCACAATCTCCACTTCTTTAGCAACATGGCACGCTGTCAAGGCATTATCACCAGTAATCATGACACACTGGAAATAACTAAATTGTCAGCAATGGCGCAAAAAGGTACAGGTACTGCTATATATTTACCCGATGAGAAGAGTTATTCAGCATCCGCACAGCTTCAATAGCATCAGGCTTCAATGGACAATGGAATATCAGGAAACCAGCAAAAGTCAGTTTAGACTCCATAGCATCTCTTGATAATTCTCGTGCCTAATAGTTGCAGTACTTCAACGTCGCAGAACAAAAAAAGAACAAAAAAAAAAGGTCAGTCGTCATTGAATTACCTCGCTGGCCTTTATAACACCATCCAGATGCTTATACCCCAACGCCAAAACTCTACTTCCTCGTCTCGCCCAGTACTTGTACACAGCTTCATAGTGGGCCGGTAAAGAAGTATACATCTTTTGTAATATCTCGGGAGCACCTTTAACAGCGACCAAAGTACGGGGAGAATATCCAGCTTGAGCCAAGACTGATACGGTAGACATTCGTTTCAATGCTGAAGCAAATGGAAACCTCCTAATTATTCTAATTTGATGTTTAGGTCCTTGTCGTGGCTGCACTACATCTCCTTTAAGTAGAGTCCATCCAATAGCGTTAACACTGTTCTTTTCCATTGGGTCTCCAATGGTACCTTCGTCGAGATGGACAAGAGCATGTGCAGCAGCCAGTACAAAATTGGTCTCATCAGGCAGCTCATTCGGCTTTCGTAACTCTTCTTCGTAATTCTGAGTTGCGGATACGTTTATAAATACCGTCAGGCCAGCTACACCTTCCACACGTAAATCTTCAGCCGTCAGAGTTCCGGTCTTGTCAAAACAGCATACCTCCACTTTGCCGGCAAAGGGGATTCGGAAGGGTTCTGTACAAAATACGTATGCTCGGGCTAGAGCTATAAGTGAGTTGTTTACAGCGAGCGATAATTCCATGGGTAATTCTGGTGGTACCACGGATGTTATAATGAGGATACAGTCAAGCAAGATTTTAGATCGTTTACGACCCTCCATCTTGTTTCCTTCAATCCATACGTATGCTGAAGCAATGATAGCGAATACGAGTAGGAATAGAATAAAGAGCAAGGATTCTAAATTATTGGCAGTGACTCGTTCTGTACTGTACACTATTGTCCGTACTAGTTTTCCCTGTTGAGTAGAAAATCCTGTTCGGAGGACAAGAGCCAACGCTCCACCGTCTGGTGGACGTAATTTAGCTTCTGATCCAGGAGCAGATACCTGTATTATCTTTGTTCCTCCAAATAGTACGTGTAGTTTGTCATCATTTATAGAAAATGCATCTTTTGGATCGTTGAGCGAGATATTCTCTTTGAGTTGAGGAGTTGATTCACCCGACAACATGGCTTCGTTGGCAATACAACTGCCGTCAAGCAGAAGCATATCACAAGGAACTGGACAGTCTTCCTTGGATCGTATTACTGATACTACGTCTCCAGGTAGCAGCTCATATGTTTGTACGGGTACCCAAGAGTCTTTACGTCTAGCTAAGAGTTCATATGGTTTGATACTCATACTTCGGAATTCTCTCAGTGTCGTCAGACGCTATTTGCAAAGTTTTAAAACGAGGAGGAAAAGGTAAGATCATAACATGACATACCTGCAGGACGACGGTAGACTCGAATACAAACAACATGAATAGCGTAAAGAGCGAATAATACCACATGTCATCTAGAAACCATAATCCCACACAAAATACTTGAAATACAAAGAATGGAGCAATGGCGTGCTCTTGAAATAGTTCTTGGAATGTTGGGATGGGTATGTCGAATCTACGAGAGCAAAAAAAATGACACACTTCATTCATATCATGCCACAGCAATAGTTCTATCACGGTCGTACCTGTTTTCTCCGTATTTATCCACCAACATCTGTATCTCAGCATCAGTCTTTAATCCAACAAGACCTTGGAATTTGGACATTGTTGATGGTCCTGATGCAGGAAAATCTAGCTTTACGAATCTCCTCAAGGTATCGTTATACAGAAACTTTTTCTTTTGAAACATGAATGATAGTTGTGGAATCTACGAGATCACTAAGATATTAGACAAGTTCTTCGATGATTTTTCGCAGGAATCCAAACTCCATACATTTCCTTCATCCGTTTTGACAAAAGTACGATTGATCTCGCATATTCCAGCAGCACCATGATGTGGCATTGGCATAATTTTGATCAATTGAGCTCGATACGGATCAGATTCCTAGCGAAAAAGAAGACAACAAGATTCTTTAAAGTCAGACACTCGACTGTCACTTCCACGTGAAACACGACACATACATCTCTACAAGTCAAATAGGTCTTGATGGAGACACTCCATTGACAGATCAAGAAGGCCAGAGCATGGAGAGCCATAGCCAGCAAGAGGGTCAAGAATGCAAATTCACGCGAGCCAAAGACGACTTCGAATTGTGACATCCATAAGTATGCCCATATTGAGTAAGGGACCAAGAATGGATAACCGTATATGTGCCATTCGACAGGCTGGCGGACGTGAAGCGACGCCTCCTTGATGGACGCCGATTTGACGAGATTTCTGTTTTGGGATTTGATTGTGATTGTTAGAAGATGCATTAAAGGACACCATGTCAATCGATAGAGATACTCAAAATACAGAAACCAAAGCAGTGTACTTACTGGGTATAAGTCTTGGTCGACATGCTGCCCAAAAGTGATGGATTTGGTGAAAAAGAAGTTGACGTGGCTGTTAGAGCATTACAAGACAGGGCATCAAGATAGATCCTAGTACGCGTTATAGTATCAGATCAATACAAAATCGCGATCTGCTGCATTCCTCAATATCTGTCACGACTGGACGATACGATACAACCATTGCAAATGATTCACAACTAGAACTGCCTCCTTTCTCGTCTTTTTCCGCAACAGCTCTAGCGACGATACAAATTGTTGATTTCCAAGTCACTCAGAGATTTGTTTTCTCTCGCTTGTACACGTAAGCTGTTTGAGCGAACTTGGACATTAAACTGTGCATTAGCTCCTTGAAAAACTCGAGCTAGCATTGGAAGTCTCAGAGCAATCCTTGTCGTTTACAGAGCCAACGAATAATAATCCATACGTGGCATCGACAAATGATGGCCACGGACGCCACTATGGTTCTTCAACAAGCCTTCAACAATCAAGACTTTTGCAACTTCAGCATCAAATTCCAACAACATGAGGTAGACATTGCCTGTCGGACAGAGTGTATTCTTATCGATTCTTGGAAATTGTATTATTTCAATCTGTGTTCGCTCACTTTTCTCAACCTATATTCGCTCACTCTTCTCAACCTATATTCGCTCACTCTTCTCAACCAGGTCTATGTCATGAAGGGTGTGCTGGTGGTCCGAAGTGCACTCCTGAAGGACTTGTTGAATGCACCCACAGACACTGCATCTTCCGCCAATACCCAGTCAAAAATACTGGACTTGACTCAGACATTCACTGCCGACGATGGTCTCATCACTGCAGATTGGGTCGTGATCGAAGCCGCTCTCAAATACTGTCACTCCTTTGACTTGCATCTCAACGATCGTACTCTGGACGAACTAGTCGACTTGACTAGAGTCGCATACACCCTAGGAATAGAAGTCCTCGTCGCCGATTGTGGTCAAGTCATATCGGACAAGCTTGGATTGGGACAGTTGTCTGACACCACTTGGGAGCGATGGTATAATTTTTGTAGTGAATTCTCCCCCGAGACCTTGGCTCCTGTACGAGAACGTCTCGAGACTTATCTCAAAGTTGGTGCCACGATTCAATCTGTATCTCTACTCCCTGAACCCGCAGCACGCATAGTATTAAGGTATGTCAGTCAGCAATGTCCAGTCAGCAAGGTCAATTGGCACTCTCATTCCTCATTGCCTTGGCCTTGCTTTTCTTCTTATTCGCCTTGCTTTTCTTCTTCTTATTCAATTCCCACTCTTTAGGAATCACATTCCATTCGGTGAAGGCGCAAGTAAACGATGTACAGCTGCCGAATGGTTTGAAAATGTCGCTGCTGCTGGTGTATCTCTAGCTGAAATGGTTGATATATTACGAGACACTGACTTTGAAAGCAAGGCTACAAAGGCCGAAGTGTCTATACTACAAGATCTATTATACTCTCGTAAAGAACACAGCGAACTCTTGTTTGGTACTACACCAGATTTGAATGTCGTCCGTGATATAGGAATACTACTAGCAAACACCACAAACCGTCTCCTCAAAACCAGTGATGACGCGCACCGAAAGACACAACTCACCCTCAAGTCCACCATGGAAAGCATATATAAATTGACACATGAATTCTATAAAGCCATAGATCACTTCCGTCCGAAGCTATCCCAAACTCCTGCTGCCATCAGTGCCTCTGAAATTGAACAGTATCGTGATCAGGTCGATGCAAGTTTTGGCAATCTACGAGCTCAAGCCAAATCTATTCGAAATGCGGTTATAAAGACAATGGTACCCGAATCCCAACTACATAAAATCGATTATACAGATCAGGAACTTGCTAGTAGGTTGTTGCAAGCTGCAGAAGCCGTCATACCACAGCAACAACAGGATCAATTACATACACCATTATCACATACCCCATTATTACCAACACATCCGACGCAAAACGGCAATCATCATAGTGAACATAACGGAGATGGAACCAATGCTGTTGCGACATCTACAACATCATCTATCACAGCACCTGTCACAACAACAAACGAGAATGGGAAACGTGATGCTCCGGATATGGAAGAAGGTCGGATTGTTGATGATAATATTCAGCAGAATCGTGTTGGGAAAAGGGCAAAGAAGGAAGACTCTGGTTCCCCTGATGTGATTGTATTGAAGTGAGAATTAGAGGAAGGCAGGATGGGTTTATATATTATATAGGGATATAGGACAAATAGTAAAAAAATGGAGTATTGCATAGTAGAAGAGATAAGCGGTTTGTATATCTATCAAAGTCAAACATTGCAACAGTCAAGTTCAAGTTTCGTGTAATCGTGTCACTTGAAAATTTAGTGCAGTCTTCTGCTCTTCTGTAAAGCTACTAACTTTGCGAAGCGTGACTTGAACAGTTTCCCAAATCACAGATCTCCTCACAAGGCCCCTCACAATGAAGAGCGTGGAAAGCGACCAAGAGTTCGAAGAGCTACTGAGATCTCCGACACTGGTAAGTAATTCACGTTTTAAAGTTTCTCCCTTTGTTGCCGAGCTTCAGCTTCGTTGAGAACACTTGTCGCAACAGCTTACATTGTATCTTGCAAACGCCCGTGACTAGCCGCACATGAATATTCGTCACTGCTAACCAAACTATTCACTAATTTAGATCGTAGATTGTTTCGCAACATGGTGCTGGTATGCGAACTGTCATCTTGGTCAACCTTGTTTGTTTGGCCTTTCTTACGAGCTCTTACATTACCACCTTCAGGCCGTGCAAATTCATTGCTGGTCCCCTTCATGAACTAGAACTCAAGTTCTCATCCGCCACATTTGTTCAAGTCGACGTTGACAAGCTTAAAGATGTTGCTGCCCGACTTGAAATCACAGCCATGCCGACAATCATAACGTTCAAGCATGGCAAGGAGGTTGAGAGGGTAGTTGGCGCTGAGATATCAAAGATTGAAGGTATGGTGATTGTGTGATTTTGGACTTCTCAATGTTTGGCAGTTGATCGACTGGTTTCTTTTGGCCAATGGTATAGCAATGATTAAAAAACACGCTCAAGAATCATTCGGTGGGTCTGGACATACTCTAGGGAGTGCCTCCACACCCACTCCAACACCACAACCGCAACAAGCATCTGCATCATCAAAAATCAGCATACCCACACAGCTAGGACCCAAACCGCAAGGCGACTGTGACATACAGCTACGCCTCCCAGATGGATCTATCGCCAAGACTCGATTTAGTAAGGCTGATACCATGTCTGACGTGTACGCGTATGTAACGGAGATTATGGGTGGTGAGGAGTTTAGGATTATGACGAACTTTCCTAAAAGGTATGGTCGAGGTTACAAAGTCCTTTTTTGACGAGGTGTGGCTGTTTACGGTTGTTCGCTTTTTAGGGTGTATGGACCAGATGATTTGAGTCGTACATTAGAGGATGAGAAACTGGCTCCGAGAGGACAGTTGTTTGTTGCGAAAGCCTGAGGGTTATTTCCTGACTGTGCCTTGGGGTTTTTTGCTCATATCCCGCATCGGTTTCTTGTGTCTTTGCTCAATATATTCATAGTTTGCCTCAACAGTTTTCGAACATAGAATCTGGTGTTTCTATCACACGATATTTAAAATGTATTAAGACACTTCGAGGTCTGTCAGGAGAGAGAGAAAACTTTGATATAAAAGGAGAATGAATAAATGTGCATTATAGAAACAGGTGTATAAGAATCAGGCTGGTCTTGGTATTATACTCCGTTTACGACTCGCCCCATTTGGAAGCGCACCTATAACGTAAAGATTGTGAGCAAGTGCATATGCCAAAAAAAAGGCCATACTGAAAAGTCTTGAATGTCTTTAGCAAGACTCACCATGGCATCCCAGGTATACAATTAAAGTACTTGCAAAACGAACAATCATTCGAACTACCCGCATAGAACGATCTCAGCATCAACCACATCACAACCCCCGTCGCAGGAATACTAATCAGCATCATCAATCTCTTGCGTATCTTGTCCCATTTGCCGAAATGGATTGTCGGCATGAATATCAGGCCGGCTAGTATGCCGGAAAAGAATCCACCAACGTGAGCGAAATTGTCGAGGTAGGGGAAGAGACCGATGGAGAGTGAGATTATTATAGTGACGAGCATTTTGAGGAGCTCAATCCAGGGGTTTACGATTAGCTTCCAGTTTTGGAGGAGGTCGAGGAGGAGACATGCGATGAGGCCTATGTAAGTAGAACGTGTCGGCAAAAAAAGGCAATCAGCCAGGTGGCATTGGTTTCACATACCATATAGAGCACCAGAGCACCCCACACTAGGCGTTGTCGGCGAGTACGCAGCTCCAAAAATAAATCCACACACTCCACTAATCATATAAATCATCCCGACTCGCCACCACCCGAAATCACGCTCCATTTGTATACCCGTGCGTAACTGAAACCCGAAATTCAGCAACAAGTGCACGACTCCTCCGTGCAAGAAGATCGGAACGATGAAGCGATACCATTGGTCTGGAGCCCCGGTTTGGAAACCGCCGAGACCACACAGCTGCGAGAGAGTGCAGACTGGGACTGCAGCGAGGGATTGGGTTGCGTTGAGCTCAACCCCGGGGGGGCATTGGTAGAGGGATGCGTTTAGGTAGTGGATGTCTTTCATGCAGGGAACGAAGCGCGCTCCAAGTTGAATTTGCACCTATACAAAACGTTAGCTTTTCCCTTTTTTAGCTTGCTGTGGTACAAGACATACCCAAGAAGTGGGTCCAATCATCGGATTCACACTAATACTCTCAATAAGACTACCCGTGCGCATGTTATTCACAATATACGAATACACCAGCATCCCAACTTGAATCAGAGATACAGTAATCATGAAATATGGACGATGTGGTTTCATCTTGGCGAGCTGTTTACGGACTTCGGGGTTGTATAGCGCACGTGGGATTTTCTGCTTGCCAGTGTTTTTGTGCCGTCTCTTCATCGTGGCGTCGGGCTTGGAGCCGGGCATGGTTATGTGCTTGTCGCCGTGTGGTGAGTGGGAGTCCTATGGCAAAAATTAAGAGTTTGCTACGAATGCAATAAATGTTCAACAAACGTGACGTACCTGTGGTTGTTGCCCATCAGCAAACCACCCGCCTTGCTGCTTCACATGCGCATCATCCGTATGTTCCACCCTGGCATCATCCTCTTCTTCATCATACTCATCCTCCGATACAGGATTCGAATAAAACTCGTAATCAGAAACATCAGACAGCTCCTCGTCATAATCTGCACTTCCCAACGTCATGCGTGATCTCGACACACCAGTTTTCCCTTGCTCCACATCTCCACGGTCAGCATTCCTGGGTATGGTGCCAGCACTCTTGTTGTGTATACTGTTTTTCGAGAATGATCGTGACAGAGTATTGCTCAGCGTGTTTTTCTCGGCTGGTTTGGTGGACACTCCACCACGAGTCTTGAAAAACGATGGTGGGCCTTGCACTTCATTTTGATCTGTCGCTGCAATCCAGTCTAGTGATTTCTGGAAGACGTTGCCAAGTGGTGATGGTTGTGGTGGTGTGGGCATATTATCTTGTGAGTTGAGACGGGTAGTAGATGGATACGAGGTTGGATGGACCTTCTTGTTGTTTCGTATAGATCCACTACTGATATTTAGGTTGAGAAAAGATCCTATGCTCCCAGCGACAGTAGGAATCACTGAGCGAGGAGTTGCACGAGTAGTCTCTCCGGTAATTTGAGCCGTTTTGAAATATAGCGAGTTCTTCTTCCAATGGTTTGGGAGAGGAACTTTTTTTCGTCTTGTTGATTCGTTGTTATGTGAGTAGGATTTTTGCCTCCAAAATTAAAAGCGAGGGATGATTATATAGAAGGCTATAGAAACTTATAACTCAAAAATTGCCATCCTTTATGGGCCAGTTTTGTTTAGGGAGTGCTTGGTTGCGCCAAGGTCTGGTTTGTTGTAGAGAAGCCAAAGAAGTTGTTTGATTCACGGGGACGGAAGCACAGCTGCAAAGCAACAACAAGAGTTTTTTGTTTGTATCTGGCTTTAGCTTACCTGGTTAGATACATTTTCAGCGTTGCATGCTAATTTCTCAGTCGTGCTATGAGATAAACCCAATTCGCGGCAATTCATCAAACTGGAGTCAAAATGATCATGTCCTGCTGTTACGTTTTTATTGTACTGAACTAAGACTTGGAAACAAGAATATATAAACACTGTCTCTAAAAATATAAAACTAGTACTAAATCATGTGGGGGTGTTTCTCATGTCCGTTTAAATAAGTTGGCCAGATTGTTTTTCATGTTGCCTCCTACTGAAAGAAAACCACATGTTAGCATGCAAAAACACCCTATAGCGATACTATGAGTGACACACCATCTCGATCAAGCATATCTGCAGACTTCTTCCGCCCCGAAACACTATCATTACCGTCAACTCTCGAATTACTACCTCTCGTACTACTCATCCCATTCTTAATCGTCAGCAACAAACTCCTTCTAGCCAGTTTCGGATCATCGACTGCTTCAATCCCTTCTTCAGATTCTGATCTCGTTAAACTATCAGAGCCAGTTGCAGACCCTTGCGACACTGGCTGACTAAAACTCAACATGGGATGCGATGATCCCAGTCTTGGTGACGGAGCAGCTGAATTCGACACTGAGCCGGGCGGAAGTAACGTTAGGCCGTTTGACGCTGAGCCAACGAGAGGTGAGTATGGGAGTTCGGAAGTCTTGTCATCGTCTGCTGGTGTAGCGACTGCAGACTCTGTGCTATCAGATGTCTCTTCTCGTGTTGCACTCGTCGTGGCAGATACAGTTTGTCCACTACCAGACGTCCGTCGTTGGAACTGTGGGAAGGTTCCGAAATATGCTCCGGCCTTCTTCCGTGTTGTGCCTCCATTGCCGGTGGAACTGAGTGATTTCTCGTGTCCTTCTGATGGTTCGACGGCTGATGGTGGTGCAGATGTGGAGCTGGTTGATGAGCGGTCTGCTGCTTGCTCGCGTGTTTCGCGAGGCATTTGAGGTGAGTTGCCGAAATCGGCGAGGATGTCGTCAATCATCATGTGGCGGGTACGGTAATGGGGTTTGGAGAAGCGGGGGGCCTTGTATGCTGCATTTTCACCGTTGATCACTATGAAAATGAAAATGGATCAGAAACGAGAGCAAAACATCAGAGATACAAGTTTATCAAGGCACTTAAGGACTGCTATCTTTTCAAACACTCCATCACACATACTTTTAGCTAGAAGGAATTCTCTAAACTCCATTCGATCCACGAATACAGCATCAACTGGCAACGATGGTCCAAAAGCCGGCACTTCACTGTTTGTCGTGATATTGATCTTGTAGGCCTTGCGACCATCTTCAGTCCATTCAGGTTTCACAACGATGAAAACGTGCAAAAATTGTGATCGGATTGTGGCTGGGTTGAATTGGGCATCTCCGTCCAGGAATACAACTGTGACGATATCTAGCGAAAAAAGCCAATAAGGTTCTTGAGCACATCACTCATCGCGGTCTGTATCCGACTTCAATCATACCATTTCCAATATGTCGTTTCCGTTGTATCTGTTGCTTGTCCGTCTTGAAAAATGGCAAAAGTGTGGAAACATGATATGTGACTTCATACTGTCTCCATTTAGTATTAATAGTTTCAGCACCGGTTTGTTCATTCTTGGTATCCAGACCAGCAGCAAATCCAGAAAAGCCTTTCAGTTCAACACGATCGCCCAAGATTGATAAGAATTCGTTGAACGTGTCTGATCCAGTTTCTATGAAAAACATGATTGAGCAAAACACGATGCACTTAGACACAACGAATTGGAATTCACCAACAACACAACATACCATTATTATACATCTCCTCCTCAGTCCTTTGCCCTTCTCTACAATACAGCACCCCAAACTTGTATCTCATAATCAGCTGCAACTCATCCAAAGCAAGCAACTTGCGATACAGACTATCGAAATTCACTCGTCGAAGCTTTCCCGGTTGAATATGTGGATGCAGCATGGAAAGCACAGCTTTCGTGGCACCTTTGTGTCGTATAATAGTAGATTGGGGTATATCTGCTAGTGGTATTATCAGACGAGTGTCGGGAAGGGTCTTGGATCTCATGATGGCACGGAATATTTGTACGTCGCCTGGTTGCACGATTTCTTGTTTTACAGACATTATGGCGGGGCCGATTTTTTCCACTATGCCGACAAATGTTTTGTGCTCTGTTGAGGTATGAGATGTAAGTTAGCGGACTGTTGAGCGAATTATTCAAGAATAATAGTGAGGCTTTTTGCGTACCTTGCTCGAAAAAATATTTACGGAAGTATTCAGCTTCATCATCGATTTGTTCCAAGCTGTAACCAAAGTAAGTAATTAATGGCTCTGGTGGCGGTCTGGCTTCTACGTTCGAGTTCTCCACGACTTTCACAAGGAGCTAAGGAGTGCAAAAAACAGTATTGTCAGATATTCAATAATCTAGGAGTGAACAGATTTAGAATACTCACCCTTGGCTCAACATCATCGTATGCCATTAATAAAAGCTCGATCTGCTGTTTGGTCTTAGCCAGCTAAAAACCAACAACAAGGTCAGCCCGGATTGGTACAATATCAAACATTATCAAACAAACTTACGGTAGTCTTGATAGCATTCAAACACCCCATAGGGAAATTCAAATTGACCTTAATCTGCTCCATCTCAATCCCCACAGCAGCTTCCAGTCTCGTTAATTCTCTCATGGCAGCCGAGAATCCCGCTGTATCCACGATCGGAGCCACACAATTCAAAATACTGTGCAGAGCAGTCAACAATTGTGCAAACACAGCACCGATCAAATCAGCTGAATGGAGCTTGATTGTGAGGTTTGAGGACATAGATTCATACATCGTTATTAGATTGTCACATCGAGTTAGGAATTCTTCGAATAGGAGATGTACTTTTTCGCGGATGGTTTTGATTTGGTTTGCGTCGGAGAGTGGGTTACGTGGCTGTATATCGGAGGGCGAGTGTTTGGTTGTGGATGATAAGGAGCCTGTTACTGTTGCGTCTGGGCCCGACTCAGAGTCTGACGGTTTGGTAGATACCGATAATTCTCGTTCGGATTCGTTACGGTTGAGACTGACGGGCCCTAACTCGGCACATGATATATGCCATAATGCACGATTGTTTAGTTTGGCGAGGTTTGAGATTTCTTGGCCGTCGTCTGCACTTGTGAAGGACGTCATTGATGATGACTTGTTTAGTGCTTCTCGTGATGGGCGTAAGGATGGTTTACTACTGGCGAGAACAGGTGAAGGACCAAGCGACGTAACAGGTGGAGTACTTGAAATCAGCGTCTCAGTCGACTTCCCCTTTGGAGGAACCGCTGGTGCGCTCGATGCAACTGCCACATCATCTAAATCCAACACATGACTAGAAGATGCTTTGGACCGTGGAAGCGTAACATCCTTATCCACCATAAACCTGTTTCCGTATTGCATATTTTCGGCTGTAGGAGTCATCTCTTGGTCTGTCTCATCCAATTCTTCAACCATATCAATCTTGCCAATGCTCTGACGAGAATTCAGGTCCCGTTCGTATGAGGGGTTGTTCTGCTTGCCGACTAGTGGTGCAGGAGCAGGTATCGGTTCAGGATTCAAAAGTGCTAGTGCCTGGATTTTTTGAGACACGACACTGCCCATGGGTGATGGTGCTGACCGAGATGGGGATAGCGGGCCAGTTGCGGAGGATGATGAGGTGGTAGGCTCAGTTAGTATGGTTAAGGGTCGTCCTGGTGATTTGCCTGTAGCTTTGGAAAGAGCTAAAACAATCGTGTGAGAAAGACACCACGTCCACAGGTTTTCGTAGTACACCACCACATACTCATCGACTCTTTCGGCATATCTTTTGGGACATGAGCATCACAGTACACCAAAGAGGTGTGTGGTATACATGTATAATTGGATATAGAGAGCGTTCTGCGGCAGGTGTGGCATTTGAAGCACGTTTTATGAAATGCATGCGTATTGGCAATAATCGACTCCATGGGATAACTAATTATGAAAAAGTTTAGATACGGAACGGTTGACCGATTGGTATATGACAAGTGTGGTGAATTTGTGACCAACAACTCACGCTAATTTCGAACATATTGGGCAAGTTGGAGCCATGGATTGTCCAATACTGCCTCTCATTTTCTGCAGTATAGTAGTCATGGCCAGCTAGTCCCTTGGGGCCCTTTAGATAAGAGACTTTTGACGCGTCGCTTTAAAGCACGACCAAAAAATCGGCTATGATTCACTTGCTAACCCAAAAACGGCGCAGTTGGTCACCTCCGAGCGAAAGGTCTGTTTTTGACTTTTGTGGCATTCATCAAAGCATCGTGTCGTCTGGAAAAATGTGCATCGTGTCTGCTCTAGTCTTGAAAATCTCTCTCTTAATAAAACTTTGAATTTTCACAACACTCATAGACGATGGCGACACCTAATAATATTCCAGACAGCAGTCTTGATTTCTTTGACATATCGACATATGAGGAGACGGCCAAGTTCCTGCAAGGCAAGCTGCCGGCAGCGTTGAAGGAGCCTCAAGTTGCAGTCATTTGTGGAAGTGGATTGGGAGGGCTTGCAAACACCTTGAAGGAACCGAAAGTCGAGCTTGATTACAAGGTATGAGGGATACATCGTGGTCTCGATGTGCTATTCTTGTTCCTGAACTGTTGTTTATGCCATTCCCCATCTTGGATCAAAAAATGTTTTTAAGATGTCAAAAAGTTTTGATTTTGATTGAAGGTCTTACCGTCTCGTTGCTTTAGGATATTGTCAACTTTCCAACGAGTACAGGTACCCGCTTGAACACTACTTATGCATCTTGCATCGCCCTAACTTGAGCATGTTTGATATATAGTGCAAGGACATGCCGGAAAGCTTGTCTTTGGTATGCTATCTGGAGTGCCAACAGTGTGTATGGTGGGACGATTTCATATGTATGAAGGTAACCTATACGAGTTATATTCACGCCGCATCTGCCTCTTGACCTATTCTCACACCTGTCGACATAAGGTCACCCTTTGATCCGAACGGTATTCCCAGTTCGAGTCTTTTCATTACTGGGAGTCTCAACTCTGATTGTCACCAACGCTGCTGGTGGCCTGAATCCATCATACTCCATATGCGGTAAGTGAAGATCGCACATGTCATAGCTGCTTTTGAATTCCATAATTAACCTTTTTTTGCTCTCTACTAGACATCATGCTGATCGAAGACCACATATCCATGGTCGGTCTAGGCGGTGGATCAGCCCTCATAGGACCCAACATCACCGGCTTTGGTCCACGCTTCCCTCCAACATCAGACGCATACGACTACGAACTACGCCTAACGGCAATGAAGGCAGCCATATCAATCGGACTCTCACCAGACATTATTCGAGAAGGCATATACTGTTTTGTAGCAGGCCCCAGTTTCGAGACACGTGCTGAAGCTCGATTCCTCAAGGGGATTGGAGGAGATGCAGTAGGGATGAGTACAGTTCCAGAAGTGATTGTAGCGCGACATTGTGGGATGCGTGTATTGGGAATTAGTCTTGTGACTAATAATGTGTTGCAGGGGCATGGCAAGTCTGCCAGAGAGACCGTGTTGAGTGGTCTTGTTGAGAATGGAGGTGTTGAGGAAGGGGTTGCTAATCATGAAGAAGTACTGGCTTCAGGTGAAAAGAGGGCAGCTGATCTGCAGCGCCTAGTGTCCAAGATTGTGGAAACATTGCCAGCTACAAAGTAGTAGAGAACATTTTTATAATAGACAAACAGTTTCTTGGCATAAGAGCATCAGATCTACAAATTTAATGGCTAAAATTGTAGGAACTGTGGTTCTAACGTGTACTGGCGAAACTTTCAACGGCAACTTGTATTGCAGTCAGCTTTTTTGCGTGACAGGGCGGAACAAGCAAGCGAGGAGACGGTCTGATCGTTCGCGGGTTCCATATCGCGAGATTTGGTAGCTGAAGCATCCAGCAAGTATGTGCATTAGTGTCCTTTGCTCCTTCAACAATTCCAGGCTCGTCGTCACCGTCTCGAAAAAGAAACCAACTTTCAACAATCAACTTTTCGAGCAAGAGAGCAGCCAAACGGCAGCGAACTGGGATCATCGAAAGGAGACAACCTATAGAAACCAGAAGCCATAGCAATTAGCCCGTATTCAACACTCAATCCACCTCCAGCGGGTCCTCGTAATCAAAAGTCACTATTTTGGAAAAAGGAAACGACCAAAGCGATGGAAGTCCTTCAGCAGTATGCAGAGATTCCGCCTCCTGTCTTTGACGAAGAAGTGACGAGATGTATCTGCGGCAGAACAGGCAAGTGCAAACTCATTTGATTCCAGCATCTTATGTTCAATCGTGTGGGTTGCTGAAAAAGAAGACAAATGGACTGTTGAACTACGGGGCTTCTATTGATGTACCGCTGCAGCGCTCATGCTGTATACAACAACATTCTATCGACCGTCCTCTCGCTACGGCGAACGGGTCGCTTGCATGTATAGTCTCTTTGAAACGTTTTGAGAAAGTGTTTTTTTGACAACTTGTCTCTTGAGACATGGGGATCCACTGATGTGGAGAGATCAGAGTACTAGTATATGTCTAGTCTGGTATCTGAATCGACATGGTTTGTCCAGACTCATGGAACAAACGGCAAGCATGACTTGTGGCATGGACAAACAAAAAGTCGGGAAATGTTACCACCAATACGTATTTCTCGTTTTACACTCTTGTTGCACTTGATGGAGGAACTGCTGGCATGTGAATGAACTTCCATTACCCTAAACTATGAAAGACATTGCTGATCTGACCGGATCTGAATGATCCTGCAACACACTGTGAAAGCCGTGCCTGATCGTGACTTACGTATGCTAACCTCCACGTCTTTGTTTCTTAGAGGAAACTGGCGATCTCATGATCTTTTGCGACTCTTGTCAAGTCTGGCAGCACGCGCTTTGTGTCGGAATCACCGATGCAAAACAGGTACCCAAAAACTACTATTGTGAGCAGTGTAAACCTGAAAACCACCGGGCAAAACAACAACCACAAGCACCACCACCACCTGCTCCCGCTCCTGCTCTACTACAACCTACTCGCTCTGGAAGGATACGACGTCTCGCTACTCCTCTAGCAGTCAATATGGAATCAGATCCACTCCCACCTCGTCGTAATGAACGTAGTCAACGTAAAGAAAAGGCACCTCCCAAAGAACAACCTGCTGCCATGATAGAAAAGCCCGAGAAGGTTGAAAAAGTCAAGCTTGAAAAGGCTGATAAACATGAAAAGGCTGAAAAGCATTCACATGCTGAACCGATACAAAAAGAATCTTCAAAGAGCCATAGTGCTTCTTCTGCTAGTGCACCACCTTCTAGAGCACCATCACCCAAACGTAGAAATACAATGAACTCGAGAGAAGCTGCTCAATGGAATACTGCTGATATACTGCCATTGTTGACTCCTGGTGCTTCGATCTCGGAGGAGGCATTCAATACTGCTACCATGGCTGCAAGTATTAATATCCCTGTCCCTACTACGCAGTCGGCACCTAATAGCGTCAAGAAGAAGAGGAAGAGTGCCAAGTCTGATGAAGGATCTAGAGCTGATGATGAAGCTTCTGGTGGTAAGTTTGATTTGTGTTGGTGACTTGAAAGGAAGAGTACTCAATTAGACAAGCAAAACGTGCTCACCCTCGAGTCTTGATGATAGAACGATCTTCTTCTAATGGAACTCCAACTCCTATGGATACTCCTGTCATGTCAAAGACGCACCTAGAGGACGACTCTCATGAGTCATCGCCTGCTGTCACCCCAAAGAGTGAGCGAACCTCTGGTAGGGGTGGTCGTCCTGCTGGTGGTGGTAAAAAGAAGAAGGCCCAACCGAAGAAGAAGCCATCAGCCGTAATAGCAGAGCTAGATATGGATACTCCTGACGAAACAAATACTGAGGAAGTACCTGAAGAACCAGACTTGGCTTCCGATCCAATGGGACCGTCGCCAACCAAATCTAATGCCAGTGATGCTCGAGAAGGTTTGAATGTCTATGATGATCAAGATGAAGAAATGAGGGACGTTGATGGTGCTGACAATGGTTGGGATTTAGCTGACGAGCTTCCACCATCTCGAGGGAGTAAGCGTGATCGTGAATTACACGATGACGATGATTATGCCTCTGATGTCAAGCCTAGTAAACGAACTAAACGAGCAACAGAAGCTAAAAAGGCTAAGGCTACTGCAGCTCGTCGTAACTCGTTAACAGAAGATAGTATGGCATCACCACCTCAATCACTCACTGGTGCTAGTAATCGTCGAGTCAAGGAAACTGCTAGAAACAATCGTAATCCTTCACCATATCCACCTCCATCTCGTGTCACGGCTGCTGCTAGTAATACTAATAGTAATGCTCAACGACAGAACACACCAGTAATCCACCGTGATCCTACTCCACCTGCTAAAGCCAGACCAGTCCATTATCGAGCATCGGTCCGAGAAATGAATAATCGAGTAACCCATATATCAGACTATATTAAACGCTTGTCGGCTCAGTGGATTGAGCGTCCAATTACACCTACACCAGCAGTCGTCTCTGTCAACACAAAGTCTGTTATGCCGGTTGATGTAGGAGTAGTAGGAGGAGGTCTAGCTGCATCGCCAGTATCGATGGCGAAACATGAAGATAAAGCAGTTGAATATGTTCTTCATGCGTCTGTTGTAGCTGCTAGGACTCTTGATTCCATGATGGACGTTTGTACGCCAAAGAATATGGTTGATGATACCGTTTTGAGGAATGGTAGTATTAGTAGTAGTATGCAGCAGAATGGTAGTGTTGGTGGTGGTAGTCAGCATGACGATTCTGCAGACCTCCCGCCTGTCCTCTCATTGATAGAATCAGCTGCTAATCAAAAGTCGAATGGCAAACTTCCGAATGGTAGTAATAATGGTCTGGCTTTTAGTCCCATGTTGACACCCTTTTTGATTCACGGAGATGAGAATACCGTTGATATGATGGATAAATTGAATAAGCAATTGGAAGCCTTCCGAGGCAAGTATGGCAAGCTGCTGAATATTGAAAAGACGATTAGTAGTAGTGGGAATAGCAGTTCGAGTAATTGGAATAACAATAAGGCAGGGGCTAATAAGCTTGTTAATGGAGAAGGGAAACTGTAGAAGGAGGCGGGTAGAGTAGGAGGGCATCTGAAGAGGTTTTACAGGATTCATTCATTATGTTACATCTCTCATTCGAAGGAGGTTAAACACGCACGCACAGTATAACGACAAATTACCACAACACACAAACATGTACACCACAACCGTTTATATTTCTCCTGTTCTTTTTGTATTTTGATATTGTTGATTGACGATATACGTTTGTCAAAGACGATGACTTTGTTGTATGCAATTAAGCTATGTTTTTTATGTATGGTATTTGAAGACGACATCCAGATGCAAATCATGAAGCTACAGATACAAATTTTCCATTAAGCTAGCTACAGATGCGACAAAAAACTTTGTTATATACCCTCTATCGTACCAGACCACCACCAATAGAATTCACCCTCTGATGCTGCTGCATCCCATCATTACTAAACCTCCTCATATCCTGCTGCAGCTGTACTTGCGGCATCCCATACACGTCTGGATACGAATAATACCCTTGCCTCCTCCCCACCATCCTCCCGTCAACAAACACAACCTCCTGCTGCTGTGGAATCCCAACCAGCCCTGCCTTCACATACACCATCTGCTGCTGCTGAGGACTATTATACGATAAGGCATGTATCGGCATCATCTTGTTATGATATGTCGGATGATGTAGCAACCCTGGTAATGACGACGACGACGAGGACGCCGAATGTGGAAGACTGTACTCTCCACTATGTGTTCTTCTCAGCTGTGATGATGTCGATGTAGACGATATGCCCTCCTGGTTGTAAAAATCGGTGTGTCGCAGAATGGGCGATGGGAGTGTTATGTAGTTGTGGTGCGGTGGTGGAGAGTATTGTGAAAGCGGGTTGTAGATTTGCGGGAGATGAATTATGTTGTGGTGGTGTTGGGGAGGGAGTTTGGGGGTGGGCAGATAGGTGGGCGATGTTGGGAGGATTGTTAGTGTTGATGGGGCTGTTGTGGGGCGGGCGCGTGGAAGGCGGTGTTGTTGTGGTGGAGGGGCGGGCCGGGATGTTGTTGCGGATTGTGAACGAGGTTTGTTTATTCTGGCCAAAAAAGAGATGATATCAAGCTTGGGTTCAGCAATTTGATCACGACGGTTTGGCTTTACCTTGATGAGGTCTTGGATTCAGTCATTCCATGTCCAGGGAGCGAGAGCGGGTATGGCGCATGCCTCATCATCTTGTTTAGCTTCTTCCAAAAGTCTTGTCCTCCGTCACTATCTTGCACTTGTTGATGTCGTTTCTTGCTTGGTCTTGTTGACGTCGATGTAGATTGGAAGACACGAGCAGTACGTAGATTCAGCATTAATCGAGCTGCTAGAATCGTGCTTTCATCTGTGGTTTCCGTAGCAGTCTTGATTGTAGTTGGGCTCGATGATTCACATGATGATGCAGACGAGTCTTCCAGCCAGCGTTGGGATATGGCTTCGAGTGTGTCGTATGGAGATGCGTGGGTGATCTTGTGGTGGGAGTAGCAGAGACGGGATTTGAGACGTGATATGGTCTGTTATGTAATGTGTTGATGTGTTAGTGTCAATGCAAGATACAACACGGGGTGGTGGTTCACGGCTTAATATGATGTGAAACGCGTAAATAAAAGGGTTACATAGCTTACCTCTCGTTGCTTCTTCTTTTTCGCGAGGAGATCAAAGACGGCGTCGGTGAGCTCGTTTTTCGTATTGCGAGTGGGTTCTGACGTGTTTGAGACTGGGAGTGAGTCGGCCAGCATCTTGAGTAGCGATTAGTAGTTGGTTGGGGGCGTCTATGTCTCGCGGATGGTGTTTAGATAGGTCGAGGATGGTGGTTTCTTTGTGATTGTGACTAGCGCGCGTTTCACGACAATGCATTTGGTAAACAATGCAAAAGCTGCGGCCGTGACGGTCAGCGATTGATTATTGTAGCATCGAATACATTGCAGTCCAAGAAGCATTGACGGCGTGGAAGTTGATAACACGTAGTTATTAGGAACGAACAAGAAGAATCATGAAAAACTAAGCCCATCCATTTCCAGTTAGATCTAGACATCGATTACGAGTTTTACAACAATTTCAGCGGTATAAGCTCTCAACGAGGTGCTCATGGATTGCACTTAGCATCGTCACTAAGCACCAGATCTGATTCCTTCACACCCACAACGACACCATCAAACCCGTGATTTGGTGCAGATGGATGAAACAGGGCCGTTGAATAGGGCACATAGCTTTGCCGGTCAAGCTGAAGACTATCGTGACAGTGGGAAATGGGCTAAAGCTGCCGACTATCACTCAAAAGCTGCTGGTAATGCTTGATTGTTACCTCAATGTCATTCAACACTATCTTTGGCAATATACAACACGGATGGCATGGAGAGGCATTTTCTAACTATATGTACTATATATCATAGAGCAATTCCTTCTTGCTACCCAACAGACAACAAACGCAGAGGTACTCAAGACATTACATTTGTTGCAGGCAAGTCATTCGCAACAGGCCAAAGAACTACAAAAGAAAGTGTCTGCTCAGTCCCATCGACCGCCACAATACGCAACACCCTCGTATCAGTCAACCTCATCGTCACCGAGGCAGTCTGTATCTCAGGTCTCTGATAAACAGTCTCAACTTTTACAACGACAACAGCAGCAGCAGCAGCGACAAACTCCATATTATCAGCCACAACAACAGCAACATTACCAACAACATATATTATCAACAAATACATCCCCATCTTCCTCTACTATATCAACCACTACCGCAGGGCCCACCGAAGCTTCATATCTCTTCTTGACACACCCGAAAGATCTAGAAGCTGAGGTCCAGGATCCTTTCAATAGATTCTGGGACGCAGTAGAGAATCTAGTGCAAAAGACTGTCACTGCTCCGGTTGCTTTTGCCACTGCGCCGTTGGGGTTTGATGAGTTTGGGGCAAATAATAGTGGTGGTAACAAGCAGAGTAACAATACTAGTCCGTCGTCATCGTATACGTCGAATAATGGTAGTGGTGGTGGAAGGGATGTGATGTCAGAGACGATCAAGGGGCCTGGTGGAGGTGCTACTTCGATATTGAATTCGTATTTTGTCGTGCCTAGCAGTACGTCTGCTCCTGAATACTATCCGTCTGCTACATATCCGCCATCATCACAACAACAACAGCAATCGGTACCATCATCGTCACGATCGTCACATCCGAATTATAATGGCCACCAACAGAACTATAATAACGAAGAACCACTACGCTTACGAACAGAACAAGACTTACGAGTCCTCAAAACATCTGAAGAACTACGTCTGGAAAACGCTTCATTGAAAATGACGGTCGACATGCTATCACGACAAGTAGTCGCCCTCCAACGAGCTGCAGAAGAAAACGACATGTTGAGGTCTAGCATCATTCAATTCAGACAAGATGTGCAAAAGGAAAAGGCCAAACAACGTATGCTCAAGCCTACTCCAGGCGGCTTCCCATCATCACCTGCAGCGTCGACAATGATGGATGAGAGGGAAGCGTCATTGACTCGTAAAGTAGTTAGCCTGCAAGATGAATTGAAGCTTGCTAAGCAGGATGTGGAGCGAGTTAAACAGGAGAATGAACGACATGTTAGTGCGCTCCACAAGTATCGTGAAAGATGGGAGCGCTTGAAGGAGAGTGCAAAGAAGAGGAAGGAGTTGTCGCCTACTACTGGTGAGGGGTCTGGTAGTAATGGTAGTACGCCTCAGCCGGCTGCTGCTAGTCATGGTTTAGGCGATGGGCATAGGATCGGTAGCAGTGCTGGTAGCAGTGGTGGGAATGCTAGCAGTGGTCAACCAGCATCATCCAGTACTACTCCAACAAATAGCAACCACCACAACAATACTCAACAACACCAACAGCCAGCACCAAATAATAATTCTAGCAACAACCATATGATGGCACCACCAGTATCAATCGGTACAGTATCAACACGAATCGGAATGCCAAACACCCTCCCACGAACAACACAACACTCTGGATCACCACCATCATCATTTCCAGCTGCAAGCACCAAACTCGGCACAACACGAAACCCATTCGAACATCAGCGACGAACAAGTCTTGTAAATGACTTATCTATGAATAATCTTATAGCTGCAGGAGGAGCCTCCGTCACGCCCTCGGTGTCGCCGAGCCACAATACGGTGTCGCCTATAGCTGGGAATAGTGGTAATAGCAGACAGCAGCAGGATACGTCTGCGTCGATAGTGTCGTCTGTATCGTCAAAGAGGGATGTTATGGGACAGTCGAATGTCTTGTTTTATTCTACTACGTCTGGGTTTGAATGAGAAAAAGACAATTTGGGATTTGATGCAATTGTGTTAAGCATATGCGCATCTTCTGTTCAACTGCCACCAATTCGTTTAAAAGTAAAAATGTTTCTTTTTATTTAGTTGAATACACTTGCAATAAGCCAATACAATGTCTTTGGACGCAATGTTTTGGCTCTTTTTTTGTGCTCTGCTGCGACAACACTACCAACTTGCTTTGTCTCCAAATATGAGAGACAGCGAGATATTTTACAGCGTTGTTGGTAGTATCGGAGCAAAAAAATCAGTATGAACCATACTCCATAGCTGCCAAGCTTTGATAACACGGCAACACCTTGCTACACGTTGTCAAGATTCCAAGGTAAGACTTGATATGAGGGATACGTTCACATAGATTCTGAAACCGTACTGGCCTCTCGAGTCCGTTTGGGATGGCACCTCTTACACCTGATTGAGAGTTTCCGTCTAAAACAAGACAAACCACAAAAAGTACAAATCCACTGGAAGTTGTAGAGAGCAAATGGAATCACAACCAATACCACAGCGAAGAGTCTTTTTCCAAGTACAGACAAACGGAATTGTCTGACATGCTACTTGCAATATCAAGGTAGCAGCTGCCACAACACCATGCCAGAAGCAAGACACTCGAGTATACAATGCCAAATTCATCTCGATATCGTCCAAAGTGTCTGGTACCCTTTCACAAGACGCGGTAAATTTGCCAATACATCCGTCCAATTACTTTTTTGGTAGCGCTTTACCATAAATCAATTGTTTCTCTTGTTAGTTTCCATGACGAACTCCCTCAATCGGCTTCTTTACCAGGTTCTATAACGAAACAAGTCATTATTGATCAAGGAGAAATACAATCCTTCAGATTTGAAGATTTTGAGTTGCAAGCCCATTAACGATACCTTCTGATATTCTAATACTTGCCAAGCGTAATGTACTTGACCAAGATGTTTTTTCATCGAATTTTTCAGCAAAGGGAGAGCTTAGAAGCTGTGGTTGCAAATATCGTGCAAAAAAGCCAGAGCAGCCTTAAAGTATTCTACTGGCGTCCAACTTTGGTGGCTAACTCTTCAATCCTGGAAATCCTTGTATTGATCTTTCCTTCTTTGCTGTCTAATTTTTCTTCTACTGGTTACCTTCCTCTTATCGTCATTTTCTTGATCAAAACAAATGAATATCCGTTTTGACGTTTGATGCAGCGTTGTAGCCTACTTTCTTGACCGGAAATAATATGGTTCAATGCTCTGTAGACTATGTCTACAAAGGTCAAGTGTTGAGAAACTTGTCTATTAACACAATGCGAAACAAAAAAGGAGTATATCGCATCAAGTAATCACCTACTCCCATAGGTAGCTTAGAATCGCATCATTACACAAAACATCCCATTCAGAAATATGATCCGTCCATGTATGATGAATTGAATCTGCAAGTCCTAGACGTGACATGGCTGTTTGTAATCGGTTTTGTTTCATTCGTTTCATTCCATTGACAAGAGACAGATAATTGATTGAGCTTCAACGCTATACAGGCAAAGTAATGAGCTTGGAATCGATTTCAACACAATGGCAACAAAAAGACGAAACGTCGGATGTTAATGATACGTACCGCTAACATTTTTACGTTCAGCAAAATCAACTGATACTCATCCCTGAGATATGTCATCCCCTTTTATCAAGCAGTTCTCGCAAACTGTCTTGCATTTCTGAAATCATGAGAAAATAATGTTAGCTTTACAAACACGGAAAACATGGACCCAAAATGATTTGATTACACTGATGATGCCTCAGAGCCTCGCCCATGTTCATCCCTGTCGCAAACTCTCTAATCTGACTCTTGAGTCCCACAATCTCTACCTAGTGCATCTCGATACTCACTCAAAGTCGTTGACTGACAACATCCTGAACAATGAGACTTCTAATTCAGCAATACGATCCGGCACTGTGGGACTCCAAAACCATCTTGGAATTGTTCAATAATGCTGTCGTCTAGCCGAATCTGTCTTAATTTTTCGTCTTCCAGAAAGCCAGGATTACGTGAATGAAAGCCAGCGAAAGTATGTGCCGTATGTTGGGATCTTCAATTTCCATGAGATTTTTCGTAAATAAGTCTGCCAAAGGAGTAGGTGTCAACTGCGGCATCTCGTCACGAGTTTGCTTCGTTTGAATCCAAAGGAACCAACGAATGGGAGTGATAAATGAAATCTTATGACCGCTCCAGTTATCGGAGTCGTGACTTGGCAATGCGAGTGACGGTGTGATGTATTCTCAAATACTCTAGTACATCGTTCCATCGTTACGAATCTTTGTCAATTGGTTGAAAAAAGTTAGCTTGATTGGAGTAGGAGAATGGACAATGATACAATATGGCCAGGTTGCTCGATTGACAATGACTAGAGTATCGATTGTCACGGCGCAATTTAGGATGAATACGAATTGTTTGCTCACACCATGGCCAACCAAGTAAAACTATGGACGAATAGAACTGGAATTCAGTGATCAAAATGGATGATGTCGTCGATAACAGAGTGATATCATCTGAGCTGTCCTGGCTCACGATTGTTTTTTCTGTGGCGACGGACGGAGAGACACAATCACGAATCGTATCAGCCCTACTGCGTTCTACATCGAGCGGTATCAGCTTCTGCAATTAGTTTTGCTATGACAATATGTCTTCGAGTCACGGCACCGCCGACATTTCAAGACGTAAAAAACATTGTAGACTCAAGCCTACAGATGTCAGAAATCCATGACAGCGCATTATCAAACTCCTCTTGACCTTCAGAAATTCGTATACAATTTCACTTGGGAGCTTCAGCCCGTGTTCAATTTCAAAGCGCAAAGACTCAAACCTAATTTGTCTTCAAATCATCCTGACTGACTTGTAATGACGACTGCCTGAGAGATATCTGCGGGCCACTTGATGGTCCGGACAAGGAAGAAAAAACCTATGCAAAGGCTGAAAGTTGCATGTCAATCTTAACTGCTAAACCAACGTGATTCGAAAACAACAAATCACAGTGTGTATAGCACTCAGTCAGTCTTGCTTCTTCAGGCCTCTTTACAAAGTAAAACGCGTCGACATTGCTGGACAGTCCTGGATACTTGGAAGGTCAATGCTGGCCAATGTGTTCGTGTTTGAATGACATGCATCATTCAGGGACAAAGTTTGGAGAGGACGGGGATGTTAAGCTGGAGTAGGGGAAGGCCATCAACAGGTTCATTGATGCACTAGTGAATCACCGAGCAGTGTTTCCCTACCGACTGTGGGTGGAAAGTGCGGATCCCCATGGCGTCGAAACTGTGAGAAAGAATGACTACGAAATATCTATCATTCCATTGGTGGTCTTTCGGAACAAAAAAAAATCCTCTATAACAGCAAAGTAATGCATGTCAGTATTAACTGCTTGGTCAATTTCATTGATAATAAACACAAATGACAGCATGGCACTCAGTAAGCGTTCTTTCTTCACGGTTCTTCAGGCAATGTAGATAAGATTAAGAAAATCATCATCGTACCAGTTATCTGGTATATCAAAGCGATAAAGCTTACCTTGTTCATATCACATTAAGCCGTCCTCTTTACAAATTCTAGCACTTTCCAAATTCTAGCAAATATCCCCATCCATATTCTGACACATCAGATTCCTGAAACAATTGCTTCCGAAAACATGAGAAGATGGGATGTTGATTGTTGAAACCATTCTTTCTTCTTTATATTTGCAGTGCTACAACAACATAAGATATGTACTTGACCAAGACAACCAACAGGTTAGCCTGCCTTCTTCTTGCTGACTCCCACAGTTCGTCCTTTACGACCAGTGGTCTTGGTGTGCTGACCACGTACTCTCACTCCCCAGTAGTGTCTGAGACCACGATGGGCTCGAATCTTCTTCAACTAGAGGGAGACAAGGGTGTTATGGTATGGGATAATACAGGATTCGCATGATATGGGATACTGCAGGATCCGTATAATATGAGATATCACTGGATCCATGTCAAATGCCACTACCAGCTATAGTACGTACCCTTTCAAGATCCTCACGTAACTTTGCATCAACACCTTGAGCGAGGAGATGAGTGAATTTACCATCCTTAATATCTTTCTGTCTGTTCAAAAACCAATCAGGGATTTTGTATTGTCGTGGATTTTGGATGATTGTGACGATTCTTTCCAATTCTTCGGGTGATAATTCACCGGCTCTGTGTAGATAGATATAGGATTAGTAAATAGGTTGAAGTAACTGGATATGTGTCTTGACACAGTAACTAGACAGCAGCCTATCAACCTAAACAGTACCTCTTTGTCAAGTCGACATCAGCCTTTTTGCAGACCAAGTTTGCGTATCGTCGTCCAACACCCTTGATAGCGGTCAAAGCATACATGACTTTACGTTTTCCTTCGACATTGGTGTTGAGTAAACGTAAGATGTGTTGGAATTGATTCTTTTCGGGGACAAGGACAGACTAGTTTGAGAGAAATGCGAGTTAATAAACTGGAGACTAGAATGAAAGCATTCATGAGATTCGCCATCTTCTTGTTCGTCCTTGAATGTCTAAATGTGTGTGATGCTTCAATCGTGACAATTTGAGCAAAGTTCCCAGTTTCACTTAGAGGGCGAGGGTGACAGAGCAGAATATAATGATTCTCATGAGCAGACGTTTGATATGGGCCTTACCATCTTGTCTCTTCTCTCTCCTTCTGAATGGATGGATGCGATTAATATGGCAAGTTGTTTGAAGGCCCTGTCAGCCCTTACTAAGTGCTTACTACACACCTTTTAACAATTTCTCGTGGTGTGAACAAACCTCTGGAGGATATGAGGATATACTTTTAATCACGTTATATCCTTCAAATTTTATTGTAAATCGTGAAAACGTTCCATGAAACACCGTGGTATTTCGTTTTCATCACCACATCGTCAACACACACATTCACCCCAACAATAGAGATCAGAGATGTTTAAAAAGGCGACCACACCAGCCACTGCCTCTGCTGATGAGAACGGAGAAGGAGAGGTACGTCTTGTCTCGTTCATTGATATCTACAGTCTTTGCAACTAGATCGAAAACCGCCAACAACGTTTTATTCTTCATTCACACTAACAATCAACTGTCTACGCTCCTAGGATTTGAATTATAGATATTGTGATCTAAGCATCCTGCCACCCGCTCCTCAATCAACAAAACATTTGGTGTCCTTAATACTCAGGTTAGTGAATCTTGGTAGGAACGGGAGGACTAGACAAATGAGGATGTAGACAGGATCTACTTGGAATCTATAGTTCCATACTGTTATCGACGCATCTAACCACTCGGATCGTCTGTTCCTGGTCTCCCTTGGATTGTGGTCGTCACAGGAGCACACTCGTGTCATATAGATAGCTAACACTTTAACCGCTGTCTCCTAGCCACAACCGATTCGAAATAGTGCCTCCAGAGATATGCAATCACAAAACACTGAAACACTTATATTTATCGTAAGTGCAAGTTGTCAACGAAAACCTATTGGAATCCAACAGCAGTCACCAAGTTTTTTTTGCAACTAGATCAAACCAAATCAAAACACTCCCAGCTCGCATATCAGAACTGACGAAACTAGAAACACTATGCCTCGAAGCTAATTTATTGACATCACACGCAATCGAAGATGCAAAACTAGACAAATTAGTGAATCTGAGCAAATTGTTACTTGTTGGGAATCAGTTGACGACGTTTCCTGAAAGTATATGTGGGATTACAAAGTAAGTAGAAGAGCCGGGAGTTATAGCTTCCCTTTCATATACTGATTCTTTTCGCCATGGCAAATGAATGCTCTTACCAATATCAACATTGATACACAGGCTGACGAGGCTGGGTTTATCGCATAATCAGTTGACTGAGATACCAGACAAGATTACCAAACTGACCAACTTGGTAAGAAATCTCTGCTCATTTGGAATGTTTTTGGGAATTTATTTGCCCTTTTTGGTGCTAACTTGTATCACAGCAATGGTTGGGTCTGGCATACAATCGTCTAAAAACGCTGAATCCCCTGATTGCTAAAATACCGACACTGAGAGGTACCAAAAAAATGATGATTCTCACAAGCACAAATGGTCATGAATCAACTAACATGCAATCATTGGCTGTTACAGGAGTGACTCTCGCTGGAAATGATTTCGAGCGAGAATGGTCTGAAGCTTCCAAGATGCGGAATCTGGTCTCTGTAATGCGTGAGAATCCACCGAGTTGTAGGAAGGCTTTTGCCTCGACTAACATGACTTAATATTTCATAGACGTGTCTCCCGACCACATTCCAGAAGAAGCAGGTGTAACAAAACCAGAACACAATCTCGGTAACAGCTCATCATCTGAAGAGTTTTGGTGGGCAAAAACTGACATCAGCAGACATCTTTAACACAATTTCCGTATTTACATAGTCGTCACAACGACAGCAACAGGCCCAACAGAACTCGAAATGAAGAAACTCTTTGCAATCCCAGGTCCCTTCTCTGCAGGTCACGAATCACGATACTCCATGACATCTATATCAACATCCATGTCCTCCATATCAAACGAATCACACACACTTCACGAAGAAAGCGCCCTCATCATGCCTACCGTCCCAGAAGGCGAAACATTACCTGGGTCAGGTCTATCAATCAATGCCGAAACAGCATCAGCGTTCAACCTTGGTGGAAATAAACCTATTGTGCCATCACCGCTAGCTACTGAATCGTTGAATGCGCAATCTGATGATGTGCAGCAACAGCAACAACCGGGAATACCAACCATATCGGCTGATGATGATGGGTTGGAGAAAGAAGGTACCGGTAGTGATGATGAGTCTAAGGGTCCAGCAAACCCGAACATACAGCGCTTGAGAGGAAACTCTGGTGCTTCCCTGTCTGCTACGAATCAGCGGGAGGGGTCAATCGCTAGTATGGGTGTTGAGGAGGTGTTTAGGTGTGGGACGTGTAGCAAGGAGATTGATGCTGAATATGTGTCTGCTTGTGATAAGACGTATCATCCAGAGTGTTTTACTTGTGCGGTATGAATCTTCTCTTTGTCGTTTTTTTTGAGACAGTATGAAAAAGCCTATCGCTAAACACACTATCTACTTTAGACATGCACGGAAATGCTCAACGAATTCTTTGAATACGAGGGTAAAGCATACTGCCCGACACACATCCACGCAGCCAAAGGTCTATTATGTTTCTCATGCAACAAGCCACTCACTACCGATTACTTGTTGGCGTCTGGTAAAGGATTCCACACTGAATGCTTTGTATGCAGTAAATGTAAAACGAGCTTGGAGACACGGCCTTGGATGGGTGATGATCATGGTATCTTAACGTGCTTTGATTGTCTTGGGTCTATGAATTTGCCATAAAGTTGCGTTACAAGTTGCTTTTTTCGCTGGGTCGGATTTGTATTGGACACGACACATAAACATAATACGATATTTACGCATATGTCAAAACAATGTACATAGCCTTTTCAAGAGTATTGATTTATCTTCCATTTTGGTTTTACATAATATACAGAGTTTTCCTATGCACTTTAAACTTTTACTCCCTCATTCACACCTTCCTCCCTTTCCTCAACACCACAAATCTAAATCTAAACTTTTACTGACACTGACTCAACTTCCACAAGAGCGAAATCAATTGCAAATACTCGTCCGCACCATCCACCAAACATTTCTCTGCTTTGATCAATGCTTGACTCATCAATGATTTCTGACGACTCGTGAAAGTTGGGTCGAGTGATAACCTCTCGTGCACTTGAGCGACTATTTGTGATGCTGGGAACCCGTTGAGGACTAGTGTGTTTGTGAGGGTGGCGATTTCGTTGAATTTTTTAGTGGTTATTTTTTCAAATATGTTGGCAATTGTGGTGTCTGATAAGACCTATATATTAAAAGCAATTGATGAGAGCCATGTTTTGGTTGGAGCAGAGCCTCCATAGAACGGAGTTACAACATTTTTTGGCACATCGACTTACACCAGCGATTTCAAAAATAGCCTCTTGATCAATAGCCACATTTTGCACTCCGTATCGACGATGAGCTGATTGCAGGTACATGATAGCTTTACGTAAATCACCTTCTGAGACTGTGATTAGTGCGTCAATTGCCTAAAAACTTTCGCGTTAGAAGGTCAAAAAAGTATACAGTGACGGCCGAACAAGGGATGTTCACCTCAGGCTTATAATTAACTCCCTCGGCCTCACAAATATGTTCTAGACGTCCACGAGTTGATGATGGATCCAGTGGTTTGAATCGGAATTTGGCACAACGGGATGTTAGTGGTTCGATAATCCTATAATAAATGGTTGTGAGCAAAACCACAATGACTACCACGCCAAAAAGAGGGGAGTAAATAGAAGACGCATTCGCAAGCGAGGTCTTGCGATGAATGGCATTTGACTTACCTACTAACATAATTACAAATCAAACAAAACCTAGTACTCTTTGAATACGTTTCCATTGTTCGACGTAATGCAGATTGAGCATCCACAGTCATTGAATCAGCTTCATCGAGAATGACGATCTTGTATGGTGGTGATGGATATCCTCTGTGTGTTTTGAGACAGTTAGAAGAGGAAAAACAGAAGCAAATTCGGTGAATGGACTGATCTGCCTTGCAACCAACATCTTGATTCAAACAAGCACATACGTTGAGTGTTGAGCAACCGTATACCGTGCAAAGTCACGGACTTTTTCACGAACGACATCAATACCACGTTCATCTGATGCATTTAGTTCTAGAACTCGAGATTTGTATAGATCTGGCCTGTAAGTTGTTAAAAGTAAGGAAAGCTTCAGCTGCTTTTCATAAAGTAACATTGGTAGTTGTTTTGGCCGTTACCCATATAACGTTCTACATAAAGCCAATATAGAAGATGTCTTTCCAGTTCCAGGTGGTCCATAAAACAATAAATGTGGAAGCTATAATCCACGTTGAGAATGGACTTGTTAGATGTTTAGATGTCTGAATGCAAGCCACAAAACGAAGCTAGAACAAAGAACCAATACCGCGAGAAAGCACGTAACAAAATATTGTGTACATACATTAGCAGATTCCATAGTCTTTTTCAGTACAGCAACAGCTTCTTCCTGTGATGCAATATCGTCCATCGTTTTGGGTCGATATTTCTCAACCCAGACTGCTTCAGCTTGTACATTGTTAGTCGATGCACCTTCCTTATTGGCTGCCGTTTGGCGGCCCATCATCATTTGTGCCAACATTTCCTCTTCTATGTCTTGCTCTGCTGAAGCGATGAATTGTGAGCTGCGCAGTTAGATTTAACATTATTCTCCAGTAGGAACTGGCTATTTTGCACTTGAATGCGTTATTTCAGTTCAATAATTCAGTATTTACAATTTACAGCCTAATTGTGTCCGCTTCTTCTATACGTGATAGTAACATGTCTCGGATTTGTTCATTGACATGGCCAAAACAAATGATGTCCTTGAGACCTTCAATGAGCGTCCTATCGTTTGTGCCATTTGTGCCAAGACCTGCCTCTGCTTGTGTCTTGATTTCGTGATTGGTTTTGAAGGGATCATTTACGCTTGAAAACCGAAACTAGTTCCAACATCCACAAAAAGCAGTCAACCCGTGTTCTTGCAAATTCATATCATGTTTCTCCTTCTACTATTTACAAACCGGTGAACTCTCCATACAATCCTTCAAGCTGTGTAAGACATGCATCCCATAGCAACAAGCAAATTCCGTTTTGTATACTGAACCTTATATATCGGTGTCGAACGTGTTGGATATGTGCCAAGTAATCCAGAGCTAATGAGGTAAAAGGAGGCATGTTAGATTGTAGTGCGCGCATTGTTCAAGTAACAGGGACACGTGAACCGACAAAAATACGAACGGAAAATGTAGCTACAACGCTTGTGAACGTTTACCTAGCATCAGCTTGTCGATTCTTGACATGCACAGCTCCCATAGGTTGTATCCCTCGTCCCAATTCATTACCATCAGGCCTCTTGGCATCCCATATCCTAACTGTATCATCAGCACTACCAGACGACAACAAGCAAGAGTCCTGACTGAAATCCAATGAATAAATCACATCAGTGTGACCCGTCATCGTCTTGAGTCGTTTTCCGGATGCTATGTCCCATAATCCAATTGTCTTATCTTCACCTAATGAGAGACGAGAGTGCGTGAAGGGAGATTGAACGTCGCTGGCAACACGAGCACCAAAAATGGAATCAAGCTGTGACAATACCTGCGGTGGCAATCATCTTTCCATCAGGAGATACAGCAACAGCATATACTGTTCCTGAATGTCCTGTGAAGACTCGTACACATTTACCACTATTCACATCCCAGAAACGAGCTGTTCGATCGCTAGATCCGGTTACAAGATAGTTTGAGTTCGGGTGGAAGCGAACACACTGGGCAGCGGGACGGATGGGAAAGGGTTTGTTAATTACGAGACGCAGCGCAAATGCGATTTTTGAATGTATAACGAAACAGAATCTTAGCGTACAAAAAGCAAATTGAACATGGCAAATAGTTCAAATGCACGTGCAAGCACGCCAACTACTCAACAAAACTTACATCAACATCCGACATATGATCAGCAAAGATCCGCAAAGGCTGTGAATATTCAACATTCCATAATCGAGCAGTCTTGTCATGGGAAGCGGTAGCGAAATAGATACCCTCTGGACCAAATTCGACATCCCATACTGGATAATTGTGTCCCTTGTATACTGAGACGTTCATAAACGAGTCTCCAATCCATAATCGAGCTATAAACGGTATTTTAAATTGCTGCAGATTGAGTAGAGACGCGAACAAAATGCTATGTTCAAGGACATCATACCAGTGTTGTCACCAGAACAAGACAAGAGAGCACGACTATCTGGACTAAACGATACACCATATACTGCAGCTGAATGTCCAACGAGTCGAGTTCCACTAGTATCGTTATCATCTAACGTGATGGTTGATCAGAAAAGAAATTTGGCAAAAAAAGGCAACATATTGCTACATAAACACCTTTGAGGTTCCACACACGAACAAATGACTCTGTAAAGCCCGCACATAAATATTTTGTATCATCTGACATGGCTAGACAGCTCATACTAAGAAGAGACGGTATGCGTCAGCAATCAGCGAAAAAAGGTACGGAAAAGAAAACGAATTTACTTGTCGTAAGTGTTGTGGAAAGTATAACAGATGATGGATGGCATAGCTCCACTATTTAAACTGGCTCGTTTACGAATATCATTCAATGCTTGAATTTCCTTTTCAACGTCCAAGTTCTTCCTGTTAGAGCAAAGAAAACCACCACAAGTCAGACAAACAATTTTCAAAAGACAACATCGATTCCGCAAACGTGCTTTGGTGGCATGGGAACTGAAGTCTCCCTTGTCAATGAATCTGCTTCCACTTTAATCTTTTTATGATACTCTCCCAACAATTCACCACCCTGCGAGAAAAGAAAGCAGTCATTGACCGTATGGACATTCATGCAGTTTGTTACAGTACAGCACTCACATCAGCAGCTAAATCCCGTTCCACTTGATCCTTAAACCATTCGTCGGGTGGTAACTGACCGAGCCTGAGTTGGATTTTACCTATATCGTCCAATTGTGTTGTGGTGTATCCTAGTATTCCCATATCTCCTACATCATTCGCACTCTTTTCCTTTGCACCGGGTAGTTTTTCAGCAGTAGCTATCGTTCACAGAATGAGAAAGGGTGTTGATTCGAAACGCAACCAAAACAATTGCACAAAGAAAATCTTATTGTTGCTTTCAGCACACACCTTTAATGGACACATACTGATTAAGAATCCTCAAAACCAACATGGCGTTACTTTCCAAAAAGTGCAATAGTAACTCGAAAGCATAGCGAGACATGGACACAAAGTATTTGTTGTTTCGAAAGTTTTGAGCGAGATCGTTTTCACGTAATTGTTGAGGGTTTGTTATAGAAGCTAGCCGTTGAATTTCTCCAGCATGGGTTTCGGCATGGTCGGTTTTGAATGTATTTAAAAAGTGTCGTGCTAAGTTGGAGAACGTGTGACTTCATGAGGTCATGTAACATTGACTGGCTTTTTTGTGCTGATACATTGTATGTACCTTGATCAATGAATCCACGTTCGATGAGTTCCAGATAGCTATGTACATAGACTGGAAACAAGACAGTTTTGAATTCGACCTGATGTATCAAGTGGGTGTTAGATTCAGCGTCGTGTCTTCTGTTGTCTCATCAACCTCGTCATTCAACAACAAGATATATTATACCTTGTAAGTAGTGAATGACTCGTCGACAAATCTCCTCAGTTTGATGTAGGACTGTTCATGAGCGCTTGGATTGTTGATGTCGTCTGAAGAGTATTGAAGTAGGAAGTTTGGGATTGCCAGCTGAGCACGTTTATTTGCTTCGGCTTGCAGGTCATCAACAGTCTTGACTTTGAATTCTTCTCTGAATGATGCTTCTGTCCTTGTAAATCCTACAGGTTTTGAATGTGTTAAATGTCGAACTGCGAATTCAAGCTAAAAATGAGTATTAATTGAAGTACCTCGCGATTTCAAGTATTCGGATACAGCAGCAGCTTCGGCTGGCGACTGCTGTCCACCTGACTGCATCTTTCAAGCTAGATTATTGAACCAGCTTCTAACCTCCGATTTTTGAAGTTTTGGAATTTGACGTGTTATCGCAATATAGTAATAATGGCAGCTAGTGTATTAAGACAAAGAGGCACGCGCTGTCTATATACCAACAGGATAATATTAGCATCAGCTCCCTCATCGCCTCCACCATCATCAACCAAAGCAGCACCTCCCACTCCTTTGCAATCTGCTCTCAAACTGTATAGAGCTTGGCTGAAATCAGATGCTACTCACTACAAAGCCGCTGGAACTGGCAACAAATTCGCAGGAAAGAATGGATTGGTATGTCTTGTATTGTGGGTTTGTTCGTTCATTAAACACATTTGCGACAAAAAAACCAACATTCATCCTTCACTAGCCATTTCCGTTGAATCCCTTCTTCAAACCAACTCCTCCACTCGCCGATTCCACAAGAGAAGAAATATACCGCCTGCATCTCACTGAACCTGATACCTGGACTGTCGGCAAACTAGCTGCTGATTATGGAATATCCTTTGATCGTGTACGAGCAATACTCAAACTGAAGGCTGCTGAAAAGCAGGCTGAGATGGCTAAAGTGAGCATATGTTGAGATACGTGTAGTGACGAGAGCAGAGAAGGAACTAGGTGCCTCACATACCAAGTGCTCATAGGCCTGGTTTTGCTTCATAGGGAATACCACCACAGAAAGAGTTTGCAAAAGGAATGGAGAGGTTGCTATCCGCTGAAAGGAGAGGTCGTAACTCTTCTAGAAGAGAACCATTAAGATCCCTGCTTGCTAGCGGATTGAGACCATTTTTTAGAATGGCTGACGAAGATGAGGTATGGATATGCGAAAAAAGGGCCAATCCGAATCTCTAGTATTGCAAACTTGTTCTGACATGATTCTGCTTTACTAGACATTATCACCAACAGTACGCAATCAAGCCATTCCCCAAGTAACATAATCACACGCCACCTAATACTTTGTTGTTGCTTTTGTAGGACGCAGCCAGAATTCTCAAACTAGCCCCATTCTCAAACATTAAAATGAAGATTGATCGAGCTTCTGAGGGTAAACAACCAGTGAGTCAAGATGCTTTACAACAAACCACAATCATTGAAGAGAATCTGTTGCATGCAAGTCATAAAAAGTTTGCTATTCGGGATGTTAGTCAACAAAAGGTTTGCAGTAGTTCAATATGTCTAGACAGGCGAGATATCTGATAATGTAATTTGATGTAGGCACAGACTTTGGTTCGTGAGACTAGTGGTATACTGCGGACGCAGAGTTTGGTGGAGAAGTTACAGAGGTAGAACTTATTTTGAGACACAAGGCTATTATTTTTGTGGATACAATTAGCATAGAAGCATACAATAATCACTTTTCATTTGCGAGTTTTTTGGTTTTTTAGCCTTAACTTGTAAGCTGGCAGATATTGGTGCTTACGTTTTTCAATTTGCCTTCAATCACTTGTTTGTCGGTGAAATCCAAAATCTTGCAAGGAGCTCTCTTATCCACCATGTTGGCGGAAGGAGATCAAGATCCTCCAGCTGCTCCAAAGGGCAAGTCTCCTCTAGCTCAAGCTTGTGGTATGTAGCTGGTTCTGTAAAGTTTGCAAAACATTTTGACGGATCACGAGCTTGGTATTTTGTTGAGCATTTGTATCAGATCGATACCAGTTTAGGGCACGTTTTCATTGGTAATTTGTAGTGACACTTTTTCTTTCCTATTACAGAAAGGTGCCGATTGAGAAAGGTACTGCAACTCACTTCGGGGTTTTAGTTTGAGACGGTGTGGACGATGACGACTCGCGGAAAAGAGCGCTAATGAAGTCTATGAGCTTGGCAACAATTCACTTATGTGTCCGTCCTCGTGGACGAGGACTGAAAAAACTTGATTCGTTATGGGACCCGACGAACCTGTGATTTATACAAACTCAGCTTACAATCATCATCCAGCTACAAACTCAATCTTACAATCATAACCCACGTAGAAAAAGTGCAATGGCGAGCTACCCTGCAACAACTGCACACGTGCAGAAAAGAGAGGCTTGTTGAAAGACCCGTGTATCTTTCCCGTTGCTAAGAAGCGTGGTCCGAAGAAGGGCTTCAAGCTTGCTAAACGAGCTTCTGAAGCCTCAGTACGCTCTGAAGCCACAGGAGGCCCATCATCGCCAGATACACCCGATAGCACATATGAAAACAGCCCATCACCAAGCCCAAACACCCCGTCTCCGGCACATATGGTGGCGGAATCTTCACCTTCATCGTCATTTGGACCCGATTACTCCGTCTCACCACCAGTGCTTGATCATACCACTGCATTTGAACCGTACTCGGCAAGTCGCAATGTGTCTGCCAACAACTCTTATGTAGATAGAAGAGAGAGTGAGGATGTTGACATGATACCGCGGCAACAGGACGAGCCACAGCCGTCATCGGGGTTTCAGATGTCACTTAGTAGATTCGAAAAGTTTTTGATTGAAGAGGAGGAAGGAACATATGCGCCACTTATGAGTACGAACGAGGCAATGCAAAGGTTATGGAATACGTCTATACCTTGTTTTCAAGATAATTTCGTGTTTGGTAAGTATCAAATGCGACGAACTGTTGTATTGTGTCGTAATGGGTCGTGTTTTGGAGGTGTTTTCAACCTCTGCGTGGTCTCCATGCAACGTGTTTTTTCTCATTGTGACTCTTCTACTAGATCCATCACTATTCGTCAACCCAATCTATAGTGTGCCAATTCCAAACATGACTGAGTCATTGACCGGCATCAGTGTTGCTCCTGAAATGGCCAACATGTTTGAAGGCGTAAGCACTCAGCGACCAGGCTTTGTGTCTATTACAGAGACAGCTGATGGTGGAAAATCTATAAGTGAATTAGAGATTCACTTGATACAAGTCTTCTTTTATACAATCCACCGCGGCCTTTATATATTCGATGAGAGGTTGTTTTATCACAACCTTTTTCCTGTCAATAAGCACCCAGATTACTTGTTGAATGCCCTTTATGCCATGGGTGCGTGTTAATAGCAAACAGAAGAAGCTTCTATTTACCAAACATCAAAATCACACTAACAAGTATTTCCTTTAATCACATCTTCATACAGCCGCTCCATTCAGTTGTCATCTAGCCCTTCTCCAACAATATGGAACAGGGCGCAGAGCTGCCATGCACTTTTGCAAACTAGCGGAAGAAGGACTACAAGCCAACCCTCGTGAAAGTATTGAGCTTATTCAAGCTCTGATACTACTGGCGGTTTTCGACTTTAACCATAGGAACGCTGGGAGGTCGCATTTGTACATTACCATGGCGGTTCGACTGGCGGAGAGGATGTGGAATCAGCAAGACTTGCATTATACGCTTTTCAAAATTTTCCCTCCAAGGGTGAGAGCCGATCAAACGGAGACAAGGAGGAGGCTTTGGTTGACATGTAGGGACTTTGGTTGAAGTGTGCGAGGCTTTTATTTTGTTGCTCAATCCCGTTCTTTTCGAATAGGTTTGAACCTCGACGCCTTTTACTCGGTTGCAATTCAGCTGCCAACAAATATTCATGAACGCGAGTGCAAGCCTGCTCTGATCCTTGTTGATCGAATGTAGGCAAAAAAGTCTATCTTGAAATTTTATGTATGCTTATTACTCGCATTAGGGTTCGATCTCAACAAGCAGGACCAGTGTGCACCACCAAACAGATGCTCTTCTTTTACCGAAAGCCTCGATACACTGTCTTTGAGACGCTGGAAGAAATCGAATATATACCTAGTGGGGTTGAAATGATGATTTTTCAACAACACTTGACAGAAGTATGCTCTTTGTCGAGATGTGTGATGGGTGTAGTACGTGATGAGGCTATTATGGCGCAGGAATTGACACCTGTCTGTTCGACTCTGGATCCCGTATTGGAGACTTTGAGTACGACTCAGAATCGATTGGCTGTTCATAAGGCTTTCATCAAGTATGTGTGCCATGAATTTTTTTCTGCGCAGGAGTCGGTCGACCTAACTGTGATTCGTTTTTACAACAGATGGTACTTTGCATTGGAGCCAACTTTCAAGATCTTTAATTCTCTTGAAGACTTCTTGGGACAGAATCCACCAGTCTGTCATGCATATGATAAAAGGAATGCTCCTCAAGCATTGAAGTTTCCACCTACTGTAGGATTAGCCTTGTTTATCATGTTCCTACTAGTATTGCATCAATCAACTGCCACTGATCCTGTAAGCAAAATGAGGTTTTGCAACACATAATTTATGTTTTGCAGCTGACCATAAATTTTTTGGTGCCTAGGCCAAAAAGTATCAACCATCACACAACTCGAAAACATTTGTATCAAGTGCTGATATATTGATGTTGTGTTATAAATCCATGATGTTTTGCTTATTCGCAGACTTGAAATTCGCTGGATTTGATGATCCATACAACCTGCCATTCAGCCAATCTCGACCTGCTCCTCCTGGTGTATTGCCGAAAGATGTACCTATTGGTGATGAATACCCAATACTGCCTACATCTATGAGCCAGAATGGGTTGTTTTCTGTTTGTTTGTGTCGTAAGTGATTGTGGAATTTCTAGTTTGTGACCAAAAATGCCATCTGTAACCTACCTGACGTTTCTAAATTTTTCGTTTCTTTGGATTTTTAGGTATGTCCGAAGTCATCTTGAAGACGAAATTTCCTGAAGAACGTCACCGTAATCTGGTGACAGAGGCGGTATATAACACTCAACATATTGTGTTGCCTGTATTGGATAACATATCGCGACTTAGCGGCATTTCGAAAGTGAGTTTCCCTTTTTTTTGTTTTGAGAATGGACGAATTGCTAACCAAAACAATGCAACGAACTCGTATAGAACTATGCCACTCATATTCGAACCCTCCTTACTCCACACCTGGCTAAAGCCAATGATGAAGAAAGTCGTCAAAGCCCAGCAATGAGCTTTGAATCGTTGGGAGGAATCGTATTTAATATCAAGTCGGAACGAGAGGTGCCTGATGGAGAGGATTTGTAGTTATTGGTTGTGTTTTGCAAAACAGAGACGAGTGTATGTAAGCTCTGTGGTTAAGATTGTCAAGTTGTTTCTGTGGGGGTTTCGGTGCTTGATGTCTCCGCAGTGACGGAAATGAACGTTTTGCTATTCTGATACCATTTTTAAGTGCGAATATGAAGATCATTGGAAGTCCGCTAAGCTTTGTTCCTTGCTTACGGATCGGATAAATCGAGATCTTCCACTTTTCGTTCACTCGTGACGCAAAGAGAACTCCAGCCTCTACATACCACTCTTTCAATGCAGCCCCATAGACGATGAAGGTCGCCAAACCGTTAAAGATAGCATGCTGTAAGTCCAAGCCTTTCGGAGCTTGAGATTGTCGAGCGAACCAAGGAACCGCTTTACCCTAACCTCTCTTTCTGTAGTACGATGTCGTGGCATGAAAAAGTCCTGCGATGCCTTATCACCATGTAAAGGATGTCGAAAAGCAGGTGTAGAATGTGTATATGCTGAAGCTCAGGTTTGGATTATCGCTTAAAAACGGCTTTTTGCCTTGCAACATTTGTGGTTTTACGCCAACCGTATGTGAATTTACATAGAAACGAGGCCGTAAAAAGGGATTTAAGCTAAACAAGGATGTTAAGAATGCCGGTACAAGGTCCCGGAACAGTGATCGTATATTGCCTAAACCTTTAGTTGAAGAAGGTGGTACCGAATGTGACGATGAAATAACAGCAATTTTAACGGACTCGATTGAGGAATCCAGCTGTGCAAAGACGATTGGGAGTGCAGAGTATGCGAGACGGGCATCGAAAGATGAGAGCTTGCTGGGGTTTTGTTATTTGGACAAGAAGAATGATAGCTCGGACGATGAGTCCATGTCTGCTGACGATCAGGAGGAAGACGAGGAGGATGAGGAAGCTATGGATGATGAAGTTAGTGAAAGCATTGAGACAATGTCGCAGCTTGAAGAACTTTTGCTTGATGACGATGAAGATACGCCCTTGACAATCGCTCTGGACAAACGACGGTCTACCATTCAAAGCATAGTAGATCCCATGACGAGCCCCTTTTATACCATGCCGCTACCAAACAGCTTTGTGGACAATCTATCCCGGTTTGAGCTCCCGCTCCACATGTTACAACAATATCAGTTTCCGGCAACTACCCAAGGAATATTGCAACCATATCAGCACCCACCCGCAACACAATCCATGATAATGAGCTCTAATGACGATGAGGATTTGGAACGACATTTAATACAGTGCTACTTTTATTGGATTGGGAGGAGTATGGTCATGTTTGATGAGGCTATATTTTATG